TAACAAGCTACAAGAAGAAACATATCTGTGAGCATTTCCCTCTTGGGAGCCATCCAATAGGGAGGCATTTTGACGCCTCTGCTCTTACAATAAGCTTCTGTGTACAAAGTGCACCTCCACTGGCAAACCTTCTCTGTGTTACAGCTCTCTTCTTCCCTGGTTTTATCTCTAATAAATATTTGTCAGGAGAGCAGAATTAGAGCTTGAGTAAACTTCAATAGGCTCAGGGTTTTGGCTTGAAGCCACAGGGCTCATCCAGCGTTGGCCTTTAACCCCCTCTACAGGAGAGTAGGATTGCTAGCTTTGCAGGACTTTTACTCAGATGCTATCAGCTCAACTGGCACATGTTAAAGATATTACAGCGCAAACGTGATATATTTGAAAGCGACTGGCCCTCACTTCGCTTTAATCTTTTAATATGTGGAAAATTCCCCCTGTTTTGCTGACATCATATGAGATGTGCAGCCCCTTGAGGCTCTGTGGTGCTGGAATTTCAGGGTAGGGCAGGAATACTGAATAAATACTTTGATGCAAGTTTTGCTGTGTCTACTCACCCTCCCTCTTTTCTTTTTTTGGCTACAATTGCTCCATTCAGCCCTGTTATTTCTGATCCCTTGGGCAGTGCAGTTAGGTCAGCTCACACATCTAATGGGCCATCAGCTGAAGGACTGCGAGTTACAGAGCAAGGCTTTATGACTCAGGTGTAACCCACCTACAACCACACCTGACAGCAGCCCATGGCTTCTGCAGTCCTGGGTGGGATACCTATTAAAAGTTTGCCTTTGGGGCATGATGACAGGTCAGCAGAGGGAGACGTATGAAATCAGGATGCCTGGAGCACAACTCCGGCTTGTGACCTTCATTACATGCTGTACTTCTCTTATTTGCCTATCTAGATAATATGTAATCAAGCTGTATCACTGTAGTAGATGCCATTTATTCACAAACAGTGAATCTTAATGATCTTAAAGGTCTGCAAACCATGGGGTTTAAAACGGTATCTATCATTATTTCTTATTTGTTGCCCTTTTGTTGCCACTGTATGTGAAGCACTTTGGGCTGCATGTATTGATGACAGAACCAAGACACATACTGGCTTACAGTCATCATCCGCAGGCTCTGCTGAAAGGTACAACACCACATCCAAACATGCAAATCAGACCATGGCAATGCGCCAAAAGGGAAGTCTTGGCTGGAAGTTGTGTACTTCCAACCGCTGGCAGTTCCTAAAGCCAGCTGCTAAAGTCGAACAATGCTCCAAGAGGTTTTAAGTGCCGCCAGAAGTTAGCAGATGGGTTCCAGTTCCTAAAAACTCCAACATTATTTGGGCTCCTTGAGTTGCGTGCTCAATATCCAAAAGGTTTGATGATTGCAGAACCTTGGGTGAGCAGGCAGATGGGTTCAGGGAGGCAGCTTACCCACCTTATGTAAATATCGAGACTGATTGACAGTACTCTAGTGCGTGCTCCTGACATTCAGTGGTGAAACTGGGTGCAGCATCAGTCCTCAACACTCGCCAATGCCCCACACCTTTGTGCTTCAACCTTCCTCCCGTGCTGTCATGTTTAGTTTTCCACTCAGCTCCCCATGCACCTCCTGACTAATCCAGACTTTCCTGACCAAAAGGGAAGCTTGGAAACTGAATCAATCACCTGCTCTTCCTCGAGGTTTCCTTCTGTTTGCGGAGGGACCGGGAGGAGGATCCCAGGAAAGCCAGTCAGGCCTCCACTAACACTGCTGCTGTGTAGTCAAACAGTCAGAGAGGAGCTCCCACAGTCAGATATAGCTTTTATATGTTTACACAGGGCAGATAAAAATCATCTGGCTGTCAATGATGGCTGTATGGGGGATATTTTTTTCTAAGCTACTGTAAGAAGAAACCAGACAAGATAATAAAAAACCTTCCAAAGGTGCTCTCCAAACTGAACTACAGTCTAAACTCCAAACTTCTTCAACTCATTCAATGAATTCACTCTTATTTCTGTTCCCTCTTCATTTCACAAAGAGAATATGTCCGAACTGTACTCTGAGTTGTATTATTCACAAAGACCCAAGATAATTCGCTCAGGAAGTAATCACTGGGCAACAATGGCAAGTAAAAACAACCTTTTAGTTGGCAGAGCCCTCAAACAGACCCAGACCCAAGGCGCACAGCAATCTGACAAGAGTGGAATAGAAATAGACAAGCAGGCAAACAGGGAAATGTGCACAGCAGCAGAAACAGTGTTAGATATTACAGATTTGTCCAATGGAGAATACGACACCATTAATAACGGTGGTGGCTTGTTTTCTTTTGGCAATAACACCTTTTTCTTTCTGTGTGAATTTGGACCTTAGCTCCACTTATAGACACGCATACACAAAAACTGTTGTCATAACTTGCCCAAAGTATTGATTTTGTTAAAAAATGCAAGTTACAGTATAATGATGTAAATTCACTGATTAACACACCATTAATCACACTATATCTATTAATTTCAAGAACAAATACATCCCCATATTGATACATTTTTTGTAGCTGAAACATAACTAGTCATGCATGATGTCCAGTTTGGTAGACGAACATTACAGTTTTCTCCAAACATAAAATCAGTATTTCATAATTTTATCAGCTGCATCGATTCGTGGTTGTTTCTTCATGCTGAGAAAAGATCTGTCTGGGAAAGGATTTGTCAGCTGGCATTTCTTACTTCCAGTCTGCCATCTCGATTTGGAGAAATATCTGATGCACTTACAACAGCTGACCAATAGGTGGCAGTGCATATGACTTACAATTGTCTACCGAAGCATCCGATGAGCATCCATTTCTTCAAAATCCTTGCATTTAGTAGAAAAGATGATTTAAATGGCTGCCCATCACAGTGGCCAGCCTGTATTAAAGGGCTGTAATGGCAATAAGAATGACCAGTGACTGGACTCTTACTACTTTGATTTAACAAGAGCTGGACTTCACAGTAACCCACAAAAACTGAGGAAAACAAAGACTTACAGGGAGTTACTAGTTGGTTTCAAATTGAAAAGAAGAAGAAAAACATCAAATATTCATATTTGTGAGTTTGAATCAGTAAATTTTGTGCTTTCATGATCGATTAGTTTTCTTTATTTTTCATAATTGATCAGCCAATTTGCTTATTAGAAATCTTCAGACTACCAGACTATGAGAAAAAATATATAAAGAATTTATATTATACATAAGAATTGTGTGTTTAACATGAATAAGCCTCTGTGCATGAATGTGTATGAAATGGCAGGAGAAAGGGGGTCAGTGTTTGTCTCCATGTGACTCAACTTCCTTCACAGACGCAGTAATGGGAACAAACACTTCCTCAAAAACACACATACGCCAAGTCTATGGTCCAAACAAATACACACAAACTTGGGTGTCACACACTCAGTCCCTGTTTGAATGAGGATCACATGGGTTACAACACTGGCTTGATTCTATGAGTGGCTATTTTGCGCCATCTGTTGGTCATAATGGATCGCTTGCTTTTATCACCTTATGAGTTTTACTAGTCAAGAAAAGTCCTTACACTTTCATTTTTGTTGAAGTTACAGTCAGATTGACAAAAAAATCAGATGTAACTATTGTTCATTTTCACATGTTTTGCTCTCACACAAAATAAGTAATTTTGCACTATGACTGAGCGAATGAGCTAATATTTCAGGTGTATTTGCAGTATGTGTCTGTCTTTCCATATGTCTGTCAATATTCTGCCCATAAAAAGACAGACGCCATTTACCCTGGGTCTTCCTGGCCTTTGAGTCACTCCCACCATACACAGTTAGCAGCTTTTCAGTAAAGTTTAATTTTCCTAAAACATTTGCCCGGCAGATTGGAAAGTTTTAACTAAACCCAAATGAATACAAACACAGTCTTGCAAAAACAACAAGGACTTCTCTAAAACGCAGAAGCCAACACTTTGTTTTTTGTGTGCTCTATTCAGCAGTAAAGTTCCACAGGCCTACATTTATGTTTCCCTACTCTGAATAATTCTGGATTTGTTTTCTGTGTTAATGACAGGAGGGAGGGAATATAAGGAGAGAGGTAAGAAAAAAGGTCAGACCATGACTGGACTCCTTAAATACTGCGCCGAGCCACACATCTAATATTAAAAAATGTATGTATATGCAAGGAGTCTGTCTGACTAGGCTTTGTTAAAAAAAGAAGAAAAAAAAAAACTACTATTGGCAGTCCTATAAAGACTGCAAACCTATGTGAAATAACTAAAATAAAACATGTAAGTGATGACAAGCAAGTAGAAGGTTTGGCCCTGAGAAATGCAGCTACCTCATAGGACACACTTCCCATATTTAGAGAGTAGGCTGTGTATCAATCAGATTGTTTTCAGTGTCATCAATAACTAATAGCTATTGACTGATATTAAAAGCTTTTTTATATACACCACAAGAAAAGATGCTTCTTTAACAACCGCTTCACATCTGTTGTAAACTCAAGATGGCGCTGTGCGCATGTCGTAAATACACTTTTGAAAGCGGTTTTCCTAGTAAACAGCTGATTTTTTTTACACAAAAAAATATTTCAGACTCTCTCCTAATTGTTTTTTTGTTTTTTTTTGTTTTTTTACCACGTGAGGATGCCAATGTGGTGTGTTTTATGTGCTCTTTAAGTATGAGCATGCACTGATCTCTCCTATTGTGATGTTGTTGTTAATATATAACTGCTGTCTGTTTGTATTTGTCATGGTCTGGACCTGTGTTTATTGTTGTAATACAAGGTTATTAAGACTTTGAATTACAAAATTAGAAAAGGAAAAAAGAAAAACACCGTGGAGGGCCGTACAGTCTATGATGCCGACTAAAGGGGGCAAAGAGGAAGACGGAACATTTGGTTGCCGAAGCTCCGCTTACGGAACTTTATTGGTGTGACACACGAAGGAAGTAAACGAACAGTTTGGCTCTTTTAAAGAAGCTGAGATATCTGAGGACAATCCAGTTTTCACAGCGCAACCTTCTTTACAATTTGTAACGAACCAACGATGTCTGTTGCTGAATCTCTCCGAGAGTTTGTGACCGAGCGGCTCGCTGCTGCTACTGAAGACATTTTGGGAGTTTTGAACAGAACTGTGGTCCAGTACGAGGAAGAGCTGGACCGTCAACGCAGACTGCTGGATTTGGTTTGGAAACCTCACATTCTCTTACACAGAATCGGTAAGAAGAGCCAAGTTTAGACTGAATAATGAAGCAGAAGCTCGGTTTAGATCAGGGCTGCCTCTCCTCTCGGTTTCCATGTATAAATACTGTGAATAAAGGCGGAGGAACAACCCTGTATGAGTTCAACAATAACTGTGCTGTGTTAATGTGGTGCTATTGTGTCAGTGGTTCTTAATCTGCCGTTAACGATCAGAGGAAGATCAAGGAGTCCGGGGGACGCTCTCGGACGTTGACCCCGTCCTCTTTTGTTCCCTCGAGCTGTTATAATGACCCGGTACCAAAACTCATCATGTGGACAGAAAACAGGGGAAAGAAGGGGAAACCTAAGAATAACAGACATTTGTGTTGTTGGAAAAAAGGTGGTTTACTGTCATCTTACGGGTTAGTTTTACGTCCAACTTATTTGACTCCTACAGGAAGGCCTTAAGTGACTCCTGTACACAAAGCTGAGCCCTTTGAGTTCATCACATACCCCCCTGGGTGTCTTCTGTTTGTATAGATATAAACCAGTTTGGCCTCTGTGAGCTCTATTAATGGATACTATGTTAACTAATTGCCATTTTGATTCTCCTGAAGTACAAAATGTTTAAAAGTACCTGCTGGATGTGCTTCCAAGATGACGACAAAGTACCTTTTAAATGCTTTTGTAGTTAAGTAATGTAGACAGAATGCCTTCTGACTTTAGTTTTGTGATCTCAGACAACAGTAGATGTCCAGTGCACAGCACCAACAGTCCTTTTCACTTAGTGCAGAGGAAGACAGGATAAACAGCTTCACCTCACAAATGAGGACTCAATCGCTTCTTTTGATTAAATCCTCAGTTTCACACAGCACACACAAAAGGACTTCATCAGGTTTCGTGACTAGTCCACTACACTGATGTTTTAAACAAGACCGCAGACACACTGGGTGAAGTTGGTTCTTTCTCTCACGTTGACTTGGTCTCATATTTTGTGACTTCATTTGTGTAATATAACTGCTATATTCTCATAAAGTAATATTAGTCTTTAATGCATTTTATAATCTTGATTTTACTTGTTCTCTTTATGTTACAACTTATCTTACGACTCTTTTCTTCATTGTATTAAAACTTATTTTACATTGTGTTGCTAATTTTATGTTGTTTATCTTGCTAGAGTCGATCAGTATTGTACCTCAATTCTTCAACATTTTAACTGAATTGTGTTTAATATTACAACTCTGTCCTGAAAATATTACATCCTTCTCATGATTCCAATTCTCTGTTTTCTGTTCCATCTCATTGACGTATTTATGCTTCTGTGTTCCTGCAGATCTTCCGCAACATCATGACTGTGAGGAGGACGAGGTTGTCTCAGACCTGCAGCCCTGGAACCAGGAGAGGAACTCCAGTCCAGAACAAGAGGACCCAGAGCCTCTACAGATCAAAGAGGAAGAGGAGGAATTCTGCACCGGTCAGGACAGAGAGCAGCTGGAACCAAAGCAGGAGACTGAACACTTGATGTTAACTCTAACCTGTCATGAACCAGAAGTAAAGAGGGAAGACCAGTTCCTGTCTCACAACTCTCATGAGGCTGCAAACCAAGATCCACAGGAAGACAAGCTCACAGAGTCAGAATCAACTTCAAAATCAGAACAACATCCCCCCAAAAAAGTTCACAAAAGAAGAAGTAAGAAGACAAAACAGCCTAAGGTTCAATCTGATCCTCAACAAGGTGAAAAGACCTTTAAATGTGACACAAATAGGGAAACGTTTACCAGCAATTCAAATTTACAGACACATCGAAGTGTTCCCACTGGTAAGAAGAAGCATACTTGTGAGAGGTGTGGGGAGATATTCAGATACAAGTATTTGCTAAAAAAACATGCAAAATCGCACACAGGTGAGAGACCGTACTTCTGTTGCACTTGTGGGAAAAGCTTCAGAACGAATTCCTATTTAAAAAAGCACATGCTAATTCACTCTGGAGAAAAGCTGAACACCTGTGAAACATGTGGCAAATCTTTTGTCCTTACATGTAACCTGAAAGTGCACATGAGAACACACACAGGTGAGAGACCGTACTCCTGCAGCACTTGTGGAAAAAGCTTCAGTCAAAATTCGAGTTTAAAAGAGCACATGCGAATTCACTCAGGAGAAAAGCTGTTCACCTGTGAAACATGTGGCAAATCTTTTGTCAGTACAGGTAGACTGCGAAGGCACATGAGAACACACACAGGTGAGAGACCGTACTCCTGCAGCACTTGTGGAAAAAGCTTCAGTCAGAATTCAAGTTTAAAAGAGCACATGCGAATTCACTCAGGAGAAAAGCTGTTCACCTGTGAAACATGCAGCAAATCTTTTGTCAGTACAGCTAGACTGAAAATACACATGAGAATACACACAGGTGAGAGACCATACTCCTGTGGCACCTGTGGGAAAAGCTTCATTGTGAGTTCACATTTAAGAACGCACATGGTTATTCACTCAAGAGAAAAGCTGTTCACCTGCAAAACATGCAGCAAATCTTTTAACAGGAAGGATCGACTAAAACTGCACATGAGAACACACAGGTGAGAGACCGTACTCCTGCCGCAATTGTAGGAAAAAGTTCAGTGTGCGTTCACATTTAAAAACGCACATGCTTATTCACTCAGGAGAAAAGCTGTTCACCTGAGAACACACACAGGTGAGAGACCGTACTCCTGTGGGAAAAGCTTCACTTTGAATTCTAGTTTAAAATTGCACATGGTTGTTCACTCAGGAGAGAAGCTGTTCACCTGTGAAACATGCTGCAAATCTTTTTACAGTAAAACTAGACTGAAAATACACATGAGAATACACACAGGTGAGAGACCATACTCCTGTGGCACCTGTGGGAAAAGCTTCACTCAGACTTCAGGTTTCAAATACCACATGCAAATTCACTCAAGAGATCAGTATTTCACCTGCAAAACATGCAGCAAATCTTTTAACAAGCAGGATCAACTAAAACTGCACATGAAAACACACACAGGTGAGAGACCGTACACCTGTGGCACTTGTGGGGAAAAGTTTTCTCGAAAAACACACTTAGATCATCACACCCAAACCCATATAGGTGAAAAGCCTGTGGTGCTTAAAGGAAACCATTAGGCAGGAAGACCTCTTTAGATGGTCACAGAAGAACCCACACAGGTCAAATGTGGCAGGTCTGTCAGATGCCAAAGTCATGGTAATGCATTTGTATCCTGGTTTCATAGAAGTGAAACAAACGAGGATAGAGCTTAAAACCAAAATTGGATGGTCCGGATTAGTGCTGGGCGATATGGAAAAAAATGTATATCACGATATGGATCATTTTATATCACGATAACGATATATATCACGATATAGCTATGGTATGCTTTCAGTTCTATGAAAAATTTAAGTGTATACAGCTGCACTAGTACAGTACCAGTACAAGACCAGCACTTAAAACTAGAAAAATGAATAAATAAATACGTGGCTGAAGTGCGTTCATGTCTGTGCTCACCCAAAGTTATGTAACACTTACAGAAAACGCTGATAGTGTGAGCCGAAGCACTCCATAATAATAATAATAATAATAATAATAATAATAATAAATTTAATTTGTAATGCACTTTACATTTACAAAAAAATCTCAAAGTGCTACAGTACACAGTAAAAAAAGAGCAGCAACAATAAAAAAAAGCAATAGAATGACAGTCACAGATTAGCATAAAAAAGAATTAAAAAAAAATAAAATATATAGAGTTGCAATGTAAGAGGCAAGGTAGTAAAAGCATAAAGCATAGAGGAAAACTAACCAAAGGCTTTATTAAAAAGGTAGGTCTTTAGGGCTCTTTTGAAGAGGTTGTTCACACTGCTAGATGTTTCTCCTCCAAAGCTGCTCTCTGCCTCCATCATTGTTTACTTTACTCTAGAAGCACATAGCAAGACCCGAGCATGAATCCGAGCGCTTTATTCGCCTATCAGGGGCAGACAGTTAAGGTGATTGGATTCGCCACGACTCCAGAAACGATTGAAAAACTACAGAATGTCACAAAATTACGTTTTCCCGCTCCTGGCTCGAAGGGTACAAATGCGCAGCCGCGCTCCCAGCTGACAGGAAGTCAAACCGCTGTTGTAGTTCTTTTGTGTTGCTAGCGCGGTCAAGAGTGTTTACTCTCACTGAGAGATGACTACAAAAATGGACGCACCTGTTCATCTGGTTGTTAAACACGGCTGAAAAAGATCATCTTTTAATGTCGTTCCCGCTCCTGCCCACTCCCGTTGCTTTTTTTCCCGTCCCGTCCCGATCAAGAGATTAATAAAAAAATGACTCCCATCCCGCGGGAATCACGTGACCCACGGGAATTCCCGAAAAAAGTCATCCTCCACAGGGAAGGTCCCGGAGCAGATGAAACAGGTCCCGGAGCGGCTGAAATAGGTCCCAGATCCGATCAAAAGAGGTCCCGGATGGCGCTCCGACATGCTCCGGCACAAATTAAGCACTGCTTACAATGATCCCCTCACGTGTGTAACCCAGGTAACCCGCAACGGCGGGAGACGCTGGACATAAAGAGGGCACGTAAAGCGGCGTCATGTCGCAAAATCGAAAGAGAAATGCAAGCCTACATGTCAACGCATCCTTTTCTTTGTAAGAAAATATTGTTTTCTTTCCCGTTCGACACCAAATACACTTACTGAATGTGCAATTAATGTTGTTGTTACTATGAATCATCTGATGGCACAAGCCCTATGGATTAAATACAACCTATCGCCCGAAACGATAAGAATAAAAATGGCACGATAGACATTTTCTATCGTGCCAACGATATATATCGTCCAATCGCCCAGCACTAGTCCGGATCATCAGGCCCTCAGACTACACTGCATTAAAAACAGACTGGACTCTGGAGTGGAATTCACTGCATGGGCTCAAAATCACTTCAAAACCCATTGACTGTGAACACAGTTCTTTACTGTATCCACAAATGAAGTTCAAACTGAACCATGCAAAGAGGAACCCAGATAGAAGGGGATACAGGAACACCAGAGACTTCTCTTGACCTGAGCTTATTTAAGGTGGACCGAGAGGAAGAGGAAAACTGTCAAGATCTGATATTCTTTTTGGATATCATGGAGTATTTGTTCAAAAGAGTAGAAGGACTACCTGACTTGCTCTCAGCTCACAGTTCACAGTCCCTGTGTTCCCCGGGATCCCTGGGACTCTCTTTGACTTTCTATGAAGACTGTTGTTGTCAGACTCTCCTTCTTGCAAGAATTAATTTACAAAGAAAGACAAGTACTTGGCTTTGAGTGACTTTTTTTCCTGAGATGGACATTAAATACATCTTTAATTTGCTATCTGCCTCTGTGTCTGCTTCTGGAACCACAAGATACACCACACGCCACACTTTACTCACACACTTATACACTGGACTCCGGTTACTGTTTACAATTTTGTGATGTATATAGTGTACATACTTGTAAATTATCTCTTTATTTTTTACTTATTTTATCTATTTATCTCTTTATTTTTGCTTATTTGTATCAATAATTTATCTCCTCATTCTACTTTATTTGCACTGGAGTTACTGTGACACAAAGCAATTTTCCGCTGGGGATTGTTAAATTATTTCTGATTCTGATGCACTGATCTCTCCTATTGTGGTGTTGTTGTTAATATATAACTGCTGTCTGTTTGTATTTGTCATGGTCTGGACCTGTGTTTATTCTTGAAAAGAAAAGAAAAAAAACCGTTGAGGGCCGTACAGTCTGCCGACTGAAAGGAGACAAGGAGGAGGGCGGAACATTTGGTTGCCGCAGCTCCACTTACGGAACTTTATTGGTGTGACACACGGCGGAAGTAAAAGAACAATTTGGCTCTTTGAAAGAAGCTGAGATATCTGAGGACAATCCAGTTTTCACAGCGCAACCTTCTTTACAATCTGTAACGAACCAACGATGTCTGTCGCCGAATCTCTCCGAGAGTTTGTGACCGAGCGGCTCGCTGCTGCTACTGAAGACATTTTGGGAGTTTTGAACAGAACTGTGGTCCAGTACGAGGAAGAGCTGGACCGTCAACGCAGACTGCTGGATTTGGTTTGGAAACCTCACATTCTCTTACACAGAATCGGTAAGAAGAGCCAAGTTTAGACTGAATAATGAAGCAGAAGCTCGGTTTAGATCAGAGCTGCCTCTCCTCTCGGTTTCCATGTATAAATACTGTGAATAAAGACGGAGGAACAACCCTGTATGAGTTCAACAATAACTGTGCTGTGTTAATGTGGTGCTATTGTGTCAGTGGTTCTTAATCTGCCGTTAACGATCAGAGGAAGATCAAGGAGTCCGGGGGACGCTCTCGGACGTTGACCCCGTCCTCTTTTGTTCCCGCGAGCTGTTGTAATGACCCGGTACCAAAACTCATCATGTGGGCAGAAAACAGGGGAAAGAAGGGGAAACCTAAGAATGACAGACATGTGTGTTGTTGGAAAAAAGGTGGTTTACTGTCATCTTACGGGTTAGTTTTACGTCCAACTTATTTGACTCCAACAGGAAGGCCTTAAGTGACTCCTGTACACAAAGCTGAGCCCTTTGAGTTCATCACATACCCCCCTGGGTGTCTTGTTTGTATAGATATAAACCAGTTTGGCCTCTGTGAGCTCTATTAATGGATACTATGTTAACTAATTGCCATTTTGATTCTCCTGAAGTACAAAATGTTTAAAAAGTACCTGCTGGATGTGCTTCCAAGATGACGACAAAGTAACTTTTAAATGCTTTTGTAGTTAAGTAATGTGGACAGAATGCCTTCTGACTTTAGTTTTGTGATCTCAGACAACAGTAGATGCCCAGTGCACAGCACCAACAGTCCTTTTCACTTAGTGCAGAGGAAGACAGGATAAACAGCTTCACCTCACATATGTGGACTGCTGTATTCTCATAAAGTAATATTAGTCTTTAATACATTTTATAATCTTGATTTTACTCGTTCTCTTTAAGTTACAACTTATCTTACTACTCTTTTCTCCATTGTATTAAAACTTATTTTACATTGTGTTGCTAATTTTATGTCGTTTATCTTGCTAGAGTCTGTCAGTATTGTACCTCAATTCTTCAACATTTTAACTGAATTGTGTTTAATGTTACTTCTCAGTCCTGAAAATATTACATCCTTCTCGTGATTCCAATTCTCTGTTTTCTGTCCCATCTCATTGACATATTTATGCTTCTGTGTTCCTGCAGATATTCCACAACAACATGACTGTGAGGAGGACGAGGTTGTCTCAGACCTGCAGCCCTGGAACCAGGAGAGGAACTCCAATCCAGAACAAGAGGACCCAGAGCCTCTACAGATTAAAGAGGAAGAGGAGGAATTCTGCACCGGTCAGGACAGAGAGCAGCTTGAACCAAAGCAGGAGACTGAACACTTGATGTTAACTCTAACCTGTCATGAACCAGAAGTAAAGAAGGAAGACCAGTTCCTGTCTCACAACTCTCATGAGGCTGCAAACCAAGATCCACAGAAGGACAAGCTCACAGAGTCAGAATCAACTTCAAAATCAGAACAACAACCCCCCAAAAAAGTTCACAAACTAAGAAGTAAGAAGACAAAACAGCCTAAGGTTCACTCTGATCCTCAACAAGGTGAAAAGACTTTTAAATGTGACACAAATAGGGAAACATTTACGAGCAATTCAAATTTACAGACACATCGAAGTGTTCCCACTGGTAAGAAGAAGCATACTTGTGAGAGGTGTGGGGAGATATTCAGATACAAGTATTTGACATATTTATGCTTCTGTGTTCCTGCAGATCTTAGACAACAACATGACTGTGAGGAGGACGAGGTTGTCTCAGACCTGCAGCCCTGGAACCAGGAGAGGAACTCCAGCCCGGAACAAGAGGACCCAGAGCCTCTACAGATTAAAGAGGAAGAGGAGGAATTCTGCACCGGTCAGGACAGAGAGCAGCTTGAACCAAAGCAGGAGACTGAACCCTTGATGTTAACTCTAACCTGCCATGAACCAGAAGTAAAGAGGGAAGACCAGTTCATGTCTCACAACTCTCATGAGGCTGCAAACCAAGACCCACAGGAAGACAAGCTCACAGAATCAGAATCAACTTCAAAATCAGAACAACACCCCCCCAAAAAAGTTCACAAAAGAAGAAGTAAGAAGACAAAACAGCCTAAGGTTCACTCTGATCCTCAACAAGGTGAAAAGACCTTTAAATGTGACACAAATAGGGAAACTTTAACCAGCAATTCAAATTCACAGACACATGTAAGTGTTTTCACTGGTAAGAAGAAGCATACTTGTGAGATGTGTGGGGAGATATTCAGATACAAGTATTTGCTAAAAAAACATGCAAGATCGCCCACAGGTGAGAGACCGTACTTCTGTTGCACTTGTGGGAAAAGCTTCAGAGCAAATTCCTATTTTAAAAAGCACATGCTAATTCACTCTGGAAAAAAGCTGAACACCTGCAAAACATGCAGCAAATCTTTTGTCACTACAGGTAACCTGAGAACGCACATGAGAACACACACAGGTGAGAGACCATACTCCTGCAGCACTTGTGGAAAAAGCTTCAGTGTGAATTCAAATTTAAAAGAGCACATGCGAATTCACTCAGAAGAAAAGCTGTTCACCTGTGAAACATGTGGCAAATCTTTTGTCAGTACAGGTAGACTGAGAAGGCACATGAGAACACACACAGGTGAGAGACCATACTCCTGCAGCACTTGTGGAAAAAGCTTCAGTCAGAATTCAAGTTTAAAAGAGCACATGCTTATTCACTCAGGAGAAAAGTTGTTCACCTGTGAAACATGCAGCAAATCTTTTGTCAGTACAACTAGACTGAAAATACACATGAGAACACACACAGGTGAGAGACCGTACTCCTGTGGCACCTGTGGGAAAAGCTTCATTGTGAGTACACATTTAAGAACGCACATGCTTGTTCACTCAAGAGAAAAGCTGTTCACCTGTGAAACATGCAGCAAATCTTTTAACAGGAAGGACCGACTAAAACGGCACATGAGAACACACAGGTGAGAGACCGTACTCCTGCCGCACTTGTAGGAAAAAGTTCAGTGTGCGTTCACATTTAAAAACGCACATGCTTATTCACACAAGAGAAAAGCTGTTCACCTGCAAAACATGCAGCAAATCTTTTAACAGGAAGTATCAACTAAAACCACATGAGAACACACACAGGTGAGAGACCGTACTCCTGTGGGAAAAGCTTCACTTTGAATTCTAGTTTAAAATACCACATGGTTGTTCACTCAGGAGAGAAGCTGTTCACCTGTGAAACATGCTGCAAATCTTTTTACAGTAAAACTAGACTGAAAATACACATGAGAATACACACAGGTGAGAGACCATACTCCTGTGGGAAAAGCTTCGCTCAGACTTCAGGTTTAAAATACCACATGCAAATTCACTCAAGAGATCAGTATTTCAACTGCAAAACATGCAGCAAATCTTTTAAAAAGCAGGTTCAACTAAAACTGCACATGAAAACACACACAGGTGAGAGACCGTACACCTGTGGCACTTGTGGGGAAAAGTTTTCTCAAAAAACACACTTAGATCATCACACCCAAACCCATATAGGTGAAAAGCCTGTGGTGCTTAAAGGAAACCATTAGGCAGGAAGACCTCTTTAGATGATCACAGAAGAACCCACACAGGTCAAATGTGGCAGGTCTGTCAGATGCCAAAGTCATAGTAATGCATTTGTATCCTGGTTTCATAGAAGTGAAACAAATGAGGACAGAGCTTAAAACCAAAATTGGATGGTCCGGATCATCAGGCCCTCAGACTACACTGCATTAAAAACAGACTGGACTCTGGAGTGGAATTCACTGCATGGACTCAAAATCACTTCAAAACCCAATGAGTGTGAACACAGTTCTTCACTGTATCCACAAATGAAGTTCAAACTGAACCATGCAAAGAGGAACCCAGATAGAAGGGGATCCAGGAACACCAGAGACTTCTCTTGACCTGAGCTTATTTAAGGTGGACCAAGAGGAAGAGGAAAACTGTCAAGATCTGATATTCTTTTTGGATATCATGGAGTATTTGTTCAAAAGAGTAGAAGGACTACCTGACTTGCTCTCAGCTCACAGTTCACAGTCCCTGTGTTCCCCGGGATCCCTGGGACTCTCTTTGACTTTCTATGAAGACTGTTGTTGTCAGACTCTCCTTCTTGCAAGAATTAATTTACAATGAAAGACAAGTACTTGGCTTTGAGTGCCTTTTTTTCCTGAGTTGGACATTAAATACATCTTTAATTTGCTATCTGCCTCTGTGTCTGCTTCTGGAACTACAAGATACACCACACGCCACACTTTACTCACACACTTATACACTGGACTCCGGTTACTGTTTACAATTTTGTGATGTGTATATAGTGTACATACTTGTATATTATCTCTTTATTTTTTACTTATTTTATCTATTTATCTCTTTATTTTTACTTATTTATATCTATAATTTATCTCCTCATTCTACTTTATTTGCACTGGAGTTACTGTGACACAAAGCAATTTTCCCCTGGGGATTGTTAAATTATTTCTGATTCTGATGCACTGATCTCTCCTATTGTGGTGTTGTTGTTAATATATAACTGCTGTCTGTTTGTATTTGTCATGGTCTGGACCTGTGTTTATTCTTGTAATACAAAATCATTAAAATTTTGAATTAAATAATTAGGAAAGGAGAAAAGAAAAAAAACCGTGGAGGGCCGTACAGTCCATAGACATAATAAAAGGGTAGACCCCGCTGGGGGTGCTGCGCAGCGAGAAATGCGGCCGCCATCTTGGTCAGGTCAAGCTTCCCATACGCTCCGGTCAATCATATTCATTCATTCATTCATTCATTCATTCAGCGATGCCGGAGCACTGTGCGGCGTATTCCTGTGCCAACAGGCGGACAGCAGAGAACAGGGCTCAAGGAATAACTTTTCACAGTTATGATTACACGTTTTTTCAACATTACACTTGACTGTAGAGTCATTTGTAGGCCAAAGAGGAAGACTATCGGTCAACTCCAAAAAGGAAACAGCATTTGCGAACAGCTAGCTTATTCACAATAATAGCAACTTTGCTCGATTATCAACAGATTTGCATTAGATTGAAAAACTTTTGTTTGAGAGAGGTTCTAAGAAACGTTAAGAAATAAAATAGAAAGAAGAAGGAAGAAAGTGAGCTCTGTTTTATTATCTGTTTTATTAAAGATTTCTTTGTGGTGATCTCCTGTTTCATTTTGAAGATTTCCTAAGGACAAAAACTTGAGGAAGAAGTGGGAGATTGCTGTTAGAGGGAGAAATTCGCAGCAAGTGATTCCTCTGTGCTGTGTAGCCAACAAGCAAATTGATATGTAGTTTAGATGCTGTCCTGTCATGCTGTTCTTGTGTTTAAATTTTTTTGATATGTAGGCTTAATATTTGTGTGTATTTCTTTGTGTGTATTTTCCAGTTATTAAAATAGTGCTTCTATATGAGATTATTTGTGTGTGTCTACAAATGGATAAATAACATTAAACTAAATAAAATATAATCAAATCAATATATATTGAATTGGCCTATTAAAACCGCCAGTTATTAATAATTATTGAGACATAGCAGGAACCTAGCTCTAAACCTAGATATATCCTTGATTAATTGTTATTCTATAATACAGCCACTGCTGCCATGTTCTAAAATATCATTTTATTCATTCTGAGTATTTGAAAACGCCAAAAAAAATATGGCCTCTATCATGCCTCTTTGAATGGCGTTTGCAGAGAAGAAAATTACGTAGTATTGAGCGAACTATGATTCATTTAATGCGCTCAGACTTCATTCCGCCGGTTAAACAGCGGTGCAGAGTGAGGCGGATGACCGGACCAAGATGGCGGCCGCATTTCTCGACAGCGCCCATTCGTGGTAGCGGCCGATGCGGGGTCTATCTTTTATTATGTCTATGGTACAGTCTGCCAACTGAAAGGAGACAAGGAGGAGGGCGGAACATTTGGTTGGCCGCAGCTCCGCTTACGGAACTTAATTGGTGTGACACACGGCGGAAGTAAACGAACAGTTTGGCTGTTTTAAAGAAGCTGAGATATCTGATGATAATCCAGTTTTCACAGCGCAACCTTCTTTACAATCTGTAACGAACCAACGATGTCTGTAGCTGAATCTCTCCGAGAGTTTGTGACCGAGCGGCTCGCTGCTGCTACTGAAGACATTTTGGGAGTTTTGAACAGAACTGTGGTCCAGTACGAGGAAGAGCTGGACCGTCAACGCAGACTGCTGGATTTGGTTTGGAAACCTCACATTCTCTTACACAGAATCGGTAAGAAGAGCCAAGTTTAGACTGAATAATGAAGCAGAAGCTCGGTTTAGATCAGGGCTGCCTCTCCTCTCGGTTTCCATGTATAAATACTGTGAATAAAGGCGGAGGAACAACCCTGTATGAGTTCAACAATAACTGTGCTGTGTTAATGTGGTGCTATTGTGTCAGTGGTTCTTAATCTGCCGTTAACGATCAGAGGAAGATCAAGGAGTCCGGGGGACGCTCTCGGACGTTGACCCCGTCCTCTTTTGTTCCCTCGAGCTGTTATAATGACCCGGTACCAAAACTCATCATGTGGACAGAAAACAGGGGAAAGAAGGGGAAACCTAAGAATGACAGACATGTGTGTTGTTGGAAAAAGGTGGTTTACTGTCACCTTACGGGTTAGTTTTACGTCCAACTTATTTGACTCCTACAGGAAGGCCTTAACACTAGAAGGACCGCAGAGCAGCCATTTGGCTTTACCCCCCTCAAGGTCCACGGGGCAGCCGATCGGCTGGAAGGATTTTAGTTAACATCCTAAATCACCCGCGAACACTCATTTTGTTATGCAAACGAGGCGATCGTTGGCGCACCACAGGAGGGGACTGGACTAAGTGGTGTATGCAGTGGGAAGGGACAACAGAAAGGAAGGGATCAACACACATGGGTTGTTTACTTTGTTGCTGAAATGTATGGATTTAAAATAAACGAAATTTAAAAAACTGTATAGAATAAGAACAAGAATCACAATCACAAGGGGTTTTATTGCTATTGTCAATGAACAGGTTTCACAGACTAGGAATTTTTTTAAAGGGTTGGTGCATTATTAAACGGAGAATAATATGTAAAATACAAGAATAAAAAATAATAAGAGCATGCAGGACATATATAAAGTATAAAAGTATGAAAGGCTATGTACAATGCTAGGATTTTTTACGGCGTGAAGGTGCACCATTAAACAGAGAATAATATGTAAAATACAAGAATATAAAATAACAAGAGCATGCAGGACATATATAAAGTATAAAAAGGTTGGTGATGGACTTCAGGTGGATATGCATCATCAGGATACAATGTTAGAGTGTCACTCACAATCCTGGCACTGCCATGGTATCTCCCTTCTGCATTTCCCACATGTGTATCTGTAGCAGTCAACACATCGCACAGTGGCATGATTGTTCTTACAGTGATTTTTAACCTGGCACATGGCTCTTTTTCCAGGGCTAGGTGTGGAAGGTTGTTGCCGAAACAATTCTTCCTTTCGGGCCTTCCTCGCAGTTACATGAGAGTTAGCCAACTCTCTTGCAAGCTCCACCAGGAAGTCCACCCGTCTCTCCTTCCTCCCGGTGCATGCTTGATACAGCACATGTGCATTCAATGCTGCCATATCAATCATGTTATAGAACACAGCGACTGGCCAGCGCCGTGTTCCTGTGCGGACAGTGTACTCCCGCACCATCTGGTCCATCACATCCACGCCGCACTTTGTTGCATTGTAAAGGGTGATGGTGTTTGGCTTCCTTTTGGTGGTACTCTCAGTCTGAACCACGCTGTGCATGCTGCTGAGAACGTACACTGTCTTCTTCCGTTTGGGCGCATACACTGTCAGCGTGGCTCCAGTGGTTGAAAACACCTGAGTGGTGAATTCATTGCGGTCCATCTGTCTGGATGACTGTGGAATTTCCTGGCGAATCTTGTTGACTGTGCCTAGGATGGTGGTTTTCCGCCTAAGCAGTCGTTGCGCAAGTGACAGTGATGTAAAGAAATTGTCCGTGGTAACATTTCTGCCCTTGTCCAGGAATGGTTCCATCAGCCTCATGATTACATTCTCAGACAGTCTCTCCCCACTGGGACGACTGGGGTCCTTGCCAAGATATGGGAGGACATTGCAGATGTACTTGGATTTCAAGTCACAAGCCACCCAAAACTTGATCCCAAACTTGTCAGGTTTCGTTGCAATGTACTGCAGGAAACAGCAGCGAGTCTTTGAGGGGAAAAGCTGTTCGTCAATGGTGATGTGTCGACCAGGGTTGTAGCATGTGATGCAGTTGGTGACAAATGACGACATGGTCATTCTCACATTCACACTCTCAACAACCAGGTTTTACATCATTTATCTGGCTGAAGGTTTATGTCTTCTCCATCCGAGTCACAAAGGTTTACTCCATCCAGGACCATTTCCAGTGTTGAGTCTCCTCTGAATCTTCGTTCCTCGAAGAGGAGGTTTGTACATCACGGAATTCTTGAGGGTGCCGAAGTAGTAGGCTGTGTGCAGTGAGATATTTATCCACCACAGCAAAGAAGGAATTACCTCTCCTGTGAGTGCAATAGGCTACAGGAAAATGTGATAAATTGTCAATCAAACAGTGATTCTGTGAATGGGAGTGGTTGCGGTCACCTGATTGTTATGGTCATTCTCTCATTCACACTCTCAACAGCTTCACCAGAGTATAAAAAATGTAGTGTCATATGCAAACAGTATGCAATTTAACAATTTAGATACATTTACAATGTCCTTTTTATAAAGTACAAACAGTTTTTGTCCGTGGACCGACCTCTGGGGCACACAACAGGTTATATTTAGTAACCCAGATTTTACATCATTTATTTGTACTAACTGTCTGTGCAGTGGCTATGGCTGAAGCAGTTTCTGTCTACAGTTGTTTCCAGGTTGGAAACTCCCCTCCCCCTCCCCACTCACTCTCCCCACAACACAAGTTTCCTTGAAATAACTTAGCATATCCCCTCCTGTGGTGCACCAGCGATAGCCTCGTTTGCATAACAAACTGTGGTGATTTAGTACTAGCTAAAAGCCCTCCAGCCATTTGGCTGCCCTCTGGCCTTTATAGGTAGAACAGCAAAAAGCTGGTCCTTCTAGTGTTAAGTGACTCCTGTACACAAAGCTGAGCCCTTTGAGTTCATCACATACCCCCTTGGGTGTCTTCTGTTTGTATAGATGTAAACCAGTTTGGCCTCTGTGAGCTCTATTAATGGATACTATGTTAACTAATAGCCATTGTGATTCTCCTGCAGTACAAAATGTTTAAAAGTGCCTGATGGGTGTGCTTCCAACATGACGACAAAGTACCTTTTGATTGATTCTGACTTTAGTTTTGTGATCTCAGACAAAAGTAGTTGCCCAGTGCACAGCACCATCAGTCCTTTTCACTTAGTGCAGAGGAAGACAGGATAAAATGAGTCCTCACAAATGAGGACTGAACAGTTCTTTCTCTCACGTTGACTTGGTCTCATATTTTGTGACTTCATTTGTGTAATATAACTGCTATATTCTCATAAAGTAATATTAGTCTTTAATGCATTTTATAATCTTGATTTTACTCGTTCTCTTTAAGTTACAGATTATTTTCCTACTCTTTTCTTCATAGTATTAAAACTTATTTTACACTGTGTTGCTAATTTTATGTCGTTTATCATGCTAGAGTCTGTCAGTATTGCACCTCAATTCTTCAACATTTTAACTGAATTGTGTTTAATATTACAACTCTATCCTTAAAATATTACATCCTTCTCGTGATTCCAATTCTCTGTTTTCTGTTCCATCTCATTGACGTATTTATGCTTCTGTGTTCCTGCAGATCTTCCGCAACATCATGACTGTGAGGAGGACGAGGTTGTCTCAGACCTGCAGCCCTGGAACCAGGAGAGGAACTCCAGTCCAGAACAAGAGGACCCAGAGCCTCTACAGATCAAAGAGGAAGAGGAGGAATTCTGCACCGGTCAGGACAGAGAGCAGCTGGAACCAAAGCAGGAGACTGAACACTTGATGTTAACTCTAACCTGTCATGAACCAGAAGTAAAGAGGGAAGACCAGTTCCTGTCTCACAACTCTCATGAGGCTGCAAACCAAGATCCACAGGAAGACAAGCTCACAGAGTCAGAATCAACTTCAAAATCAGAACAACATCCCCCCAAAAAAGTTCACAAAAGAAGAAGTAAGAAGACAAAACAGCCTAAGGTTCACTCTGATCCTCAACAAGGTGAAAAGACCTTTAAATGTGACACAAATAGGGAAACGTTTACCAGCAATTCAAATTCACAGACACATGTAAGTGTTTTCACTGGTAAGAAGAAGCATACTTGTGAGAGGTGTGGGGAGATATTCAGATACAAGTATTTGCTAAAAAAACATGCAAGATCGCACACAGGTGAGAAACCGTACTTCTGTTGCACTTGTGGGAAAAGCTTCAGAGCAAATTCCTATTTTAAAAAGCACATGCTAATTCACTCTGGAAAAAAGCTGAACACCTGCAAAACATGCAGCAAATCTTTTGTCACTACAGGTAACCTGAGAACGCACATGAGAACACACACAGGTGAGAGACCATACTCCTGCAGCACTTGTGGAAAAAGCTTCAGTGTGAATTCAAGTTTAAAAGAGCACATGCGAATTCACTCAGAAGAAAAGCTGTTCACCTGTGAAACATGTGGCAAATCTTTTGTCCATACAGGTAGCCTGAAAATGCACATGAGAATACACACAGGTGAGAAACCATACTCCTGCAGCACTTGTGGGAAAAGCTTCAGAACAAATTACTATTTAAAAAAGCACATGCCAATTCACTCTGGAGAAAAGCTGAACACCTGTGAAACATGTGGCAAATCTTTTGTCCTTACAGGTAACCTGAAAATGCACATGAGAACACACACAGGTGAGAGACCATACTCCTGCAGCACTTGTGGAAAAAGCTTCAGTGTGAATTCAAGTTTAAAAGGGCACATGCTTATTCACTCAGGAGAAAAGCTGAACACCTGTGAAACATGCAGCAAATCTTTTGTCAGTGCAGGTAAACTGAGAAGGCACATGAGAACACACACAGGTGAGAGACCGTACTCCTGCAGCACTTGTGGAAAAAGCTTCAGTCAGAATTCAGGTTTAAAAGAGCACATGCTTATTCACTCAGAAGAAAAGCTGTTCACCTGTGAAACATGCAGCAAATCTTTTGTCAGTACAGCTAGACTGAAAATACACATGAGAATACACACAGGTCAGAGACCATACTCCTGTGGCACCTGTGGGAAAAGCTTCATTGTGAGTTCACATTTAAGAACGCACATGCTTGTTCACTTAAGAGAAAAGCTGCTCACCTGCAAAACATGCAGCAAATCTTTTAACAGGAAGGATCGACTAAAACTGCACATGAGAACACACAGGCGAGAGACTGTACTCCTGCCGCACTTGTAGGAAAAGGTTCAGTGTGCGTTCACATTTAAAAACGCACATGCAAATTAATTCAGGAGAAAAGTTCACCTGTGAAACATGCAGCAAATCTTTTTACAGGAAGGATCATTTAAAACTGCACATGAGAACACACACAGGTGAGAGACCATACTCCTGTAGTACCTGTGGGGAAAGCTTTGATAAGTCTTCAGTTTTAAAAATGCACATGCTTTTCCACTCAGGACAAAAGTTGTTCACCTGTGAAACATGCGGCAAATCTTTTGTCACTACAACAAGACTGAAAATACACATGAGAATACATACAGGTGAGAGACCATACTCCTGTGGCACCTGTGGGAAAAGCTTCACTCAGACTTCAGGTTTAAAATACCACATGCAAATTCACTCAAGAGATAAGTATTTCACCTGCAAAACCATAGACTGTATATAAGATGGACACTGTGGTTCCGCCTTCCACCTGTATACGGATTTGAAGCCTCTCGGTATTTCCGGGTTTTTCTCCACTTCCTTGAAACCAGAGCTGTGCAGTAGCGTTGTGCGCATAAGGCCGTGCAGTCGCTGAGAGTCCCTGTGATGACGCTCGGCTCAGACAGCGCATTCCCCTGGGAGAGCTACACAATCCCTGAACGCCCATAGGCTGTACCAGGTGTCAATCATATAAAACTTGAACCCCCTAATAACTTTTAAAAACGGAGCTGTACAGAAAAAAAAGGACTTGGGCACAAACCAGTCTTACAATAACTTTATGTCAACATCACAACCAGGGGGGAGAAAAAATTATGTTCTGTGTAATAAATTTCTAAAGTTTGTCGACAGTCCCATAAGCTTTGCTGGCGGAGGTGGGATTTGTGACCTGTACTGCAGCCCACCATCAGAGGGTGCTGTTCTCGGAGTGGCTTCACCCAGCGAGGAGGCAGACTCTGTCCATCTTATATACAGTCTATGTGCAAAACATGCAGCAAATCTTTTAACAAGCAGGATCAACTAAAACTGCACATGAAAACACACACAGGTGAGAGACTGTACACCTGTGGCACTTGTGGGGAAAAGTTTTCTCAAAAAAAACTCTTAGATCATTACACCCAAACCCATATAGGTAAAAAGCCTGTGGTGCTTAAAGGAAACCATTAGGCAGGAAGACCTCTTTAGATGGTCACAGAAGAACCCACACAGGTAAAATGTGGCAGGTCTGTCAGATGCCAAAGTCATAGTAATGCATTTGTATCCTGGTTTCATAGAAGTGAAACAAAAGAGGACAGAGCTTAAAACCAAAATTGGATGGTCCGGATCATCAGGCCCTCAGACTACACTGCAGTAAAACAGACTGGACTCTGGAGTGGAATTCACTGCATGGACTCAAAATCACTTCAAAAACCAATGACTGTGAACAAAGTTCTTCACTGTATCCACAGATGAGGTTCAAACTAAACCATGCAAAGAGGAACCCAGATAGAAGGGGATCCAGGAACACCAGAGACTTCTCTTGACCTGAGCTTATTTAAGGTGGACCAAGAGGAAGAGGAAACTGTCAAGATCTGATATTCTTTTTGATATCATGGAGTATTTGTTCAAAAGAGTAGAAGGACTACCTGACTTGCTCACAGTTCACAGTCCCTGTGTTCCTCGGGATCCCTGGGACTCTCTTTGACTTTCTATGAAGACTGTTGTTGTCAGACTCTCCTTCTTGCAAGAATTAATTTACAAAGAAAGACAAGTACTTGGCTTTGAGTGACTTTTTTTTTTTTTTTTTGAAGAAACAGAAAATTTCCAAAACAATCCAATAAACACTTCTTTTAAACAAGAATGACTTATGACAATGACTGAGACACAAGCAATGTTACATGAGAAGTCTGCTTTGTCATAAACTAAGGTCACATTAGGAAGACGGCAAAAAGGCAGGAAAGATGCTTGCTTTACAATTAAAAAACTTGAACAACAACACTCAAATGTTTCTTGAAGGCATAATAATGGTATGATAACTAGAGATCAGGGAGCTATTAATGACACTTTTAGAAGTTATTTTTCATGTTTGTATTAATCGGAATTCAAGGCCAAACATCAAGATTTAAATAATTTCTTCAATAATTCAATTTTGCCAAAGTTGAGGAAAGAAAATGAAGGAAACTGGGGGCAGCCATTCCAAAAGAAGACATTCAAAACACAATAAAGTCTCAATCAAACAGATGAGCACCTGGTTTTTGTGGTTACACTTAAGTGTTTTAGAAGTGTTTTTCAAAAGAAATAATGCCTATGCTTGTTCACTTTAAAAAGGCCAGTGATGTTGTGGGGTTGGAGCTGGACTCCCTGCTGGCCGTGTCAGAGAGGAGGATGCTGTCCAAGCTCCACTTCACACTGGACAATGTCTCCCACCCTCTCCTCAGTGAATTTATCCTACAGAGGAGCACCTCCAGCAGAATTTCCTCGCTGCACGATGCACCACGGAGCGCCACAGTAAATCTTTCCTGCCAGTGGTCGTCAGACTTTTTAACCCCTCCCTCAGTGACTCTGACACCCTCAGTCAGTAGTCTTTATGGACCATCATCTCCTCGACGACTTCTACTTCAGTGCACTTTCCTTTCCTCTGGTCGCTGAGGCTGATTGAGACTCCACACCTGCACTGCATCAATCAATCAATCAGTGCCCTTTAAGAAGCCAGCAGCCCTCAGTCTCAGCGCCTGAGTATTGTCTTCACTCCTGAGTGGTACAGATGCTTCTCCTGGCCTTCTCCGCGGATAATTACTCGTGACTTTTTGCTCCCTGTGATCCCTTGTGTGTCTTCTCACCTCCGTCTCCTCTGTTTCTCCACAGTGTCTCCAGCCCACACAACAGCCAGCCTGCAAACCAGACTTTCTCTCGTGCCTTTTTTCCTGAGTTGGACATTAAATACATCTTTAATTTGCTATCTGCCTCTGTGTCTGCTTCTGGAACCACAAGATACACCACACTTCACACTTTACTCACACACTTATACACTGGACTCTGGTTACTGTTTACAATTTTGTGATGTGTATATAGTGTACATACTTGTATATTATCTTTATTTTTTTACTTATTTTATCTATTTATCTCTTTATTTTTACTTATTTGTATCAATAATTGATCTCCTCATTCTACTTTATTTGCACTGGAGTTACTGTGACACAAAGCAATTTTCCCCTGGGGATTGTTAAATTATTTCTGATTCTGATGCACTGATCTCTCCTATTGTGGTGTTGTTGTTAATATATAACTGCTGTCTGTTTGTATTTGTCATGGTCTGGACCTGTGTTTATTCTTGTAATACAAAATCATTAAAATTTTGAATTAAATAATTAGGAAAGGAGAGAAGAAAAAAAACCGTGGAGGGCCGTACAGTCTGCCAACTGAAAGGAGACAAGGAGGAGGGCGGAACATTTGGTTGGCCGCAGCTCCGCTTACGGAACTTAATTGGTGTGACACACGGCGGAAGTAAACGAACAGTTTGGTTCTTTTAAAGAAACTGAGATATCTGATGATAATCCAGTTTTCACATCGCAACCTTCTTTAAAATCTGTAACGAACCAACGATGTCTGTTGCTGAATCTCTCCGAGGGTTTGTGACCGAGCGGCTCGCTGCTGCTACTGAAGACATTTTGGGAGTTTTGAACAGAACTGTGGTCCAGTACGAGGAAGAGCTGGACCGTCAACGCAGACTGCTGGATTTGGTTTGGAAACCTCACATTCTCTTACACAGAATCGGTAAGAAGAGCCAAGTTTAGACTGAATAATGAAGCAGAAGCTCGGTTTAGATCAGGGCTGCCTCTCCTCTCGGTTTCCATGTATAAATACTGTGAATAAAGGCGGAGGAACAACCCTGTATGAGTTCAACAATAACTGTGCTGTGTTAATGTGGTGCTATTGTGTCAGTGGTTCTTAATCTGCCGTTAACGATCAGAGGAAGATCAAGGAGTCCGGGGGACGCTCTCGGACGTTGACCCCGTCCTCTTTTGTTCCCGCGAGCTGTTATAATGACCCGGTACCAAAACTCATCATGTGGACAGAAAACAGGGGAAAGAAGGGGAAACCTAAGAATAACAGACATGTGTGTTGTTGGAAAAAAGGTGGTTTACTGTCGTCTTACGGGTTAGTTTTACGTCCAACTTATTTGACTCCTACAGGAAGGCCTTAAGTGACTCCTGTACACAAAGCTGAGCCCTTTGAGTTCATCACATACCCCCCTGGGTGTCTTCTGTTTGTATAGATATAAACCAGTTTGGCCTCTGTGAGCTCTATTAATGGATACTATGTTAACTAATTGCCATTTTGATTCTCTTGAAGTACAAAATGTTTAAAAAGTGCCTGATGGATGTGCTTCCAAGATGACGACAAAGTACCTTTTGATTGATTCTGACTTTAGTTTTGTGATCTCAGACAAAAGTAGTTGCCCGGTGCACAGCACCATCAGTCCTTTTCACTTAGTGCAGAGGAAGGCAGGATAAACAGCTTCACCTCACAAATGAGGACTGAACAGTTCTTTCTCTCATGTTGACTTGGTCTCATATTTTGTGACTTCATTTGTGTAATATAACTGCTGTATTCTCATAAAGTAATATTAGTCTTTAATGCATTTTATAATCTTGATTTTACTCGTTCTCTTTAAGTTACAACTTATCTTACTGCTCTTTTCTTCAAAGTATTAAAACTTATTTTACATTGTGTTGCTAATTTTATGTCGTTTATCTTGCTAGAGTCTGTCAGTATTGCACCTCAATTCTTCAACATTTTAACTGAATTGTGTTTAATATTACAACTCTATCCTTAAAATATTACATCCTTCTCGTGATTCCAATTCTCTGTTTTCTGTTCCATCTCATTGACGTATTTATGCTTCTGTGTTCCTGCAGATATTCCACAACAACATGACTGTAAGGAGGAGGACGAGGTTGTCTCAGACCTGCAGCCCTGGAACCAGGAGAGGAACTCCAGTCCGGAACAAGAGGACCCAGAGCCTCTACAGATTAAAGAGGAAGAGGAGGAATTCTGCACCGGTCAGGACAGAGAGCAGCTGGAACCAAAGCAGGAGACTGAACACTTGATGTTAACTCTAACCTGCCATGAACCAGAAGTAATGAAGGAAGACCAGTTCCTGTCTCACAACTCTCATGAGGTTGCAAACCAAGATCCACAGAAAGACAAGCTCACAGAGTCAGAATCAACTTCAAAATCAGAACAACACCCCCCCAAAAAAGTTCACAAAAGAAGAAGTAAGAAGACAAAACAGCCTAAGGTTCACTCTGATCCTCAACAAGGTGAAAAGACTTTTAAATGTGACACAAATAGGGAAACATTTACCAGAAATTCAAATTTACAGACACATGTAAGTGTTTTCACTGGTAAGAAGAAGCATACTTGTGAGAGGTGTGGGGAGATATTCAGATACAAGTATTTGCTAAAAAGACATGCAAGATCACACACAGGTGAGAGACCGTACTTCTGTTGCACTTGTGGGAAAAGCTTCAGAACGAACTACTATTTAAAAAAGCACATGCTAATTCACTCTGGAGAAAAGCTGAACACCTGTGAAACATGTGGCAAATCTTTTGTCCTTACAGGTAACCTGAAAATGCACATGAGAAAACACACAGGTGAGAGACCGTACTCCTGCAGCACTTGTGGAAAAAGCTTCAGTGTGAATTCAAGTTTAAAAGAGCACATGCTTATTCACTCAGGAGAAAAGCTGTTCACCTGCAAAACATGCAGCAAATCTTTTGTCAGTACAGGTAAACTGAGAAGGCACATGAGAACACACACAGGTGAGAGACCATACTCCTGCAGCACTTGTGGAAAAAGCTTCAGTCAGAATTCAGGTTTAAAAGAGCACATGCTTATTCACTCAGGAGAAAAGCTGCACACCTGTGAAACATGTGGCAAATCTTTTGTCAGTACAGGTAAACTGAGAAGGCACATGAGAACACACACAGGTGAGAGACCATACTCCTGCAGCACTTGTGGAAAAAGCTTCAGTCAGAATTCAGGTTTAAAAGAGCACATGCTTGTTCACGCAAGAGAAAAGCTGCTCACCTGCAAAACATGCAGCAAATCTTTTAACAGGAAGGATCGACTAAAACTGCACATGAGAATACACAGGTGAGAGACCGTACTCCTGTGGGACGTGTGGGAAAAGCTTCACTCAGACTTCAGGTTTCAAATACCACATGCAAATTCACTCAAGAGATAAGTATTTCACCTGCAAAACATGCAGCAAATCTTTTAACAAGCAGGATCAACTAAAACTGCACATGAAAACACACACAGGTGAGAGACGGTACACCTGTGGCACTTGTGGGGAAAAGTTTTCTCAAAAAACACACTTAGATCATCACACCCAAACCCATATAGGTGAAAAGCCTGTGGTGCTTAAAGGAAACCATTAGGCAGGAAGACCTCTTTAGATGGTCACAGAAGAACCCACACAGGTAAAATGTGGCAGGTCTGTCAGATGCCAAATTCATAGTAATGCATTTGTATCCTGGTTTCATAGAAGTGAAACAAACGAGGACAGAGCTTAAAACCAAAATTGGATGGTCCGGATCATCAGGCCCTCAGACTACACTGCATTAAAAACAGACTGGACTCTGGAGTGGAATTCACTGCATGGGCTCAAAATCACTTCAAAACCCATTGACTGTGAACACAGTTCTTCACTGTATCCACAAATGAAGTTCAAACTGAACCATGCAAAGAGGAACCCAGATAGAAAGAGGATCCAGGAACACCAGAGACTTCTCTTGACCTGAGCTTATTTAAGGTGGACCAAGAGGAAGAGGAAAACTGTCAAGATCTGATATTCTTTTTGGATATCATGGAGTATTTGTTCAAAAGAGTAGAAGGACTACCTGACTTGCTCTCAGCTCACAGTTCACAGTCCCTGTGTTCCCCGGGATCCCTGGGACTCTCTTTGACTTTCTATGAAGACTGTTGTTGTCAGACTCTCCTTCTTGCAAGAATTAATTTACAAAGAAAGATAAGTGCTTGGCTTTGAGTGCCTTTTTTTCCTGAGATGGACATTAAATACATCTTTAATTTGCTATCTGCCTCTGTGTCTGCTTCTGGAACCACAAGATACACCACATGCCACACTTGACTCACAAACTTACACACTGGACTCTGGTTACTGTTTACAATTTTGTGATGTGTATATAGTGTACATACTTGTATATTATCTCTTTATTTTTTTACTTATTTTATCTATTTTTCTCTTTATTTTTGCTTATTTGTATCAATAATTTATCTCCTCATTCTACTTTATTTGCACTGGAGTTACTGTGACACAAAGCAATTTTCCCCTGGGGATTGTTAAAATTATTTCTGATTCTGATGCACTGATCTCTCCTATTGTGGTGTTGTTGTTAATATATAACTGCTGTCTGTTTGTATTTGTCATTGTCTGGACCTGTGTTTATTCTTGTAATACAAAGTTATTAAGACTTTGAATAAGAAAATTAGGAAAGGAGAGAAGAAAAAACAGTGGAGGGCCGTACAGTCTGCCGACTGAAAGGAGACAAGAAGGAGGGCAGAACATTTGGTTGGCCGCAGCTCCGCTTACGGAGCTTTATTGGTGTGACACACGGCGGAAGTAAACGAACAGTTTGGCTCTTATAAAGAAGCTGAGATATCTGAGGACAGTCCAGTTTTCACTGCGCAACCTTCTTTACAATCTGTAACGAAACAACGATGTCTGTTGCTGAATCTCTCCGAGAGTTTGTGACCGAGCGGCTCGCTGCTGCTACTGAAGACATTTTGGGAGTTTTGAACAGAACTGTGGTCCAGTACGAGGAAGAGCTGGACCGTCAACGCAGACTGCTGGATTTGGTTTGGAAACCTCACATTCTCTTACACAGAATCGGTAAGAAGAGCCAAGTTTAGACTGAATAATGAAGCAGAAGCTCGGTTTAGATCAGGGCTGCCTCTCCTCTCGGTTTCCATGTAAACACATTCTCTTTAAGTTACAACTTATCTTACTGCTCTTTTCTTCATAGTATCAAAACTTATTTAACATTGTATTGCAAATTTTATGTCATTTATCTTGCTAGAGTCGATCAGTATTGCACCTCAATTCTTCAACATTTTAACTGAATTGTGTTTAATGTTACTTCTCAGTCCTGAAAATATGACATCCTTCTCGTGATTCCAATTCTCTGTTTTCTGTCTGCTGGGTCTAAAACCTGCAACATTTACCTGATAACATATAAAGAAGAGAAAGACAATGGTATATACTCGAGGAGAATGGACCGAGATAGCTTCAGGTACCATGTCGAAACCACTCTAAAGGTATTTCCGCCCAGTCTCTTTTATTTAGTCTTGTCCCTGGTTACACAATGTTTCTAAAAGGGGTGGTAGATGGTGCAGCAAAGTAAACATTCTCATAAAGCATAATAATGAACACTTGTGAATATGTGAAGGTCAAGGCAGCATCTAATGAGCTCCTTCTGATAACAGCGGCACCTCCTCAAAAACTCCCCACGATTTATAGCGGAGGATCCATCACTCACACTCCCCCACCTGCTGATAGGAAAGACACAGTCACAGAAAACTGAAAGAACATTGTTGTGCTGTGTAGTAAATCTGTTGGAGAGAGAAGTTAGGAAACACTCTTATATAATGTATAAAAAGAGGTCAAAACAGTTTATACTTGTAGTCAACTCTTACATAAGAATATGAGGAATAATGATAACTTCTATATACATTTATGCACATTATTCTAACAAAGACAATGGTATATACTCGAGGAGAATGGACAGAGATAGCATCAGGTACCATCTCGAAACCACTCTGTAAGGTATTTCCGCCCAGTCTCTTTATTTAGGGTTGTCCCTGGTTACACAATGTTGCTAAAGGGTGGGGGAAAATATGTGCAGCAACGTAAGCACTCTCATAAAACATAACAATGTACAACTGTGAATATGTGAAGTTCAAGGCGACATTGTTGCATCTAACGAGCTCCTTCTGATAAGAGCGGATCCTCCTCTAACTTCCCACGATACCAAAACAGTGGAGGATACATCCCACACACCTGCTGATAGGAGAAACGAGGTCACAGAGAAGTTAAGAAACATTCATGTGCTAGGTAATGAAGCTATTGGAGAGAGAAGTTAGAAAACACTCTTATATGTGTAACAAGAGGTCAAAACAGTTTATACTTGTAGTAAACTCTTACATAAGAATATGAGGAATAATGTTAACTTCTATATACATTTATGCATATTATTCTAAAACTGTCCCATCTCATTGACATATTTATGCTTCTGTGTTCCTGCAGATATTCCACAACAACATGACTGTGAGGAGGACGAGGTTGTCTCAGACCTGCATCCCTGGAACCAGGAGAGGAACTCCAGTCCGGAACAAGAGGACCCAGAGCCTCTACAGATTAAAGAGGAAGAGGAGGAATTCTCCACCAGTCAGGACAGAGAGCAGCTGGAACCAAAGCAGGAGACTGAACCCTTGATGTTAACTCTAACCTGCCATGAACCAGAAGTAAAGAAGGAAGACCAGTTCCTGTCTCACAACTCTCATGAGGCTGCAAACCAAGATCCACAGAAAGACAAGCTCACAGAGTCAGAATCAACTTCAAAATCAGAACTACACCCCCCAAAAAAAGTTTACAAACGAAGAAGTCAGAAGACAAAACAGCCTAAGGTTCACTCTGATCCTCAACAAGGTGAAAAGACTTTTAAATCTGACACAAATAGGGAAACTTTAACCAGCAATTCAAATTTACAGACACATCGAAGTGTTCCCACTGGTAAGAAGCATACTTGTGAGAGTTGTGGGAAGATATTCAGATACAAGTATTTGCTGACAAATCACTCAAGATCACACACAGGTGAGAAACCATACTCCTGTGGGAAAAGCTTCAAGTGGAAACCAGATTTTAAAAAGCACATGGAAATACATTCAAGAGAAAAGCTGACCACCTGCAAAACATGTGGCAAATCTTTTACCTATACAAGTCACCTGAAAATACACATGAGAAAACACACAGGTGAGAAACCATACTCCTGTGGCACTTGTGGGAAAAGCTTCATGGTGAATTCAAGTTTAAAAACACACATGCGAATTCATTCAGGAGAAAAGCTGTTCACCTGTGAAACATGTGGCAAATCTTTAACCTGTACAAGTAGCCTGAGAATACACATGAGAAAACACACAGGTGAGAGACCATACTCCTGTGGCACCTGTGGGAAAAGCTACAAGGTGAATTCAAGTTTAAAAACACACATGCGAATTCATTCAGGAGAAAAGCTGTTCACCTGTGAAACATGTGGCAAATCTTTTAATCGTACATTTAGCCTGAAAAAGCACACGAGATCACACACAGGTGAGAGACCATACTCCTGTGGCACCTGTGGGAAAAGCTTCATGGTGAGTTCGAATTTAAAAAGGCACATGCTTATTCACTCAGGAGAAAAGCTGTTCACCTGTGAAACATGCAGCAAATCTTTTAACAGGAAGGATCAATTAAAACTGCACATGAGAACACACACAGGTGAGAAACCGTACACCTGTGGCACCTGTGGGAAAAGCTTTGATAAGTCTTCAGTTTTAAAAACGCACATTCTTATTCACTCAGGAGAAAAGCTGTTCACCTGTGAAACATGTGGCAAATCTTTTAATAGTACAAGTGACCTGAAAACACACATGAGAACACACACAGGTGAGAGACCGTACTCCTGTGGCACTTGTGGGAAAAGTTTTGCCCAGACTTCAAGTTTAAAAACGCACATGCTTTTTCATTCAGAAGAAAAGCTATTTACTTGTGAAACATGCAGCAAATCTTTTGTCAGTGTAACTAGACTGAAAATACACATGAGAAAACACACAGGTGAGAGACCATACTCCTGTGGCACCTGTGGGAAAACCTTCAGTCAGACTGGACATTTAAAAAAGCACATGGTTATTCACTCAGGAGAAAAGCTGTTCACCTGTGAAACATGCAGCAAATCTTTTAACAGGAAGGATCAACTTAAACTGCACATGAGAACACACACAGGTGAGAGACCGTACTCCTGCCGCATTTGTAGGAAAAAGTTCAGTGCGAATTCCAGTTTAAAATTGCACATGCTTATTCACTCAAGAGAAAAGCTGTTCACCTGTGAAACATGCAGCAAATCTTTTGTCAGTACAACTAGACTGAAAATGCACATGAGAATACACACAGGTGAGAGACCATACTCCTGTGGCACCTGTGGGAAAAGCTTCATTCATTGTTCAAGTTTCAAATACCACATGCAAATTCACTCGAGATCAGAATTTCACCTGTGAAACATGCAGCAAATCTTTTAACAAGCAGGATCAACTAAAACTGCACATGAAAACACACACAGGTGAGAGACTGTACACTTGTGGCACTTGTGGGGAAAAGTTTTCTCAAAAAAAACCTCTTAGATCATTACACCCAAACCCATTTAGGTAAAAAGCCTGTGGTGCTTAAAGGAAACCATTAGGCAGGAAGACCTCTTTAGATGGTCACAGAAGAACCCACACAGGTCAAATGTGGCAGGTCTGTCAGATGCCAAATTCATAGTAATGCATTTGTATCCTGGTTTCATAGAAGTGAAACAAATGAGGACAGAGCTTAAAACCAAAATTGGATGGTCCGGATCATCAGGCTCTCAGACTGCACTGCATTAAAAACAGACTGGACTCTGGAGTGGAATTCACTGCATGGACTCAAAATCACTTCAAAACCCATTGACTGTGAACAAAGTTCTTCACTGTATCCACAGATGACGTTCAAACTGAACCATGCAAAGAGGAACCCAGATAGAAAGGGGATACAGGAACACCAGAGACTTCTCTTGACCTGAGCTTATTTAAGGTGGACCAAGAGGAAGAGGAAAACTGTCAAGATCTGATATTCTTTTTTGATATCATGGAGTATTTGTTCAAAAGAGTAGAAGGACTACCTGACTTGCTCTCAGCTCACAGTTCACAGTCCCTGTGTTCCCCGGGATCCCTGGGACTCTCTTTGACTTTCTATGAAGACTGTTGTTGTCAGACTCTCCTTCTTGCAAGAATTAATTTACAAAGAAAGACAAGTGCTTGGCTTTGAGTGCCTTTTTTTCCTGAGATGGACATTAAATACATCTTTAATTTGCTATCTGCCTCTGTGTCTGCTTCTGGAACTACAAGATACACCACACGCCACACTTTACTCACACACTTATACACTGGACTCCGGTTACTGTTTACAATTTTGTGATGTGTATATAGTGTACATACTTGTATATTATCTCTTTATTTTTTACTTATTTTATCTATTTATCTCTTTATTTTTGCTTATTTGTATCAATAATTTATCTCCTCATTCTACTTTATTTGCACTGGAGTTACTGTGACACAAAGCAATTTTCCCCTGGGGATTGTTAAATTATTTCTGATTCTGATGCACTGATCTCTCCTATTGTGGTGTTGTTGTTAATATATAACTCCTGTCTGTTTGTATTTGTCATGGTCTGGACCTGTGTTTATTCTTGTAATACAAAATTATTAAAATTTTGAATTAAAGAATTAGGAAAGGAGAAAAGAAAAAAACCGTGGAGGGCCGTACATTCTGCCGACTGAAAGGAGACAAGGAGGAGGGCGGAACATTTGGTTGCCGCAGCTCCACTTACGGAACTTTACTGGTGTGACACACGGCGGAAGTAAACGAACAGCGTGGCTCTTTTAAAGAAGCTGAGATATCTGAGGATAATCCAGTTTTCACAGCGCAACCTTCTTTACAACCTGTAACGAACCAACGATGTCTGTAGCTGAATCTCTCCGAGAGTTTGTGACCGAGCGGCTCGCTGCTGCTACTGAAGACATTTTGGGAGTTTTGAACAGAACTGTGGTCCAGTACGAGGAAGAGCTGGACCGTCAACGCAGACTGCTGGATTTGGTTTGGAAACCTCACATTCTCTTACACAGAATCGGTAAGAAGAGCCAAGTTTAGACTGAATAATGAAGCAGAAGCTCGGTTTAGATCAGGGCTGCCTCTCCTCTCGGTTTCCATGTATAAATACTGTGAATAAAGACGGAGGAACAACCCTGTATGAGTTCAACAATAACTGTGCTGTGTTAATGTGGTGCTATTGTGTCAGTGGTTCTTAATCTGCCGTTAACGATCAGAGGAAGATCAAGGAGTCCGGGGGACGCTCTCGGACGTTGACCCCGTCCTCTTTTGTTTCCGCGAGCTGTTATAATGACCCGGTACCAAAACTCATCATGTGGACTAAGGCTGCACAATATTGGAAAAAAATAATATTGCGATTTTTTCAACCCTGCGATATATATTGCGATATTAAAAATACAGTATTTTCACCAGATGACCTGAATAGCACTTAATGTTATGCTGCACTGCTGAAATCTTGAGGACAGTTAATCTGCTCTGATCTCACCTCTTTTTGTGAATGTTAGTAGAACGGCTTCTGTCTGTCTCAGAGATATTTTTAGCTTTTATTGTGCTGGGACGTTATTGTGGCAACAGATGAACACAGAAGACGTGTTTTGGTCGACATCATCCTTCTTTTAACCGAAATAATTCCAGATAACTGACTTTCCTTTTCTTTTTGGCAACAAATCTTCATTTTCGGTGGTTTTCGCTTGTTCGTTGTTCATTTTGCGATCGTTGTTGTTGTTGTTAGCGGTGTTGTGCCGAGAAACGCATGTCCTCCGAGAATTGCATGCACCTCGCAAAACGCGCACTGCTTATAGTAGAGTGGTCCACGGAAATGTACAATTTAAAACCCGTACAGTTCTTCTTTGTTGGGCTTAATAGTCATGAGTAAAGTTCCGAAAGTAATTCTCAGCGGACACACGTCTCCCTCCATGTGCAGAACATGTGCAGGGGTGGGTTTTCTCCTCCCTGATTTTGATTGACAGCTGGCAGGGTAGTCTGATTGGCAACTGAGAAGTGAGTCTGATTGGCAACTGAGTTAAGGACGAAGGCGATTGGTGGATCGCTGCACAGCACATGCAGAGTCACATGGAGTGTATCTCAGTCGGTTACCCTTGAAATTAAATGAGTTCATTCACCTCAAATATCGCAGGCTCTGCGATGTGACTATCGCACACATGTACATCGCGATGACGATAGTCAAACGATATATCGTTCAGGCCTAATGTGGACAGAAAACAGGGGAAAGAAGGGGAAACCTAAGAATGACAGACATGTGAGTGTTGTTGGAAAAAAGGTGGTTTATTGTCGTCTTATGGGTTAGTTTTACGTGACTCCTGTACACAAAGCTGAGCCCTTTGAGTTCTTCACATACCCCCCTGGGTGTCTTTTGTTTGTATAGATGTAAACCAGTTTGGCCTCTGTGAGCTCTATTAATGGATACTATGTTAACTAATTGCCATTTTGATTCTCTTGAAGTACAAAATGTTTAAAAGTACCTGATGGATGTACTTCCAAGATGAGGACAAAGTACCTTTTAAATGCTTTTGTAGTTAAGTAATGTAGACAGAATGCCTTCTGCCTTTAGTTTTGTGATCTCAGACAACAGTAGATGTCCAGTGCACAGCACCAACAGTCCTTTTCACTTTAAGCAGAGGAAGACAGGATAAACAGCTTCACCTCACAAATGTGGACTGCTGTATTCTCATAAAGTAATATTAGTCTTTAATACATTTTATAATCTTAATTTTACTCGTTCTCTTTATGTTACAGATTATTTTCCTACTCTTTTCTCCATTGTATTAAAACTTATTTTACATTGTGTTGCTAATTTTATGTCGTTTATCATGCTAGAGTCTGTCAGTATTGCACCTCAATTCTTCAACATTTTAACTGAATTGTGTTTAATATTACAACTCTGTCCTTAAAATATTACATCCTTCTTGTGATTCCAATTCTCTGTTTTCTGTCCCATCTCATTGACATATTTATGCTTCTGTGTTCCTGCAGATCTTCCACAACAACATGACTGTAAGGAGGACGAGGTTGTCTCAGACCTGCAGCCCTGGTACCAGGAGAGGAACTCCAGTCCGGACCAAGAGGATCCAGAGCCTCAACAGATTAAAGAGGAAGAGGAGGAATTCTGCACCGGTCAGGACAGAGAGCAGCTTGAACCAAAGCAGGAGACTGAACACTTGATGTTAACTCTAACCTGTCAGGAAAGTGAGAACACTGAACCAGAAGTAATGAAGGAAGACCAGTTCCTGTCTCACAACTCTTATGAGGCTGCAGACCAAGATCCACAGAAAGACAAGCTCACAGAGTCAGAATCAACTTCAAAATCAGAACAACACCCCCCAAAAAAAGTTCACAAACGAAGAAGTAGGAAGACAAAACAGCCTAAGGTTCACTCTGATCCTCAACAAGGTGAAAAGACTTTTAAATGTGACACAAATAGGGAAACTTTAACCAGCAATTCAAATTTACAGATACATCGAAGTGTTCCCTCAGGTAAGAAGCATACTTGTGAGAGGTGTGGGAAGATATTCAAATACAAGTATTTGCTGACAAATCACACAAGATCACACAAAGGTGAGAGACCATACTCCTGTGGGAAAAGCTTCAGTTGGAAACTAGATTTAAAAAAGCACATGCGAATTTATTCAAGAGAAAAGCTGACCACCTGTGAAACATGCAACAAATCTTTTGCCTGTACAAGTAACCTGAGAAAGCACATGAGAACACACACAGGTGAGAGACCATACTCCTGCAGCACTTGTGGGAAAAGCTTCAGTGTGAATTCACATTTAAAAACGCACATGCTTATTCACTCAGGAGAAAAGCTGTTCACCTGTGAAACATGTGGCAAATCTTTTTACCAGGAAAGTAACCTGAAAACACACATGAGAACACACACAGGTGAGAGACCATACTCCTGTGGCACCTGTGGGAAAAGCTTTTATCAGAAGATACATTTAAGAATGCACATGCTAATTCATTCAGGAGAAAAGCTGTTCACTTGTGAAACATGCAACGAATCTTTTGTCAGTTCAACTAAACTTAAAATGCACATGAGAATACACACAGGTGAGAGAACATACTCCTGTATAACCTGTGGGAAAACCTTTGGGCAGACTTCAAATTTAGAAAAGCACATGCTAATTCATTCAAGAGAAAAGCTGTTCACCTGCGAAACATGCAACAAATCTTTTGTCAGTACAGGTAACCTGAGAATGCACATGAGAACACACACAGGTGAGAGACCATACTCCTGTAGAACTTGTGGGAAAAGCTTCATGGTGAGTTCACATTTAAAACAGCACATGCTAATTCACTCAGGAGAAAAGCTGTTCACCTGTGAAACATGCGGCAAATCTTTTTACCAGGAAAGTAACCTGAAAACACACATGAGAACACACACAGGTGAGAGACCATACTCCTGTGGCACCTGTGGGAAAAGATTTAGTTGGACTTCAAATTTAAAAGAGCACATGCTTATTCACTCAAGAGAAAAGAAAAGCTGTTCACCTGTGAAACATGTGGCAAATCTTTTTACAGTTCAGATAAACTGAGAGGCCACATGAGAACACACACAGGTGAGAAACCGTACTCCTGTAGTACCTGCGGGAGAAGCTTTGGTTGGAATTCACAGTTAGAAACACACATGCGTATTCATTCAAGTAGAAAGCTGTTCACTTGAAATCCTTCTTGAGTAATGATAACCTAAGACTGCACATGAGAACACACACAGGTGAGAGCACGTGGGTAGAGCTTCATTTTGAATTCAAGTTTAAAAAAGCACATGCTTTTTCACTTAAGTGAAAAGCTGTTTACCTGCGTTCCCTGCAACAAATCTTTTATCAGTACAAGTCACCTTAGAATGCACATGACAGAGCACACTGATGAGAGATTGTATTCCTGCAGCACCTGTGGGGAAAAGTTCTCTCAGAAAACATACTCAGATTGTCACACCCCAAAACCATATATGTAAAAAGCCTGTGGCACCTGTGGGAAATCATTCAGCAGGAAGATTTCTTTAGATGGTCACATAAGAACCCACACAGGTCAAATGTGGCAGGTCTGTCAGATACAGCAGGAAGTTCCATCAAAAAGTGCAACAGAAGCTGGTGACTGAAATCAGAAGCAAATGTCATGGTGTGAAGTCAGAATACAGTTGGAGATCATGTGAACTGGATTCTCTGTTCTGTGGAAGTTCAACCCTACATAAGACATGTTAGGGGAATGAGGTCTCAGCTAATTTAATACCATCTGTGTGTTTAGTTAATCCGGCAGTTAAAGGTGGGGTAGGCAGGATCTGAGGAAGTGCCAGTTTTGGGGAGAAATCTTGAATGTAAACTCTACCTCTCCTAACCAGTTTTCCCCTCAGCTCCTCCTCTTCCCTCCATCTCTGCTACAGCAAGCCCCGCCCACAAACAGACGCTCCTGCTTGCTTGTATAATTTCAATTTAATTCAGATGTAATGCAGATGAATACTTCAGATAATTAAAAATGGAGCCCAGTCAACGTGAAAGTAAGAAGCATTGGTGCTACTGTAGATGCCAACAGACTACCAGCAAACACAATGTTTGACGGACTTCTACAACTAGGATGAAGTGACATAGTCCAGGACCCGAGGGAGGACAGTTTAGTGGCGCTACAACACGCTACAGCAGGTCCGTTTGACAAGAAACACTTCTGTTACAGACACTTGACTTACTTTGTTAAAGCGGTTTACCTGTCCAGCAGAAAGGTTACAGGGTCTCTTAGATCCTGAAGTGTCCCAATCGCTTATGTTTCATTGATCATGACCCGGCTTTTTAGCAGTCAGAAAGAGCAGGGCGCTCAAAAAATTTAAAATGTTGACCACACAGACATAACAGAACATAGCGATATCATTATAATACCAAATGTCATCAATAACTAATAGCTATTTACCGATATTAAAAGTTTTTTTTATATACACCACAAGAAAAGATGCTTCTTTAATGGAATCCGACCTACCCCACCTTTAAGATACATTTTACTGTGACTTTTCCTGACTGAAATACTTGTTCTTTTGAATGTCCTGTTTTCTTTCCCTGGATGAACAAATGTTCTTTTCTTTTTTACTCATGAGCTACTTTGGTTGGCTGTTGAATATTTGTATCTGTTTATTTGTTGTAATAACTTGTTTTTATGATAATCTACAACAAATTTGATTTAGTTGACTGCAGCTGTAATGCTGATAAAGGTTAGTGATGAGAATATGGTGACCAATAAACTTGAACTGTCAAAATAAGCTTCATAGTAATGCATTTGTATCCTATCCTGTAGGATAAAGCTTTAAATCAAAACTGGATGGTCCTGATCTTCAGGCCCTCAGATTGCTCTGCAGTAAAAACAGACTGGACTCTGGAGTGGAATTCACTGCATGGGCTCAAAATCACTTCAAAACGCATTGACTGTGAACACAGTTCTTTACTGTATCCACAGATGAGGTTCAAACTGCAAATGAAGAATCATTTATTGATCAGTAAATGTAAGTTTCTTGTTTGTGTATACACGTGTACACATGCTAGCAGTGTCATCTGAGTATTTTTTGGATGTGGCAGGACTCAGTGCTGTATTTGAAGTCTGACGTATACAGTGTGAACAGGAATGGCGCCACCACTGTCCCTTGTGGAGCCCCTGTACTGCTCATTAATGTCTCAGAAACACAGTTCCCCAGCCTGACAAACTGTGGCCTTCCTGTCAGGTAATCTGTGATCCAGGAAACACAGGAAGGATCCACTGCCATCTCTGTGAGCTTGTCTTTGAGTATGGTAGGTTCAAGATTCAAGAACTTTATTACCATTTTGACAGCGTCAATAGGAATTTGTCTTGGTTCACCTTCTCCACAACATCCATCAAACAAACATATCATCACATCAAAAACAAGAACAAAAAAGCACAAAACAAAAAAGTAACCAGCAGCAAGGAAGTGCAAACAGTTGTTACAAAGTGCTATATGCATATTGCACATGTACAGCACATACATTCATTACTGTCCTAACGACTCATGAACTCGTTCAGATGTCTGATAGCTAGAGGGTAAGTGCTATCACTAAAGCGAGAGGTAGAGCTCCCGATGCTTCTATATCTCCTACCTGATGGGAGGAGATTGAAGAGGTAGTGTGCAGGATGAGAATTATCCTCTATGATTTTTTTTGGACTTCCTGATAATTCTCGAGTTCAACAGTGATGACAGTGAGGGGAGGCTACACCCAATGATTTTAGATGCTTGGCGTACTACTTTTTCTAGGCGGGTCTTGTCCTGAGAGGTTGTGTGACCAAACCAGACAAGCATTGAAAAAGTCAGTACACTTTCAATAGCAGCCTTATAGAAGTGAATCATTGCTGCTTGGCTAACACTGAACTTCTTGAGCTGCCGCAGGAAGTAGAGTTGCTGGTGGGACCTGCTGATTATGAGATTGGCGTTGAGATCTCATGATAGGGATTCATGTATGGTGGTGGTGCCCAGGAACTTTAAGGAAGATACCCTTTCTACTACTTCCCCATTGATGGAAAGAGGGGAAAGGGGGCTCGTTGCTCTCACACCATCTTACCAGCTCCTCTACTTCTCTGCGGTAGTTAGATTCATCCTCGTTTTTAATGAGACCCACCGCAGAGGCGTCATCCGCAAATTTATACAACATGACTGATCTAGAATGTGACTGACAGAAATGTGTATATAGCGAGTACTGCAGTGGAGATAAGACACAGCTCTGGGGGGCCCCAGTGTTCCATTGACCCAGGCGTAAGTAGATTTAGATTCCAGGTGTTGGAGAATAGAGTGCAAACAAAGGGACACCTCATCATCAACACTTCTGTTTTCTCAGTAGGTGAATTAATGTGGGTCCAGTGCTTTCCTGGACAGTAGGTTGGATGGTATTGGATGCACTTGAAAAGTGGAAGAACATAATCCTCACATAAACCCTAGGTTCCTACAGATGAGACAGGGCACGGTGAAGCATGTAGAGGACAGCATCATCCACCCCAATGTGTTCTTTGTATGCAAACTGCAGGGAATCCCGTTTGTCTTTGACCTCAGACCTCAGAGGGCGTAGAATCAGCCGCTCCAGGGTTTTCATGATGTGTGAATTGAGGGCCACTGGTCTGTAGTCATTGAGTTCAGCAGGACATTTTGTTTTTGGTATTGGCACAACGCAGGATGTTTTCCACAGCTGTTGGCCTTCTGCAGCACAGTCTCTAAGCAGACTTGGACACACACCATCTGGACCAGCTGCCTTCCCAGGACAAAGCTCCAAGCTCCATCCTCACCACTGTTGCCTGTAGTCAAAAAGAGCAGCAAAGAAGCCACTTCTCTCCAGTAAAAAAAAAAAACAACAAAACAAAACATCACAGACAGAATGAAATCTTGCAAAAATAGGCTACAGGGATTGGATTGCTGAGGACTGGGGTAAAGTCACTTTCTCTGATGAATCCCCTTTCCAATCGTTTGGGGCATCTGGAAAAAAGCTTGCTTGGAGAAGAAAAGGTGAGCAATTAAAAAATTTAGAAAAGGAAAAAAAGAAAGAAACCGTGGAGGGCCGTACAGTCTATGATGCCGACTGAAAGGAAACAAAGTGGAGGGCGGAACACTTGGTTGGCCGCAGCTCCGTTTACGGAACTTTATTGGTGTGACACACGGCGGAAGTACCGAACAATTTGGCTCTTTTAAAGAAACTGAGATATCTGAGGACAATCCAGTTTTCACAGCGCAACCTTCTTTACAATCTGTAACGAAACAACGATGTCTGTCGCTGAATATCTCCGAGAGTTTGTGACCGAGCGGCTCGCTGCTGCTACTGAAGACATTTTGGGAGTTTTGAACAGAACTGTGGTCCAGTACGAGGAAGAGCTGGACCGTCAACGCAGACTGCTGGATTTGGTTTGGAAACCTCACATTCTCTTACACAGAATCGGTAAGAAGAGCCAAGTTTAGACTGAATAATGAAGCAGAAGCTCGGTTTAGATCAGGGCTGCCTCTCCTCTCGGTTTCCATGTATAAATACTGTGAATAAAGGCGGAGGAACAACCCTGTATGAGTTCAACAATAACTGTGCTGTGTTAATGTGGTGCTATTGTGTCAGTGGTTCTTAATCTGCCGTTAACGATCAGAGGAATTTCAAGGAGTCCGGGGGACGCTCTCGGACGTTGACCCCGTCCTCTTTTGTTCCCGCGAGCTGTTATAATGACCCGGTACCAAAACTCATCATGTGGACAGAAAACAGGGGAAAGAAGGGGAAACCTAAGAATAACAGACATGTGTGTTGTTGGAAAAAAGGTGGTTTACTGTCATCTTACGGGTTAGTTTTACGTCCAACTTATTTGACTCCTACAGGAAGGCCTTAAGTGACTCCTGTACACAAAGCTGAGCCCTTTGAGTTCATCACATACCCCCCTGGGTGTCTTTTGTTTGTATAGATATAAACCAGTTTGGCCTCTGTGAGCTCTATTAATGGATACTATGTTAACTAATTGCCATTTTGATTCTCCTGCAGTACAAAATGTTTAAAAGTGCCTGATGGATGTGCTTCCAAGATGACGACAAAGTACCTTTTGATTGATTCTGACTTTAGTTTTGTGATCTCTGGACTGCTGTATTCTCATAAAGTAATATTAGTCTTTTAATACATTTTATAATCTTGATTTTACTCGTTCTCTTTATGTTACAACTTATCTTACTACTCTTTTCTCCATTGTATTAAAACTTATTTTACATTGTGTTGCTAATTTTATGTCATTTATCTTGCTAGAGTCTATCAGTATTGTACCTCAATTCTTCAACATTTTAACTGAATTGTGTTTAATATTACAACTCTGTCCTTAAAATATTACATCCTTCTTGTGATTCCAATTCTCTGTTTTCTGTTCCATCTCATTGACATATTTATGCTTCTGTGTTCCTGCAGATCTTCCACAACAACATGACTGTGAGGAGGACGAGGTTGTCTCAGACCTGCAGCCCTGGAACCAGGAGAGGAACTCCAGTCCGGAACAAGAGGACCCAGAGCCTCTACAGATTAAAGAGGAAGAGGAGGAATTCTGCACCGGTCAGGACAGAGAGCAGCTTGAACCAAAGCAGGAGACCGGACACTTGATGTTAACTCTAACCTGTCTGGAAGGTGAGAACACTGAACCAGAAGTAAAGAAGGAAGACCAGTTCCTGTCTCACAACTCTCATGAGGCTGCAGACCAAGATCCACAGAAAGACAAGCTCACAGAGTCAGAATCAACTTCAAAATCAGAACAACACCCCCCATAAAAAAGTTAACAAACAAAGAAAGATAAAAATTCTATTCTGAAAATAATTCTGATTAATATGCAAAGGCTCTTGCAGACCATGCATCTCTCTTCAGCATTCAGTGGGAGCAATTTAACTGGACACCGAGAAAGCTTGTAATCGAACTGAATGGCTGCACTTGTTCGAGATGCTCTCCAGATATGATTTTGGCCTAAAAGCTTACAGTGGATCAGAGCACTATATCAGTAACCTGTTTCAGCTCCTTTCAGTGGTGATGTTCTACTAGAGAAGCCTACTTCATAACTACTACATAGCTGCATAACAACTCATACATGAGAACTACGAGAACAAATACAGGAGGAAGCTAGAGATAAAACTCCAGCAAAACAACATGAGGGATGTATGGAGTGTCATGAGAACCATCACTGGTTTTAAAAATGCTGGTAGCAGTGGGTTAGAGGACTGTGTGGACCAGGCCAATGAACTGAACCTGTTTTTCAACAGGTTTGACTCTGCGGCTGCTGCCTCTTTCCCACTTGACTCAGCTGCTCTCTGCCTACCTCCAAGTGCTTGAAGCGCCAATTCCAATTCTCTCTTTTCTGTCCCATCTCATTGACATATTTATGCTTCTGTGTTCCTACAGATCTTCCACAACATGACTGCGAGAAGGACGAGGTTGTCTCAGACCTGCAGCCCTGGAATCAGGAGAGGAACTCCAGTCCGGACCAAGAGGATCCAGAGCCTCAACAGATTAAAGAGGAAGAGGAGGAATTCTGCACCAGTCAGGACAGAGAGCAGCTTGAACCAAAGCAGGAGACTGAACACTTGATGTTAACTCTAACCTGTCAGGAAAGTGAGAACACTGAACCAGAAGTAAAGAAGGAAGACCAGTTCCTGTCTCACAACTCTCATGAGGCTGCAAACCAAGACCCACAGAAAGACAAGCTCACAGAGTCAGAATCAACTTCAAAATCAGAACAACATCCCCCAAAAAAGTTCACAAACGAAGAAGTAAGAAGACAAAACAGCCTAAGGTTCACTCTGATCCTCAACAAGGTGAAAAGACTGACACAAATAGGGAAACGTTTACCAGCAATTCAAATTTACAGACACATCGAAGTGTTCCCTCAGGTAAGAAGCATACTTGTGAGAGGTGTGGGAAGATATTCAAGTACAAGTATTTGCTGACAAATCACGCGAGATCACACAAAGGTGAGAGACTGTATTCCTGTGGGAAAAGCTTCAGTTGGAAACCAGATTTAAAAAAGCACATGCGAATTCATTCAAGAGAAAAGCTGACCACCTGTGAAACATGCAACAAATCATTTGTCAGTACAGGTAACCTGAGAAAGCACATGAGAACACATACAAATGAGAAACCATACTCCTGCAGCACTTGTGGGAAAAGCTTCAGTGTGAGTTCATATTTAAAACAGCACATGCTTATTCACTCAGGAGAAAAGCTGTTCACCTGTGAAACATGCGGCAAATCTTTTTATCAGGAAAGTAACCTGAAAACACACATGAGAACACACACAGGTGAGAGACCATACTCCTGTGGCACCTGTGGGAAAAGCTTTTATCAGAATAAACATTTAAAAATGCACATGCTAATTCATTCAGGAGAAAAGCTGTTCACTTGTGAAACATGCAACGAATCTTTTGTCAGTACAGGTAACCTGAGAACGCACATGAGAACACACGCAGGTGAGAAACCATACACCTGTGGGACCTGTGGGAAAACCTTTGGGCAGACTTCAAATTTAGAAAAGCACATGCTAATTCATTCAAGAGAAAAGCTGTTCACCTGTGAAACATGCAACAAATCTTTTGTCAGTACAGGTAACCTGAGAACGCACATGAGAACACACACAGGTGAGAGACCATACTCCTGCAGCACTTGTGGGAAAAGCTTTATTGTGAGTTCATATTTAAAACAGCACATGCTTATTCACTCAGGAGAAAAGCTGTTCACCTGTGAAACATGCGGCAAATCTTTTTACCAGGAAAGTAACCTGAAAACACACATGAGAACACACACAGGTGAGAGACCATACTCCTGTGGCACCTGTGGGAAAAGATTTAGTTGGACTTCAAATTTAAAAGAGCACATGCTTATTCACTCAGGAGAAAAGCTGTTCACCTGTGAAACCTGTGGCAAATCTTTTTACAGTTCAGATAAACTGAGAACGCACATGAGAACACACATGTGAGAAACCGTACTCCTGTAGTACCTGCGGGAGAAGCTTCGGTTGGAATTCACAGTTAGAAACACACATGCGTATTCATTCAAGTAGAAAGCTGTTCACTTGAAATCTTTCTTGAGTAATGATAACCTAAGACTGCACATGAGAACACACACAGGTGAGAGCACGTGGGTAGAGCTTCATTTTGAATTCAAGTTTAAAAAAGCACATGCAAAAGCTGTTCACCTGCGTAACCTGCAACAAATCTTTTATCAGTACAAGTCACCTTAGAATGCACATGACAGAGCACACTGATGAGAGATTGTATTCCTGCAGCACCTGTGGGGAAAAGTTCTCTTAAAAACATACTCAGATTGTAACACCCCCAAAACCATATATGTATAAAGCCTGTGGCTCCTGTGGGAAATCATTCAGCAGGAAGATTTCTTTAGATGGTCACATAAGAACCCACACAGGTAAAATGTGGCAGGTCTGTCAGATACAGCAGGAAATTCCATCAAAAAGTGCAACAGAAGCTGGTGACTGAAAGATATTGTAGCAAACTATCTTTGTTTGGGCTCCTGAACAACAAGTGGGAGCAGTATCTGCCTCACAACCAATCAGCAGGAGGGAGAAGGGTCCGTCTCGTAACCAATCAGGTTGGGGAGGCAGAGAATGGCTTTGTTTACAGTCAGAAAGAGCAGGGCGCTCAAAAAATTTAAAATGTTGACCACACAGACATAACAGAACATAGCGATATCATTATAATACCAAATGTCATCAATAACTAATAGCTATTGACTGATATTAAAAGTTTTTTTTATATACACCACAAGAAAAGATGCTTCTTTAATGTAATCCAACCTACCCCACCTTTAAGATACATTTTACTGTGACTTTTCCTGACTGAAATACTTGTTCTTTTGAATGTCCTGTTTTCTTTCCCTGGATGAACAAATGTTCTTTTCTTTTTTACTCATGAGCTACTTTGGTTGGCTGTTTTTTTCACCAGAATATTTGTATCTGTTTATTTATTGTAATAACTTGTTTTTATGATAATCTACAACAAATTTGATTTAGTTGACTGTAGTTGTAATGCTGATAAAGGTTAGTGATGAGAATATGGTGACCAATAAACTTGAACTGTCAAAATAAAATTCATAGTAATGCATTTGTATCCTATCCTGTAGGATAAAGCTTTAAATCAAAACTGGATGGTCTTGATCTTCAGGCCCTCAGACTGCATTGCATTAAAAACAGACTGGACTATGGAGTGGAATTCACTGCATGGGCTCAAAATCACATCAAAACCCATTGACTGTGAACACAGTTCTTTACTGTATCCACAGATGAGGTTCAAACTGCAAATGAAGAATCATTTATTGATCAGTAAATGTAAGTTTCTTGTTTGTGTATACACGTGTACACATGCTAGCGGTGTCATCGGAGTATTTTTTGGATGTGGCAGGACTCAGTGCTGTATTTGAAGTCTGACGTATACAGTGTGAACAGGAATGACACCACCACTGTCCCTTGTGGAGCCCCTGTACTGCTCATTAATGTCTCAGAAACACAGTTCCCCAGCCTGACAAACTGTGGCCTTCCTGTCAGGTAATCTGTGATCCAGGAAACACAGGAAGGATCCACTCCCATCTCTGTGAGCTTGTCTTTGAGTATGGTAGGTTCAAAATTCAAGAACTTTATTACCATTTCAGGGCTCTCAAGTCTCACGCACTCAGCGTGAGACACACGCATTCCCACCTGTTCACACGCTCACACGCCACACATCGTATTTCTCACGCATTTAAATGAACATGGTGATGTCCACCAAGTTGCACCTCTTTAACTATGGAACAGGTACGAATCAACTGAGTTCCTCCGAGAGTTCAGAAGCTGCGTGCCACGCGCAAGCCAATCAAATAAAGTATATCTACTGAACAGCCAATCAAAAAGCAGCATTGCTGTATCCGGGTAGATTTTGATATCTTGCGGTTTGACTACAGGAGAGGACAGACACTCGCCGTAATAGAGCAGGCTTTTATAAGGACGAGATAGACCCGAGGATTACAGTAAGTCAGTAACCTACACATGCAGAGACCTCAACACCTCATGGCAGATAAACTCATATGATAAACTAAAGCCCTATGCTATTGCTATTAACAGCTGTATTGACGGATTTAGCCTCCGTACAGCCATTTCCAGCCATTTTCCCCTCCACAAAAGCTGCATTTCTCATATATCTCAAATATAAGTTCTGATACTCATGACAGTGTAATGCTCATGGACCAAAGGATTAAGTATCTCCATGTTTGTGAAACCTATATTTAAGTACAATTCATCTAAATGCTCCACAGTGCAGATTTTAACAACTTTACGACTTAATATTTATACATTAATGATTTTATTCTCCCAAATAACAACTTTATTCTGTAAGATTTAAAAACGTTTTTTTCTAATTGTGCCCCTTGTGCTCCGTTGTATTTAAGAGATAATTATACTAATAGTTATCTTCAACCCCCCCCCCCCCCCCCCCCCCAGGAAATCTCACTCTAAGCTTAGTTCAAAACTTGAGAGCCCTGCCATTTTGACAGCGTCAATAGGAATTTGTCTTGGTTCACCTTCTCCACAACATCCATCAAACAAACATATCATCACATCAAAAACAAGAACAAAAAAGCACAAAACAAAAAAGTAACCAGCAGCAAGGAAGTGCAAACAGTTGTTACAAAGTGCTATATGCATATTGCACATGTACAGCACATACATTCATTACTGTCCTAACGACTCATGAACTCGTTCAGATGTCTGATAGCTAGAGGGTAAGTGCTATCACTAAAGCGAGAGGTAGAGCTCCCGATGCTTCTATATCTCCTACTTGATGGGAGGAGATTGAAGAGGTAGTGTGCAGGATGAGAATTATCCTCTATGATTTTTTTGGACTTCCTGATAATTCTCGAGTTCAACAGTGATGACAGTGAGGGGAGGCTACACCCAATGATTTTAGATGCTTGGCGTACTACTTTTTCTAGGCGGGTCTTGTCCTGAGAGGTTGTGTGACCAAACCAGACAAGCATTGAAAAAGTCAGTACACTTTCAATAGCAGCCTTATAGAAGTGAATCATTGCTGCTTGGCTAACACTGAACTTCTTGAGCTGCCGCAGGAAGTAGAGTTGCTGGTGGGACCTGCTGATTATGAGATTGGCGTTGAGATCTCATGATAGGGATTCATGTATGGTGGTGGTGCCCAGGAACTTTAAGGAAGATACCCTTTCTACTACTTCCCCATTGATGGAAAGAGGGGAAAGGGGGCTCGTTGCTCTCACACCATCTTACCAGCTCCTCTACTTCTCTGCGGTAGTTAGATTCATCCTCGTTTTTAATGAGACCCACCGCAGAGGCGTCATCCGCAAATTTATACAACATGACTGATCTAGAATGTGACTGACAGAAATGTGTATATAGCGAGTACTGCAGTGGAGATAAGACACAGCTCTGGGGGGCCCCAGTGTTCCATTGACCCAGGCGTAAGTAGATTTAGATTCCAGGTGTTGGAGAATAGAGTGCAAACAAAGGGACACCTCATCATCAACACTTCTGTTTTCTCAGTAGGTGAATTAATGTGGGTCCAGTGCTTTCCTGGACAGTAGGTTGGATGGTATTGGATGCACTTGAAAAGTGGAAGAACATAATCCTCACATAAACCCTAGGTTCCTACAGATGAGACAGGGCACGGTGAAGCATGTAGAGGACAGCATCATCCACCCCAATGTGTTCTTTGTATGCAAACTGCAGGGAATCCCGTTTGTCTTTGACCTCAGACCTCAGAGGGCGTAGAATCAGCCGCTCCAGGGTTTTCATGATGTGTGAATTGAGGGCCACTGGTCTGTAGTCATTGAGTTCAGCAGGACATTTTGTTTTTGGTATTGGCACAACGCAGGATGTTTTCCACAGCTGTTGGCCTTCTGCAGCACAGTCTCTAAGCAGACTTGGACACACACCATCTGGACCAGCTGCCTTCCCAGGACAAAGCTCCAAGCTCCATCCTCACCACTGTTGCCTGTAGTCAAAAAGAGCAGCAAAGAAGCCACTTCTCTCCAGTAAAAAAAAAAACAACAAAACAAAACATCACAGACAGAATGAAATCTTGCAAAAATAGGCTACAGGGATTGGATTGCTGAGGACTGGGGTAAAGTCACTTTCTCTGATGAATCCCCTTTCCAATCGTTTGGGGCATCTGGAAAAAAGCTTGCTTGGAGAAGAAAAGGTGAGCAATTAAAAAATTTAGAAAAGGAAAAAAAGAAAGAAACCGTGGAGGGCCGTACAGTCTATGATGCCGACTGAAAGGAAACAAAGTGGAGGGCGGAACACTTGGTTGGCCGCAGCTCCGTTTACGGAACTTTATTGGTGTGACACACGGCGGAAGTACCGAACAATTTGGCTCTTTTAAAGAAACTGAGATATCTGAGGACAATCCAGTTTTCACAGCGCAACCTTCTTTACAATCTGTAACGAAACAACGATGTCTGTCGCTGAATATCTCCGAGAGTTTGTGACCGAGCGGCTCGCTGCTGCTACTGAAGACATTTTGGGAGTTTTGAACAGAACTGTGGTCCAGTACGAGGAAGAGCTGGACCGTCAACGCAGACTGCTGGATTTGGTTTGGAAACCTCACATTCTCTTACACAGAATCGGTAAGAAGAGCCAAGTTTAGACTGAATAATGAAGCAGAAGCTCGGTTTAGATCAGGGCTGCCTCTCCTCTCGGTTTCCATGTATAAATACTGTGAATAAAGGCGGAGGAACAACCCTGTATGAGTTCAACAATAACTGTGCTGTGTTAATGTGGTGCTATTGTGTCAGTGGTTCTTAATCTGCCGTTAACGATCAGAGGAATTTCAAGGAGTCCGGGGGACGCTCTCGGACGTTGACCCCGTCCTCTTTTGTTCCCGCGAGCTGTTATAATGACCCGGTACCAAAACTCATCATGTGGACAGAAAACAGGGGAAAGAAGGGGAAACCTAAGAATAACAGACATGTGTGTTGTTGGAAAAAAGGTGGTTTACTGTCATCTTACGGGTTAGTTTTACGTCCAACTTATTTGACTCCTACAGGAAGGCCTTAAGTGACTCCTGTACACAAAGCTGAGCCCTTTGAGTTCATCACATACCCCCCTGGGTGTCTTTTGTTTGTATAGATATAAACCAGTTTGGCCTCTGTGAGCTCTATTAATGGATACTATGTTAACTAATTGCCATTTTGATTCTCCTGCAGTACAAAATGTTTAAAAGTGCCTGCTGGATGTGCTTCCAAGATGACGACAAAGTACCTTTTGATTGATTCTGACTTTAGTTTTGTGATCTCTGGACTGCTGTATTCTCATAAAGTAATATTAGTCTTTTAATACATTTTATAATCTTGATTTTACTCGTTCTCTTTATGTTACAACTTATCTTACTACTCTTTTCTCCATTGTATTAAAACTTATTTTACATTGTGTTGCTAATTTTATGTCATTTATCTTGCTAGAGTCTATCAGTATTGTACCTCAATTCTTCAACATTTTAACTGAATTGTGTTTAATATTACAACTCTGTCCTTAAAATATTACATCCTTCTTGTGATTCCAATTCTCTGTTTTCTGTTCCATCTCATTGACATATTTATGCTTCTGTGTTCCTGCAGATCTTCCACAACAACATGACTGTGAGGAGGACGAGGTTGTCTCAGACCTGCAGCCCTGGAACCAGGAGAGGAACTCCAGTCCGGAACAAGAGGACCCAGAGCCTCTACAGATTAAAGAGGAAGAGGAGGAATTCTGCACCGGTCAGGACAGAGAGCAGCTTGAACCAAAGCAGGAGACCGGACACTTGATGTTAACTCTAACCTGTCTGGAAGGTGAGAACACTGAACCAGAAGTAAAGAAGGAAGACCAGTTCCTGTCTCACAACTCTCATGAGGCTGCAGACCAAGATCCACAGAAAGACAAGCTCACAGAGTCAGAATCAACTTCAAAATCAGAACAACACCCCCCATAAAAAAGTTAACAAACAAAGAAAGATAAAAATTCTATTCTGAAAATAATTCTGATTAATATGCAAAGGCTCTTGCAGACCATGCATCTCTCTTCAGCATTCAGTGGGAGCAATTTAACTGGACACCGAGAAAGCTTGTAATCGATCTGAATGGCCACACTTGTTCGAGATGCTCTCCAGATATGATTTTGGCCTAAAAGCTTACAGTGGATCAGAGCACTATATCAGTAACCTGTTTCAGCTCCTTTCAGTGGTGATGTTCTACTAGAGAAGCCTACTTCATAACTACTACATAGCTGCATAACAACTCATACATGAGAACTACGAGAACAAATACAGGAGGAAGCTAGAGATAAAACTCCAGCAAAACAACATGAGGGATGTATGGAGTGTCATGAGAACCATCACTGGTTTTAAAAATGCTGGTAGCAGTGGGTTAGAGGACTGTGTGGACCAGGCCAATGAACTGAACCTGTTTTTCAACAGGTTTGACTCTGCGGCTGCTGCCTCTTTCCCACTTGACTCAGCTGCTCTCTGCCTACCTCCAAGTGCTTGAAGCGCCAATTCCAATTCTCTCTTTTCTGTCCCATCTCATTGACATATTTATGCTTCTGTGTTCCTACAGATCTTCCACAACATGACTGCGAGAAGGACGAGGTTGTCTCAGACCTGCAGCCCTGGAATCAGGAGAGGAACTCCAGTCCGGACCAAGAGGATCCAGAGCCTCAACAGATTAAAGAGGAAGAGGAGGAATTCTGCACCAGTCAGGACAGAGAGCAGCTTGAACCAAAGCAGGAGACTGAACACTTGATGTTAACTCTAACCTGTCAGGAAAGTGAGAACACTGAACCAGAAGTAAAGAAGGAAGACCAGTTCCTGTCTCACAACTCTCATGAGGCTGCAAACCAAGACCCACAGAAAGACAAGCTCACAGAGTCAGAATCAACTTCAAAATCAGAACAACATCCCCCCAAAAAAGTTCACAAACGAAGAAGTAAGAAGACAAAACAGCCTAAGGTTCACTCTGATCCTCAACAAGGTGAAAAGACTGACACAAATAGGGAAACGTTTACCAGCAATTCAAATTTACAGACACATCGAAGTGTTCCCTCAGGTAAGAAGCATACTTGTGAGAGGTGTGGGAAGATATTCAAGTACAAGTATTTGCTGACAAATCACGCGAGATCACACAAAGGTGAGAGACTGTATTCCTGTGGGAAAAGCTTCAGTTGGAAACCAGATTTAAAAAAGCACATGCGAATTCATTCAAGAGAAAAGCTGACCACCTGTGAAACATGCAACAAATCATTTGTCAGTACAGGTAACCTGAGAAAGCACATGAGAACACATACAAATGAGAAACCATACTCCTGCAGCACTTGTGGGAAAAGCTTCAGTGTGAGTTCATATTTAAAACAGCACATGCTTATTCACTCAGGAGAAAAGCTGTTCACCTGTGAAACATGCGGCAAATCTTTTTATCAGGAAAGTAACCTGAAAACACACATGAGAACACACACAGGTGAGAGACCATACTCCTGTGGCACCTGTGGGAAAAGCTTTTATCAGAATAAACATTTAAAAATGCACATGCTAATTCATTCAGGAGAAAAGCTGTTCACTTGTGAAACATGCAACGAATCTTTTGTCAGTACAGGTAACCTGAGAACGCACATGAGAACACACGCAGGTGAGAAACCATACACCTGTGGGACCTGTGGGAAAACCTTTGGGCAGACTTCAAATTTAGAAAAGCACATGCTAATTCATTCAAGAGAAAAGCTGTTCACCTGTGAAACATGCAACAAATCTTTTGTCAGTACAGGTAACCTGAGAACGCACATGAGAACACACACAGGTGAGAGACCATACTCCTGCAGCACTTGTGGGAAAAGCTTTATTGTGAGTTCATATTTAAAACAGCACATGCTTATTCACTCAGGAGAAAAGCTGTTCACCTGTGAAACATGCGGCAAATCTTTTTACCAGGAAAGTAACCTGAAAACACACATGAGAACACACACAGGTGAGAGACCATACTCCTGTGGCACCTGTGGGAAAAGATTTAGTTGGACTTCAAATTTAAAAGAGCACATGCTTATTCACTCAGGAGAAAAGCTGTTCACCTGTGAAACCTGTGGCAAATCTTTTTACAGTTCAGATAAACTGAGAACGCACATGAGAACACACATGTGAGAAACCGTACTCCTGTAGTACCTGCGGGAGAAGCTTCGGTTGGAATTCACAGTTAGAAACACACATGCGTATTCATTCAAGTAGAAAGCTGTTCACTTGAAATCTTTCTTGAGTAATGATAACCTAAGACTGCACATGAGAACACACACAGGTGAGAGCACGTGGGTAGAGCTTCATTTTGAATTCAAGTTTAAAAAAGCACATGCAAAAGCTGTTCACCTGCGTAACCTGCAACAAATCTTTTATCAGTACAAGTCACCTTAGAATGCACATGACAGAGCACACTGATGAGAGATTGTATTCCTGCAGCACCTGTGGGGAAAAGTTCTCTTAAAAACATACTCAGATTGTAACACCCCCAAAACCATATATGTATAAAGCCTGTGGCTCCTGTGGGAAATCATTCAGCAGGAAGATTTCTTTAGATGGTCACATAAGAACCCACACAGGTAAAATGTGGCAGGTCTGTCAGATACAGCAGGAAATTCCATCAAAAAGTGCAACAGAAGCTGGTGACTGAAAGATATTGTAGCAAACTATCTTTGTTTGGGCTCCTGAACAACAAGTGGGAGCAGTATCTGCCTCACAACCAATCAGCAGGAGGGAGAAGGGTCCGTCTCGTAACCAATCAGGTTGGGGAGGCAGAGAATGGCTTTGTTTACAGTCAGAAAGAGCAGGGCGCTCAAAAAATTTAAAATGTTGACCACACAGACATAACAGAACATAGCGATATCATTATAATACCAAATGTCATCAATAACTAATAGCTATTGACTGATATTAAAAGTTTTTTTTATATACACCACAAGAAAAGATGCTTCTTTAATGTAATCCAACCTACCCCACCTTTAAGATACATTTTACTGTGACTTTTCCTGACTGAAATACTTGTTCTTTTGAATGTCCTGTTTTCTTTCCCTGGATGAACAAATGTTCTTTTCTTTTTTACTCATGAGCTACTTTGGTTGGCTGTTTTTTTCACCAGAATATTTGTATCTGTTTATTTGTTGTAATAACTTGTTTTTATGATAATCTACAACAAATTTGATTTAGTTGACTGTAGTTGTAATGCTGATAAAGGTTAGTGATGAGAATATGGTGACCAATAAACTTGAACTGTCAAAATAAAATTCATAGTAATGCATTTGTATCCTATCCTGTAGGATAAAGCTTTAAATCAAAACTGGATGGTCTTGATCTTCAGGCCCTCAGACTGCATTGCATTAAAAACAGACTGGACTATGGAGTGGAATTCACTGCATGGGCTCAAAATCACATCAAAACCCATTGACTGTGAACACAGTTCTTTACTGTATCCACAGATGAGGTTCAAACTGCAAATGAAGAATCATTTATTGATCAGTAAATGTAAGTTTCTTGTTTGTGTATACACGTGTACACATGCTAGCGGTGTCATCGGAGTATTTTTTGGATGTGGCAGGACTCAGTGCTGTATTTGAAGTCTGACGTATACAGTGTGAACAGGAATGACACCACCACTGTCCCTTGTGGAGCCCCTGTACTGCTCATTAATGTCTCAGAAACACAGTTCCCCAGCCTGACAGACTGTGGCCTTCCTGTCAGGTAATCTGTGATCCAGGAAACACAGGAAGGATCCACTCCCATCTCTGTGAGCTTGTCTTTGAGTATGGTAGGTTCAAAATTCAAGAACTTTATTACCATTTCAGGGCTCTCAAGTCTCACGCACTCAGCGTGAGACACACGCATTCCCACCTGTTCACACGCTCACACGCCACACATCGTATTTCTCACGCATTTAAATGAACATGGTGATGTCCACCAAGTTGCACCTCTTTAACTATGGAACAGGTACGAATCAACTGAGTTCCTCCGAGAGTTCAGAAGCTGCGTGCCACGCGCAAGCCAATCAAATAAAGTATATCTACTGAACAGCCAATCAAAAAGCAGCATTGCTGTATCCGGGTAGATTTTGATATCTTGCGGTTTGACTACAGGAGAGGACAGACACTCGCCGTAATAGAGCAGGTTTTTATAAGGACGAGATAGACCCGAGGATTACAGTAAGTCAGTAACCTACACATGCAGAGACCTCAACACCTCATGGCAGATAAACTCATATGATAAACTAAAGCCCTATGCTATTGCTATTAACAGCTGTATTGACGGATTTAGCCTCCGTACAGCCATTTCCAGCCATTTTCCCCTCCACAAAAGCTGCATTTCTCATATATCTCAAATATAAGTTCTGATACTCATGACAGTGTAATGCTCATGGACCAAAGGATTAAGTATCTCCATGTTTGTGAAACCTATATTTAAGTACAATTCATCTAAATGCTCCACAGTGCAGATTTTAACAACTTTACGACTTAATATTTATACATTAATGATTTTATTCTCCCAAATAACAACTTTATTCTGTAAGATTTAAAAACGTTTTTTTCTAATTGTGCCCCTTGTGCTCCGTTGTATTTAAGAGATAATTATACTAATAGTTATCTTCAACCCCCCCCCCCCCCCCAGGAAATCTCACTCTAAGCTTAGTTCAAAACTTGAGAGCCCTGCCATTTTGACAGCGTCAATAGGAATTTGTCTTGGTTCACCTTCTCCACAACATCCATCAAACAAACATATCATCACATCAAAAACAAGAACAAAAAAGCACAAAACAAAAAAGTAACCAGCAGCAAGGAAGTGCAAACAGTTGTTACAAAGTGCTATATGCATATTGCACATGTACAGCACATACATTCATTACTGTCCTAACGATTCATGAACTCGTTCAGATGTCTGATAGCTAGAGGGTAAGTGCTATCACTAAAGCGAGAGGTAGAGCTCCCGATGCTTCTATATCTCCTACTTGATGGGAGGAGATTGAAGAGGTAGTGTGCAGGATGAGAATTATCCTCTATGATTTTTTGGACTTCCTGATAATTCTCGAGTTCAACAGTGATGACAGTGAGGGGAGGCTACACCCGATGATTTTAGATGCTTGGCGTACTACTTTTTCTAGGCGGGTCTTGTCCTGAGAGGTTGTGTGACCAAACCAGACAAGCATTGAAAAAGTCAGTACACTTTCAATAGCAGCCTGATAGAAGTGAATCATTGCTGCTTGGCTAACACTGAACTTCTTGAGCTGCCGCAGGAAGTAGAGTTGCTGAATTAGAAAATGAAAAAAGAAAGACACCGTGGAGGGCCGTACAGTCTATGATGCCGACTGAAAGGAAACAAAGTGGAGGGCGGAACATTTGGTTGCCGCAGCTCCGCTTACGGAACTTTATTGGTGTGACACGCGGCGGAAGTAAACGAACAGTTTGGCTCTTTTAAAGAAGCTGAGATATCTGAGGACAATCCAGTTTTCACAGCGCAACCTTCTTTACAGTCTGTAACGAACCAACGATGTCTGTAGCCGAATCTCTCCGAGAGTTTGTGACCGAGCGGCTCGCTGCTGCTACTGAAGACATTTTGGGAGTTTTGAACAGAACTGTGGTCCAGTACGAGGAAGAGCTGGACCGTCAACGCAGACTGCTGGATTTGGTTTGGAAACCTCACATTCTCTTACACAGAATCGGTAAGAAGAGCCAAGTTTAGACTGAATAATGAAGCAGAAGCTCGGTTTAGATCAGGGCTGCCTCTCCTCTCGGTTTCCATGTATAAATACTGTGAATAAAGGCGGAGGAACAACCCTGTATGAGTTCAACAATAACTGTGCTGTGTTAATGTGGTGCTATTGTGTCAGTGGTTCTTAATCTGCCGTTAACGATCAGAGGAAGATCAAGGAGTCCGGGGGACGCTCTCGGACGTTGACCCCGTCCTCTTTTGTTTCCGCGAGCTGTTATAATGACCCGGTACCAAAACTCATCATGTGGACAGAAAACAGGGGAAAGAAGGGGAAACCTAAGAATGACAGACATGTGTGTTGTTGGAAAAAAGGTGTTTTACTGTCACCTTACGGGTTAGTTTTACGTCCAACTTATTTGACTCCTACAGGAAGGCCTAAAGTGACTCCTGTTCACAAAGCTGAGCCCTTTGAGTTCATCACATACCCCCCTGGGTGTCTTTTGTTTGTATAGATATAAACCAGTTTGGCCTCTGTGAGCTCTATTAATGGATACTATGTTAACTAATTGCCATTTTGATTCTCCTGCAGTACAAAATGTTAAAAAGTGCCTGATGATTGTGCTTCCAAGATGACGACAAAGTACCTTTTGATTGATTCTGACTTTAGTTTTGTGATCTCAGACAAAAGTAGATGTCCAGTGCACAGCACCAACAGTCCTTTTCACTTAGTGCAGAGGAAGGCAGGATAAACAGCTTCACCTCACAAATGAGGACTGCTGTATTCTCATAATGTAACATTATTTTTTAATACATTTTATAATCTTGATTTTACTCGTTCTCTTTATGTTACAACTTATCTTCCTACTCTTTTCTTCATCGTATTAAAACTTATTTTACATTGTGTTGCTAATTTTATGTCATTTATCATTCCAGAGTCAATCATAATTGTACCTCAATTCTTCAACATTTTAACTGAATTGTGTTTAATATTACAGCTCTGTCCTTAAAATATTACATCCTTCTCGTGATTCCAATTCTCTGTTTTCTGTTCCATCTCATTGACATATTTATGCTTCTGTGTTCCTGCAGATCTTCCACAACAACATGACTGTGAGGAGGAGGACGAGGTTGTCTCAGACCTGCAGCCCTGGAACCAGGAGAGGAACTCCAGCCCGGAACAAGAGGACCCAGAGCCTCAACAGATTAAAGAGGAAGAGGAGGAATTCTGCACCGGTCAGGACAGAGAGCAGCTTGAACCAAAGCAGGAGACTGAACACTTGATGTTAACTCTAACCTGTCAGGAAAGTGAGAACACTGAACCAGAAGTAAAGAAGGAAGACCAGTTCCTTTCTCACAACTCTCATGAGGCTGCAAACCAAGATCCACAGAAAGACAAGCTCACAGAGTCAGAATCAACTTCAAAATCAGAACAACAACCCCCCAAAAAAGTTCACAAAAGAAAAAGTAAGAAGACAAAACAGCCTAAGGTTCACTCTGATCCGCAACAAGGTGAAAAGACTTCTAAATGTGACACAAGTAGGGAAACTTTAACCAGCAATTCAAATTCACAGACACATGTAAGTGTTTTCACTGGTAAGAAGAAGCATACTTGTGAGTGGTGTGGGGAGATATTTAGATACAAGTATTTGCTAAAAAAACATGCAAATTCGCACACAGGTGAGAAACCGTACTTCTGTTGCACTTGTGGGAAAAGCTTCAGAACGAATTCCTATTTTAAAAAGCACATGCTAATTCACTCTGGAGAAAAGCTGATCACCTGCAAAACATGCAACAAATCTTGTGTCAGTGCAAGTAGCCTGAGAATACACATGAGAAAACACACAGGTGAGAGACCATACTCCTGTGCCACGTGTGGGAATCGCTTCACTTCGAGTTCCAATTTAAAAATGCACATGCTTATTCACTCAGGAGAAAAACTGTTCACCTGTGAAACATGCAGCAAATCTTTTTACAGTATACATAAACTGAAAGCGCACATGAGAACGCACACAGATGAGAAACCGTACTCCTGTGGCACCTGTCAGAAAAGCTTTCGTCAGACTTCAAATTTAAAAACACACATGCTAACTCACTCAGAAGAAAAGTTGTTCAGCTGTAAAATGTGCAGCAAATCTTTTAACAGGAAGGATCAACTAAAACTGCACATGAGAACACACACAGGTGAGAAACCGTACACATGTTGCACTTGTGGGTCGAGCTATTCTTTGAGATCAAGTTTGAAAATCCACATGCTTAGTCACGTCAAAGATAAGCTGCGTAACTTGCAACAAATCGTCTATCAGTACAATTTACCTGAGAATGTACATGACAGCGCACACTGATGAGAGATTGTACTCCTGTGGCACCTGTGGGGAAAAGTTCTCTCAGAAAACATCCTCAGATTGTCACACCCCCAAAACAATATATGTATAAAGCCTGTGGCACCTGTGGGAAATCATTCGGCTGAAAGGTTTCTTTCGATGTTCACATAAGAACCCACACAGGTCAAATGTGGCAGGTCTGTCAGATACAGCAGGAAGTTCCATCAAAAAGTGCAACAGAAGCTGGTGACTGAAATCAGAAGCAAATGTCATGGTGTGAAGTCAGAATACAGTTGGAGATCATGTGAACTGGATTCTCTGTTCTGTTCTGTGCAAGTTCAACCCTACATAAGACATGTTAGGGGAATGAGGTCTCAGCTAATTTAATACCATCTGTGTGTTTAGTTAATCCGGCAGTTAAAGGTGGGGTAGGCAGGATCTGAGGAAGCGCCAGTTTTGGGGAGAAATCTTGAATGTAAACTCTACCTCTCCTAACCAGTTTTCCCCTCAGCTCCTCCTCTTCCCTCCATCTCTGCTCCAGCAAGCCCCGCCCACAAACAGACGCTCCTGCTTGCTTGTATCATTTCAATTTAATTCAGATCTAATGCAGATAAAAAATTCAGATAATTAAAAATGGAGCCCAGTCAACGTGAAAGTAAAAAGCATTGGTGCTACTGTAGATGCCAACAGACTACCAGCAAACACAATGTTTGCAGGACTTCTACAACTAGGATAAAGTGACATAGTCCAGGACCCGAGGTCAACAGTTTAGCGATGGCGCTACAACACGCCACAGCAGGTCCTGTTTGACAAGAAACACTTCTGTTACAGACACTTGACTTACTTTGTTAAAGCGGTTTACCTGTCCAGCAGAAAGGTTACAGGGTCTCTAAGATCCTGAAGTGTCCCAATCGCTTATGTTTCATTGATCATGACCCGGCTTTTTAGCTCTTTTCCGGGTGGTCAACCTCCTTTTTGAGCGCCTTTTATTTCACCAGAGTCTCCAGTATGTACTTTGTTTTCTTGCTTGTGTTGGCAGTCGTGGCCAATGGAGGATTCAGACAATTTTCCGTACTTTCTGGTTGGTTTCGACTGAACGATATTGTAGCACGCTAACTTTGTTTGGGCTCTTGCAAGTTATTTGAGGATGTGGAGCGTGCCTCACAACACGAGGGAGCAGTATCTGCCTCGCAACCAATCAGCAGAAGGGAGAAGGGTCCGTCTCGCAACCAATCAGGTTGGGGAGGCAGAGAATGGCTTTGTTTACAGTCAGAAAGAGCAGGGCGCTCAAAAAATTTAAAATGTTGACTACACAGACATAACAGAACATAGCAATATTATTATATTACCAAGTGTCATCAATAACTAATAGCTATTGACTGATATTAAAAGCTTTTTTATATACACCACAAAAAAAGATGCTTCTTTAATGGAATCCGACCTACCCCACCTTTAAGATACATTTTACTGTGACTTTTCCTGACTGAAATACTTGTTCTTTTGAATGTCCTGTTTTCTTCCCCTGGATGAACGAATGTTCTTTTCTTTTTCACTCATGAGCTACTTTGGTTGGCTGTTTTTTTCCCCAGAATATTTGTATCTGTTTATTTGTTGTAATAACTTGTTTTTATGATAATCTACAACAAATTTGATTTAGTTGACTGTAGCTGTAATGCTGATAAAGGTTAATGATGAGAATACGGTGACCAATAAACTTGGACTGTCAAAATAAAATTCATAGTAATGCATTTGTATCCTGGTTTCATAGAAGTGAAACAAAAGAGGACAGAGCGATAAATCGAGCGATTGAGTCACGTACACTCATTACTATTTCACTGCTCTGTTCCTGCACAACCGGTGACATCACAACTGTCGTAAACTTAAGTTGGCCCTGCGCGTGAAAAAATATTTCAGACTCTCTCCTTATTGATTTTTTTACCACGTGAGGATGCCAATGTGGTGTGTTTCATGTCCTCTTTAAGTGTGAGCACGCACTTTTCTCTCCTATTGTGGTGTTGTTGTTAACATATAACTGCTGTCTGTTTGTATTTGTCATGGTCTGGACCATAGACTGTATATAAGATGGACACTGTGTTTCCACCTTCCGCCTGTATACGGATTTGAAGCTGAAAAGCTCTCGGTATTTCCGGGTTTTTCTCCACTTCCTCGAAACCAGAGCTGTGCAGTAGCGTTGTGCGCATTCGGCCGCACAGTCGCCGAGAGTCCCTTGCTGCGTCCGAATTGCCCGCTCGGATACTACATGCTACTGCTACACACTACTGCTAGATCCTACTCCTACATACTAAACACGTTGGCCCGATTCGGACACACTAGACGAGCGGTGGGGAAAGACGACCCCCGCAGGCAGAGAGTAGGTAATGCGCCCGTGCAGACAGTGGTAACTGAAGCCCCTCATCTGCGGGCCTGGCTGTAGTACTGCAGCTGTGCAGTTTAATGATGGAATAAGTGAGCTTTACCTCCATGATGTCGCCACATATTTGCTCATAAAATGATTACTTGGGCAAATATGACACCATGACTTGACAAAGAGATACAACCGCACATTTTTTTAGGACAGTGTGTGAAGTTACATGAAACTTACATCTGTACTGCTGCGGTCCCGCGACATGGTGCGCGCTGCTGTGGCCAGCCGGCGTTCGCGACACATTTAAATAGGCAGAGCAGCTGGTGGCGCTAGCATCACATGCGCTCCTACAACTTTTAAGAGGACGAAGAAGAAGCCCGCGGTGCATTTTGGGTCAGTAGTATGCCCGTAGGATGCACCGAGACCAACCTACAATATGGGCGTGTCTAGTATCTGAAGTAGTATCTGAAGTAGCATGCTACTCGCTCCGGTGGCCAATTCGGACATGCTAAATACTACTTCGACTACTACTTGGCAATTCGGACGCAGCTCGAGTGATGACGCTCGGCTCAGACAGCGCATTCCCCTGGAAGAGCTACGCAATCCCTGAACGCCCATAGGCTGTACCAGATGTCAATCATAGAAAACATGAACCCCCTAATAACTTTTAAAAACGGAGCTGTACAGAAAAAAAGGACTTGGGCACAAACCAGTCTTACTGTAACTATATGTCAACATCACAACCAGGGGGGAGAAAAAATTATGTTCTGTGTAATAAATTTCCAAAGTTTGTCCACAGTCCCATAAGCTTTGCTGGCGGAGGTGGGATTTATGACCTGTACTGCAGCCCACCATCAGAGGGTGCTGTTCTCAGAGTGGCTTCACCCAGCGAGGAGGCAGACTCTGTCCATCTTATATACAGTCTGAGGTCTGGACCTGTGTTTATTGTTGTAATACAAAGTTATTAAGACTTTGAATTTAAAAAAATAGAAAAGGAAAAAAGAAAAACACCGTGGAGGACCGTACAGTCTATGATGCCGACTAAAGGGGGCAAAGAGGAGGGCGGAACATTTGGTTGCCGCAGCTCCGCTTACGGAACTTTATTGGTGTGACACACGGCGGAAGCAAACGAACCGCGTGGCTCTTTTCAAGAAGCTGAGATATCTGAGGATAATCCCGCCGTTTTCACAACGCAACCTTCTTTACAATCTGTTACGAACCAACGATGTCTGTCGCCGAATTTCTCCGAGAGTTTGTGACCGAGCGGCTCGCTGCTGCTGCTGAAGACATTTTGGGAGTTTTTAACAGAACTGTGGTCCAGTACGAGGAAGAGCTGGACCATCAACGCAGACTGCTGGATTCGGTTTTGAAACCTCACATTCTCTTACACAGAATCGGTAAGAAGAGCCAAGTTTAGACTGAATAATGAAGCAGAAGCTCGCTTTAGATCAACAACCCTGTATGAGTTCAACAATAACTGTGCTGTGTTAATGTGGTGCTATTGTGTCAGTGGTTCTTAATCTGCCGTTAACGATCAGAGGAAGATCAAGGAGTCCGGGGGACGCTCTCGGGCGTTGACCCCGTCCTCTTTTGTTCCCACGAGCTGTTATAATGACCGGTACCATGTGTGTTGTAAGGAAAGGGGTGGTTAGTTCATCACATACCCACCCCCCCCCCCCCCCCCCCCCGGTGTCTTTTGCAGGGCTCTCAAGTCTCACGCATTCAGCGTGTGACACACGCATTCCCACCCGTTCACACGCCATACATTGTATTTCTCACGCATTTAAATGAACATGGTGATGTCCACCAAGTTGCACCTCTTTAACTATGGAACAGGTAGGAATCAACTGAGTTCCTCCGAGAGTTCAGAAGCTGCGTGCCACACGCAAGCCAATCAAATAAAGTATATCTACTGAACAGCCAATCAAAAAGCAGCAGTGCTGTATCCGGGTAGATTTTGATATCTTACGGTTTGACTACAGAAGACAGACACTCGCCGTAATAGAGCAGGCTTTTATAAGGACGAGATTGACCCGATGATTACAGTAAGTCAGTAACCTACACATGCAGAGACCTCAACACCTCATGGCAGATAAACTCATATGATAAACTAAAGCCCTATGCTATTGCTATTAACAGCTGTATTGACGGATTTAGCCTCTGCACAGCCATTTCCAGCCATTTTCCCCTCCACAAAAGCAGCATTTCTCATATATCTCAAATATAAGTTCTGATACTCATGACAGTGTAATGCTCATGTACCAAAGGATTAAGTATCTCCATGTTTGTGAAACCTATACTAAAGTGCAATTCATCTAAATGCTCCACAGTGCTGATTTTAACAACTCCCCTTCACAACAGGTAACTTTACGACTTAATGCTTATATATTAATGACTTTATTCCCCCAAATAATAACTTTATTCTCTAATATTTAAAATTTTTTTTTTTTTTTAATTGTGCCCCTTATACTTCGTTGTGTTTAAGAGATAATTATACTAATAATTATCTTCAATTCCCCCCCCCCAAGGAAATCTCACTCTAAGATTAGTTCAAAACTTGAGAGCCCTGCTTTTGTTTGTATAGATATAAACCAGTTTGGCCTCTGTGAGCTCTATTAATATATAAATTGTTAACTAATTGCCATTTTGATTCTCCTGAAGTACAAAATGTTTAAAAGTACCTGCTGGATGTGCTTCCAAGGTGAGGACAAAGTACCTTTTAAATGCTTTTGTAGTTAAGTAATGTGGACAGAATGCCTTCTGATTTTAGTTTTGTGATCTCAGACAAAAGTAGATGCCCAGTGCACATTGTGTTGCTAATTTCATGTCATTTATCATGCTAGAGTCAGTCAGTATTGCCCCTTACTTCTTCAACATTTGAACTGAATTGTGTTTAATATTACAAGTCTGTCCTTAAAATATTACATCCTTCTTGTGATTCCAATTCTCTGTTTTCTGTTCCATCTCATTGACATATTTATGCTTCTGTGTTCCTGCAGATCTTCCACAACAACATGACTTTGAGGAGGACGAGGTTGTCTCAGACCTGCAGCCCTGGAACCAGGAGAGGAACTCCAGTCCGGAACAAGAGGACCCAGAGCCTCTACAGATTAAAGAGGAGGAGGAGGAATTCTGCACCGGTATAGGAGCTTTTCACTCACGTGATCCTGACTTTGTGCGAGAACCAGACGGAGGGCAGGAAGCGACCGACTGCAATGGAGGAGATGCGGGAAAGCTTGTATTGCGCGGGTTTATTTGTGTACCAGTATTTAGCCTTTGATGGAGTTTACCACCCGCTTTGGGCTGCATTCCCAAAAAAAGACTCCAAGAAGACCGGACCCCTGCACGACGGGGGCCGCTACCGGCCTCACACCGTCCACGGGATTCGGCGCTGGGCTCTTCCCTCTTCGCTCGCCGCTACTGAGGGAATCCTGGTTGATTTCTTTTCCTCCGTTTAGTAACATGCTTAAATTCAGTGGGTCGTCTCGTCTGATCTGAGAATGGGGGAAAGGACGCCATTTTTCCCCGTCCGCCCCCTCCGGAGCTCTGGGGCGTGTCCGGCCGCTCTGCACCCCTCTCCCTACACAGTTTGACACGACTCAACTTCGAAATGAAAGAATTTAACTACGGGCTGAAAATGAGTCATTACCCTTGACAAAGTGGTCACTGCACACACGGGCATTATCAGACGCAGCTCCTCCAGACCGTAGGCAGAGATTAAAAAGCCATTTTTTCTGGAATTTTTCAGTCAGCTTCTTGTATCTTTCCCCTTTGTGTAACACAAATTTGGGCACACGATAAAAGCTCTTGTTTTTTTCCCTGTTCGATCGATCCGAGCAGACGTAAACGGAGCAAAACATCGGCATTTTGCTGGTCTCTATAGCAGCAACTTACATCCTGCCCTCCATCTGTATTGCGCATGTGCCGCGTAACATGGAAGTGACGTCAAGTGAAAACCTCCTATTGCACCTCAATTCTTAAACATTTTAACTGAATTGTGTTTAATGTTACTTCTCAGTCCTGAAAATATTACATCCTTCTTGTGATTCCAATTCTCTGTTTTCTGTTCCATCTCATTGACATATTTATGCTTCTGTGTTCCTGCAGATATACCACAACAACATGACTGTGAGGAGGACGAGGTCGTCTCAGACCTGCAGCCCTGGAACCAGGAGAGGAACTCCAGTCCAGAACAAGAGGACCCAGAGCCTCTACAGATTAAAGAGGAAGAGGAGGAATTCTGCACTGGTCAGGACAGAGAGCAGCTTGAACCTCACAACTCTCGTGAGGCTGCAGACCAAGATCCACAGAAAAGCAAGCTCACAGAGTCTGAATCAACTTCAAAATCAGAACAACACCCCCCAAAAAAAGTTCACAAACGAAGAAGTCAGAAGACAAAACAGCCTAAGGTTCACTCTGATCCTCAACAAGGTGAAAAGACTTCCAAATGTGACACAAGTATGGAAACGTTAACGAGCAATTCAGATTCACAGGCACATCAAAGTGTTCCCACTGGTAAGAAGAAGCATACTTGTGAGAGTTGTGGGAAGATATTCAGATACAAGTGTTTGCTGACAAATCACGCTAGATCACACACAGGTGAGAAACCATACTCCTGTGGGAAAAGCTTCAAGTGGAAACCAGATTTAAAAAAGCACATGGAAATTCATTCAAGAGAAAAGCTGACCACCTGCAAAACATGCAACAAATCTTGTGTCAGTGCAAGTCACCTGAGAATACACATGAGAAAACACACAGGTGAGAGACCATACTCCTGTGGCACTTGTGGGAATCGCTTCACAGCGAGTTCCAGTTTAAAAACGCACATGCTTATTCACTCAGGAGAAAAGCTGTTCACCTGTGAAACATGCGGCAAATCTTTTGTCAGTATACATAGACTGAAAGCGCACATAAGAACACACACAGGTGAGAGACCGTACCCCTGTAGCACTTGTGGGAAAAGCTTTGGTTCGACTAAAACTTTAAGATTGCACATGTTTATTCACTCAGGAGAAAAGCTGTTCACCTGTGAAACATGTGGCAAATCTTTTGTCAGTATGCATAGACTGAAAGGGCACATGAGATTACACACAGGTGAGAAACCGTACCCCTGTAGCACCTGTGGGAAGGGCTTCATTTTTAATTCACATTTAACTAAGCATATGCAAAGTCACTCAGATGAAAAGCTGTTCACCTGTGAAACATGCAGCAAATCTTTTAAAAGGAATGATCAATTGAAAGAGCACATGAGAACGCATACAGATGAGAGACCGTACACCTGTAGTACATGTGGGAAAAGCTTCAGTCGGACTAGAAATTTAAAAACGCACATGCTTATTCACTCAACAGAAGAGCCGTTCAGCTGCAAAACATGCAGCAAATCTTTTGCCAGCAAAGATAGCCTAATAATGCACATGACAATACACACGGGTGAGACACGGTACATCTGTAGTACATGTGGGAAAAGCTTCAGTCGGACTACAAATTTAAAAACGCACATGAGACTTCACTCAGAAGAAAAGTTGTTCACCTGTGAAACATGCAACAAATCTTTTAACAGGAATGATCAACTAAAAATGCACATGAGAACATACACAGGTGAGAAACCTTTCTCCTGTGGCACCTGTGGGAAAAGCTTCACTGCGAATTCCAGTTTAAAAACGCACATGCTTATTCACTCAGGAGAAAAGCTGTTCACCTTGCAAAACATGCAGTGAATCCTTTATCAGTAAAGATAGCCTAAGACTGTACACAAGAACACACACAGGTGAGGGACGGTAAACCTGTGGCACTTGTGGGGAAAAGTTTTCTTGAAAAACACACTTAGATCATCACACCCAAACCCATTTAGGTAAAAAGCCTGTGGTGCTTAAAGGAAACCATTAGGCAGGAAGACCTCTTTAGATGGTCACAGAAGAACCCACACAGGTAAAATGTGGCAGAGCTTAAAACCAAAATTGGATGGTCCGGATCATCAGGCCCTCAGACTGCATTGCATTAGAAACAGACTGGACTCTGGAGTGGAATTCACTGCATGTGCTCAAAATCACTTCAAAACCCAATGACTGTGAACACAGTTCTTTACTGTATGTACAAATGAAGTTCAAAATGAACCATGCAAAGAGGAAACCAGATAGAAAGAGGATCCAGGAACACCAGAGACTTCTCTTGACCTGAGCCCATTTAAGGTGGACCAAGAGGAAGAGGAAAACTGTCAAGATCTGATATTCTTTTTGGATATCATGGAGTATTTGTTCAAAAGAGTAGAAGGACTACCTGACTTGCTCACAGTTCACAGTCCTTGTGTTCCCCGGGATCCCTGGGACTCTCTTTGACTTTCTATGAAGACTGTTGTTGTCAGACTCTCCTTCTTGCAAGAATTAATTTACAAAGAAAGACAAGTACTTGGCTTTGAGTGACTTTTTATTTATTTATTTTTTTTGAAGAAACAGAAAATTTCCAAAACAAACCAATAAAAACTTCTTTTAAAAAACAATGACTTATGACAATGACTGAGACACAAGCAATGTTACATGAGAAGTCTGCTTTGTCATAAACTAAGGTCACATTAGGAAGACTGCAAAAAGGCAGGAAAGATGCTTGCTTTACAATTAAAAAACTTAAACAACAACCCTTAAATGTTTCTTGAAGGCATAATAATGGTATGATAACTAGAGATCAGGGAGCTATTAATGACACTTTTAGAAGTTATTTTTCATGTTTGTATTAATCGGAATTCAAGGCCAAACATCAAGATTTAAATAATTTCTTCAATAATTCAATGTTGCCAAAGTTGAGGAAAGAAAATGAAGGAAACTGGAGGCAGCCATTCCAAAAGAGGACATTCAAAACACAATAAAGTCTCAATCAAACAGATGAGCACCTGGTTATTATGGTTACACTTAAGTGTTTTAGAAGTGTTTTTCAAAAGAAATAATGCCTTTTTTTTTTCTATCTCTCCAATCTAACCTTTGTTTTCTTTTATCTCCAATCTTATTTTAGCTTTGAATGTAACTTTTAATCTCTTAAATGTCTTTTACGCTGTTTTTACTTTTTAAATTGTGTTGAATGTTTTGCCTGCTTGTTTCATGTAAAGCACCTTGAATTGCCCTGCTGCTGAAATGTGCTATACAAATAAACTTGACTTGACTTGACTTGACTATGCTTGTTCACTTGTATAATCATACTGTGGAGGAACAGATTGCGCAACCAATGTGGACAGCCATCATATCGTTGCTGCCAAAACTAGGAAAAGATCACTTAGATGTGAACAAAGACTGGAACTTCCTCAGATCCTGCCTACCCCACCTTTAATAATCATAATAATTTTTTTTGCAAAAATGTTTAAAAAGATGGCGGGATGAAACTGTTCAAAATTTAATTCATGTAGATCTGAATGGCCACACTTGTTCGAGATGCTCTCCAGATATGATTTTGGCCTAAAAGCTTACAGTGGATCAGAGCACTATATCAGTAACCTGTTTCAGCTCCTTTCAGTGGTGGTGTTCTACTAGAGAAGCCTACTTCATAACTACTACATAGCTGCATAAAAACTCATACATGAGAACTATGAGAACAAATACAGGAGGAAGCTGGAGATAAAACTCCCCCCTGGGGATAAAACCTCCATTATCCATCTACCCTTCCCCTGACTCTACATCCGTTCTTTCCTTACCTGAAGACCCCGTCCTCCTCGCGCCTGTCACCCCTATCGTGTCCTTCACACCTGACCAAGTAAGAAGACTGCTGAATAGACTCCACCCTGGCAGGGCTGCAGGTCCTAATGGTGTGTTACCTAGGGTGCTTAAAGCCTGTGCCCCCCAGCTGTGTGGAGTTCTTCACCAGATCTTCAGCCTGAGCATGCACCTCCAGAAGGTCCCTGTGCTGTGGAAGACCTCCTGCCTTGTTCCTGTGCCAAAGCTGCCACATCCCAGTGGCTACAGACCAGTGGCTCTGACGTCTCACATCTTGCAGACCCTGGAGAGACTGTTCCTGGAGCATTTCAGGCCTATGGTCAGGCCCTTCACGGATCCTCTGCAGTTCGCCAACCAGCCCCGCTTGGAAGTTAGGGACAGCATCATCTACCTGCTGAACTGGGTCTACTCTCACCTGGACAAGCCGGCGAATACTGTGAGAGTCATGTTTTTTGACTTCTCCAGTGTTTTCAACACCATCTGTCTGGCTCTACTGGGTGAGAAGATGGTAGCAATGCAGGTGGATGCCTCCCTTGTGTCCTGGATTGTTGACTACCTGACTAGTAGACCACAGCATGTGCGGCTGCAACACTGTGTCTGACAGAGTGGTCAGCAGCACCGGGGCCCCACAGGGGACTGTCCTTTCTCCTTTCCTCTTCACCCTCTACATCACAGACTTTAACTATTGCACAGAATCCTGCCACCCTCAGAAGTTTTCTGATGACGATCTGCAGCTCAATGTGACAAAACTAAGGAGCTGATAGAGGATCTGAGGAGGAGCAAAACCCCTGTGACCCCTGTTTCCATCCGAGGGGTCCCAGTGGACACTGTGTAGGAGTACAAGTACCTAGGGATGTACATAAGCATTAAACTTGACTGGACCAGGAATACTGAGGCCCTCTACAGAAAGGGTCAAAGCCTTCTCTATTTTCTGAAGGGGCTGAGGTCCTTCAACATCTGCAGGACGATGCTGAGGATTTTTTATAAGTCTGTTGTGGCCAGTGCGTTCTTCTTCACTGTTGCATGCTGGGGCAGCAGGCTGAGGGTTGCTGACTCCAACAGACTCAATAAACTGATCAAAAAGGCCAGTGATGTTGTGGGGTCGGAGCTGGACTCCCTGCTGGCCGTGTCAGAGAGGAGGATGCTGTCCAAGCTCCACTCCACACTGGACAATGTCTCCCACCCTCTCCACAGTGAACTAATCCTACATGGAGCACCTTCAGCAGAATTTCCTCGCTGCACGATGCACCACGGAGCGCCACAGTAAATCTTTCCTGCCAGTGGTTGTCAGACTTTTTAACCCCTCCCTCAGTGACTCTGACACCCTCAGTCAGTAGTCTTTATGGACCATCAACTCCTCAACAACTTCTACGCCGCTAACCCCAACAAACCCGGCAGAACGCCAAGAGATGTTTGTTGCCGGGTGGGGGGGTACTGTGGTGAGACGCCTGTTCTTCCTGTTTTATTTTGGTTTAACTTCCCGTTTTCCTTGTGTTCCTGGTCTGACTGTCGTTTCAGTGCACTTTCCCTTCCTCTGGTCGCTGAGGCTGATTGAGACTCCACACCTGCACTGCATCAATCAATCAATCAATGCCCTTTAAGAAGCCAGCAGCCTTCAGTCTCAGCACGTGATTATTGTCTGCACTCCTGAGTGGTACAGACGCTTCTCCTGGCCTTTTCCGCGGATAATTACTCGTGACTTTTTGCTCCCTGTGATTCCTTGTATGTCTTCTCACCTCCTTCTCCTCTGTTTCTCCACAGTGTCTCCAGCCCACGCAACAGCCAGCCAGCAAACCGGACTTTCTCTCGTGCCTTTTTTCCCTGAGATGGACATTAAATACATCTTTAATTTGCTATCTGCCTCTGTGTCTGCTTCTGGAACCACAAGATACACCACACGCCACACTTTACTCACACACTTAGGCCCGAACTACACGAATGTGGATATATTTCAAACCGCACATATTTATGTCCGATTAGGCCTCCCTACCACACCAAAACGGGAGTTTGGAGCACTCAAACCGGATAAATCTGAATCCGGAAAAACAAGTGGAGAAATAAAAATATATCCGTATCCCGTATCCGTAGTGGATTCGTGTGATTGGACTTTTACGGATCAATGACGTAAAACCGCTGCTCGTGCATGCGAATTAAAAAGAAAAACAACAACGATGGCGGACAGACAGGGTATTCTTTACTTTTGTTTTGCCCTTTTGGGGCTAATTTCAGCCTTGCAAGTGAACCTTGTTTTATATAATTACATCCACCAGGAAGAGCAGACGCGTCTGCTGCGGCCAATACTTTTATTGGTCACATGGTCCGTCACATGGACCCGACGCACTAGCGTAGCTTCCGCAAACAATATATGACGCATCACGCTATTACGATTCATCTGCATATCAGTTAGCTTTGTTCTTGAATTTTTTTTTAAGCGGCACCAGATAGGATTGAGTTTGAAGACTACGAGTGGAGATAGATATTTTTGAGAACTAACACGTGTGGACAGATACATTTATTTAGACGAGAGTACAAAAATATCCTGATAAATAAATATCCATATACGTGTAGTTCGGGCCTTACACACTGGACTCCGGTTACAGTTTACAATTTTGTGATGTATATAGTGTACATACTTGTATATTATCTCTTTATTTTTTTACTTATTTTATCTATTTATCTCTTTATTTTTACTTATTTGTATCAATAATTGATCTCCTCATTCTACTTTATTTGCACTGGAGTTACTGTGACACAAAGCAATTTTCCCCTGGGGATTGTTAAATTATTTCTGATTCTGATGCACTGATCTCTCCTATTGTGGTGTTGTTGTTAATATATAACTGCTGTCTGTTTGTATTTGTCATGGTCTGGACCTGTGTTTATTGTTGTCATACATAATCATTAAAATTTTGTATTTAAAAAATTAGGAAAGGAGAGAAGAAAAAAACCGTGGGGGGCCGTTAGAGTCTGCCGACTGAAAGGAGACAAGGAGGAGGGCGGAACATTTGGTTGGCCGCAGCTCCGTTTACGGAACTTTATTGGTGTGACACACGGCGGAAGTACCGAACAATTTGGCTCTTTGAAAGAAGCTGAGATTTCTGAGGACAATCCAGTTTTCACAGCGCAACCTTCTTTAAAATCTGTAACGAACCAACGATGTCTGTCGCCGAATCTCTCCGAGAGTTTGTGACCGAGCGGCTCGCTGCTGCTACTGAAGACATTTTGGGAGTTTTTAACAGAACTGTGGTCCAGTACGAGGAAGAGCTGGACCGTCAACGCAGACTGCTGGATTTGGTTTGGAAACCTCACATTCTCTTACACAGAATCGGTAAGAAGAGCCAAGTTTAGACTGAATAATGAAGCAGAAGCTCGGTTTAGATCAGGGCTGCCTCTCCTCTCGGTTTCCATGTATAAATACTGTGAATAAATTCGGAGGAACAACCCTGTATGAGTTCAACAATAACTGTGCTGTGTTAATGTGGTGCTATTGTGTCAGTGGTTCTTAATCTGCCGTTAACGATCAGAGGAAGATCATGGAGTCCGGGGGACGCTCTCGGACGTTGACCCCGTCCTCTTTTGTTCCCTCGAGCTGTTATAATGACCCGGTACCAAAACTCATCATGTGTACAGAAAACAGGGGAAAGAAGGGGAAACCTAAGAATGACAGACATGTGTGTTGTTGGAAAAAAGGTGGTTTACTGTCATCTTACGGGTTAGTTTTACGTCCAACTTATTTGACTCCAACAGGAAGGCCTTAAGTGACTCCTGTACACAAAGCTGAGCCCTTTGAGTTCATCACATACCCCCCTGGGTGTCTTTTGTTTGTATAGATATAAACCAGTTTGGCCTCTGTGAGCTCTATTAATGGATACTATGTTAACTAATTGCCATTTTGATTCTCCTGAAGTACAAAATGTTTAAAAAGTGCCTGATGGATGTACTTCCAAGATGACGACAAAGTACCTTTTAAATGCTTTTGTAGTTAAGTAATGTAGACAGAATGCCTTCTGACTTTAGTTTTGTGATCTCAGACAACAGTAGATGCCCAGTGCACAGCACCAACAGTCCTTTTCACTTTAAGCAGAGGAAGACAGGATAAACAGCTTCACCTCACAAATGTGGACTGCTGTATTCTCATAAAGTAATATTAGTGTTTAATACATTTTATAATCTTAATTTTACTCGTTCTCTTTAAGTTACAACTTATCTTCCTACTCTTTTCTCCATTGTATTAAAACTTATTTTACATTGTGTTGCTAATTTTATGTCGTTTATCTTGCTAGAGTCTGTCAGTATTGTACCTCAATTCTTCAACATTTTAACTGAATTGTGTTTAATGTTACTTCTCAGTCCTGAAAATAATACATCCTTCTCGTGATTCCAATTCTCTGTTTTCTGTCCCATCTCATTGACATATTTACGCTTCTGTGTTCCTGCAGATCTTCCGCAACATCATGACTGTGAAGAGGACGAGGTTGTCTCAGACCTGCAGCCCTGGAACCAGGAGAGGAACTCCAGTCTGGACCAAGAGGACCCAGAGCCTCAACAGATTAAAGATGAAGAGGAGGAATTCTGCACCAGTCAGGACAGAGAGCAGCTTGAACCAAAGCAGGAGACTGAACACTTGATGTTAACTCTAACCTGTCAGGAAAGTGACAACACTGAACCAGAAGTAATGAAGGAAGACCAGTTCCTGTCTCACAACTCTGATGAGGCTGCAAACCAAGATCCACAGAAAGACAAGCTCACAGAGTCAGAATCAACTTCAAAATCAGCCGGACTGCTGGATTTGGTTTGGAAACCTCACATTCACTTACACAGAATCGGTAAGAAGAGCCAAGTTTAGACTGAATAATGAAGCAGAAGCTCGCTTTAGATCAGGGTCATCAGTTGAAGCTCTATTTATTGACTGTAATGAGTCAAGAATGAACAACAGAGTCTCAGGGTTCAGAATTAGCTCGCTGTAGCAAACAGGCATCTTAGAGGTCTGAGCGCTTCAGAACCCTGACTTAGGTTCCCTTGAACCCTTTATACACGCCTATCTGGACAAAGAGTTTGCTGATCTGGGTGTTGTCTTCGTGTGAAGGCTGGTTCCTTGTTCGTCTTAAACTGTCACACTAGTGGGTCTGTATGTCCTCTCTGCTCTTTAGATTTGTGATCTCAGACAAAAGTAGATGTCCAGTGCACAGCACCAACAGTCCTTTTCACTTAGTGCAGAGGAAGACAGGATAAACAGCTTCACCTCACATATGAGGACTGAATCGCTTCTTTTGATTAAATCCTCAGTTTCACACAGCACACACAAAAGGACTTCATCAGGTTTCCTGACTAGTCCACTACACTGATGTTTTAAACAAGACCGCAGACACACTGGGTGAAGTTGGTTCTTTCTCTTATTACTCTATGTTACTACTCTTTTGTTCATAGTATTAAAACTTCTTTTACATTGTGTTGCAAATTTTATATGTCATTCATCTTGCTAGAGTCTATCAGTATTGTACCTTAATTCTTCAACATTTTAACTGAATTGTGTTTAATGTTACTTATCTGTCTTTAAAATATTACATCCTTCTCATAGAAAGTCTTCAAATACAATAAAGTGATTCCAGTTCTCTGTTTTCTGTTCCATCTCATTGACATATTTATGCTTCTGTGTTCCTGCAGATCTTCCGCAACAACATGACTGTGAGGAGGACGAGGTTGTCTCAGACCTGCAGCCCTGGAACCAGGAGAGGAACTCCAGTCTGGACCAAGAGGACCCAGAGCCTCTACAGATTAAAGAGGAAGAGGAGGAATTCTGCACCGGTCAGGACAGAGAGCAGCTTGAACCAAAGCAGGAGACTGAACACTTGATGTTAACTCTAACCTGTCAGGAAAGTGACAACACTGAACCAGAAGTAAAGAAGGAAGACCAGTTCCTTTCTCACAACTCTGATGAGGCTGCAGACCAAGATCCACAGAAAGACAAGCTCCCAGAGTCAGAATCAACTTCAAAATCAGAACAACACCCCCCGAAAAAAGTTCACAAATTAGGAAGTGAGAAGACAAAACAGCCTAAGGTTCAGTCTGATCCTCAACAAGGTGAAAAGACTTTTAAATGTGACACAAATAGGGAAACATTTACGAGCAATTCAAATTTACAGACACATGTAAGTGTTCCCACTGTTAAGAAGAAGCATACTTGTGAGAGGTGTGGGAAGATATTCAGATACAAGTGGTTGCTGACAAAACACGCCAGAACACACACAGGTGAAAGACCATACTCCTGTGGCACTTGTGGGAAAAGCTTCGGTCAGACTTCAGTTTTAAAAATGCACATGCTTATTCACTCAGGAGAAAAGCTGTTTACCTGTGAAACATGCGGCAAATCTTTTTACAATACAACTAGACTTAAAATGCACATGAGAATACACACAGGTGAGAGACCGTACTCCTGTGGCACATGTGGGAGAGGCTTCGCTGCAAATTCAACTTTAAAACAGCACATGCTTATTCACTCAGGGGAAAGACTGTTCATTTGCAAAACATGCAGCAAATCTTTTAACAGGAAACATCAACTAAAACAGCACATGAGAACACACACAGGTGAGAGACCGTACTCCTGTAACACTTGTGGGAAGAGCTTCTCTTTGAAATCAAGTTTAAGAAATCACATGCTTATTCACTCAGGGGAAAGGCTGTTCACCTGCAAAACATGCAGTAGATCTTTTAAAAGGGAGGATCAACTGAAACGGCACATGCAAACACACACAGATGAGAGACCGTACTCCTGTAGTACATGTGGGAGAAGCTACGGAACGAATTCATATTTAAAAAAGCACATGCTTATTCACACAAGAGAAATGATCACCTGCAAAACTGAAAAGCCGTTCAGTTGCAAAACATGCAGCAAATCTTTCACCAGCAAAGCTAGCCTAATACTGCACATGCAAACACATACAGATGAGAGACCGTACTCCTGTAGTACCTGTGGGAGAAGCTTCCGAACGAATTCATATTTAAAAAATCACATGCTTATTCACACAACAGAAATGATCACCTGCAAAATATGCAGCAAATCTTTTAACAGGAAGTATCAACTAAAACTGCACATGAGAATACACACAGGTGAGAGACCGTACTCCTGTAACACTTGTGGGAAGAGCTTCACTATGAATTCCAGTTTAAAATTGCACATGGTTGTTCACTCAGGAGAGAAGCTGTTTACATGTGAAACATGCGGCAAATCTTTTTACAGAAAAACTAAACTGAAAGTACACATGAGAACACACACAGGTGCGAGACCATACTCCTGTGGCACCTGTGGGAAAAGCTTCACTCAGACTTCAGGTTTAAAATACCACATGCAAATTCACTCAAGAGATAAGTAATCACCTGCAAAACATGCAGCAAATCTTTTAACAAGCAGGATCAACTAAAACTGCACATGAAAACACACACAGGTGAGAGACGGTAAACCTGTGGCACTTGTGGGGAAAAGTTTTCTCGAAAAACACACTTAGATCATCACACCCAAACCCATATAGGTAAAAAGCCTGTGGTGCTTAAAGGAAACCATTAGGCAGGAAGACCTCTTTAGATGGTCACAGAAGAACCCACACAGGTAAAATGTGGCAGGTCTGTCAGATGCCAAATTCATAGTAATGCATTTGTATCCTGGTTTCATAGAAGTGAAACAAACGAGGATCTAGCAGTAGCACGTAGCAGTAGCATGTAGTATCCGAGCGGGCAGTTCGGACGCAGCACCATAGACATAATAAAAGGGTAGACCCCGCTGGGGGTGCTGCGCAGCGAGAAATGCGGCCGCCATCTTGGTCAGGTCAAGCTTCCCATGCGCTCCGGTCAATCATATTCATTCATTCATTCATTCAGCGATGCCGGAGCACTGTGCGGCGTATTCCTGTGCCAACAGGCGGACAGCAGAGAACAGGGCTCAAGGAATAACTTCTCACAGTTATGATTACATGTTTTTTCAACATTACACTTGACTGTAGAGTCATTTGTAGGCCAAAGAGGAAGACTATCGGTCAACTCCAAAAAGGAAACAGCATTTGCGAACAGCTAGCTTATTCACAATAATAGCAACTTTGCTCGATTATCAACAGATTTGCATTAGATTGAAAAACTTTTGTTTGAGAGAGGTTCTAAGAAACGTTAAGAAATAAAATAGAAAGAAGAAGGAAGAAAGTGAGCTCTGTTTTATTATCTGTTTTATTAAAGATTTCTTTGTGGTGATCTCCTGTTTCATTTTGAAGATTTCCTAAGGACAAAAACTTGAGGAAGAAGTGGGAGATTGCTGTTAGAGGGAGAAATTCGCAGCAAGTGATTCCTCTGTGCTGTGTAGCCAACAAGCAAATTGATATGTAGTTTAGATGCTGTCCTGTCATGCTGTTCTTGTGTTTAAATTTTTTTGATATGTAGGCTTAATATTTGTGTGTATTTCTTTGTGTGTATTTTCCAGTTATTAAAATAGTGCTTCTATATGAGATTATTTGTGTGTGTCTACAAATGGATAAATAACATAGAATAGAATAGAATAGAATATTCCTTTATTGATCCCCCTCAAATCAATATATATTGAATTGGCCTATTAAAACCGCCAGTTATTAATAATTATTGAGATATAGCAGGAACCTAGCTCTAAACCTAGATATATCCTTGATTAATTGTTATACTATAATACAGCCACTGCTGCCATGTTCTAAAATATCATTTTATTCATTTTGAGTATTTGAAAACGCCCAAAAAAATATGGCCTCTATCATGCCTCTTTGAATGGCGTTTGCAGAGAAGAAAATTACGTAGTATTGAGCGAACTATGATTCATTTAATGCGCTCAGACTTCATTCCGCCGGTTAAACAGCGGTGCAGAGTGAGGCGGATGACCGGACCAAGATGGCGGCCGCATTTCTCGACAGCGCCCATTCGTGGTAGCGGCCGATGCGGGGTCTATCTTTTATTATGTCTATGCCGAGACCAACCTACAATGTGGGCGTGTCTAGTATCTGAAGTAGTATCTGAAGTAGCATGCTACTCGCTCCGTTGGCCAATTCGGACATGCCAGATACTACTTCGACTACTACTTGGCAATTCGGACGCAGCTACAGCGTCGACATTTTTAGAGAAGCTGAGATATCTGAGGACGATCCAGTTTTCACAGCGCAACCTTCTTTACAGTCTGTAACGAACCAACGATGTCTGTAGCTGAATCTCTCCGAGAGTTTGTGACCGAGCGGCTCGCTGCTGCTACTGAAGACATTTTGGGAGTTTTGAACAGAACTGTGGTCCAGTACGAGGAAGAGCTGGACCGTCAACGCAGACTGCTGGATTTGGTTTGGAAACCTCACATTCTCTTACACAGAATCGGTAAGAAGAGCCAAGTTTAGACTGAATAATGAAGCAGAAGCTCGGTTTAGATCAGGGCTGCCTCTCCTCTCGGTTTCCATGTATACACATTCTCTTTAAGTTACAACTTATCTTCCTACTCTTTTCTTCATAGTATTAAAACTTATTTTACACTGTGTTGCTAATTTTATGTCATTTATCATGCTAGAGTCTGTCAGTATTGCACCTCAATTCTTACACATTTTAACTGAATTGTGTTTAATGTTCCTTCTCAGTCCTTAAAATATTACATCCTTCTTGTGATTCCAATTCTCTGTTTTCTGTTCCATCTCATTGACATATTTATGCTTCTGTGTTCCTGCAGATCTTCCGCAACAACATGACTGCGAGGAGGACGAGGTCGTCTCAGACACGCAGCCCTGGAACCAGGAGAGGAACTCCAGTCCGGAACAAGAGGACCCAGAGCCTCTACAGATTAAAGAGGAAGAGGAGGAATTCTGCACTGGTCAGGACAGAGAGCAGCTTGAACCAAAGCAGGAGACTGAACACTTGATGTTAACTCTAACCTGCCATGAACCAGAAGTAAAGAAGGAAAAGCTTCATGGTGAGTTCACATTTAAAACAGCACATACTTATTCACTCAGGAGAAAAGCTGTTCACCTGTGAAACATGCAACAAATCTTTTTACAGTCCAATTAAACTGAGAAGGCACATGAGAACACACACAGGTGAGAGACCGTACTCCTGTGGCACCTGTGGGAAAAGTTTTGGTCAGACTTCACATTTAAAAAAGCACATCCTTACTCACTCAGAAGAAAAGTTGTTCACCTGCAAAACTTGCAGCAAATCTTTTAACAGGAAGGATCAACTAAAACTGCACATGACAGCACACACAGATGAATGACCGTACTCCTGATACATTTGAGGGAGAAGCTTCGGTCTGAATTCACATTTAAAAACGCACATGCGTTCTCAGATTAGTTGTACTGTTCAAGTCGAAAGATGTTCACTTATAAAAGCATGCAGCAAATCTTTCTTGAGTAATGATTACCTAAGACTGCACACGAGAACACACACAGGTGAGAGACTGTACACCTGTAGCACATGTGGGTGGAGCTTCACTTTGAATTCAAATTTAAAAAAGCAAATGCTGATTCACTTAAGAGAAAAGCTGTTTACCTGCATAACTTGCAACAAATCTTTTATCAGTACAAGTCACCTGAGAATGCACATGAAAGAGCCCACTGATGAGAGATTGTACTCCTGTGGCACCTGTGGGGAAAAGTTCTCTCAGAAAACATCCTCAGATTGTCACACCCTAAAACTATGTACACTACAGGCCAAAAGTTTGGAAGCAAGGCCATTACAGGCCGAACAGTTGGGGGTAACTTCAAGTTTTTGTTCACAATCCTTGTTTTTTTAAATCCAGCATGAGTTGTATGTATTTTGGGATGTATTTACTGCATGATCAGATGTTGCTTTCATGGAAATGCATCATTTGATTCCATTTACCTTTAGATATACATTGATGTTAACAGACTATTGCTAAATATATGTCAGCAAAAGAAAATAAGGGCTTAGTCGCAGGGTCCTCACAGACCTTGACTATGCGGATGACATACACAAGTTCCACAAGAACTGATGAACAGGGTAGAGCTAGAGTGCACCAAGGTTGGCTTTAGGCTAAATAGGGTTTTGCCTGCTTGTTTCATGTAAAGCACCTTGAATTGCCCAGCTGCTGAAATGTGCTACACAAATAAACTTGACTTGACTCGACTTGACTTGACTAAATGCCAAGAAAACCGAGGTCATCACCTACAACGTTCCACCAGAACATCAACCTCTGACTACAGCAGGAGGCGCTGTGCTGACAGAAGTCGAGGACTTCAAATACCTGGGCTCATGGGTCAACTCAACTAAACGAGATCTAAAAGTGAGGAAGGCACTTGCATGGAGAGCCCTGAACGGCATGACCAGTGTATGGGACTCTAACCTCCCCCGCCAAATCAAACTCAGCCTCTTCTACGCGACACAAGAGTCTGTTCTCCCCTATGGCAGTGAATGCTGGACCCTGAAGCCAACCCTGGAGAAATCCCTAGATGGGTGCTACACCAGGATGTTGCGTGCAGTGCTTAACATCAGCAAGAACGCAGAGCAGAGCTTTACTGAGCTTTTACTGAGCACAACTCTGCTTGGACGACAGCAGGGCAGGAAACGGGGACCATCCGGACTTATACCCAAACCCTGCCTGTGTTGGTGACTCTGATAAGGACGAACAGAGTCAAGTGTAAGGTAAACAAGAAGCAGAGGTGCAGCAGCAGCGAGCAAGCAAAAGGAAAAGCAAATGGGACGGCGGAGCAAATGGACTATCATATCAATACACACATATTCTGTTGTTATCCATGTGTATTCTGCATACTCACATTATTTACACATACTCATTCCAGGTATATGGAAACAGGTAAAGGAAATGGTTAATCATTTTTTGAGCAAAATAAAACATGTGGTTGATTGTCATGTAGAGTGGGTCAGTGAAAAGCTGTTAGATTTAGAAGGTTCACGGTGAAGGTCGCCAGCGGGAGGGGCCGCAGGGGAATTTCCTGCTCAAAGCAGCCAGCAGGTTTTCGCCCCTGCCAGATGTGAACCAAGTCACAAGTGATTTAAGTGTTGTGTTTATGAAAAATGTAACATTCGTGATCACAAGCATGAGTTGGATTGGTTTGAAAACATACATATGCATCTGTAATCAATCTAGTAGTATCATATCACATAACGTTGTCATAACTCATTCATGTAACGTAACTAAGGCTAAGACAAGATAAGTGTGAATCTCCAACGGCGTCATTGAACTCGTTTAATCTTGAAAAGATTCAAAGGGGGGATATGTGGGGGAAAATAATAGATATGTTTTGGATGTTTTGGAGGTTACTATGAGGCAAGAAAACAGGATATGGTTGGAGAGGTCAGATGGGGATAAACTTCATCAGGTCATGGTGAACTGTATTACAATAACAGGAAATTTGGCAGAGGAAGATGGATACAGATGTGCTTCAGAGATATTGGCAGGGAAAGTCACGTAGGGAACTTTCCCACGGGAAAGTGACCTTCATACACACACACGAAGATAGCTTCGCACACACATTTGGCAAAAGTTGAGATCAGTGACGTCATTGGAGTACTATAAGAGATCTGTGGTTTTTCTGTTCTGGGGTCTGTCTGTTCGATTGTTCATGAGCTGTGTTTGATGCTGTGACCAGAATAAAATCCCGCGAGAGGCTGCCAGCTTGATTCTGTCTTCGTGTAGTTCATTCCTGCATTTTTGCACCGAGGTCATCTTCTAAACGAACCAACGATATCTGTAGCTGAATCTCTCCGAGAGTTTGTGACCGAGCGGCTCGCTGCTGCTACTGAAGACATTTTGGGAGTTTTGAACAGAACTGTGGTCCAGTACGAGGAAGAGCTGGACCGTCAACGCAGACTGCTGGATTTGGTTTGGAAACCTCACATTCTCTTACACAGAATCGGTAAGAAGAGCCAAGTTTAGACTGAATAATGAAGCAGAAGCTCGGTTTAGATCAGGGCTGCCTCTCCTCTCGGTTTCCATGTATAAATACTGTGAATAAAGGCGGAGGAACAACCCTGTATGAGTTCAACAATAACTGTGCTGTGTTAATGTGGTGCTATTGTGTCAGTGGTTCTTAATCTGCCGTTAACGATCAGAGGAAGATCAAGGAGTCCGGGGGACGCTCTCGGACGTTGACCCCGTCCTCTTTTGTTCCCTCGAGCTGTTATAATGACCCGGTACCAAAACTCATCATGTGGACAGAAAACAGGGGAAAGAAGGGGAAACCTAAGAATGACAGATTTGTGTGTGTTGTTGGAAAAAAGGTGGTTTACTTTCATCTTACGGGTTAGTTTTACGTGACTCCTGTACATAAAGCTGAGCCCTTTGAGTTCATCACATACCCCCCTGGGTGTCTTTTGTTTGTATAGATATAAACCAGTTTGGCCTCTGTGAGCTCTATTAATGGATACTATGTTAACTAATTGCCATTTTGATTCTCCTGCAGTACAGAATGTTTAAAAGTGCCTGATGGATGTGCTTCCAACATGACGACAAAGTACCTTTTGATTGATTCTGACTTTAGTTTTGTGATCTCAGACAACAGTAGATGTCCAGTGCACAGCACCAACAGTCCTTTTCACTTTAAGCAGAGGAAGACAGGATAAACAGCTTCACCTCACAAATTAGGACTGCTGTATTCTCATAAAGTAATATTAGTCTTTAATACATTTTATAATCTTGATTTTACTCGTTCTCTTTAAGTTACAACTTATCTTCCTACTCTTTTCTTCATCGTATTAAAACTTATTTTACATTGTGTTGCTAATTTTATGTCGTTTATCTTGCTAGAGTCTATCAGTATTGCACCTCAATTCTTCAACATTTTAACTGAATTGTGTTTAATGTTACTTCTCAGTCCTGAAAATATTACATCCTTCTCGTGATTCCAATTCTCTGTTTTCTGTTCCATCTCATTGACATATTTATGCTTCTGTGTTCCTGCAGATCTTCCACAACAACATGACTGCGAGGAGGACGAGGTTGTCTCAGACCTGCAGCCCTGGAACCAGGAGAGGAACTCCAGTCCGGAACAAGAGGACCCAGAGCCTCTACAGATTAAAGAGGAAGAGGAGGAATTCTGCACCGGTCAGGACAGAGAGCAGCTTGAACCAAAGCAGGAGACTGAACACTTGATGTTAACTCTAACCTGTCAGGAAAGTGACAACACTGAACCAGAAGTAATGAAGGAAGACCAGTTCCTGTCTCACAACTCTGATGAGGCTGCAGACCAAGATCCACAGAAAGACAAGCTCACAGAGTCAGAATCAACTTCAAAATCAGCTGGACTGCTGGATTTGGTTTGGAAACCTCACATTCTCTTACACAGAATCGGTAAGAAGAGCCAAGTTTAGACTGAATAATGAAGCAGAAGCTCGGTTTAGATCAGGGCTGCCTCTCCTCTCGGTTTCCATGTATAAATACTGTGAATAAAGGCGGAGGAACAACCCTGTATGAGTTCAACAATAACTGTGCTGTGTTAATGTGGTGCTATTGAGTCAGTGGTTCTTAATCTGCCGTTAACGATCAGAGGAAGATCAAGGAGTCCGGGGGACGCTCTCGGACGTTGACCCCGTCCTCTTTTGTTCCCACGAGCTGTTATAATGACCCGGTACCAAAACTCATCATGTGGACAGAAAACAGGGGAAAGAAGGGGAAACCTAAGAATGACAGACATGTGTGTTGTTGGAAAAAAGGTGGTTTACTTTCATCTTACGGGTTAGTTTTACGTCCAACTTATTTGACTCCTACAGGAAGGCCTTAAGTGACTCCTGTACACAAAGCTGAGCCCTTTGAGTTCATCACATACCCCCCTGGGTGTCTTTTGTTTGTATAGATATAAACCAGTTTGGCCTCTGTGAGCTCTATTAATGGATACTATGTTAACTAATTGCCATTTTGATTCTCTTGAAGTACAAAATGTTTAAAAAGTGCCTGATGGATGTGCTTCCAAGATGAGGACAAAGTACCTTTTAAATGCTTTTGTAGTTAAGTAATGTGGACAGAATGCCTTCTGACTTTAGTTTTGTGATCTCAGACAACAGTAGATGCCCAGTGCACAGCACCAACAGTCCTTTTCACTTTAAGCAGAGGAAGACAGGATAAGCAGCTTCACCTCACAAATGAAGACTGCTGTATTCTCATAAAGTAATATTAGTGTTTAATACATTTTATAATCTTGATTTTACTCGTTCTCTTTATGTTACAACTTATCTTCCTACTCTTTTCTCCATTGTATTAAAACTTATTTTACATTGTGTTGCTAATTTTATGTCGTTTATCTTACTAGAGTCTATCAGTATTGTACCTTAATTCTTCAACATTTTAACTGAATTGTGTTTAATATTACTTCTCAGTCCTGAAAATATTACATCCTTCTTGTGATTCCAATTCTCTGTTTTCTGTCCCATCTCATTGACATATTTACGCTTCTGTGTTCCTGCAGATCTTCCACAACATCATGACTGTGAAGAGGACGAGGTTGTCTCAGACCTGCAGCCCTGGAACCAGGAGAGGAACTCCAGTCTGGAACAAGAGGACCCAGAGCCTCAACAGATTAAAGAGGAAGAGGAGGAATTCTGCACCGGTCAGGACAGAGAGCAGCTTGAACCAAAGCAGGAGGCTGAACACTTGATGTTAACTCTAACCTGTCAGGAAAGTGAGAACACTGAACCAGAAGTAAAGAAGGAAGACCAGTTCCTGTCTCACAACTCTTATGAGGCTGCAAACCAAGACCCACAGAAAGACAAGCTCACAGAGTCAGAATCAACTTCAAAATCAGAACAACATCCCCCCAAAAAAGTTCACAAACGAAGAAGTAAGAAGACAAAACAGCCTAAGGTTCACTCTGATCCTCAACAAGGTGAAAAGACTTTTAAATGTGACACAAATAGGGAAACGTTTACCAGCAATTCAAATTTACAGACACATCGAAGTGTTCCCACTGGTAAGAAGAAGCATACTTGTGAGAGGTGTGGGAAGATATTCAGATACAAGTATTTGCTGACAAATCACGCAAGATCACACACAGGTGAGAAACCATACTCCTGTGGGAAAAGCTTCAATTGGAAACCAGATTTAAAAAAGCACATGCAAATTCATTCAAGAGAAAAGCTGACCACCTGCAAAACATGTGGCAAATCTTTTACCTGTACAAGTCACCTGAGAATACACATAAGAAAACACACAGGTGAGAAACCATACTCCTGTGGCACTTGTGGGAATCGCTTCACTGCGAGTTCCAGTTTAAAAACGCACATGCTTATTCACTCAGGAGAAAAGCTGTTCACCTGTGAAACATGCAACAAATCTTTTACCTGTACAAGTCACCTGAGAGTACACATAAGAAAACACACAGGTGAGAGACCATACTCCTGTGGCACTTGTGGGAATCGCTTCACTGCGAGTTCCAGTTTAAAAAAGCACATGCTTATTCACTCAGGAGAAAAGCTGTTCACCTGTGAAACATGCAACAAATCTTTTACCTGTACAAGTCACCTGAGAATACACATGAGAAAACACACAGGTGAGAGACCATACTCCTGTGGCACCTGTGGGAAAAGCTTCATAGTGAATTCAAGTTTAAAAACGCACATGCGAATTCATTCAGGAGAAAAGCTGTTCACCTGTGAAACATGCAACAAATCTTTTGCCAGTAAAAGTAACCTGAGAAAGCACATGAGAACACACACAGGTGAGAGACCATACTCCTGTGGCACCTGTGGGAAAAGCTTTGGTCAGAATTCACATTTAAAAATGCACATGCATATTCACTCAAGAGAAAATCTGACCACCTGCAAAACATGCAACAAATCTTTTGTCAGTCCAGGTAACCTGAGAACGCACATGAGAATACACACAGGTGAGAGACCATACTCCTGTAGAACTTGTGGGAAAAGCTTTGGTCAGACTTCACATTTAAAAATGCACATGCCTATTCACTCAAGAGAAAATCTGACCACCTGCAAAACATGCAACAAATCTTTTGTCAGTCCAGGTAACCTGAGAATACACATGAGAATACACACAGGTGAGAGACCATACTCCTGTAGAACTTGTGGGAAAAGCTTCATGGTGAGTTCACATTTAAAACAGCACATGCTTATTCACTCAGGAGAAAAGCTGTTCACCTGTGAAACATGCAACAAATCTTTTTACAGTCCAATTAAACTGAGATCGCACATGAGAACACACACAGGTGAGAGACCGTACTCCTGTGGCACCTGTGGGAAAAGTTTTGGTCAGACTTCAAATTTAAAAGCGCACATCCTTACTCACTCAGAAGAAAAGTTGTTCACCTGCAAAACTTGCAGCAAATCTTTTAACAGGAAGGATCAACTAAAACTGCACATGACAGCACACACAGATGAATGACCGTACTCCTGATACATTTGAGGGAGAAGCTTCGGTCTGAATTCACATTTAAAAACGCACATGCGTTCTCAGATTAGTTGTACTGTTCAAGTGGAAAGATGTTCACTTATAAAAGCATGCAGCAAATCTTTGTTGAGTAATGATTACCTAAGACTGCACACGAGAACACACACAGGTGAGAGACTGTACACCTGTAGCACATGTGGGTGGAGCTTCACTTTGAATTCAAATTTAAAAAAGCAAATGCTGATTCACTTAAGAGAAAAGCTGTTTACCTGCATAACTTGCAACAAATCTTTTATCAGTACAAGTCACCTGAGAATATACATGACAGCGCACACTGATGAGAGATTGTATTCCTGTGGCACCTGTGGGGAGAAGTTCTCTCAGAAAACATACTCAGATTGTCACATCCCAAAACCATATATGTATAAATCCTGTGGCACCTGTGGGAAATCATTCAGCAGGAAGATTTCTTTAGATGGTGACATAAGAACCCACACAGGTCAAATGTGGCAGGTCTGTCAGATACAGCAGGAAGTTCCATCAAAAAGTGCAACAGAAGCTGGTGACTGAAATCAGAAGTAAATGTCATGGTGTGAAGTCAGAATACAGTTGGAGATCATGTGAACTGGATTCTCTGTTCTGTGCAAGTTCAACCCTACACATGACATGTTAGGGGAATGAGGTCTCAGCTAATTAAATACCATCTGTTTTCTTCCCCTGGATGAACAAATGTTCTTTTCTTTTTTACTCATGAGCTACTTTGGTTGGCTGTTTCTTTTTCCAGAATATTTGTATCTGTTTATTTGTTGTAATAACTTGTTTATATGATAATCTACAACAAATTTGATTTAGTTGACTGTAGCTGTAATGCTGATAAAGGTTAGTGATCAGAATATGGTGACCAATAAACTTGGACTGTCAAAATAAAGTTCATAGTAATGCATTTGTATCCTGATTTCACAGAAGTGAACCAAAAGAGGACAGAGCTTTAAAACCGGATGGTCCTGATCTTCAGGCCCTCAGACTGCACTGCAGTAAAAACAGACTGGACTCTGGAGTGGAATTCACTGCATGGGCTCAAAATCACTTCAAAACCCATTGACTGTGAACACAGTTCTTCACTGTATCCACAGATGAGGTTCAAACTGCAAATGAAGAATCATTTATTGATCAGTAGGTGGGTGAGATGATTGATGAGGACAAGGCTGGAGATCGATCTGTCTCACTGACTTGGTAAGAATAACAGACTGGATGCTTTACAAGTAGGGCTCAAAACCATTGTTCTTACTCTGTTAACCATTGTTATCTGCAAGGAAATATGTGCAGTTCTGAAATACACTTATGGTGCAACTTAAGACACATCATCAGTGTTTTCACCTGGGTTCACTGGGTGTTTCGGGTCTTGCAACAGACACCCTCGCCCAGGGGACCCAGCCGGGGTGATCAAGTCCCGGCTTGTGTCTTAAGAGCATGTGTCCACGGATCACCCCGCTTGATCCACAGCCATCTGGACGCCTTCTCTGCTGCGTCACAGATGTTCTTAATGGCTCGCCTGTTGTGCAGTCCCCCCATTCCCAGCATCTTGAGAGCCCTGATGAGGGACTGGCCAGCGAATCCTCTGCATCCGACCTCGATGGGGTTGCACCGGGTCCTCCATCCCCTGCTTCGGCATTCACTTGCCAGCTCCTCATACTTGGCTTTCTTTCTCTCAAAGGCCTCCTCCATCCTGTCTTCCCAGGGAACAGTCAACTCCAGCAGGACCACTTGCCTTGTTGTTTCAGACACCAGGACCATGTCTGGCCTGAGCGTGGTCACTGCGATGTTCTCCGGGAATTTGAGCTGTCTCCCTAGGTCGACTTTCAGCTGCCAGTCACGGGCTGTTGCCAGCAGCCCCCCTGCTTGCCTCCTGAGCTGCTGCGGCTTCTCCCCAGCCTTAACGAAGGCGATGGTCTGCCTTGATGGTTGTGTGTGTTTGCTGGTGGAGATGCCTGTGTTGATGGCCTCCGCAATGACCCGTAGCACTTGGTCATGGCGCCAGCGGTAGCGCCCCTCTCCCAGTGCTCTTGGGCAGCAGCTCAAGATGTGTTCCAGTGATCCTGCTCTTTGGCAGAGAGGGCACAGTGGGTTCTCAGCCAAGCCCCAGCGGTGGAGGTTGGATGGGCTTGGGAGGACGTCGTAGACCGACTGAATGAGGAACTTGATCCGGTGAGGCTCAGAGCGCCATAGCTCTGACCACGAGACCTTCCGGGCAGCTGCCTCCTCCCAACGGGTCCACGCCCCCTGCTGCCGCATCCCCACTGTCTTGCTGCAGCGGGCTTCCTCCACCCCTGCTCGGACCTCCTCCTGGATCAGCTGACGCCTTTCCTTCCCCTTGGCCTTGTTATATGAAGGTCTCGGGTTGCTCCCAAGTCCTGCCCGTCCGGATGCCACCGTTCCCACCAGCTCACTGTGCCGCAAGCGGGACTCAGCCTGATCGACTGCCTCTTGAGCACACCACTTCCTGCCGGTCCTCACTTCTACACCTGCCGAGGAGACTTTGATGTCACTTGAGTCCCTATACAGCAGCACCTCTCTTGCACGGGTAACCATAAACTCCTCCGTCAGACTGCTGAAGGGTAGGTTAAGTTTGTTGCTCTTCCCGTACAATGCGATGCTGCTGAGGCTTCGTGGTAGGCCCAGCCACTTCCGCAAGAAAGAGCTGACCTTCCTCTCGAAGCACTCGACGGTGGTCACAGGCACATTATAAACCAGCAGTGGCCAGAGAAGTCGAGGTAGGATGCCATGTTGGTAAATCCAGGCTTTGAACTTGCCTGGTAGCCCCGACTTATCCACTGCCGTCAGCCAGGTTCCCAACTCCTCTGATGTTGCTTGGAGTGCTGTGGTGTCCTTCAAGGTGCAGTCGTAGATCTTGCCCAGGCTCTTAACTGGCTTTTCACCCACAGATGGAATCAGGGTATCTCCTATTGAGAAGCGAAACTTCTCTGCGACCTTCCCCTTTCTCACCACCAGGGACCTGGATTTGGCTGGCTTGAAGTTCATCCGGGCCCAGCTGACGAGATGTTCCAGGCCTTGGAGGATCCATCTACAGCCCGGGACAGATGTTGTAGTCACCGTCAGATCATCCATAAATGCTCTGATGGGGGGCTGTCGCGTACCTGAGTTGGTGAGTGGTCCTCTGCACTCCACCTCTGCTGACTTCACCAGCATATTCATGGCCAAGGAAAACAGTACCACAGAAATGGTGCATCCTGTGATAATGCCCTTCTCAAGCCGATGGAATGCAGATGTTACTGTTCCGGAAGTGACTCTCAAACTGAAGCAGCTGTAGTAGTCCAGTATGAGGTCCTTGATCTTGCCTGGAACATGGTGTCGGTCGAGCGAGATTTCCACCAGCTTGTGTGGCATGGACCCGTAGGCGTTGGCAAGGTCGAGCCAAAGGACTGCCAGATCTCCTCTGCCTTCTCTTGCTTCCCGGATCAGCTGGGTGACAACTCCTGTATGCTCGATGCATCCTGGGACCTTTGGGACTCCTCCCTTCTGCACAGAGGTGTCGATGTAAGTGTTCCTCAGGAGGAACTCCATCAAGCGCCGGGCAACGATGCTTAAGAAAATCTTGCCCTCGACGCTGAGGAGTGAGATGATCCTGAATTGCTCGATGGTGGTTGAGCTCTCCTCCTTTGGAATCCAGACCCCCTCTGCATGTCTCCACTGCTGGGCCACCTTCCCCCTTCTCCAGATGACCCGGAGGATTGACCATAGTCGCTTCAAGAGTCTGGGGCATCTCTTGTAGACCACATATGGCACTCCACTGGGGCCTGGTGCTGACTTGGACCTAGCTGCCTTGACAACCTCCTCAACTTCTCTCAAAGTTGGCTCCTTGGTGTTAAATGCCGAGGTGGGTTCTGGCGGAGTTATCAGGGTTCTGCATGGCCCAAGATCTTCTTCTCTTGCACTATCGCTGTAGGTGGTATTGAGGTACTTGTTAACCTCGTCTTCAGTGCAGGCAAGGTGGCCACTTCTTTTCTGCCCGAGGATTTTCTTGGTGAAGCCAAAGGGATTTGAGATGAAGGCTGCACGTCTCCTGGCCCTCTCTCTACCCCTTCTCCTATGCCACTCTGCTCGACGGAGGATGATGAGCCTTTTCCTTATTGTGCTGCGGAGCTCTGCCAGCCCGGCCTTCTCTTCCTCCCTTGCCACCTTAAACTGTCATCCAAGCAGTTTAAGTTCCTGCCGCAGCTGGCTGATCTTTACCTCCCGTCTGTTTGGCTCCCCTGGGCATCTGGTTGGCTCCCCTGGGTGTCTGGTTGGCTGTTGTTCCTTTATGCCGAACCTTTCAGCACCGATGTTGATGATCATCGCCGACATTGACAGCAATCTCTGGTCTGCATCTCCCCTTGCAGTAGCGTCAAGGACTCGGTCCACGTCTTCATCAAATTGGAGCCACTCTCTTTCTTTGTTGGCTGCAGGCCACACGACCCGTCGATGTTCTGAATGCTTGAAACGAGGTAGGACTTGTGGGGCGTGGAGGGTCTGGGCACTGTGGGTTGACTCCTGGCCGGGCACCTCCTGCGTCTCACCAGGTTCTGGACCTGTGCGTTGCACCACCTGCTTCCCCGTCAAGCATCTCATTTTGGTCTGGTGGATCTTCAGACCACGCGGGTTCTTGCAGACCTTGCCGCATGGACAGACTGCGCTCGTAGTCATTTTTCCGTTCCGCTTCGTTGCCTGTTTGTCAGTCCTGTTGGGGTGCTCATCCTCCCCCCCTCTCGGGCACCCCTGGGGGTATACTTCGTCAGGGCTTTTCGTAGCGTGCTTGTGGGTGCTCCCTCACAGGAGCTGCAGTTTGGGTTGCTGGCCCTCCCTGCCCCGGTTACTGTCTTTCCAGTTGTCAGCTGACTCTCCAGCAGTCACCATACTGTTCATGGTCGTCATCCGGCCTATTCCCGGAGGTCACTGGCATGGCCAGATCAACTAGTTCTGAAATACACTTATGGTGCAACTTAAGACACATCATCAGTGTTGGCACCTGGGTTCACTGGGTGTTTTGGGTCTTGCAACAGACACCCTCGCCCAGGGGACCCAGCCGGGGTGATCAAGTCCCGGCTTGTGTCTTAAGAGCATGTGTCCACGGATCACCCCGCTTGATCTACAGCCATCTGGACGCCTTCTCTGCTGCGTCACAGATGTTCTTAATGGCTCGCCTGTTGTGCAGTCCCCCCATTCCCAGCATCTTGAGAGCCCTGATGAGGGACTGGCCAGCGAATCCTCTGCATCCGACCTCGATGGGGTTGCACCGGGTCCTCCATCCCCTGCTTCGGCATTCACTTGCCAGCTCCTCATACTTGGCTTTCTTTCTCTCAAAGGCCTCCTCCATCCTGTCTTCCCAGGGAACAGTCAACTCCAGCAGGACCACTTGCCTTGTTGTTTCAGACACCAGGACCATGTCTGGCCTGAGCGAGTCATTTTTGCTGTTCACAAAAAGGGCTTCACTGGGAAGGATGTTGCTGCTAGTCAGATTGCACCTGAAACAATCCTTTATCAGATCATCAAGAACTTCAAGGAGAGAGGTTCAATTATTGTGAAGAAGGCTTCAGGGTGCCTAAGGAAGTCCATCAAGAGCCAGGACTGCCTCCTAAAGTTGATTTAGCTGCAAGATCGGGGCATCACACGTGCAGAGCTTGCTCAGGAATGGCAACAAGCAGGTGTGAGTGCTTGTGCACGTACAGTGAGGTGAAGACTTTTGGAGGAATAAGAAGAACTTTATTAATCCCCGAAGGGAAATTTAATTGTCTGTTGTGTCACATAATATGTCTTAAAAACTTATCTACTATTTACACAAGAGTTATAAAGTCTGATGGATGTTGGTACAAAAGATCTTCTGAATCTTTCTGTCCTGCAGCAAAGAGAGAGGAGCCGTCCACCACTATTGGCCCTTTGGTCCATCAAGGTGTTGTGAAGTGGGTGATCCATTTTCCTTAGAATAGACCTTCCTCAGTGTAGATCTCTCCACCACATCCTCCACTGAGTCCAGCTTGAGTCCTACCACAGAGCCAGCCTTTTCCACCAGTTTGTTCAGATGTCTTGCATCTTTATGTTTGATGCTTCCTCCCCAGCAGACTACAGCATAGAACTGAATACCAGCCACCACAGACTGATGAAACATCTGCAGCATCTTACTACAGATGTTTATTGATCGGAGTCTTCTTACACAAAAGAGGCGGCTCTGCCCCTTTCTGTAGATGAAGTCTATATTCTTAGACGAGTCCAACTTATTATCCAAATGTACACCTAGGTACTTATCTGATGTCACCATTTCCATGTCCACTCCACAGGTGTTTGCTGGCTGAAGAGGGGGTTTGGACCTACGGTAGTCTATGACCATCTCCTTTGTCTTTGAGGTGTTGAGGAGGAGGCAGTTTTTGTGACTCCAGTCACTGAAGGCTCTAATCAGATCTCTTTATTCAGCTTCTCTTCCATACATGTCATCTGAGTAATTTTTGGATGTGGCAGGACTCAGTGCTGTATTTGAAGTCTGATGTATACAGTGTGAACAGGAATGGCGCCAGCACTGTCCCTTGTGGAGCCCCTGTACTGCTCATTAATGTCTCAGAAACACAGTTCCCCAGCCTGACAAACTGTGGCCTTCCTGTCAGGTAATCTGAATCAGCCGCTCCAGGGTTTTCATGATGTGTGAAGTGAGGGCCACTGGTCTGTAGTCTTTGAGTTCAAAGAGGAGGGCGGAACATTTGGTTGGCCGCAGCTCCGCTTACGGAACTTTATTGGTGTGACACACGGCGGAAGTACCGAACAATTTGGCTCTTGTAAAGAAGCTGAGATATCTGAGGACAATCCAGTTTTCACAGCGCAACCTTCTTTACAATCTGTAACGAACCAACGATGTCTGTCGCCGAATCTCTCCGAGAGTTTGTGACCGAGCGGCTCGCTGCTGCTACTGAAGACATTTTGGGAGTTTTGAACAGAACTGTGGTCCAGTACGAGGAAGAGCTGGACCGTCAACGCAGACTGCTGGATTTGGTTTGGAAACCTCACATTCTCTTACACAGAATCGGTAAGAAGAGCCAAGTTTAGACTGAATAATGAAGCAGAAGCTCGGTTTAGATCAGGGCTGCCTCTCCTCTCGGTTTCCATGTATAAATACTGTGAATAAAGGCGGAGGAACAACCCTGTATGAGTTCAACAATAACTGTGCTGTGTTAATGTGGTGCTATTGAGTCAGTGGTTCTTAATCTGCCGTTAACGATCAGAGGAAGATCAAGGAGTCCGGGGGACGCTCTCGGACGTTGACCCCGTCCTCTTTTGTTCCCGCGAGCTGTTATAATGACCCGGTACCAAAACTCATCATGTGGACAGAAAACAGGGGAAAGAAGGGGAAACCTAAGAATGACAGACATGTGTGTTGTTGGAAAAAAGGTGATTTACTGTCGTCTTACGGGTTAGTTTTACGTCCAACTTATTTGACTCCTACAGGAAGGCCTTAAGTGACTCCTGTACACAAAGCTTAGTCCTTTGAGTTCATCACATACCCCCCTGGGTGTCTTTTGTTTGTATAGATATAAACCAGTTTGGCCTCTGTGAGCTCTATTAATGGATACTATGTTAACTAATTGCCATTTTGATTCTCTTGAAGTACAAAATGTTTAAAAGTACCTGATGGATGTGCTTCTAAGATGACGACAAAGTACCTTTTAAATGCTTTTGTAGTTAAGTAATGTGGACAGAATGCCTTCTGCCTTTAGTTTTGTGATCTCAGACAACAGTAGATGCCCAGTGCACAGCACCAACAGTCCTTTTCACTTTAAGCAGAGGAAGACAGGATAAGCAGATTCACCTCACAAATTAGGACTGCTGTATTCTCATAAAGTAATATTAGTCTTTAATACATTTTATAATCTTGATTTTACTCGTTCTCTTTATGTTACAACTTATCTTCCTACTCTTTTCTCCATTGTATTAAAACTTATTTTACATTGTGTTGCTAATTTTATGTCGTTTATCATGCTAGAGTCTGTCAGTATTGTACCTCAATTCTTCAACATTTTAACTGAATTGTGTTTAATGTTACTTCTCAGTCCTGAAAATATTACATCCTTCTTGTGATTCCAATTCTCTGTTTTCTGTTCCATCTCATTGACATATTTATGCTTCTGTGTTCCTGCAGATCTTCCACAACAACATGACTGTGAGGAGGAGGACGAGGTTGTCTCAGACCTGCAGCCCTGGAACCAGGAGAGGAACTCCAGTCCGGAACAAGAGGACCCAGAGCCTCTACAGATCAAAGAGGAAGAGGAGGAATTCTGCACCGGTCAGGACAGAGAGCAGCTTGAACCAAAGCAGGAGACTGAACACTTGATGTTAACTCTAACCTGTCAGGAAAGTGAGAACACTGAACCAGAAGTAATGAAGGAAGACCAGTTCCTGTCTCACAACTCTGGTGAGGCTGCAAACCAAGACCCACAGAAAGACAAGCTCACAGAGTCAGAATCAACTTCAAAATCAGAACAACAACCCCCCAAAAAAGTTCACAAAAGAAGGTGTAAGAAGACAAAACAGCCTAAGGTTCACTCTGATCCTCAACAAGGTGAAAAGACTTCCAAATGTGACACAGATAGGGAGACTTTAACCAGCCATTCAAATTTACAGACACATCGAAGTGTTCCCACTGGTAAGAAGAAGCATACTTGTGAGAGGTGTGGGAAGATATTCAGATACAAGTATTTGCTGACAAATCACACAAGATCACACAAAAGTGAGAGACTGAACTCCTGTGGGAAAGGCTTCGGTTGGAAACCAGATTTGACAGAGAACATGCAAAATCACACAGGAAAAAAGCATACAATCTGCAAAACATGCAACAAATCTTTTGTCAGTCCAGGTAACCTGAGAACGCACATGAGAATACACACAGGTGAGAGACCATACTCCTGTAGAACTTGTGGGAAAAGCTTCATGGTGAGTTCACATTTGAAACAGCACATGCTTATTCACTCAGGAGAAAAGCTGTTCAACTGTGAAACATGCAACAAATCTTTTTACAGTCCAATTAAACTGAGAACGCACATGAGAACACACACAGGTGAGAGACCGTACTCCTGTGGCACCTGTGGGAAAAGTTATGGTCAGACTTCACATTTAAAAACGCACATCCTTACTCACTCAGAAGAAAAGTTGTTCACCTGCAAAACTTGCAGCAAATCTTTTAACAGGAAGGATCAACTAAAACTGCACATGACAGCACACACAGATGAATGACCGTACTCCTGATACATTTGAGGGAGAAGCTTCGGTCTGAATTCACATTTAAAAACGCACATGCGTTCTCAGATTAGTTGTACTGTTCAAGTCGAAAGATGTTCACTTATAAAAGCATGCAGCAAATCTTTCTTGAGTAATGATTACCTAAGACTGCACACGAGAACACACACAGGTGAGAGACTGTACACCTGTAGCACATGTGGGTGGAGCTTCACTTTGAATTCAAATTTAAAAAAGCAAATGCTGATTCACTTAAGAGAAAAGCTGTTTACCTGCATAACTTGCAACAAATCTTTTATCAGTACAAGTCACCTGAGAATGCACATGAAAGAGCCCACTGATGAGAGATTGTACTCCTGTGGCACCTGTGGGGAAAAGTTCTCTCAGAAAACATCCTCAGATTGTCACACCCTAAAACTATGTACACTACAGGCCAAAAGTTTGGAAGCAAGGCCATTACAGGCCGAACAGTTGGGGGTAACTTCAAGTTTTTGTTCACAATGCTTGTTTTTTTAAATCCAGCATGAGTTGTATGTATTTTGGGATGTATTTACTGCATGATCAGATGTTGCTTTCATGGAAATGCATCATTTGATTCCATTTACCTTTAGATATACATTGATGTTAACAGACTCTTGCTAAATATATGTCAGCAAAAGAAAATAAGGGCTTAGTCGCAGGGTCCTCACAGACCTTGACTATGCGGATGACATACACAAGTTCCACAAGAACTGCTGAACAGGGTAGAGCTAGAGTGCACCAAGGTTGGCTTTAGGCTAAATAGGGTTTTGCCTGCTTGTTTCATGTAAAGCACCTTGAATTGCCCAGCTGCTGAAATGTGCTACACAAATAAACTTGACTTGACTCGACTTGACTTGACTAAATGCCAAGAAAACCGAGGTCATCACCTACAACGTTCCACCAGAACATCAACCTCTGACTACAGCAGGAGGCGCTGTGCTGACAGAAGTCGAGGACTTCAAATACCTGGGCACATGGGTCAACTCAACTAAACGAGATCTAAAAGTGAGGAAGGCACTTGCATGGAGACTGGCAGAGTGAGAGCAGTCCTGAGAGCAGAGCTGTCCCCCGCGACCCCCTCCCCGCCTCGTCTCATACAGTCTGTCAGCCTCTGAGCGGCACCTTCGCAGCAAGCAGGGGCGCCTACAGCAGCACGGGGCGCCAATTTAACAACAAGAGTTAATACAAAACCGCTTTATGGTGCAGATTTATTATTATTATCTTTTATTTTATTTTTTTGGAAGTGCTCGTGCCGCCCCCCATGAGTCATGACACAAATGCCGCCCCGGGTGGCTGCCCTGTTCGCTTGAGCCTAGAACCGCTTCTGCTCCTCCTTGTGGTGTTGTTGTGAACATACAGTCAATAAATAATAACAACCCTGTATGAGTTCAACAATAACTGTGCTGTGTTAATGTGGTGCTATTGTGTCAGTGGTTCTTAATCTGCCGTTAACGATCAGAGGAAGATCAAGGAGTCTGGGGGACACTCTCGGACGTTTACCCCTCCTCTTTTGATCCCGCGAGCTGTTATAATGACCCGGTACCAAAACTCATCATGTGGACAGAAAACAGGGTAAAGAAGGGGAAACCTAAGAATGACAGACGTGTGTTGTTGGAAAAAAAGGTGGTTTCCTATCAGTTTACGGGGTAGTTTTACGTCTAATTTCCCAAGCACAGTAAAGAAGGAACGAAGGGGTGTTAAGTCTCTGACTCCAATTCCTTAACTACCTCTCACCTTTTACCTGCGTGGTCGTTGATGGGAAGAAGAAAAGACGGGGTTCAGAAGAGTCCTCAGTTGAAGCTCTATTTATTGACTGTAATGAGTCAAGAATGAACAACAGAGTCTCAGGGTTCAGAATTAGCTCGCTGTAGCAAACAGGCATCTTAGAGGTCTGAGCGCTTCAGAACCCTGACTTAGGTTCCCTTGAACCCTTTATACACGCCTATCTGGACAAAGAGTTTGCTGATCTGGGTGTTGTCTTCGTGTGAAGGCTGGTTCCTTATTCTTCTTCAACTGTCACACTAGTGGGTCTGTATGTCCTCTCTGCTCTTTAGTTTTGTGATCTCAGACAAAAGTAATTGCCCAGTGCACAGCACCAACAGTCCTTTTCACTTAGTGCAGAGGAAGACAGGATAAACAGCTTCACCTCACATATGAGGACTCAATCGCTTCTTTTGATTAAATCCTCAGTTTCACACAGCACACACAAAAGGACTTCATCAGGTTTCCTGACTAATCCACTACACTGATGTTTTAAACAAGACCGCAGACACACTGGGTGAAGTTGGTTCTTTCTCTTATTACTCTATGTTACTACTCTTTTGTTCATAGTATTAAAACTTCTTTTACATTGTGTTGCAAATTTTATATGTCATTCATCTTGCTAGAGTCTATCAGTATTGTACCTTAATTCTTCAACATTTTAACTGAATTGTGTTTAATGTTACTTATCTGTCTTTAAAATATTACATCCTTCTCATAGAAAGTCTTCAAATACAATAAAGTGATTCCAATTCTCTATTTTCTGTCCCATCTCATTGACATATTTATGCTTCTGTGTTCCTGCAGAGCTTCCACAACAACATGACTGCGAGGAGGACGAGGTTGTCTCAGACCTGCAGCCCTGGAACCAGGAGAGGAACTCCAGTCCGGAACAAGAGGACCCAGAGCCTCTACAGATTAAAGAGGAAGAGGAGGAATTCTGCACCGGTCAGGACAGAGAGCAGCTTGAACCAAAGCAGGAGACTGAACACTTGATGTTAACTCTAACCTGTCAGGAAAGTGAGAACACTGAACCAGAAGTAAAGAAGGAAGACCAGTTCCTTTCTCACAACTCTCATGAGGCTGCAAACCAAGACCCACAGAAAGACAAGCTCACAGAGTCAGAATCAACTTCAAAATCAGAACAACACCCCCCCAAAAAAGTTCACAAAAGAAGAAGTAAGAAGACAAAACAGCCTAAGGTTCGCTCTGATCCTCAACAAGGTGAAAAGACTTTTAAATGTGACACAAATAGGGAAACATTTACCAGAAATTCATATTTACAGACACATGTAAGTGTTTTCACTGGTAAGAAGAAGCATACTTGTGAGAGGTGTGGGGAGATATTCAGATACAAGTATTTGCTGACTAATCACGCTAGATCAAACAAAGGTGAGAAACCATACTCCTGTGGCACCTGTGGGAAAAGCTTTGGTCAGCCTTCAAATTTAAAAAGGCACATGCATATTCACTCAGACGAAAATCCGTTCACCTGTGAAACATGCGGCAAATCTTTTTACCAGGAAAGTAACCTGAAAACACACATGAGAACACACACAGGTGAGAGACCATACTCCTGCAGCACTTGTGGGAAAAGCTTCAGTGTGAATTCACATTTAAAAGAGCACATGCTTATTCACTCAGGAGAAAAGCTGTTCACCTGTGAAACATGCAACAAATCATTTGTCAGTACAGGTAGACTGAGAAGGCACATGAGAACACACACAGGTGAGAGACCGTACTCCTGTGGCACCTGTGGGAAAAGTTTTGGTCAGACTTCACATTTAAAAAAGCACATCCTTACTCACTCAGAAGAAAAGTTGTTCACCTGCAAAACTTGCAGCAAATCTTTTAACAGGAAGGATCAACTAAAACTGCACATGACAGCACACACAGATGAATGACCGTACTCCTGATACATTTGAGGGAGAAGCTTCGGTCTGAATTCACATTTAAAAACCCACATGCGTTCTCAGATTAGTTGTACTGTTCAAGTCGAAAGATGTTCACTTATAAAAGCATGCAGCAAATCTTTCTTGAGTAATGATTACCTAAGACTGCACACGAGAACACACACAGGTGAGAGACTGTACACCTGTAGCACATGTGGGTGGAGCTTCACTTTGAATTCAAATTTAAAAAAGCAAATGCTGATTCACTTAAGAGAAAAGCTGTTTACCTGCATAACTTGCAACAAATCTTTTATCAGTACAAGTCACCTGAGAATGCACATGAAAGAGCCCACTGATGAGAGATTGTACTCCTGTGGCACCTGTGGGGAAAAGTTCTCTCAGAAAACATCCTCAGATTGTCACACCCTAAAACTATGTACACTACAGGCCAAAAGTTTGGAAGCAAGGCCATTACAGGCCGAACAGTTGGGGGTAACTTCAAGTTTTTGTTCACAATGCTTGTTTTTTTAAATCCAGCATGAGTTGTATGTATTTTGGGATGTATTTACTGCATGATCAGATGTTGCTTTCATGGAAATGCATCATTTGATTCCATTTACCTTTAGATATACATTGATGTTAACAGACTCTTGCTAAATATATGTCAGCAAAAGAAAATAAGGGCTTAGTCGCAGGGTCCTCACAGACCTTGACTATGCGGATGACATACACAAGTTCCACAAGAACTGCTGAACAGGGTAGAGCTAGAGTGCACCAAGGTTGGCTTTAGGCTAAATAGGGTTTTGCCTGCTTGTTTCATGTAAAGCACCTTGAATTGCCCAGCTGCTGAAATGTGCTACACAAATAAACTTGACTTGACTCGACTTGACTTGACTAAATGCCAAGAAAACCGAGGTCATCACCTACAACGTTCTACCAGAACATCAACCTCTGACTACAGCAGGAGGCGCTGTGCTGACAGAAGTCGAGGACTTCAAATACCTGGGCTCATGGGTCAACTCAACTAAACGAGATCTAAAAGTGAGGAAGGCACTTGCATGGAGACTGGCAGAGTGAGAGCAGTCCTGAGAGCAGAGCTGTCCCCCGCGACCCCCTCCCCGCCTCGTCTCATACAGTCTGTCAGCCTCTGTGCGGCACCTTCGCAGCAAGCAGGGGCGCCTACAGCAGCACGGGGCGCCAATTTAACAACAAGAGTTAATACAAAACCGCTTTATGGTGCAGATTTATTATTATTATCTTTTATTTTATTTTTTTTGAAGTGCTCGTGCCGCCCCCCATGAGTCATGACACAAATGCCGCCCCGGGTGGCTGCCCTGTTCGCTTGAGCCTAGAACCGCTTCTGCTCCTCCTTGTGGTGTTGTTGTGAACATACAGTCAATAAATAATAACAACCCTGTATGAGTTCAACAATAACTGTGCTGTGTTAATGTGGTGCTATTGTGTCAGTGGTTCTTAATCTGCCATAAACGATCAGAGGAAGATCAAGGAGTCTGGGGGACACTCTCGGACGTTTACCCCTCCTCTTTTGATCCCGCGAGCTGTTATAATGACCCGGTACCAAAACTCATCATGTGGACAGAAAACAGGGGAAAGAAGGGGAAACCTAAGAATGACAGACGTGTGTTGTTGGAAAAAAAGGTGGTTTCCTATCAGTTTACGGGGTAGTTTTACGTCTAATTTCCCAAGCACAGTAAAGAAGGAACGAAGGGGTGTTAAGTCTCTGACTCCAATTCCTTAACTACCTCTCACCTTTTACCTGCGTGGTCGTTGATGGGAAGAAGAAAAGACGGGGTTCAGAAGAGTCCTCAGTTGAAGCTCTATTTATTGACTGTAATGAGTCAAGAATGAACAACAGAGTCTCAGGGTTCAGAATTAGCTCGCTGTAGCAAACAGGCATCTTAGAGGTCTGAGCGCTTCAGAACCCTGACTTAGGTTCCCTTGAACCCTTTATACACGCCTATCTGGACAAAGAGTTTGCTGATCTGGGTGTTGTCTTCGTGTGAAGGCTGGTTCCTTATTCTTCTTCAACTGTCACACTAGTGGGTCTGTATGTCCTCTCTGCTCTTTAGTTTTGTGATCTCAGACAAAAGTAATTGCCCAGTGCACAGCACCAACAGTCCTTTTCACTTAGTGCAGAGGAAGACAGGATAAACAGCTTCACCTCACATATGAGGACTCAATCGCTTCTTTTGATTAAATCCTCAGTTTCACACAGCACACACAAAAGGACTTCATCAGGTTTCCTGACTAGTCCACTGATGTTTTAAACAAGACCGCAGACACACTGGGTGAAGTTGGTTCTTTCTCTTATTACTCTATGTTACTACTCTTTTGTTCATAGTATTAAAACTTCTTTTACATTGTGTTGCAAATTTTATATGTCATTCATCTTGCTAGAGTCTATCAGTATTGTACCTTAATTCTTCAACATTTTAACTGAATTGTGTTTAATGTTACTTATCTGTCTTTAAAATATTACATCCTTCTCATAGAAAGTCTTCAAATACAATGAAGTGATTCCAGTTCTCTGTTTTCTGTCCCATCTCATTGACATATTTATGCTTCTGTGTTCCTGCAGATCTTAGACAACATCATGACTGCGAGGAGGACGAGGTTGTCTCAGACCTGCAGCCCTGGAACCAGGAGAGGAACTCCAGTCCGGAACAAGAGGACCCAGAGCCTCAACAGATTAAAGAGGAAGAGGAGGAATTCTGCACCGGTCAGGACAGAGAGCAGCTTGAACCAAAGCAGGAGACTGAACACTTGATGTTAACTCTAACCTGTCAGGAAAGTGAGAACACTGAACCAGAAGTAATAAAGGAAGACCAGTTCCTTTCTCACAACTCTCATGAGGCTGCAAACCAAGACCCACAGAAAGACAAGCTCACAGAGTCAGAATCAACTTCAAAATCAGAACAACACCCCCCCAAAAAAGTTAACAAACGAAGAAGTAAGAAGACAAAACAGCCTAAGGTTCGCTCTGATCCTCAACAAGGTGAAAAGACTTTTAAATGTGACACAAATAGGGAAACATTTACCAGAAATTCATATTTACAGACACATGTAAGTGTTTTCACTGGTAAGAAGAAGCATACTTGTGAGAGGTGTGGGGAGATATTCAGATACAAGTATTTGCTGACTAATCACGCTAGATCACACACAGGTGAGAAACCATACTCCTGTGGCACCTGTGGGAAAAGCTTCAGAAATAATTCATATTTAAAAAAGCACATGCTAATTCACTCTGGAGAAAAGCTGAACACCTGTGAAACATGCAACAAATCATTTGTCAGTACAGGTAAACTGAGAAGGCACATGAGAACACACACAGGTGAGAGACCATACTCCTGTGGCACCTGTGGGAAAAGCTTTGGTCAGCCTTCAAATTTAAAAAGGCACATGCTAATTCACTCAGACGAAAAGCCGTTCACCTGTGAAACATGCGGCAAATCATTTGTCACTACAGGTAACCTGAGAATACACATGAGAACACACACAGGTGAGAGACCATACTCCTGCAGCACTTGTGGGAAAAGCTTCATGGTGAGTTCACATTTAAAAGAGCACAAGCTTATTCACTCAGGAGAAAAGCTGTTCACCTGTGAAACATGCAACAAATCATTTGTCAGTACAGGTAAACTGAGAAGGCACATGAGAACACACACAGGTGAGAGACCATACTCCTGTGGCACCTGTGGGAAAAGTTTTTGTCAGATTTCAAATTTAAAATACCACATGCTAACTCACTCAAGAGAAAAGCTGTTCACTTAAAATCTTTCTTGAGTAATGATAACCTTAGACTGCACATTAGAACACACACGTGAGAGACTGTACACCTGTAGCACATGTGGGTAGAGCTTCACTTTGAATTCAAATTTAAAAACACACACAGGTGAGAGACCATACTCCTGTGGCACCTGTGGGAAAAGTTTTGGTCAGACTTCACATTTAAAAGTGCACATGCTCATTCACTTCAGAGAAAAGCTGTTCACCTGCGAAACTTGCAACAAATCTTTTATCAGTTCAAGTCACCTGAGAATGTACATGACAGTGACACTGATGAGAGATTGTACTCCTGTGGCACCTGTGGGGAGAAGTTCTCTCAGAAAACATACTCAGATTGTAACACCCCAAAACCATATATGTATAAAGCCTATGGCACCTGTGGGAAATCATTCGGCAGGAAGATTTCTTTAGATGGTGACATAAGAACCCACACAGGTCAAATGTGGCAGGTCTAGCAGATACAGCAGGAAGTTCCATCAAAAAGTGCAGCAGAAGCTGGTGACTGAAATCAGAAGTAAATGTCATGGTGTGAAGTCAGAATACAGTTGGAGTTTATGTGAACTGGATTCTCTGTTCTGTGGAAGTTCAACCCTACACATGACATGTTAGGGGAATGAGGTCTCAGCTAATTAAATACCATCTGTTTTCTTCCCCTGGATGAACAAATGTTCTTTTCTTTTTTACTCACGAGCTACTTTGGTTGGCTGTTTCTTTTTCCAGAATATTTGTATCTGTTTATTTGTTGTAAAAACTTGTTTATATAATAATCTACAAGAAATTTGATTTAGTTGACTGTAGCTGTAATGCTGATAAAGGTTAGTGATGAGAATATGGTGACCAATAAACTTGGACTGTCAAAATAAAGTTCATAGTAATGCATTTGTATCCTGATTTCACAGAAGTGAACCAAAAGAGGACAGAGCTTTAAAACCGGATGGTCCTGATCTTCAGGCCCTCAGACTGCACTGCATTAAAAACAGACTGGACTCTGGAGTGGAATTCACTGCATGGGCTCAAAATCACTTCAAAACGCATTGACTGTGAACACAGTTCTTCACTGTATCCACAGATGAGGTTCAAACTGCAAATGAAGAATCATTTATTGATCAGTAGGTGGGTGAGATGATTGATGAGGACAAGGCTGGAGATCGATCTGTTATACTGATTTCGTAAGAATAACAGACTGGATGCTTTACAAGGAGGGCTCAAAACCATTGTTCTTACTCTGTTAACCATTGTTATCTGCGAGGAAATACGTGCAGTCATTTTTGCTGTTCACAAAAAGGGCTTCACTGGGAAGGATGTTGCTGCTAGTCAGATTGCACCTGAAACAATCCTTTATCAGATCATCAAGAACTTCAAGGAGAGAGGTTCAATTATTGTGAAGAAGGCTTCAGGGTGCCTAAGGAAGTCCATCAAGAGCCAGGACTGCCTCCTAAAGTTGATTTAGCTGCAAGATCGGGGCATCACACGTGCAGAGCTTGCTCAGGAATGGCAACAAGCAGGTGTGAGTGAATGTGCACGTACAGTGAGGTGAAGACTTTTGGAGGAATAAGAAGAACTTTATTAATCCCCAAAGGGAAATTTAATTGTCTGTTGTGTCACATAATATGTCTTAAAAACTTATCTACTATTTACACAAGAGTTATAAAGTCTGATGGATGTTGGTACAAAAGATCTTCTGAATCTTTCTGTCCTGCAGCAAAGAGAGAGGAGCCGTCCACCACCATTGGCCCTTTGGTCCATCAAGGTGTTGTGAAGTGGGTGATCCATGTTCTTTAGAATAGACCCTCCTCAGTGTAGATCTCTCCACCACATCCTCCACTGAGTCAAGCTTGAGTCCAACCACAGATGCAGCCTTTTCCACCAGTGTGTTAAGACGTCTTGTATCTTTGTGTTTGATGCTTCCTTCCCAGCAGACTGCAGCATAGAACTGAACTCTGGCCACCAGGGTTTTCATGGTGTATGAAGTGAGGGCCACTGGTCTGTAGTCATTGAATTCAGCAGGTCATTTTGGTTTTGGTTTTGGCAAAACGCAGGATGTTTTCCACAGCTGTAGACTCAGGTTGAAGATCTTGTGGAGTTCTGCAGCACAGTCTCTAATCAGCCTTGGACACACACCATCTGGACCAGCTGCCTTCCCAGGACAAAGTCTTCCAAGCTCCATCCTCACCCCTGTTGCCTGGAGTCAAGAAGAGCAGCAAAGAAGCCACTTCTCTTCTCTCCAGAAAAAAACAAAAAAACAACAAAAAAAAACATCAGAGACAGAATGAAATCTTGCAAAAGCACAGAGATTGGATTGCTGAGGACTGGGGTAAAGTCACTTTCTCTGATGAATCCCCTTTTCAGTCGTTTGGGGCATCTGGAAAAAAAAAAGCTTGTTTGGAGAAGAAAAGGTGAACAATTAAAAAATTAGGAAAAAAGAAAGACACCGTGGAGGGCCGTACAGTCTATGATGCCGACTAAAGGGGGCAAAGAGGAGGGCGGAACATTTGGTTGCCGCAGCTCCGCTTACGGAACTTTATTGGTGTGACACACGAAGGAAGTAAACAAACAGCGAGGCTCTTAGAAAGAAGCTGAGATATCTGAGGACAATCCAGGTTTCACATCGCAACCTTCTTTACGATCTGTAACGAAACAACGATGTCTGTTGCTGAATCTCTCCGAGAGTTTGTGACCGAGCGGCTCGCTGCTGCTACTGAAGACATTTTGGGAGTTTTGAACAGAACTGTGGTCCAGTACGAGGAAGAGCTGGACCGTCAACGCAGACTGCTGGATTTGGTTTGGAAACCTCACATTCACTTACACAGAATCGGTAAGAAGAGCCAAGTTTAGACTGAATAATGAAGCAGAAGCTCGGTTTAGATCAGGGCTGCCTCTCCTCTCGGTTTCCATGTATAAATACTGTGAATAAAGGCGGAGGAACAACCCTGTATGAGTTCAACAATAACTGTGCTGTGTTAATGTGGTGCTATTGTGTCAGTGGTTCTTAATCTGCCGTTAACGATCAGAGGAAGATCAAGGAGTCCGGGGGACGCTCTCGGACGTTGACCCCGTCCTCTTTTGTTCCCGCGAGCTGTTATAATGACCCGGTACCAAAACTCATCATGTGGACAGAAAACAGGGGAAAGAAGGGGAAACCTAAGAATAACAGACATGTGTGTTGTTGGAAAAAAGGTGGTTTACTGTCGTCTTACGGGTTAGTTTTACGTCCAACTTATTTGACTCCAACAGGAAGGCCTTAAGTAACTCCTGTACACAAAGCTTAGTCCTTTGAGTTCATCACATACCCCCCTGGGTGTCTTTTGTTTGTATAGATATAAACCAGTTTGGCCTCTGTGAGCTCTATTAATGGATACTATGTTAACTAATTGCCATTTTGATTCTCTTGAAGTACAAAATGTTTAAAAGTGCCTGATGGATGTGCTTCTAAGATGACGACAAAGTACCTTTTAAATGCTTTTGTAGTTAAGTAATGTAGACAGAATGCCTTCTGACTTTAGTTTTGTGATCTCAGACAACAGTAGATGTCCAGTGCACAGCACCAACAGTCCTTTTCACTTTAAGCAGAGGAAGGCAGGATAAGCAGCTTCACCTCACAAATGAGGACTGCTGTGTTCTCATAAAGTAATATTAGTCTGTAATACATTTTATAATCTTGATTTTACTCGTTCTCTTTATGTTACAACTTATCTTACTACTCTTTTCTCCATTGTATTAAAACTTATTTTGCATTGTGTTGCTAATTTTATGTCGTTTATCATGCAAGAGTCTGTCAGTATTGCACCTCAATTCTTCAACATTTTAACTGAATTGTGTTTAATATTACAACTCTGTCCTTGAGATATTGCATCCTTCTTGTGATTCCAATTCTCTGTTTTCTGTCCCATCTCATTGACATATTTATGCTTCTGTGTTCCTGCAGATCTTCCACAACAACATGACTGTAAGGAGGAGGACGAGGTTGTCTCAGACCTGCAGCCCTGGAACCAGGAGAGGAACTCCAGTCCAGAACAAGAGGACCCAGAGCCTCAACAGATTAAAGAGGAAGAGGAGGAATTCTGCACCGGTCAGGACAGAGAGCAGCTTGAACCAAAGCAGGAGACTGAACACTTGATGTTAACTCTAACCTGCCATGAACCAGAAGTAAAGAAGGAAGACCAGTTCCTGTCTCACAACTCTCATGAGGCTGCAAACCAAGACCCACAGAAAGACAAGCTCACAGAGTCAGAATCAACTTCAAAATCAGAACAACATCCCCCAAAAAAAGTTTACAAAAGAAGAAGTAAGAAGACAAAACAGCCTAAGGTTCACTCTGATTGTCAACAAGGTGAAAAGACTTTAAATGTGACACAAATAGGGAAACATTTACGAGCAATTCAAATTTACAGACACATCGAAGTGTTCCCACTGGTAAGAAGAAGCATACTTGTGAGAGGTGTGGGAAGAGATTCAGATACAAATATTTGACATATTTATGCTTCTGTGTTCCTGCAGATCTTAGACAACAACATGACTGTGAGGAGGACGAGGTTGTCTCAGACCTGCAGCCCTGGAACCAGGAGAGGAACTCCAGCCCGGAACAAGAGGACCCAGAGCCTCTACAGATTAAAGAGGAAGAGGAGGAATTCTGCACCGGTCAGGACAGAGAGCAGCTGGAACCAAAGCAGGAGACTGAACACTTGATGTTAACTCTAACCTGCCATGAACCAGAAGTAAAGAAGGAAGACCAGTTCCTTTCTCACAACTCTCATGAGGCTGCAAAAAAGCATACAATCAGCAAAACATGCAACAAATCTTTTAATGGTACAAGTAGCCTGAGAACGCACATGAGAACACACACAGGTGAGAGACCGTACTCCTGTAGAACTTGTGGAAAAAGTTTCGTTTTGAGTTCACATTTAAAAAGGCACATGCTTATTCACTCAGAAGAAAAGCTGTTCACATGTGAAACATGCAGCAAATCTTTTACTAGTTCAAGTAGCCTGAAAAAGCACATGAGAACACACACAGGTGAGAGACCGTACTCCTGTGGCACCTGTGGGAAAAGCTTTTATCAGAATTCACATTTACAATCACACATGCTAACTCACTCAGAAGAAAAGTTGTTCACCTGCAAAACATGCAGCAAATCTTATAAGAGGAAGGATCTACTAAAACGGCACATGAGAACACACACAGATGAGAAACTGTACAGCTGTAGTACCTGTGGGATGAGCTGCACTTTGAATTATAATCTAAAAAAGCACATGGTTATTCACTTAAGAGACAAAATGTTTGCCTCACAACAAATTGTCGATCAGTACAAGTCACCTGAGAATGTACATGACAGAGCACACTGATGAGAGATTGTACTCCTGTGGCACCTGTGGGGAAAAGTTCTCTCAGAAAACATCCTCAGATTGTAACACCCTAAAACCATATAGGTAAAAAGCCTATGGCACCTGTGGAAAATCATCGGCAGGAAGACCTCTTTAGATGGTCACATAAGAACCCACACAGGTCAAATGTGGCAGGTCTGTCAGATACAGCAGGAAGTTCCATCAAAAAGTGCAACAGAAGCTGGTGACTGATATCAGAAGTAAATGTCATGGTGTGAACTCAGAATACAGTTGGAGTTTATGTGAACTGGATTCTCTGTTCTGTGCAAGTTCAACCCTACATAAGACATGTTAGGGGAATGAGGTCTCAGCTAATTAAATACCATCTGTTTTCTTTCCCTGGATGAACAAATGTTCTTTTCTTTTTTACTCATGAGCTACTCTGGTTGGCTGTTTCTTTTTCCAGAATATTTGTATCTGTTCATTTGTTGTAATAACTTGTTTATATGATAATCTACAACAAATTTGATTTAGTTGACTGTAGCTGTAATGCTGATAAAGGTAAGTGATGAGAATGTGGTGACCAATAAACTTGGACTGTCAAAATAAAATTCATAGTAATGCATTTGTATCCTGATTTCACAGAAGTGAACCAAAAGAGGACAGAGCTTTAAATCAAAACTGGATGGTCTTGATCTTCAGGCCCTCAGACTGCACTGCAGTAAAAACAGACTGGACTCTGGAGTGGAATTCACTGCATGGGTTTTTTGAGGACTGGGGTAAAGTCATTTTCTCTGATGAATCCCCTTTTCAATCGTTTGGGTCATCTGGAAAAAAAGCTTGTTGGGAGAAAAAAAAGGTGAGCAATTAAAAAATTAGATAAGGAAAAAAGAAAGACACCGTGGAGGGCCGTACAGTCTGCCGACTGAAAGGGGGCAAAGAGGAGAGCGGAACATCTGGTTGCCGCAGCTCCGCTTACGGAACTTTATTGGTGTGACACACGGCGGAAGTAAACAGCGTGGCTCTTAGAACGAAGCTGAGATATCTGAGGACAATCCAGTTTTCACTGCGCAAACTTCTTTAAAATCTGTAACGAACCAACGATGTCTGTTGCTGAATCTCTCCGAGAGTTTGTGACCGAGCGGCTCGCTGCTGCTACTGAAGACATTTTGGGAGTTTTGAACAGAACTGTGGTCCAGTACGAGGAAGAGCTGGACCGTCAACGCAGACTGCTGGATTTGGTTTGGAAACCTCACATTCTCTTACACAGAATCGGTAAGAAGATCCAAGTTTAGACTGAATAATGAAGCAAAAGCTCGGTTTAGATCAGGGCTGCCTCTCCTCTCGGTTTCCATGTACAAATATTGTGAATAAAGACGGAGGAACAACCCTGTATGAGTTCAACAATAACTGTGCTGTGTTAATGTGGTGCTATTGTGTCAGTGGTTCTTAATCTGCCGTTAACGATCAGAGGAAGATCAAGGAGTCCGGGGGACGCTCTCGGACGTTGACCCCGTCCTCTTTTGTTCCCGCGAGCTGTTATAATGACCCGGTACCAAAACTCATCATGTGGACAGAAAACAGGGGAAAGAAGGGGAAACCTTTTTTTTATTTTTATTTTTTTTATTTTTTTATTGAACAAGACAGACAGTACAACCAACGAGAGACACATCACAACAATAACGACAAAAACAGAAAACAAAACACAACCATACAACAGCCAGAGGACTTACAGTTCAATGGTACAGAATTTCTTCATGATAGAGTAAGTTTTGGTAGCTTTCTTGTTCTTAATGTCCTTGATCGTGGCAGCATAACGGAGCAGTTCATTTTTGAAGGGTGCAATGTTTGGCTTGGATTTGGCCCATTTGTTTTTGTGAATATGGAATTTCCCCAAGCTCAGGATCAACTGACAAAAAAAGCACAGATCTTTGTCCTGGTCATCATAATAAATAAAAATATATGTTTTTCCTGGAAACTGATCATTCTTCCTGTTTTCTCGTGCACAAATTGTTGGACATCAATCCAAAAGGTTTTACTGTAGGTACAATGATAGAATAAATGAGAGATGGTTTCATCTTCAAGTCCACAGAAATCACATAAATATTCAATGTCCAGTTTGAATCTTTCAAGAGTTTTCTTTGCAGGGTAAATCTGATGTAATATTGTAAAAGAGACTTCTTTGACCTTGTTATTGAGACAGAATTTTTCACCAACCAGCCATGCATTGCTCCAGTTAATTTCTCCCAATTGTACAGACCAGTTAGTTTGACCTCTAGGCAGTGTCTTTGGTTGTAGGCAGCTTCTCAACAGTCTATTCGAGCAGGCTCTTTTTGTAATGTCTATTCCGCCCACAAATATATCACAGGTGTAATTTCCTGGAATAGCAGCCGTTCTTTCAGACCCTTTAAGAAGTTGTAGCACCCCCTAGAAGGGGAAACCTAAGAATGACAGACATGTGAGTGTTGTTGGAAAAAAGGTGGTTTACTTTCACTTTACGGGTTAGTTTTACGTGACTCCTGTACACAAAGCTGAGCCCTTTGAGTTCATCACATACCCCCCTGGGTATCTTTTGTTTGTATAGATGTAAACCAGTTTGGCCTCTGTGAGCTCTATTAATGGATACTATGTTAACTAAATGCCATTTTGATTCTCCTGAAGTACAAAATGTTTAAAAAGTACCTGCTGGATGTGCTTCCAAGATGACGACAAAGTACCTTTTAAATGCTTTTGTAGTTAAGTAATGTGGACAGAATGCCTTCTGACTTTAGTTTTGTGATCTCAGACAACAGTAGATGTCCAGTGCACAGCACCAACAGTCCTTTTCACTTTAAGCAGAGGAAGACAGGATAAACAGCTTCACCTCACAAATGTGGACTGCTGTATTCTCATAAAGTAATATTAGTCTGTAATACATTTTATAATCTTGATTTTTCTCGTTCTCTTTATGTTACAACTTATCTTCCTACTCTTTTCTCCATTGTATTAAAACTTATTTTGCATTGTGTTGCTAATTTTATGTCGTTTATCATGCTAGAGTCTGTCAGTATTGTACCTCAATTCTTCAACATTTTAACTGAATTGTGTTTAATATTAGTTCTCTGTCCTTGAGATATTGCATCCTTCTTGTGATTCCAATTCTCTGTTGTCTGTCCCATCTCATTGACATATTTATGCTTCTGTGTTCCTGCAGATCTTCCACAACAACATGACTGTAAGGAGGAGGACGAGGTTGTCTCAGACCTGCAGCCCTGGAACCAGGAGAGGAACTCCAGTCCAGAACAAGAGGACCCAGAGCCTCTACAGATTAAAGAGGAAGAGGAGGAATTCTGCACCGGTCAGGACAGAGAGCAGCTTGAACCAAAGCAGGAGACCGACCAGTTCCTGTCTCACAACTCTCATGAGGCTGCAAACCAAGACCCACAGAAAGACAAGCTCACAGAGTCAGAATCAACTTCAAAATCAAAACAACACCCCCCCAAAAAAGTTCACAAACGAAGAAGTAAGAAGACAAAACAGCCTAAGGTTCACTCTGATCCTCAACAAGGTGAAAAGACTTTTAAATGTGACACAAATAGGGAAACATTTACCAGCAATTCAAATGTACAGACACATCGAAGTGTCCCCACTGGTAAGAAGAAGCATGCTTGCGAGAGGTGTGGGGAGATATTCAGATACAAGTATTTGCTGACAAATCACGCAAGATCACACACAGGTGAGAAACCATACTCCTGTGGGAAAAGCTTCAAGTGGAAACCAGATTTAAAAAAGCAAATGCATACAATCTGTAAAACATGCAACAAATCTTTTAGTAGTACAAGAAACCTGAGAAAGCACATGAGAACACACACAGGTGAGAAACCATACTCCTGTGACACCTGTGGGAAAAGCTTTGGTTGGACTTCAGATTTAAAAAAGCACATGCTAATTCATTCAAGAAAAAAGCTGTTCACCTGTGAAACATGCAACGAATCTTTTGTCAGTACAAGTGACCTGACAAAGCACATGAGAACACACACAGGTGAGAGACCATACTCCTGTGGCACCTGTGGGAAAAGCTTCGTGGTGAATTCAAGTTTGAAATACCACATGCTAATTCACTCTGGAGAAAAGCAAAACACCTGCAAAGCATGCAACAAATCTTTTGTTTCTGCAGGTAACCTGAGAACGCACATGAGAAAACACACAGGTGAGAGACCATACTCCTGCAGCACTTGTGGGAAAAGCTTCATGGTGAGTTCACATTTAAAACAGCACATGCTTATTCACTCAGGAGAAAAGCTGTTCACCTGTGAAACATGCAACAAATCTTTTTACAATAAAACTAGACTGAAAATGCACATGAGATCACACACAGGTGAGAGACCATACTCCTGTGGCACCTGTGGGAAAAGCTTTGGTCAGACTTCAATTTTAAGAGCGCACATGCTTATTCATTCAGGAGAAAAGCTGTTCACCTGTGAAACATGCAGCAAATCTTTTTACACTTCAGATAAACTGAGAAAGCACATGAGAACACACACAGGTGAGAGACTGTACACCTGTGGCACTTGTGGGGAAAAGTTCTCTCGAAAAACACTCTTTGATCATCACACCCAAACACATTTAGGTAAAAAGCCTGTGGTGCTTAAAGGAAACCATGAGGCAGGGGGACCTCTTTAGATGGTCACATAAGAACCCACACAGGTCAAATGTGGCAGGTCTGTCAGATACAGCAGGAAGTTCCATCAAAAAGTGCAACAGAAGCTGGTGACTGAAATCAGAAGTAAATGTCATGGTGTGAAGTCAGAATACAGTTGGAGTTTATGTGAACTGGATTCTCTGTTCTGTGCAAGTTCAACCCTACACATGACATGTTAGGGGAATGAGGTCTCAGCTAATTTAATACCATCTGTGTGTTTAGTTAATCCGGCAGTTAAAGGTGGGGTAGGCAGGATCTGAGGAAGTGCCAGTTTTGGGGAGAAATCTTGAATGTAAACTCTACCTCTCCTAACCAGTTTTCCCCTCAGCTCCTCCTCTTCCCTCCATCTCTGCTACAGCAAGCCCCGCCCACAAACAGACGCTCCTGCTCGGTTGTATCATTTCAATTTAATTCAGATGTAATGCAGATAAAAAATTCAGATAATTAAAAATGGAGCCCAGTCAACGTGAAAGGCAAAAGCATTGGTGCTACTGTAGATGCCAACAGACTACCAGCAAACACAATGTTTGCAGGACTTCTACAACTAGGATGAAGTAACATAGTCCAGGACCCGAGGGAGGACAATTTAGTGGCGCTACAACACGCTACAGCAGGTCCTGTTTGACAAGAAACACTTCTGTTAAAGACACTTGTCATTTGTTAAAGCGGTTTACCTGTCCAGCAGAAAGGTTACAGGATCTCTAAGATCCTGAAGTGTCCCAATCGCTTATGTTTCATTGATCATGACCCGGCTTTTTAGCTCTTGTCCGGGTGGTCAACCTCCTTTTTGAGCGCCTTTTATTCCACCAGAGTCTCCAGTATGTAATTTATTGTCTTTGCTTGTGTTGGCAGTCTTTGCCAATGGAGGATTCAGACAATTTTCCGTACTTTGTGGTTGGTTTCGACTGTCAGATATTGTAGCAAACTATCTTTGTTTGGGCTCCTGAACAACAAGTGGGAGAAGTATCTGCCTCACAACCAATCAGCAGGAGGGAGAAGGGTCCGTCTCGTAACCAATCAGGTTGGGGAGGCGGAGAATGGCTTTGTTTACAGTCAGAAAGAGCGGGGCTCTCAAAAAAGTTAAAATGTTGACTACACAGACATAACAGAACATAGCGATATCATTATAATACCAAATGTCATCAATAACTAATAGCTATTGACTGATATTTAAAACTTTTTTTGATATACACCACAAGAAAAGATGCTTCGTTAACAGAATCCAACCTACCCCACCTTTAAGATACATTTTACTGTGACTTTTCCTGACTGAAATACTTGTTCTTTTGAATGTCCTGTTTTCTTCCCCTGGATGAACAAATGTTCTTTTCTTTTTTACTCATGAGCTACTTTGGTTGGCTGTTGAATATTTGTATCTGTTTATTTTTTGTAATAACTTGTTTATATGATAATCTACAACAAATTTGATTTAGTTGACTGTAGCTGTAATGCTGATAAAGGTTAGTGATGAGAATATGGTGACCAATAAACTTGGACTGTCAAAATAAAATTCATAGTAATGCATTTCTATCCTGGGTCCATCAAGGTGTTGTGAAGTGTGTGATCCATGTTCTTTAGAATAGACCTTCCTCAGTGTAGATCTCTCCACCACATCCTCCACTGAGTCCAGCTTGAGTCCAACCACAGAGCCAGCCTTTTCCACCAGTGTGTTCAGACATCTTGCATCTTTATGTTTGATGCTTCCTCCCCAGCAGACTGCAGCGTAGAACAGAATACTTGCCACCACAGACTGATGAAACATCTGCAGCATCTTACTACAGATGTTTATTGATCAGAGTCTTCTTACACAAAAGAGGCGGCTCTGCCCCTTTCTGTAGATGAAGTCTATATTCTTAGACGAGTCCAACTTATTATCCAGATGTACACCTAGGTACTTATCTGATGTCACCACTTCTATGTCCACTCCACAGGTGTTCACTGGCTGAAGAGGGGGCTTGGACCTACGGTAGTCTATGACCATCTCCTTTGTCTTTGAGGTGTTGAGGAGGAGGCAGTTTTTGTGACTCTAGTCACTGAAGGCTCTAATCAGATCTCTTTATTCAGCTTCTCTTCCATACATGCCACAATAGCCGTGTCATCTGAGTATTTCTGGATGTGGCAGGACTCAGTGCTGTATTTGAAGTCTGATGTATACAGTGTGAACAGGAATGACACCACCACTGTCCCTTGTGGAGCCCCTGTACTGCTCATTAATGTCTCAGAAACACAGTTCCCCAGCCTGACAAACTGTGGCCTTCCTGTCAGGTAATCTGTGATCCAGGAAACACAGGAAGGATCCACTCCCATCTCTGTGAGCTTGTCTTTGAGGATGGTAGGTTGGATGGTGTTGAATGCACTTGAAAAGTCGAAGAACATCCTCACATAAACCCCAGGTTCCTCCAGATGAGACAAGGCACAGTGACGCATGTAGAGGACAGCATCATCATTTGTATGCAAACTGCAGGGAATCCAGTTTGACTTTGACCTCAGACCTCAGAAGGTGCAGAATCAGCCGCTCCAGGGTTTTCATGATGTGTGAAGTGAGGGCCACTGGTCTGTAGTCATTGAGTTCAGCAGAGCATTTGTTTTTGGTACTGGCACAATGCAGGATGTTTTCCACAGCTGTTGACTCAGGTTGAAGATCTTGGATTGCTGAGGACTGGGGTAAAGTCACTTTCTCTGATGAATCCCCTTTTCAATCGTTTGGGCCATCTGGAAAAAAAGCTTGTTTGGAGAAGAAAAGGTGAGCAATTAAAAAATTAGATAAGGAAAAAAGAAAGACACCGTGGAGGGCCGGACAGTCTATGATGCCGACTAAAGGGGGCAAAGAGGAGGGCGGAACATTTGGTTGCCGCAGCTCCGCTTACGGAACTTTATTGGTGTGATACACGAAGGAAGTAAACAAACAGCGAGGCTCTTTTAAAGAAGCTGAGATATCTGAGGACAATCCAGTTTTCACAGCGCAACCTTCTTTACAATCTGTAACGAAACAACGATGTCTGTAACTGAATCTCTCCGAGAGTTTGTGACCGAGCGGCTCGCTGCTGCTACTGAAGACATTTTGGGAGTTTTGAACAGAACTGTGGTCCAGTACGAGGAAGAGCTGGACCGTCAACGCAGACTGCTGGATTTGGTTTGGAAACCTCACATTCTCTTACACAGAATCGGTAAGAAGAGCCAAGTTTAGACTGAATAATGAAGCAGAAGCTCGGTTTAGATCAGGGCTGCCTCTCCTCTCGGTTTCCATGTATAAATACTGTGAATAAATTCGGAGGAACAACCCTGTATGAGTTCAACTGTATGAGTGAATGGCAGAGAATTTCCTCCAGCTCAACCAGGACAAAACTGAAGTTTTAATTATTGGTCCTGAAGGCAAAGAGAGAGAAACTTTTACCAAAACTACAAGATTTTAAACCTGCTCAATCTGTTAAGAATGCAGGAGTAATTTTTGACTCAGAGCTAAATTTTATTCCACATATCAAGAACTTAACAAAGACAGGTTTTGTACCATCTTAAGAATAGAGCCAGAGTCCGCCCGGAGGTGCTGATGCATGCTTTTATTTCTAGTCCTTTAGATTACTGTAATGCCCTGCTCTCTGCTCTTCCCAAAAAGACGACTCACATGTTACAGCTGCTACAAAATCCTGCAGGACGTGTGCTGACGAGGACCAGAGGGCAGGAGCACATTACACCGGTTTTAAAATCCCTGCATTGGCTCCCTGTGTGTTTTGTGGGGGAAAATAACAGATATGTTTGGATGTTTTGGGGGTTACCATGAGGCAAGAAAACAGGATATGGGTGGAGTGGTCAGATTGGGATAAACTTCATATCAGGTCATGGTGACCCTCTCTCATGGTAGCTTAATTGCAATAACAGGAAATCTGGCTCCAAAAGATAGTGGCAGAGAAAGTCACGAAGGGGACTTTCGCACGCACATTTGGCTAAAACTAAGGTCCCTGACGTCAATGGAGGACTATAAAAGATATGTGGATGGGCTGTTTTTTGGTTCTGTCTGTTCGATTGCTCATGAGCTATTGTTCGATGCTGTGATCGGAATAAAAACCCCGCCGAGAGGCTGCCAGCTTGATTCTGTCTTCGTGTAGTTCATTTCTGCACTTTTGCACCGAGGTCATCTTCTAAAGTTTCAGGATCGATTTCAAGGTTCTTTTAGTAGTTTTTAAGTGTCTTAATGGTCTTGGCCCATCTTATTTATCTGAACTGCTTTTATCTTAACAACCCTCGCGTACCCTGAGGTCCTCTGGCGCCGGCCTTTTAGTTGTTCCTCATACAAAAACCAAAACTCATGGAGAGGCTGCCTTCAGCCATTATGGCCCAAAGTTATGGACCAGCCTGCCAGAGAACATCAGGACCGCAGAGACTGTTGATGTTTTTTAAAAGGAGGCTCAAGACCCACCTTTTTAGTTTAGCTTTTAGCTGATTTAACTGTTTTAGTTTATTTTATCCTTTACTTTTATCATATTTTTATGTCATTTAGATATTTTAACATTATTTTAATTCCTACTATCTCTTAGTCTTTTTAGCTCCAGAGTTTCCTCGTGGGGGCCCTCCACACTGGGAGGTGTGTCTGGTCCGGATGGTTAGGGGGCTCTGCACTATGTGCGGGGTGCACCCGGGCTTTCTGGGTCAGGGGGTTTCGGGGGCGGTGCTCCCTGTGGGGGTGGGCTGTGGCTCCTCTCGGTGTGGACGGCTCCCATAGGTGGTCTTTCCTTACCAGAATCATCAGTGCCTTGCCATGTTTTTACTGACAGTTAGTGTGTGGGTGTGTGGATACGTGTATGTGTGTGTGGGGAGGGCTGCTGTGCATGCCTGTATGTGCTGCTGTGGGTGGGAAGGGACGGGTTTTATGCCTATTTTATCGCCTTATATTTACTGTTGTTTGTTTTTTTACCGTTGTTTGTTTTTATCTTTTTGTAAAGCACCTTGTGTTGCAGCTTAAAAGCATGAAAGGTGCTATATAAATAAAGTTTAATTTGGTTTGATTTGATTTGATATAATGACCCGGTACCAAAACTCATCATGTGTACAGAAAACAGGAAAAAGAAGGGGAACCCTAAGAATGACAGACATGTGTGTTGTTGGAAAAAAGGTGGTTTTCTTTCATCTTACGGGTTAGTTTTACGTCCAACTTATTTGACTCCTACAGGAAGGCCTTAAGTGACTCCTGTACACAAAGCTGAGCCCTTTGAGTTCATCACATACCCCCCTGGGTGTCTTCTGTTTGTATAGATATAAACCAGTTTGGCCTCTGTGAGCTCTATTAATGGATACTATGTTAACTAATTGCCATTTTGATTCTCCTGAAGTACAAAATGTTTAAAAGTGCCTGATGGATGTGCTTCCAAGATGAGGACAAAGTACCTTTTAAATGCTTTTGTAGTTAAGTAATGTAGACAGAATGCGCACACAAAAGGACTTCATCAGGTTTCGTGACTAATCCACTACACTGATGTTTTAAACAAGACCGCAGACACACTGAGTGAATTTGGTGCTTTCTCTCATGTTGACTTGGTCTCATATTTTGTGACTTCATTTATGTAATAGAACTGCTATATTCTCGTGAAGTAATATTAGTCTTTAATACATTTTATAATCTTTATCTCTTTAAGTTACAACTTATCTTACTGCTCTTTTCTTCATAGTATTAAAACTTATTTTACATTGTGTTGCAAATTTTTATGTCATTTATCATGCTAGAGTCTGTCAGTATTGTGCCTCAATTCTTCAACATTTTAACTGAATTGTGTTTAATATTACAACTCTGTCTTTAAAATATTATATCCTTCTTGTGATTCCAATTCTCTGTTTTCTGTCCCATCTCATTGACATATTTATGCTTCTGTGTTCCTGCAGATCTTCCACAACATCATGACTGTGAGGAGGAGGACGAGGTTGTCTCAGACCTGCAGCCCTGGAACCAGGAGAGGAACTCCAGTCCGGAACAAGAGGACCCAGAGCCTCTACAGATTAAAGAGGAAGAGGAGGAATTCTGCACCGGTCAGGACAGAGAGCAGCTTGAACCAAAGCAGGAGACTGAACACTTGATGTTAACTCTAACCTGCCATGAACCAGAAGTAAAGAAGGAAGACCAGTTTCTTTCTCACAACTCTAATGAGGCTGCAAACCAAGATCCACAGAAAGACAAGCTCACAGAGTCAGAATCAACTTCAAAATCAGAACAACACCCCCCCAAAAAAGTTCACAAAAGAAGAAGTAAGAAGACAAAACAGCCTAAGGTTCACTCTGATCCTCAACAAGGTGAAAAGACCTTTAAATGTGACACAAATAGGGAAACATTTACGAGCAATTCAAATTTACAGACACATCAAAGTGTTCCCACTGGTAAAAAGAAGCATACTTGTGAGAGGTGTGGGGAGATATTCAGATACAAGTATTTGACATATTTATGCTTCTGTGTTCCTGCAGATCTTAGACAACATCATGACTGCGAGGAGGACGAGGTTGTCTCAGACCTGCAGCCCTGGAACCAGGAGAGGAACTCCAGCCCGGAACAAGAGGACCCAGAGCCTCTACAGATCAAAGAGGAAGAGGAGGAATTCTGCACCAGTCAGGACAGAGAGCAGCTTGAACCAAAGCAGGAGACCGAACACTTGATGTTAACTCTAACCTGCCATGAACCAGAAGTAAAGAAGGAAGACCAGTTCCTGTCTCACAACTCTCATGAGGGTGCAAACCAAGACCCACAGAAAGACAAGCTCACAGAGTCAGAATCAACTTCAAAATCAGAACAACATCCCCCCAAAAAAGTTCACAAAAGAAGAAGTAAGAAGACAAAACAGCCTAAGGTTCACTCTGATCCTCAACAAGGTGAAAAGACTTTTAAATGTGACACAAATAGGGAAACTTTAACCAGCAATTCAAATTTACAGACACATCGCAGTGTTCCCACTGGTAAGAAGAAGCATACTTGTGAGAGTTGTGGGAAGATATTCAGATACAAGTATTTGCTGACTAATCACACAAGATCACACACAGGTGAGAGACCATACTCCTGTGGGAAAAGCTTCAAGTGGAAACCAGATTTAAAAAAGCACATGCATATTCATTCCAGACAAAAGCTGATCACCTGTGAAACATGCAACAAATCTTTTACCTGTACAAGTAACCTGAGAACACACATTAGAACACACACAGGTGAGAAACCATACTCCTGTGGCACTTGTGGGAAGAGCTTCAGTGTGAGTTCAAATTTAAAAGTGCACATGCGAGTTCATTCAAGAGAAAAGCTGTTAACCTGTGAAACATGCAACAAATCTTTTAACATGAAGCATCATCTGAAACAACACATGAGAACACACACAGGTGAGAGACCATACTCCTGTGGCACCTGTGGGAAAAGCTTTGGTAAGCCTTCAACTTTAAAAGTGCACATGCTAATTCATTCAAGAGAAAAGCTGTTTACCTGTGAAACATGCAACGAATCTTTTTACAGTTTACATAGACTGAAAATGCACATGAGAACACACACAGGTGAGAGACCGTACAGCTGTAGCTTGTGTGGGAAGAGCTTCTCTTTGAATTCAATTTTAAAAAAGCACATTGTAATTCACTCTGGAGAAAAGCTGTTCACCTGCAAAACATGCAGCAAAACTTTTCTCAGGAAGTATGAACTGAAACTGCACATGAGAACACACACAGGTGAGAGACCGTACAGCTGTAGTACATGTGGGAAAAGCTTCAGACTGAATTCAAATTTAAAAATGCACATGCTAATTCACTCTGGAGAAAAGCTGTTCACCTGCAAAACATGCAGCAAAACTTTTCACAGGAAGTATACACTAACACTGCACATGAGAACACACACAGGTGAGAGACCGTACTCCTGCAGCACTTGTGGGAAAAGCTTCAAGGTGAGTTCACATTTAAAAACGCACATGCTTGTTCACTCAAGAGAAAAGCTGTTCACCTGTGAAACATGCAGCAAATCTTTTAAAAGTAGCGATCAACTAAAAGTGCACATGAGAACACACACACACACAGGTGAGAGACCGTACAGCTGTAACTTGTGTGGAAAGAGCTTCTATGTGAATTCAAATTTAAAAATGCACATCATTATTCACTCAAAAGAAAAGCTGTTCACCTGCAAAACATGCAGAAAATCTTTTAAAAGGAAGGATCAACTAAAACGGCACATGAGAACACACACACACAGGTTAAAGGTTCAGTCCACACCTGTGGCACTTGTGGGGAAAAGTTTTCTCGAAAAGCACACTTAGAGACCACAGGCTTTTTACTTATATGGGTTTGGGTGTGATGATCTAAGACCCCAAAGTGTCCAAATCGCTTATGCTTCATTGATCATGACCCGGCTTTTGAGCTCTTGTCCGGGTGGTCAACTTCCGTTTTAAGTGCCCTTTATTCCACCAGAGTCTCCAGTATGTACTTTATTTTCTCTGCTTGTGTTGGCAGTCGTGGCCAATGGAGGACTCAGACAATTTTGCGTACTTTCTGGTTGGTTTCGACTGTCAGATATTGTAGCACGCTTTGTATGGGCTCGTGCAAGTTATTGGAGGAAGTGGAGCGTGCCTCACAACACGAGGGAGCAGCATCTGCCTCACAACCAATCAGCAGGAGGAAGCAGGTTCCGTATCGCAACCAATCAGGTTGGGGAGGTGGAGAATGGCTTTGTTTACAGTCAGAAAGAGCGGGGCTCTCAAAAAAGTTAAAATGTTGACTACACAGACATAACAGAACACGACGATATCATTATATTACCAAGTGTCATCAATAACTAATAGCTATTGACTGATATTAAAAGCTTTTTTATCTACACCACAAAAAAAGATGCTTCTTTAATGGAATTCAACCTACCCCACCTTTAAGATACATTTTACTGTGACTTTTCCTGACTGAAATACTTGTTCTTTTGAATGTCCTGTTTTCTTCCCCTGGATGAACAAATGTTCTTTTCTTTTTTACTCATGAGCTACTTTGGTTGGCTGTTGAATATTTGTATCTGTTTATTTTTTGTAATAACTTGTTTATATGATAATCTACAACAAATTTGATTTAGTTGACTGTAGCTGTAATGCTGATAAAGGTCAGTGATGAGAATATGGTGACCAATAAACTTGGACTGTCAAAATAAAATTCATAGTAATGCATTTCTATCCTGGGTCCATCAAGGTGTTGTGAAGTGGGTGATCCATTTTCCTTAGAATAGACCTTCCTCAGTGTAGATCTCTCCACCACATCCTCCACTGAGTCCAGCTTGAGTCCAACCACAGAGCCAGCCTTTTCCACCAGTTTGTTCAGATGTCTTGCATCTTTGTGTTTGATGCTTCCTCCCCAGCAGACTGCAGCGTAGAACAGAACACTTGCCACCACAGACTGATGAAATCTGCAGCATCTTACTACAGATGTTTATTGATCGGAGTCTTCTTACACAAAAGAGGCGGCTCTGCCCCTTTCTGTAGATGAAGTCTATATTCTTAGACCAGTCCAACTTATTATCCAAATGTACACCTAGGTATTTATCTGATGTCACCATTTCCATGTCCACTCCACAGGTGTTTGCTGGCTGAAGGGGGGGTTTGGACCTACGGTAGTCTATGACCATCTCCTTTGTCTTTGAGGTGTTGAGGAGGAGGCAGTTTTTTTGACTCCAGTCACTGAAGGCTCTAATCAGATCTCTTTATTCAGCTTCTCTTCCATACATGCCACAATAGCCGTGTCATCTGAGTATTTCTGGATGTGGCAGGACTCAGTGCTGTATTTGAAGTCTGACGTATACAGTGTGAACAGGAATGGCGCCAGCACTGTCCCTTGTGGAGCCCCTGTACTGCTCATTAATGTCTCAGAAACACAGTTCCCCAGCCTGACAGACTGTGGCCTTCCTGTCAGGTAATCTGAATCAGCCGCTCCAGGGTTTTCATGGTGTATGAAGTGAGGGCCACTGGTCTGTAGTCATTGAATTCAGCAGGACATTTGGGTTTTGGTATTGGCACAACGCAGGATGTTTTCCACAGCTGTAGACTCAGGTTGAAGATCTTGTGGAGTTCTGCAGCACAGTCTTTAAGCAGCCTTGGACACACACCATCTGGACCAGCTGCCTTCCCAAGACAAAGTCTTCCAAGCTCCATCCTCACCCCTGTTGCCTGGAGTCAAGAAGAGCAGCAAAGAAGCCACTTCTCTCCAGTAAAAAAAAACAACAACAAAACATCAGAGACAGAATGAAATTCTGCAAAAGTACAGAGATTGGATGGCAGAGGACTGGGGTAAAGTCACTTTCGCTGATGAATCCCCGTTTTAATCGTTTGGGGCATCTGGAAAAAAAGCTTGTTTGGAGAAGAAAAGGTGAGCAATTAAAAAATTAGAAAAGGAAAAAAGAAAGACACCGTGGAGGGCCGGACAGTCTATGATGCCGACTAAAGGGGGCAAATATGGAGGGTGGAACACTTGGTTGCCGCAGCTCCGCCTACGGAACTTTATTGGTGTGACACACGGTGGAAGTAAACGAAAAGCGTGGCTCTTTTAAAGAAGCTGAGATATCCGAGGACAATCCAGTTTTCACAGCGCAACCTTCTTTAAAATCTGTAACGAAACAACGATGTCTGTAGCTGAATCTCTCCGAGAGTTTGTGACCGAGCGGCTCGCTGCTGCTACTGAAGACATTTTGGGAGTTTTGAACAGAACTGTGGTCCAGTACGAGGAAGAGCTGGACCGTCAACGCAGACTGCTGGATTTGGTTTGGAAACCTCACATTCTCTTACACAGAATCGGTAAGAAGAGCCAAGTTTAGACTGAATAATGAAGCAGAAGCTCGGTTTAGATCAGGGCTGCCTCTCCTCTCGGTTTCCATGTATAAATACTGTGAATAAAGGCGGAGGAACAACCCTGTATGAGTTCAACAATAACTGTGCTGTGTTAATGTGGTGCTATTGTGTCAGTGGTTCTTAATCTGCCGTTAACGATCAGAGGAAGATCAAGGAGTCCGGGGGACGCTCTCGGACGTTGACCCCGTCCTCTTTTGTTCCCGCGAGCTGTTATAATGACCCGGTACCAAAACTCATCATGTGGACAGAAAACAGGGGAAAGAAGGGGAAACCTAAGAATAACAGACATGTGTGTTGTTGGAAAAAAGGTGGTTTACTGTCGTCTTACGGGTTAGTTTTACGTGACTCCTGTACACAAAGCTGAGCCCTTTGAGTTCATCACATACCCCCCTGGGTGTCTTTTGTTTGTATAGATATAAACCAGTTTGGCCTCTGTGAGCTCTATTAATGGATACTATGTTAACTAATTGCCATTTTGATTCTCTTGAAGTACAAAATGTTTAAAAGTACCTGCTGGATGTGCTTCGAAGATGAGGACAAAGTACCTTTCGATTGCTTTTGTAGTAAAGAAATGTAGACAGAATCCCTTCTGACTTTAGTTTTGTGATCTCAGACAAAAGTAATTGCCCAGTGCACAACATCATCAGTCCTTTTCACTTAGTGCAGAGGAAGACAGGATAAACAGCTTCACCTCACAAATGAGGACTGAACTGCTTCTTTTTATTTAATCCTCAGTTTCATACAGCACACACAGAAGGACTTCATCAGGTTTCGTGACTAATCCACTACACTGATGTTTTAAACAAGACCGCAGACACACTGGGTGAAGTTGGTTCTTTCTCTCATGTTGACTTGGTCTCATATTTTGTGACTTCATTTATGTAATAGAACTGCTGTATTCTCATAAAGTAATATTTGTCTTTAATGCATTTTATAATCTTGATTTTACTCGTTCTCTTTATGTTACAACTTATCTTACTACTCTTTTCTTCATAGTATTAAAACTTATTTTACATTGTGTTGCTAATTTTATGTCGTTTATCTTGCCAGAGTCAATAAGTATTGTACCTCAATTCTTCAACATTTTAACTGAATTGTGTTTAATATTACAACTCTGTCCTTAAAATATTACATCCTTCTCGTGATTCCAATTCTCTGTTTTCTGTTCCATCTCATTGACATATTTATGCTTCTGTGTTCCTGCAGATCTTCCACAACAACATGACGGTGAGGAGGACGAGGTTGTCTCAGACCTGCAGCCCTGGAACCAGGAGAGGAACTCCAGTCCAGAACAAGAGGACCCAGAGCCTCAACAGATTAAAGAGGAAGAGGAGGAATTCTGCACCGGTCAGGACAGAGAGCAGCTTGAACCAAAGCAGGAGACTGAACACTTGATGTTAACTCTAACCTGTCGGGAAAGTGAGAACACTGAACCAGAAGTAATGAAGGAAGACCAGTTCCTGTCTCACAACTCTCATGAGGCTGCAAACCAAGACCCACAGAAAGACAAGCTCACAGAGTCAGAATCAACTTCAAAATCAGAACAACAACCCCCCAAAAAAGTTCACAAAAGAAGAAGTAAGAAGACAAAACAGCCAAAGGTTCACTCTGATCCGCAACAAGGTGACAAGACTTTTAAGATTGACAAAAGTAGGGAGACTTTAACCAGCGATTCAAATTTACAGACACATCTAAGTGTTCCCACTGGTAAGAAGAAGCATACTTGTGAGAGGTGTGGAAAGATATTCAGATACAAGTATTTGCTGACAAATCACGCTAGATCACACACAGGTGAGAAACCATACTCCTGTGGCACCTGTGGGAGGAGCTTCTCTGTGAATTCAATTTTAAAAAAGCACATGCTAATTCACTCTGGAGAAAAGCTGTTCACCTGCAAAACATGCAGCAAAACTTTTCACAGGAAGGATAAACTGAAACTGCACATGAGAACACACACAGGTGAGAGACCGTACAGCTGTAGTACATGTGGGAAAAGCTTCAGACTGAATTCACATTTAAAAAAGCACATGCTAATTCACTCTGGAGAAAAGCTGTTCACCTGCAAAACATGCAGCAAGACTTTTCACAGGAAGGATAATCTAACACTGCACATGAGAACACACACAGGTGAGAGACCATACTCCTGCAGCACTTGTGGGAAGAGCTTCTGTCGGAATACAAATTTAAAAACGCACATGCTTATTCACTCAAGAGAAAAGCTGTTCACCTGTGAAACATGCAGCAAATCTTTTAAAAGGAGCGATCAACTAAAAGTGCACATGAGAACACACACACACAGGTGAGAGACCGTACAGCTGTAGCTTGTGTGGAAAGAGCTTCTATGTGAATTCAAATTGAAAAATGCACATCATTATTCACTCAAAAGAAAAGCTGTTCACCTGCAAAACATGCAGCAAATCTTTTAAAAGGGAGGATCAACTAAAACTGCACATGAGAACACACACAGGTGAGAGACTGTACACCTGTGGCACTTGTGGGGAAAAGTTTTCTCAAAAAAAACTCTTAGATCATCACACCCAAACCCATTTAGGTGAAAAGCCTGTGGTGCTTAAAGGAAACCATTAGGCAGGAAGACCTCTTTAGATGGTCACAGAAGAACCTACACAGGTAAAATGTAGCAGGTCTGTCAGATGCCAAATTCATAGTAATGCATTTGTATCCTGGTTTCATAGAAGTGAAACAAAAGAGGACAGAGCTTAATACCAAAATTGGATGGTCCGGATCATCAGGCTCTCAGACTACACTGCATTAAAAACAGACTGGACTCTGGAGTGGAATTCACTGCATGGACTCAAAATCACTTCAAAACCCCATTGACTGTGAACACAGTTCTTTACTGTATCCACAAATGAAGTTCAAACTGAACCATGCAAAGAGGAACCCAGATAGAAAGAGGATCCAGGAACACCAGAGACTTCTCTTCACCTGAGCTTATTTAAGGTGGACCAAGAGGAAGAGGAAAACTGTCAAGATCTGATATTCTTTTTGGATATCATGGAGTATTTGTTCAAAAGAGTAGAAGGACTACCTGACTTGCTCTCAGCTCACAGTTCACAGTCCTTGTGTTCCCGGGATCCCTGGGACTCTTCTTGACTTTCTATGAAGACTGTTGTTGTCAGACTCTCCTTCTTGCAAGAATTAATTTACAAAGAAAGACAAGTACTTGGCTTTAAGTGCCTTTTTTTCTTTTTTTTTTGAAGAAACAGAAAAATTCCAAAACAAACCAATAAACACTTCTTTTAAACAAGAATGACTTATGACAATGACTGAGACACAAGCAATGTTACATGAGAAGTCTGCTTTGTCATAAACTAAGGTCACATTAGGAAGACGGCAAAAAGGCAGGAAAGATGCTTGCTTTACAATTAAAAAACTTGAACAACAAAACTAATATTTTTTCTTGAAGGCATAATAATGGTATGATAACTAGAGATTAGGGAGCTATTAATGACACTTTTAGAAGTTATTTTTCATGTTTGTATTAATCGGAATTCAAGGCCAAACATCAAGATTTAAATAATTTCTTCAATAATTCAATTTTGCCAAAGTTGAGGAAAGAAAATGAAGGAAACTGGAGGCAGCCATTCCAAAAGAGGACATTCAAAACACAATTAAGTCTCAATCAAAGAGTTAAGCACCTGGTTATTATGGTTACACTTAAGTGTTTTAGAAGTGTTTTTCAAAAGAAATAATGCCTATGCTTGTTCACTTGTATAATCATACTGTGGAGGAACAGATTGTTCAACCAGTGTGGACAGCCATCATATTGTTGCTGCCAAAACTAGGAAAAGATCACATAAACAAAGACTGGAACTTCCTTAGATCCTGCCTACCCCACCTTTAATAATCATAATTAATTTTTTGCAAAAATGTTAACAGAATGGATGGATGAAGCTGTTCAAAATTTAATTAATGTAGATCAAGTTGGCTCTTTGTGAGCAGCCTCTATCTGATAATTATTCTATTCTGAAAATAATTCTGATTCTGTTTAATATGCAAAGGCTCTTGCAGACCATGCGTCTCTCTTCAGCATTCAGCATCAGAGCACTATATCAGTAACCTGTTTCAGCTCCTTTCAGTGGTGGTGTTCTACTAGAGAAGGCTACTACATAACTACTACATAGCTGCATAACAACTCATACATGAGAACTGTTGACAGTGTTCTCGATTCGGGGAAACGGTGGGTATTCTCTGGTCCGTTTCCCTCCCCCCGCTTTGGTGAAGTTAAATTCTCCCGTTCACAACAACCTCATATCTGGCTTAAGAACTACTGCTGCAACAGGGGCATTCCATATGTGGACAACTTCACATCATTTTATACAAGAACTGATCTCTTTAAACGTGATCTACTCCATCCAAATTACACCAGATCCCGTCTTTTATCATTGAACATCGAACTTACTCTATGCTCCTCCAGGGCTTTTTCAGCATGACAGCCCAAGCACAATTCCATAACATGTCCCACCTACCATATTCCTGTCATCAGCACATCCAGGAAGCACTCCAGTCACTCAAAACCGCCCTCGGTCGCAAATCTGAACAATCTCAAATTTATGAATTTGCATAACCTCCCTGCTGATCCCCCCAAACCTTCACAGACCGCACTGAATATGGCACTTTTAAATGTAAGATCTCTTTAAACAAGTCTTTTCTGATCAATGACCTTATTTTAGACAACAAAATTTGATTTTATGTTTTTAACTGAAACATGGCTTAGCACAGATGGACCTGTGACACTGATAGAGGCCTCTCCACCAAATTATGAATTTTTATATTCTTTTAGACAGGGTAAAAGAAGTGGGGGGACAGCTACAATTCTTTTAGCACAGCATGCTTTTAAAAACATTCTATTTGATGATTTTTTTATCATTTGAACACCACTCCTTTGTTTTTAACAGTCCCCCCATACTTTGTTCAACTATATACAGACCACCTAAGCGTTGCACAGATTTTATCAACATGGATAAGAAGCTACCATCTGTTTTAGTTTTATTGGACCTGAGTGCAGCTTTTGATACAGTCGACCACAAAATTCTTTTAGATAGACTTATTGGCATCTCTGGCACTGTTTTTAACTGGTTTGAATCTTATCTTGGTGATAGACAATTTTACGTGAACCTCGGGGATTGCTTATCTAAATGTTTTGTCATCAGGAGGCACGGCATCAATTTCCACAGCTATGCTGATGACACACAACTGTATGTTGCCGTGTCTCCTGATGACACAGGGCCACTCGATGCCCTTTTTAACTGCATTTTATCCATTAAATCATGGATGGCAGAGAACTTTTTACAGCTCAGCCAGAACAAAACTCAGGTTTTAGTCATTGGGACAGGGGACAAGAGAGAGAAACTGGTCAGCAAACTTAAAGCATTATCCTATAATCCGAGTCAACAAGTTAAAAATGTAGGTGTTTTATTTGATTTAGAATTGAGCTTTGAGCCTCACTTACGAGATATCACAGAGAAGGCATTTTATCATCTAAAAAACATAGCTCGAGTGCGACCATTTCTCTCTCAAGCCAATGCAGAGACATTAGTTCATGCTTTTATCACTTGTAGAATAGATTATTGTAATGCCCTCCTTCCTGGTCTCCCCAAAAAGAACATTTCACACCTGCAATTATTACAAAATTCAGCTGCACGAATGTTAACAAGGATCAGAAAGAGAGATCACATTACATTGATTTTAAGGTCTCTGCATTGGTTACCTGTCTCTTTTAGAATAGATTTTAAGGTGGCTTCATTGGTTTTTAAAGCTCTTAATGGCTTTGGCCCTTATCTATCTGATCTTCTATTACCTTATGAGCCAAGTCGAGCCCTCAGGTCTTCAGGAAGTTCTCTGTTAACAATACCTAAAGTTAAAACCAAAGCATACGGTGAGGCATCTTTTTATTACTAGGGCCCCAGTCTATGGAACAGCTTACCTGAAGACCTGAGGACTGCACCTAATCTTAATGATTTTAAAAGCAAACTGAAAACGTACCTTTTTAGTCTTGCTTTTAACTAAATTTTTATATCATTAACTTTAAGTGTTTAAGCATTCACCTCTTTCTAGTTTTGATAACAGGATCGTCTTTTATTGAGCAATTTTGGTGCTCTTATTTTAGTATCCTTTTCTGTTGTTTTCATTTTATTTTATTATTTATTAAATTTCATTCTTTGTTTCTTTGTTTTTAGATTTTGACATAAATCTCCAGTGTTTCCTTATCTTGAGTTTTAAAATGACGTTTCCTCTGCGCACATTCCTATTTCCACGAAATCAAGCCCTTTTTAGGTTTATGCATTTTAATACTGTTTCTGTTGCAATTAGATCGTGGGGTGAGAATGAGGGGTTGGGCTGGGGTTGATTTGGGTATTGTTTTAATCTTGGGTTGGGGTCAATTTGGGTATTCTTTGTTTCTTTTATTCCTTTTTCTGTGTGAAGCACTTTGTGCTACATGTTATGAAAAGTGCTTTATAAATAAAGACTGATTGATTGATTGACAATACATAAAAAAGATGATAAGTGAAAAATTTAAAATGAATGAAATCTAGATTAATACCTAAATATGTGAGTGTGGGCACATATTTATTTTTAAAATACATTTCAAATCCTTGAAAGGAAGTGGGCAGGGTCCCAAGAACTGAACACTTTCTTCACAAATTTCAAAGACTTATTTTGATGAGATATGTGACTGCGGTCACTTATTTACTTGTCTCTTTTTTTTTATCAAATTAAATTCCTGGGCCCCAAAACGGATGTGGAACAGCGGTTAAAAGGGGGTTGTGGATCTGGTTGGCTCTCCGGCTCTGCAGTCACGTCCTAATGGGCCCCGCCCACCTGCCGTGGTGGCACGAGCGTGCGGCGAAACCGTTTAACGTTATTAAAAAAAAACTCGACGGAGGTAGCCGTTGGAAAGTTCTTCTACGACTCAAGACACGAAAAAGGTCGCAGTTGTTGTCGACAAACAGTTAGTACTTGGGTTTGGAGGTTTTTCAGTCTCTAACCGTCAAGTAAACGTTTTTCTTACATTAATTTTGTACCATTTAACTCCGTTTTACAAGTTGGACGCTAATCGCGATTAGCGTGTTAGCATGCTAGCCAAAGTGGGATAGCTAGCAGTTGACCGGCTATTGTCTGTAAGTGTTCATATTTTAATTGAGCTTACTGCCATAGAATGATGAAGCATTTTAGTTTTGGTGATATAAGTAACTGAAGACATGGCTTTTCTATTTTTTAGGACCATGAAACTCCGCTTAGAGTGTGAGGCATGCTACACTTTGGCTGCAACAAACCTGACTCCTCATCGGACGTTGGCAGCGTCCAGCCAGAGGTCCACCCACAGCCTTTCCCACAAAGTTTCACCATCTGTTACCTGCTGAAACTTATTGCAGCACACATGGAGTTGTGAATACAAACATACAATTTTGAGTCTTTGAGGCTGAAACTTAAAGAGATAGCCATCTGATATTAATTTCGGGTTTAAACACACCGCAACACCGAGTTAGACACCCCCCCTCGAGAGATGAATGTACTTTAGTAACAACCGCAGGATAGCAATACACAGCCGGACCACAGTATGGTTTAACTAGAGAAGCAAGCAGTCAGCTACATTAATCTCTTGAGGGGGTGTCTAACTCGGTGTTCTGGTGTGTTTGACGCTAAATTAGTTTTACAAATGTCCCTTAAGGCAACAAAAATTACTTCACTTAAACACTTTTAGTGGGGCGCTATACATCCAAATACAGGATGTATAGTGTCTGTACGTTACAATTAAGGTAATTCCCCGCCAATCCAGTCAATGTATTTTCCATAATAGCAGAAGAATTTTGTTTTAATAGTATGATACGGGCTTTTAGAATAAATTTGACAGCTGTTTATGAAAACTGAAAGCATTGGGCATGAGAGAACATTGACAAAGTTACTCTGAGGTGGTCATAATTGTGTGATGTGGAGATGCATGCTGGTGAGCTGAGAGAGGATATCACAGGGTAGGTCTTGGATGTTGTTTAAAGACATGCTGCTGCTTGAACACTCACAGAAGAAGGGCATGGCAACAAAGAGAAACATAGTATGTCAATGAGAGCTGGATAATTCCTAAGAGAATTGTAATCACCTTCTTTGAAACATATCTTTTATCAATTTTAACTTACAGCAACGTGGTGTATAGTTTTCCATATTAGAAGACATGAGAGGAGTGATGATGAGTATAAGACGGAATATTTGTGCAACTCGGGTATCAAAAAGAAACACGTGGCTCTCTGAAGTTATTGAGGTCTATGAAATAAACTGAGATTCAAATAGATGCCTTTTTATGACATACAAAAGCTAACAAAACACAATCAAGAGAAGATTGAGGATTTTTTACCCTAATTTTAAATGGTTACTTATTTGATTGAATAAAACTAGGAATTTTCTTACAGAATTAAGAAGCTCAGTAAATTCTGACCTAAAAGAATATGTCCTGTTTTCTGTTTTATTTTAGGCTGACCAAAAAGAGAATGTGTGCAGAGACATTGAAGAAATCCTAGATCGTAGACATAAAGAAGTCTCTGAGTTCATGAAAAAGACCTGTGAGGCTTTCCAAAAATGCCTCAAGGAGGGGGTTGAAAAATCCACACGGTCATGGGAAGATGACTTGAAGAAATTCTTAAATCCTTTATGTATTGAAATATTTTATTTGACTTAGAGCACTGCCTTCATGTTCAAATGTAAGTGCCTTAAGATTTTTTTACTAATTAAATTTTCTTCTTACAGAGTGATGTATCAGGAAGTGCTTTCCACAGGACATTGAAGTGCATTGTTGAAAAGAATGGCACCCACAAAAATAAAAAGAAGCACTACAACCTCAACGAGACACTGTCCTCATGGCTGACTGAGAGCATTGATGAGGAGTTCAGGAAGACTTTCCCGTAAGAAATGATTAAATGAGGATATAATGCCTTTTAAGAAATGTTGGGGATAATTGTCTTAAAGGTACAGTGTGGAAAAAGTATTTAGCAGCATCTAGAAGTCAGATTCTAGGTTAAAGGCTCCCCTGCACACCTTTTTTGACAGAAAAAAAGCTCCTGCTATGCATGCTCAGTATCATCCACCATTTGTCAAGTTTTTACCAACGCATTTTTATCAATGAAAAGTCCTTTAAGTCCACAACAACTAATCTTCTTTTCATCTTTCATCTGGTACATTTTCTGCTAAATAAGAAAAACAAGCATGGGATATAGTTTATCCATTCTATGCTACTGTAGCAACATGACAGCGCACAATGGCAGTCTCTGTATCGAAGGACTTGCTGCTTATGGAAATAAAAAAATTGTCTTTTCCCAAAATCAGAACAATGTTTAAGTTCAGATATTCATACATGAAAGATGAAAGAATTACATTCCATTTCTGCCAAGCCTGATCTGCAAAGTGCTGCTGTGTTCTTTACACTTCACCTTTGAAACCTGTCTATTCTTGCTTAACAAAGCAGTTTCTTCTAAACACAATTCAGAAATGACTCAAAACGTGGACCATTCAACGAGGCCATCAGTTCCTTTTCCCTCGGCACAGAGACGCTGAAGGAAAAGTACGAAGATGTGCAACTGCAACTGGAATTTCTCGGGACAGAGGTAAAAGCTGAAAATATAACCTACTTTTCAAAATTTCTTCAACTGTTTTTCAGGGTGTGGAGACTCAAAAACATCTGAACCCTTTAATAATGGTTCAGATGTGCTGTTGATATGCCTATTGAACAGAAAGAAATGTACCGCTTGACAGTCTGTTAACTGAGGGGAAAAGACATGATGATTTGTATGGTTAGCACAGAGTTTGACATTTTGATAGCACGACAAACACACAGACACAACCACTTTATACTGCTGTACTCCTCTCATTTGTTGGCATGTGAATATAGCACCTGATTTCATTTAATCATCAGTTTTATTTGATGATTGATAATTCTGATTTTCATTACATACATTCACTGAAAACACCACCTCTCCACAAAAAACTCTCTGCATCACAATGCTCCTGCCCAGTTTTCCAGTATGTTATCTATAGAAACGACCACATCGACTTGGTTTACTTTTTGAGACTCCAGTGGATGCAAGAGCCACTTAGTGCACCATGGGTAATGTAGTTAAGGCACTAAATTGAATTACTTTGAGAAACTGTTCTATAGTTTCGACTGAAAAGACACTATATTTTGTGCACACTCCTTTGAAATGCATGAGCTCCCTCACTTTTGTCACAAATTTAAAGTGACAATTTTCACAAGACAGACAGAAAATATAAAATCAGTCATATCAGTTCTACACAATGTGAAAAATTGGCTGCACAATCCAATCAACCATTGACTTGATTTGCAGACATGACAACATTCAAACCCAAAACATTAGTAGAGTCCTCATCATCGTCATCATAGTCAACATAATCTATAAATAAAGAGGATTTGAGTGCACACGCTGCTTGGTCAGAGTGAATGTTTGTGTTCCAGTCTTCCTTCTGTTTTTAACCTGGTGATCAAATCTGAATGTATCTTGAGGTAATTATAGCTGTTGTAAAGACTGCAAGCTTAAGATCCTGTGTTGTGATTTTTTGAAGGAAGAAAAACTGAAGATTAAACTTGGAGAAGAGATAAAGCAGAAAAAGAAAAAAATCTACTGCAGCCTGACCACCAAAATCGAAGAAATCATGCAGGAAGGCTACAACAGTAAGATCAAAGATCTTTACTTGTAATATTTGACACTATAACAAAACAAGTAACATCACCATTGTGATGACCAACATTTTCTAACAATTTCCTCATTATTTCAGAGGCAAAAAATTGTCGAGGAGATGGCATGCTAAAAAAAATGAGGGCAATCATCACGGAGCATGTGCGTGATAACGAGAACATGTTCCAGAGGGCTGGAGATGCCATGATGGAGAAACTGTGGGATTTAGAGGTTTGTTAGTTCTAATAACCTAATTGTCTTTAGGAGATAGTTTAATATATCGTATAGTTTAATATAACATATAACATGATGGCTCATCAAGTGTTTTTAGCTTTCTGGACTGCTCAGTATACATTCAAACTGTTAATTCATGTACAATCAAGTAAATCCCAGTTTGACATGTTAAACATGTTTATTGCTTTTATAGAGGGAGGTCCTGCAGACAATAACGAAAACAATGCAGGAATCAATTCAGCTGTCGCTCAAGACAGATCATCAATCACTTCCAGGTAAAGGGTTGGTTTGTTCTTTCCAAATTAAAAATAATTTAGCAAAAGTAAATCGCAGGATAATCTTCACTCATTTTTTTAAAATTAGTTGTGGACCTCATACTTGCTTTAATTTTTCTTTGGCTGTACCACACACTTAGGTGGAAAAAATTGGAAGAAAAATGACACATTTCTTTTTTTGATGTGGTTTTCAGATGTCCAAACAAAGTTGGACAAGATGAAAAAATGCGTGGAAGAGCTGAAGAAAAGGAGAGATGAAAAAACAACATCAGTTTGGTAAAACTTTTCTTTAAACGTTTAGATAATTTCCTATCTTTTAATCATAAAAAAGACTTACTTTGCCTCTATTCACTCCAGTGCTGAGCAACCCGGACCGTCAACTGCACAGGTATGTCTTTTTTTATTATTTTGAGCAACTATAAGCATTCAAGCAGTCACTGTTTCATACCGTCACAGCCCTCCTGTTAATCTCTGCTGGATATTTCAGAATTGACGAAAAACAGCAGAGGTCTGAGTAGCCACTGAGGGTCCCAGAGGGAAAGCTGATTGGAGGAGAGACCACTGGATGGGGTCTTAATATGTTTCTCAAGATCTTATTTCTACTCTTTTTCAGTCTTGTTTTGACATGCTATTGATGTGTATATAACACAAAGTGATGATTTATTGTTGTGATGATGTTTTCCTTTTTTTGTGGTTGTTCATCAGAGACAGAGAAAAGTTACAATTTGGTGTGATCTGCCATGTTCTGCAGACAAAGTCTAACCACTTATATGGTTTACATTATAAGGATTTCTGCCATTTTTTAATTCAGTTTTTTATATGTCTTGTTTTTCTTTCATGTACTATGTGGGTGTTTTCATGTTATGGGTTTAACACTTGGTGATTTATATGTTCACTGCATTTACACTGACTATAATGAACCCTGAAACTTGATCAGGGTTGGCCTTGACTTGGACTTAAGGCTTTTAATGAGGGATCTTGATTTATTTTTCTATCATGTTTAAGGACAAAAGTGTTGGTAACACCAAAATATATGTTTGGTGGTAAAATAAAAAATAGAAGATATCATGATCATATTAAATTTCATGTCTAGTCATACATTTGCAGCTGCATAGAATGATGTATATTATGATAGATACCACATTTAGACCTTTTGCTTCTTTCTTATTGTGCATGTATAGAACCAAAATAACAAGAGCAAACATGCTGCAACTGCTCAAAAGAATTTCTACTGAGGAATTATTTGTTGATAGTATGACTTTTAACTATTTCATAATCAGTCTCTCAGTATTTCACATGCTTTTTGTATAGGAAATTCATGTACTGAAAAATGACACAGACCGAAAGTTCCTCACAGAAGCTTCAATGTTAAAGTTATTCTGATGTAAGAGGTGTAAAATAAAAGAAAGACTGCATGTTATGATTCAATCATTCATTTTTACTCAAAGAAAAAAAACCTTCACATTGAGGGTCTGTTGTTTATATGACATTGTTGGCACTGATTTCAGTTAAACATGAAACACCAAAATGTCTTTTCGTCCTGTAACTGTGGCACCATTTATAAAGACATAAAGCACAAGCAGGTACTCAAAGCCCTTGCACACCAAACTAATATCTTACATTTTACACACTTGGGTAGTTTTTATTTCAACCGCATTATATGACCTCTACAGATTTTGTAAATTCACTTCTAGTTTTATGCATAAAATGTTTGTGAACAGTTCTGGTGAGTATGGGCACGCTGAAACACTGCAGATGGAAAAGGCAAAGTTCTTGGGCTCAGATACAAACATTGACCCCTTTCCTTTAAGTCCGACCATCTTCCATTGAAGCACCTATTTTTTTCATCACAATGAGATTCATCAGCCCAGTTCTTAAATGTGTGCCCAGGCTACATGTGAGTGTTTTTGGACAATCGTGTTGCTTTTCAAGTGAACTAGGACAGTCAAAAACCATGGCATTGTGTGTGAAGTGTGGGAGAAAATACAATCATTTATATGACAGAAGCTGAAATACAGACAGTCGTATCTTGAGCAGCATTGATTGAAGTTTCAGTGGTGCAAAGTTTGTATTCAAAGACTAAAAATTCAAGTTCACACTTCGGGGGATTTGAAGTCACTGGCTAACCCAGAGAGTGCTGCTTCTTCAGGCTGTCTGAGCGCCTCACTCGCTCCTCCGGGGTCCTCCGATACCAGCTCCTGAGAGGAAACACACAACTTCAAACTGTGCTGACTTTAGAGACTTAGCTTTCAGCTGGACTACGTGCATCATTTACACTGTTGCAATAAATGAGATGAGGTCCAAAGGTTGAGTCTGATTAAACACATGAAAATGTAACCTCACCCTTGACGGTTCAGCTGGTTGGGAGAACTTTGGCCTTGGTTTGGCTTCAGGGCTCTGAAAAGGGAAGATATGTCATGATACTCATTTTTAAAAAAATCTTTAAAAAGTTGGATCAGCTGTCTTGGCACTCTGTTGATATTTAAATTATCAGATTCTGTTTTGCTTGGTTACCTGTTGGTGGTGGGGCTCTTTGGCTTCTGGTGCATCTTCCTAGCTTGTGCTGGGGATTCACCGACCCTAGGGTTTGTTAAAAAAAAAAAAAGGAGGGCACTAAGTTTCATCATCCAAAATGTCAACTTTCACAACCACTAAAGTAGCTTTTTTTTTTTTTTTTGCGCTGTTCTGTCTCACCTCTTTTTTCTGTCCAGAGACCTCTGTGTGGCAGCAGACAAAACCACTCTCTCCTTGGGGCATTTAGCTTTCTCCTGCAGGTTTGACAGCAGTCTTTACTACAAATTCAGTTTGACCCTTAGAGATGCAGCTGTGTGCCCCCTCAGATTTGATAGAATAGTTGTTTTTCTGCTCATTTTAAAAAATCAATCCCTTTAAATTACCATTTCCCGTAGCTTCCTCTCTGCTCGCAGCTCCCTGTCCTGCTGCAGCAAAGCTAAGCGATCCCCCAAAGGCATCTCAAAGAAGATGTCGTAGATGTCATAAAGAGCTGCTCTCAACTGAGAAGTGGGGAAAGATCACATATGAACACAGAGCAAGTTGGACCTCTGCTGTCTGAATAATGTCACTGCACGCTCGTACCTGAGCTTTAACTCTCTCCTGCAGGGAGCGATCTTGTGCTGAGCAGGGGCCTCTCTTGAGAGGAGCTTCAGTCTTGAAGGAACGAATAAACTCCTGTGTGTCCTGGGTAAACAAAGAGACACAGTTTAAACTCAGGAACACGGCGCTGTAAGGAACAGATTGCAGATTGATACTTAAAATAATGGCCTGTTTGTGTTTGTTTGACCTTACCACAACAGTCTGACGCAAGTGTTTGACCTTTTCCGTCTTGAGTAGTCTGCGTGTGAGGAAGCCCCGAATGATGGCTCCAATTCGACAGAAAGCTCTTTGCTGCTCTGCTGTCAGAACCTAGAGGACGCCACGGGGACACGAGAAGACGTGGCTGTTAGGACAGGGTTAAATATACAGGTCAGTAAATTTTCCCACACACCATTTTCTCACCAGACTCAGCCTTGCTCGAGGTTTGTTTACTGCCCATGTGGGCCCCCACAGATAGACCGGAGTTTGGACAGAAGGAGTGGACACACTGGAGCTAACGGGACTGGGGAAACCTTTAGAGGGAAACAAATACATACCTTTAATTTGCACATATAGTTACAGCTGCCTCTGCTTAAAAAATCAAACCACAGGTGAGATAATCCTTCTCAGTATCTGTTGCTTCAAATGTCAGACTTTGGGAAAGGTACTAAAATGACCAATCTGTACAACTTTATACTTTTGGCACCCTTTTGTTGGAGTATCAAAAACGACTGTCATGATATCACATTTCTGTCTTAAATTCAAATGGCCTCTTTCCCTGCATGGGCAAACTGGGCTTTTATTTTGAAGGGTACTATCAATCTATCCCTTTAAATTAGCATCGGGTCAGCCTAAGTTGCGTACTCTGAACTAACAGCTACCTTCTTACTACACACACTTCATGACAACCTTCTTTTGTACAACCAAAGGAGGCCCAGGGTCGAATAAAGCCCTGCAGCTAATGATGGACAATTTCAAAATAAAAGGATTATGTGAAAACAAGTGGATCCTCTCAGTAAACAGTGCGAAACCAAGCCCAACCACTTGGTGGAAATGCAGCATGATGAAGTGGTACCTATACTGTGTCCAGGTGATCGCTCAGCTGGTGTGTGAGCAGGGCTTATTCCTGGGCAGGAGGGGCTCACAACAGGACAGCTGTCAATCACAGACCTGCAGCTCCACCCACTGGCATCCCCACTCAAAGGCCGCGCACTCCTCTGTTCCTTCAGTCTTCTCTCTGTCTCCTCAAGCTCCTGAAGTGCGTACAGACAAAAAAAAAAAAACACACAGACAACAAAATTAATGTTGCGTATTTTTATTGGAATGACTTCTTGGTTTGTATTTCAACTTAAAAAATGAGTTCATGTGGTTCTAAATGCTGACCAGACGGAGGCGCTGTTGTTCTTTCTCCTGCTCAACCAGAAGCAGAGACATCTGCAGGGCATGCTCCTCCTCCAGCCGCCTTTGCATGTCCTCCAGAGCCTGTGCCCTCCTCTGTGTCTCCTCTGCTGATGTGCACAAATAAAAACACAAAAACAGTCATCAATCTTTTTCTGCTTGCATGTTCAAACTCCATTTTTTATGTTTTTCTGTTTTGCAGTTCGTGTCTTTAAAGCTGCAGTGGGAGAAACCATGTCCATTTCAGAGATTAAATTAGATTGCGTTAAATCAACTCACCAATGTTGCTGCTTTGTGTTTCAGCTGGAGGGATTTTCATTCCTTGAAGGTCATCAGAGTCCATCCTGAGTCTGACCTGAGGAGAGTCCAAAGTGATGTGGGGCCTCTGCGGAGATGGTGTGGGATTATCGACCTCGTATGACTGGTTTAAAGGGGCTGCAGAGGTTCGCCAACTCGGTGTCAACCATGTCACACCTGCCATGAAACGAGGAATCCTTTCCTGGCTGCGGTCTATGTGCTCGCCTCCAGATTTGTAGGTCTGCGGCTGGCTGTCCAGTGTGTGGCAGCGCCGGCGAAATCCTGCTACCAGGTGGTCATGGTGTCCCTTAGGACTGAGACCTGAGGCACTAACAGGGCTACAGATCTCCTGCACTGGGCTTGTGCCACAGTGGCTAGACCGACGACTGCCGCTCCTGCTGCCCTCACTGCCTGTAGGGGTTTTTGTGGCCCCTAGAAAAACCTCCCCCAAGTCTGCCACACCAGGACCCTCCCCTGATCTGCCAGGGCTTCGGGGGATAAGATCCGCGGGGCCGATGGGAAATGAAATATGGATGTTTCCTGTTGAAACAGGGCGTGGCCTTCGTCTCTGTGGGAGGGGACTAATGCTGGATTCTGGACTGGGGAGCCGAGCGTATCGATCTTGTAGACTAGGTGAAAGGGAACCAGATTGTTGAGGGCTGGGGGTGTACAGAATTTGATGCTGGATTTTGGTCTGAGGCGGTCCAACAGGGCTATGGTGCAGACTGAATCCAAACTCAACCCCTGTGTCCTCCACCGGGTCACAGCTCTTATCCTCCTTATTCGAGACAGACTCAGGTGGGAGGGTCTGGCTGACCTTGAGGGCTGTGTTTGACCCCTGCTGGCTCTGCTCTCTCTTCACGTACTCTCTTGATCTCTTGAGGAGGCTGTCCAGACTCATGTCCTCCTCTTCCTCCTCCTCCTCTTCTTCCTCCTCCTCACTCTTGTCTTCCCTTTCCACCTTTGCCTCCTCCTCAGTCTTGAAGCCATTCAGGATGGGGGTCACAGAGCAAGCAGGAGTGCTAGACTGATCATTTATTTGAAGTCTAAATCCAGGGTCTCTAGGAAGTCCGGGAGAGTCAGTAACCAGGGTGTAGCCGCTGACTGTCGCTGATTTAGAAACTGGCGGCTTTTCCGTTTCTACACTCGGTGCTTTATTTGTCTGTGCAGAGAAAACAGGTAATGATGACCATTTCACTTATAATTAATTCATTAGTCATAATAAATAAGCTGATGGTGGAAAGTTGTGTCTCTGGGTTGGCTGACAGTGCATGAACTCTGTCTTTACCACAAAGGGTTGAAAGGGCAGAGAGGGAAATATTCAGAAAGACAAGGGCTCAAAAAAGAAGAATAGAGAAGCCCACTGTGTTTTTAATAAACCTCTTTGACTTGATTTTAAATAAGACAATTGATCTCCTCATCCAGACTTCACTATCACGTTCAAACTTTATGACTTCTTCTTCTTCTGGAGGATAGAGTTTATTTACAGCTGAACTGCTTTGAATGTTTGTCTGACAGAAAAAGGCCAGTGCTATAAATAACACTGCCTTCCAAAGACAGTGTTGAGTCACCCAACCTGTATTCAAGTCTGTAAACGTCTCATGAGATTTTGTCACAGACTGTAATTCAGGTTTTGCTCTGTATCACGGGGCTGACACACAGACCTATTTAGAGGATGCATGTTCTGGCACAGAGAGTAGGAGTGTGGCATTATACTGAGTTTTTCTAAAAATCTTCCACCCTGATCCAGACCCCACCAGACCGAGGACCTGAACACGACCGGCCTACTGACCTGAACTTGGTCCAATATGTCTTGAACTCGGGACAGAAGTTTGTTCCTCTGCTGGTTCTGTCTGTCCACCTCCAGCTGGACCGCCTTCAGTCGAAGGTCACGCATCTCATTGCGCTGCTCAGCACTTAGCTAGAGACACAGACAAACAGAGTGTAGACTGTGAAGTGATTCGAAAGGCTTCAGTGCTGAAACAGAAACAAACTCAAGCAGGAACATGAGAGAAAAGATAAGGAAGGAATTTGTTTCAAAAGTGATTCCAGTTTGAAAATTGTACTTTTTGTGATTTCTGCTAAGTTAACACAGAAACAGTCCTCTTTTGTTTTCTCTACAGAGAAGTCCTCAGTCAGTCTGTAGTCTCAATCTCTGAGAACTCATTAAGTCAGCACGACCTAGAAGATGGATTCTCCTCACTGACATCAGCCAGTCTTGGTCCTCATCGTCATCAATTATCCCTCTCTTTCCTCTGCCAGCTGCTGATATTGGGACTGCTAAAACCACATGTTATAGATTAAAAATAGCGTGACTTGCCTTTAATTTAATTAAGTTTAAGTTAAACTATTCTTGTCCGTTTTAAAGCGAGTGTTTTCAGACACTAGCAGTGGTTTAGCTTTGGAAGGCACAAAGGATTCAGTTTAATATCAGTATTGAAAGATGAAAGCTCACAGAGTTAAGAAGTATCAGTTGAAGCATGTATATATCACGGGGCTGACACATAGACCTATTTAGAGGATATATATATATATATATATATATATATATATATATATATATATATATATATGTATGTATACCAAAATTGATGTATAAAACAAATTTAAAATGATCTTTTTTGGTCTGAAAAATGTTTGTTTTGTAAATAAATGTCTAACCCCTTCACCCATGTGCTTCTAACCTTCACAGACTCCATGAATTGATGCCCATCTCCTAAATATTTGGTCACATGATCAGTTTCTCTTACCATTTCCAAGAAACAGGAGGTGGCTCAACTTACCCTTTGGCTCAACTTGCCCCACTCTCCCCTATTGTATATTGATATTGACCAAAAGGACTTTGAATTATCAACATTTTTGATATTGACACACATTCAATGTTGTGCATCCATCCCTGGTTACGGTACAATTCACAAGCCTTGTTATTTCTTTCTTACCAGAGGCGAAAGCACAGCCCGTCCATGGAAGCAGATGACAGAGCAAGCCTTCAGAGACCCCAGTGTCTCACATGTCCTCTTCCTCTTACATCTCTCCCCCTCCTGCAGTATGGCCAAACTGTGCAGACAGAACTCCTCGTAGCTTTCCATCTCTGGGCGCCCACACATCCACGATCAGAGTAGGAAACGCACACCATGTAGCCTCCTCACCCAGCTGGTAAAATGAACAGGAGAGATTGGACTGCACTGGGTGTGGATCACCAGAGGAGACCATTTAGGATGATATGTGGAGGAGCTGTACAAATCTCCTCCAAACAAAAGAGGGTCTGTCTGCCTTTGGAGGCTTTATCACACCAGTCACATTCCTGCCATTCCTCTCTATCAGACCTTGCTGGTGACTGACTTTCATTTCCGTGCCTCATAGAGTTGCAGATAGAGAGTCGAATCAATGCAGCTTCTATTTCTGAATGACCTGTCAGCAAGATGGATGGTACAGACCCTTCACAGCCAGGTAGAGTAACACAGGGCGTTAGCTTGGGATGAATTAACACTGCGTTATAACGTGTAATTCATCGAGGTAGTATCTGGTAAAGGAAGCATAGCTCGGTCAATCCAAACTGGGGTCTTCCCGATGATACCCAGTGGTCCCTCACACTGATTCATTCATTACAACACCGACAAGGTTTCATTGTTTTACACTGCTAAGGCAAAGCAAGATGGATAATCGCGATTTTGTGACACAATGACATGAGATTTTCGGTTTTGCAGCGTATATTAAAGCCCAAAATGGTTATTGAACAGATGTTGCCATGCAGAATCACAGCTGGTAACATCACACCGGCGTTACGGGTTCGTTACCTACCTTCACAGCCAGGAAAAAGTGACACCTCCTTTCATTCCTCTTAAGATGCTCAGTTTATCGTGAGGGAACGACACACTGAGGCTTAAACATCAGCCTTTCGTGCCTTTTCTCAATCTCGGGTTTCCCCATCATCGTTAACATTATTGTCAACTCTTCCGGGCTCCAACAGCGCCTCCTAGCAACAGCGCGTGGGCCACGTTCCAATACAGTTCGTGAGACTTCTTCGCGTAGACTTCTCGTGAGAGCTCATTGTAGACGATTGCATTCATTGAGCGAAAAGTAGGTGATTGTGTCACGAGTAGTTCATCTGGTGCGTTAAACCCATAGATTGTATATAGTATTCTGTATGCAGTCTATGGTTAATCCTCTGTACTTGAGCAATAGACTGGAAGAGAAATGGAACCAGATCCTTGTCAGACAACAACCTCACCGTCTTAAATCACATCAGTTGTGACAGGTCTTGAATGATAAGCAGCCTTGTGTGTGCCTGTTCTTGGTGTTATTAATAATATCCATAAGGTAAGTCGTGGTTTGATATGGAGTTTTTGACATAAGACCCATTTTAAAGGTCAAGCCTCAAGGTAAGATGAGCAGGTGCATATTTTAAAGTCTTCAAAATTCCACAAATTCACAATTATGTAGCCTACCTGGTTCATTAACTGTAATGACCACACAAAGCCCTGGCCTAAACCTGTTCTTGGTGGCTGTGGAAAACTTTTGCTGTGATTCAATTTAATGTCATAGGGGTGTTTTAAGGTTTGAAAAATGATTAAAACTGGATTTTCTGATGTAAAAATTAGGAGATTTATCAAGTTACAGTAACAACAACTCACTGAAACTGTGTCATGTGTTTCCAAAACCAGCTAAAATAAAATATGACTGAAGAGAGAATATCATAAGTCTTTGTCACATCACTATTCCTGATCCAGACTCTTTTTCTTGACCCATTAGGTCTGATCACTAGGTTCATAAATCAATGACACTGCGACAGTTTTAGGATCATATTTTACCTTTATAACTGCTATCTCTAATTTTATTGCGTTAAAGCATTAACCCTCCTCCTGTGTTAGGGTCTGCACCTACCTGTTTTTGATTTTAAATGCTTAAAAGAACCACTTAAATTAGCTTTTTAGCATCAAGACTTTTTGGCTTTGTCAGGAACCTCTATTTCAACAAAATAAAAAAATTAAAAATTAAACTGACTAAATTATAAAATGCTCTTATTAGAATGATGGCACTTGTGTTAGGGTCACTGTTGACCCAGTTAGATCAATATCTAAGAGCAAAGACTGAAATCATAAGTGCACTTACAGGCAACACACTGACAGTCAGATCCTCTTCCACCCATATGAGATTTAGGAAATTCTCATTTTGCTATGTATTTTCCTGCACAAAATATCTGTGAGTATTTGTCATTTGAAGGATTTAGAGACAACAACAATAAGCAACTTTGTTCTCAGGCTAAAATAAATGAGTTCACTCATTGCGGACAAATATGTTTTACTGCACTAAATAAAATATACAGATAAAGACAATGCTTTCGCCTGTGTGAGGGAAACTGTTTATTCCACATTCAGTATCAAACAAAACAAGGACACTTCTTTCACAGCTCATCCCTTGGGCTCTCTCGTGATCCTGAGTGTACGGGTTGAGAAATGCGCACTTTCTCCTTGTTGGCCTGGATTAGAGCTTCGATGTCATCGGCTGAAAAGCTTTGTTTGACATCCTGCCACAAAAATAAGACAAGTTCAGCCCTCCGGTGGGAAAATTAATTCCTTCAAAAATAAGTTAGTTTCACAATCACACCCACAGCTCACCTCAAAGGACTGACGTTTCACTCCCACACATGCTCTGGACTGCTCATAACACAGCACTATACCGAGGTTGTTTGGCTCTTTGGCCACCAAAGCTTCATAAAACTGGTCATAATTGGAGTCTGGAAGACAAATTATAAATGAGGTTGTTATAAACATGCAAGTCCAGTGTTATTTCTTCAGATCTTACCCATTAGTTTCATGCAGGAGATGATCAGCTTGTCTTTAGAAATATGGGCATGTTGGAAGGAGTGCAGTTTCTTGCACACATCACCATGGAGGAGGCCCTTTACTATTGTCTGCCTGCTCTCAGCTGGGGCTCCCTTTAGGGATTTCTCTATCTCTGTAACACAGAAGAGGATGAGGGCAACAGGTAAACATTTGTCAGTGTTGTTTTAAACAACTGTGTCATACTCTGAGAGAATCTGAACAGCAGTCTGTCGTACCTTGTGCAGCTGTGAGGCAACTTTCACAATCGACATCTAAAAAAAAAACCAGAAAGAGGCTGGAACTACAATCCAACTAAAACAAAGCCTTCTTCAGCTATAAAGATAGAGGAAGAAACCAAGTTGGCAGAATTGCAGTGATTGTGGTACTTACATCGATCCATCTCCTTGGGTTGCACAGGAAGAAGCGAGCACACAAATATTAGAAAAATAAAGGTTTTCATCCTGACAAGGAAAGAGACGAGAAGAGAGAGGAGTCAACTGAGCACAAGAGAAGTCATATCCCCTTACATACAGCGTCTACTGCTGATCTCGAGGACAATAGAATCACGTCACTGTCATTCCTGCAGTGACAGGTGGCCAGTCTTTCAGGTTTTCTCTCACTTTGTACAGATATTTCCCACAGTTTGGGCTTTCTGTGATCGTTGGACATGGTGTTAGAGCACTCTGAAGCCAAAATTCAAGTTTAGTCGATGTGGCTAAAGGTGCGGCACAGACTCAGTTGACTTAGGAACACTGACAAAAGTCTTGTACACAAATAAGAGGCCATTTTTAAAGGTACAGTGTGTAGTGTTTAGCAGCATCTAGCAGACCAGACATGGAGAAAATGGAATTCTTTAACTTTGTTTAAAGTTGTGTATGGTCGTATATAAAAGCTGATTAGCATTCATTTGAAAAGAATGTGATGTCTTCAGTAGACTGTGATGTCTACTGAAGGAGTGTGGGTCCCCTCCCCTTCCACAGAGGTTACCCTCTTCTATGGACATGTTTCTACTGAAGCACACAATGGACAAACTAAATACATAATTTGTATCAATTCTACTCTAAAGTCTCTTGATATATATAATGTAAGCTATATTTAATGACATTTCAGGCCAAAATTGTAAGTTGCTTCAAACTTGCTCCTTTGAGCTGTGTGGCAGCCATCTTGGTGGGGGCATCATTCCCATTAAAAGCAATGCATGTACAATCATGGCTTGCTCATTTTTCAACCAATTTTCAAGTGGTTTACTTTATTATTAACGTCAAAAGATGTGCTTATAATACAGATCATTTGATTTAAAAAAAATGTCAAGATTGAACCGCATAAGAATTGGTTCAAAATGAGCAAGTTATGATTTATTTTCCATATACATCTGAAGCCTGTAATGGGACCGTTGCCCCCTCCAAGATGGCTGCCACGTTGGCACGTCGCTTAGCGGGCTGCTACGGCGGGCTGGCATATCTCGCCTTCTATTTAAGTCTGTGGGTGGCAGTAGCCCATTACAGTTTGTTTCATAAGTGGCCACTAGATGGTGCTGTTATATTTCAAATGGCAGTATGAGGAGAGTTTGCCAGATCCCATATATGGTCATTTTTACCATATAAGGACTGACGCGTATGACGTCGGCGGAACAACGGAAAGTATGACCGTGTGCGGGAAAGGCGAACGTTGGAGCAAGGTCCTCTTTTCAAATGAGTAAATGTTCAACTGCTCGAGGAAAGTTAACAGACTGAGTGTAACTTTCGCTACAAAACGGAGAAATTCGGCGTTCACTGGCGTTTGCTCGATATTCCGCTGTCAGAGGCAAACATGTGAGTATTTAAACGTTTTTGTTGATAACGTGAATTTCACGTGCGCTGTCCTCAGCTTTCACACAAGGCTGCTCCTGAACGGAAACCTCGAGTTTTTATGCTAACGTTTTGCTCTGTTGTGGTGTATTAATGGGGTCTTGGTGAACTTTGGTCCCTGCAAATGCTGTACTGATAACTAATATGTCTGCTCTTGAAGGAAGTCCACAAAGAAGGCCTTTGGAGATGAGCTTTTGTTGTTTTCCTGTTTACTACAGTACAGATGGGCTCGGTTGACATCTTGCAGCCTTATGGTCTTTAGATGTCTTTTGTGGAAATGTCATGTTTGAACCGAACACTTAACTGTTGGAAAGGCTTGAAATCGTTTGAAAGTTGTCATAATAGACCCAATTTGAAGGCGTTTTCTCTTTATCTTCACACCAGCAGAGACAGAAGCTGGAGACTTTTATCTCTCTTTTCAGGGGCGTGTCAGGCCTTCCGGACTAGGGTGGCCCACTAGTCTCCAGGGTCCTCATGTATCAACCGTGTAAACCAGGGGTAGGCAATCATGTGCCATGGAGGGCCGAGAGGCTGCAGGTTTTCTTTCCAACCCAAAACTCCACCAGGTGATTGCACTCCTTACCTTACCTTACCTTACCTCCAAGCAGAGCTCCTTACCTCCAAGCAGAGGGCAGGGACTAATCAGTGAAATCACCTGGTGGAGTTTTGGGTTGGAAAGAAAACCTGCAGCCTCTCGGCCCTCCATGGCACATGGTTGCCCACCCCTGGTGTAAACGCAAAGTTGTGTGCGTAATGAATGCGTACGATCATTCCCACACAAAGTATGGAATTTATCAACCTGTAAATTTGGACACAACTCTGACCATGCTTACACATAAAATCTAGTGGTACATTAGTGAAAACTACAAATAGAACTCAAAATAAAACGAGGATTTCACGCTATTGCTGGATTGCCTAACACAATTGGAGCCATAGATTGCACCCACATCACAATTAAAGCATCTTTTTACTTTTTTACAATGGCCTAAAATAGAAAAACTAATGAAGTCCATAGACCTTTTTTTTAATGTAGTTGATGGCCTCGACAAACTCGACAAATACAGGATCATATTTGGCATTCCCTCAAAGTCCACCATCCCTTGTGGAGTATTTATATGAATACATACATTTCCTCTGAGGTTAGCTCACAATTTTGGCAGACCTGTCCGTCTGCCTCTGGAGTAGATATATCGAGTATTTTTCTACAATCTAAACATGAAATGCAAAGAAAGCTACTAGCTGCCTTTTTCACCACAGCCTAAATATTTGATCACATGTGATAAGTATAAATACAAGTCAGACAAGATTTTAACTTGTGCTTGTGGGCCTTTTTCACCTGCAAAACATATTAAATTGGCAGCCTGTACTTGGTCCCCTTCGATCAAGATGTCACCTCTTCTACCTAAGAGACACTTGACATTAGTCTGAGCTCCAAAGACGTCAAAATATCCCACATTTGATTAAAAAGCCTCTAGGAAAAGTCTGGAAAGTTAATCACAGAGCTGTTTTTTCCTTTCCCCCTTTCCTTTTAATCTTCTTAGGACTCCTCAGATTTAGGTCTATCTCGTGACCTTTTGGAGGGACTTGTATGCCAGTAGAAGCCATTTTCTTCAGAACTAGTACTTAAAAATGTTGCTGGTTTTGTTCCCCATAATACGGTACTTCATATAGCTAATACTTTTATGTGTGTTGTGGATATGGTTTTTCTCCTAATAATGGATTCTGCTTTTCTGTACCTGCATGGAGAACACTGAATCAGAGGTCTTATCTTATCTAACCAGAGTGTGAACTGTGCTATAGTTGACTCTGGCAGAGGGTTCAGCCTCCTTATGTCGCTGCCATTATTTGGGTTTATCTAAGAGAGTGTAGGGGCTGTTGTCCAGCAGGTGGCGCCTATCCCAAGACCTCTGATGCTCTTTTAGGTCAAGAATTAAGAGCCCTTAATGAAAATCACTGTATATCACACAGTGTTTTCGATCAAATTGCATAAGATGGACATTCTCATAATATTGTCCATGTTGAAACATATAGAGATGGTAATTTGTAAAAGCCCAACTATTTTCTCATCTGTTTCATCAGCCAAATTCCACCTATTAGTATAATGTTGCCCAGGAGGAGAGCGAAAGTTGCAGGAAAAATCCTGCACACTGTCATATTGCAAGAATAAGCTGATGCGTTGTTGTTTTCAGATGGTGTGAAGGAGTTTGCACGCAACTTTTGATCCCTGAAGACAAGAAATGATCCAATATTGACGTTTTTGTTTGATGTAGTATCCAGCTCGGAACAGATATAGTGGATATTTTTTAATTTTGCAAAACACTAAAGTCTTAAATTAGCATTGTTTCAGAGACACTTTAATCTGCAACAATTCTAATGAGATGTTTCTCACAGTCTTTGGTTTGTTTGCAGTGAGGAAACTGAATATTTTAGGTCTTTTTTCCCTCAAGTCTTCTACGAAAACTGCTAAGAGCTTAAATAAATGCATATTTTGTAAATGTTTTGTACTAGAGTGTTAAGGAACATTTCCTCAAAGCTCTGGACACATTGCATTTGCAGAAGTAGATGTATGCTGCCATAGTTTTCAGTATTCTAGTTAGTTTTATAAACAGTCTGTGTTCTTGCTTTGGTTCATGCTGTGCAGGTGTAAATCGATCATCTGCAGGTTGAAATTTGTCTCTGGTTCTTGTGGTGGCTTACTGGGACCTACAGCTGACGGTTGAGTTGTCCTTTAGGGGTTTTCATGCCGTAACAATAGTATGATCCTGTGCCTGCATGGGGCTCCAGCAGCAGCAGTCCGGTTCATGCCTTTGCGGCACTGCTGCCCTCCTCCAATAGATTTAAAGAGTGCGCCCTGGCCGACAATAGAGGGCCGGCCTGCGAGTGGGAGGATCAGCTCGGCGCCTGCGATCCTTCTGGCTTTGTTACGCCCGGGAAGCCATTTTGGAAATCTGCTTGTTGTGCACTAGCATATCACTCAGAAGCTACTTGCAAACTTTTGTGCTTTCCTGCAGGATAAAAAATACCATCAGGGGGCTGTGTGTCCGCAGTGATACTCATCCTCAGACTTCCCTTTTGCAGGGATGCTGGTAGAAGTTTGCGCATCTTTACTGATCGTAATGTTTGGATATTTTCCCTTTGGATTACGCTCTTGAAGAATAATAACATCCATGGACTACAACCACGCGGGCAAGTTGGCATGATAAACTGCACCATTTGCGTTCGCTGTTGCGTTTGTCTTGTGTGAATGCGTCTATCCGTCAGATAGCTACATATTTATTTTGTCCTTGCTGGGCTCCTTTACACTAAAAAACGCCATTTCAGGCCCTATTTTCGAGTGCGATTTCTGCCTAACTGTGTAAAACGTTTCTGTTCTGTAAAATTGTGTATTTGACAGCGAAAAGGGGTTAAAAAACACGCTCGATAATAATGAAAAAGCGCGTCGACGCACAAGCCTGTAAGTCAACGCTTTCTGGAGTGACGGCGTTGTCTAAATTCATGGCGTCTAAATTTAGCAAGGGGCAATATGAGAATGTTACAAGGCTTATATTTCATCTGGTCTAACATATCTGCAGTTGTTATTGAACTCAGCTATGGGATTTAAACGGCACCAGTAGGTGGACTAGTCACTGCACTTTGCGTCTTCGTCGCAGGTGGTTTGCGTAAAGGAGCCAGCAAAACAGACGTGTGATGACAAATACAGCAGCCAACTGTGAAGCATTTCACAAAATAGCTTGTTGTGATTGTAGTTTTGAGGTTTGGTGATGCTAGATTAGCCTGTTTTTGTTGAACCTGTCTCCTCAATAATGAGCTCAAGGATGAAATGTCTTTTATATTTCAATGAGGTAAAAGCTGCAGAGCAGAAGAGCACCTGCAGCAGGTCTGTACGTGGTCCGTGTTTGATTTTCAGAGACCACATCCAGCTCTTAAATCACAATTCATTGCCAAAGTTGTCAAATAAAGAAAATAATCCTGTCTGAATCAAAGTAGTTCTCTTGGCTTGTGGATGTTTGTTTCTGTTTATCCCTCTTTACAGCTTTGGGACTCAGATGGGGATTTGAATCATGATTAAGATTATGGGTGAAGGTTTGATGGTGGATTTCCTGAAAGCCATCTGTTTTATTTGCTGCCCCATCTTTGCTTTATCTGCCAGTTTAATCAAACTCTAGTTTCAATAGAAGTTCCCTCATTGGCCAGGACGTAGGAGGAGGTTTTGACCTCATGGTTATGTTTTAGCCCATAGGTGGTTAAGCTCAATTTGAGGAAGGATGCTACATGAGTTAATTCTTTTTCAATACAACAGCAAGGCAAAGGCTAGCCTTTATGCTAACCAGATGTGTGCTTTAATGCAGTGTTGTTTTCGTCAACGTCAACTCTGTTCATCGTCCACAACGTTTTAGTCTAGTCTCATCAACGTAAACAAACATTTGTCTCGTCACATTCTAATCATCTAAGACTTATGTTTAGCTCATCAACGTCACGCTGTCTGAAATAAGAAGAGAACCTGATGGTTTGTCAATTATATTAAACACATATTTGATTAAAAATAAAATGAAAGCTCATTTTAAATTTGTTGCTAGTTGGGTCAGAGCCATGTTGTGTTCATAGACTGTATATAGAATGGACAGCGTCTACCCAGAAGACAAGTACTGACGTTTTCAAAGTTGAAAATGCAGGATTATTATTATTATTATCTGTTATTATTGTTGTTGTTGTATGGATAGGGTGACAGACTGGGTTCCCAGAACATGGTCCTGGAAGTGATTCCTTTTGGCCCACACAGTGACCTCCACTGCAGAGTCATGTCCATTTTTAATGCAGTTGAACCTGTAGGGCTTGAAAATCCTGGCCATACATTACTAGTTTTCAGATATCATGCATCAATAGTCAGTAAAACCCTCAAATTCTTTCCTCTCTGGATCATTATTGTGAAATTGCTGAACCATTTCCTCAACCAGTCTTTCACAAAGTGGTGAACTTCTTTCCATTTTATCTTCTTAGTGATACAATCTCTCTATTATGCACTGATATACCCGGTCATGCTACTTATACATGGTAACATGACAGCTACAAAAAGCATTTTATTGTCCCTCTTCCAACTGTTTTGACGACATGTTGCTATCATCAAATTTAAAATGAGCAGAACTTTTAAAATTAAAGAAGTTAAATCTTATTTGTGTGGTCATTAACTGAATTTAGACTCTGAATGATTTGTAAGCCATAAAAAAAAACATCAATTTTAAATTACTACAGGTGAATCAGCACTTCTCATAGCAATATTACAGTATGTGTATTAACCTGCAGGGGAAACTCATAAGCTGGCATCTGAGAGTGTTATGGTAACAGCACTCAAACAGGGAGGTTTCACGGAGGAGCTCTACCCTCAGAGTAGTCGTTTCCCGCCCATTGCCTGAAAGGGAGCCCCACCCCTTGCTGTTGTACTTGGTTTCATAATACTGCTCTCTCAGTGCGTGGAGCTTATCCGAGGAGTCACCGAAGGAATAGCTGTCCTAAAGAGGAGTCTGCTTTATACAACGTGAGAGAAGAGCGCCGTTCTCCCTGTCCTGTCTCCACCAGCCGTCCCTGTCTGTTTGCCGACCAGAGGAGAAGAGACAAGTCATTCATTACAGCTTCTCTGGCGTCTGTACCCTCCGTCAGCAACCAGCCAGAGCCAACATGCAGGAAGAGGTCGGCCAACTCTTGTCCACAGTAGCATTGTTGTGTTCCAGGGGAAGGGGAATGTCCGGCAGCTCTCATTAGGGCCTGCCTGCGCTGGGCTTTCTGACGTTGTTGTACAGCGTAGCAGTAACTGGTGGTTGGGTTTACTTGGAGATCAGCCCAGTGAATAGCGCAAGAATTTATTTAGTGCAGGGCAAGGAATTTGCCAGTGCTGTTTTGTATTTAATATGTAGATGCAGGCCGGAAACTGTTTTAAAAATAAGACTACACATTGCCAGAACTTGAGCTCATTAGCAGGACTAATTTGTCTGCAGGAGACAGGCTGAACAAGGCAGTGCATGCGTTGTAGTGATTTTGTGTGTGTGTATGTGTGTGTCTAAGTTTGTGCTTGTCATCCTCCGTCCACCATGTCAGCCTTGGCTAAATATCCCTATCCCTTGCGTCCTGACTCTTGCAGTCTAAACAAAGAAGAATGAACATGGATTTTTCTCAACTGCACACATATACGCCGCCTCAGTGTGCTCCGGAGAACACCGGCTATACCTACTCTCTCAGGTGAGACCTCGGTGCTGGGCTGTACTGGGCAAGGCTGCATGCTAGACAGTCAGAGCTATGGCATTTCAGTTACACCCTGCCTGTCATTTGGTAATCCTTACAGCTTGAAGTATCTACCCAGTATGAAGCTGGGTGTCTAAAGATTGAAGTAATGCCAGTCAGAGACTCAGATTTCCATTTATTTGTTCTTTCTTTCATTTTTTCTTCAACAGTATTGGGCGCCACCGATCTTGAGTCTGATATGATAACCTTTTAAAATTGTTTATTCGTCATTAGGGCTGTGTTTTTAACGGAAAGGTTTCCAGGAAGCTCAATGGAGTTATACATACACAGTTATAACACAATACTGAACTACATCCACTTCTTGTTTCTAACCTAAAGAGGGTTTTTTGAGTCAGTTACTCTGACTTTCTAAAAAAAAAAATCTTGTGGTTGCGGCTTTGATGACTCAGCCTCATGATTCAGTTGGTGTGTGTTTAAGTTGTTAGTGGGGAGTGGGGACCGATGCAGGGTAAAAACATAGAGCGATTTTTTTTCTCTGTGTACTAGTATTAGGATAAAGGCGCTATCTCCAGTTTAAAATACTCCCAGCTCATTCGATGGTGCTCCTCATCCATCCATTGTCTCTCAGGATACCTGTCATAGATGAAACCGAAGGTGTGGTCAAACACTTACCAAGGAATGTCTGTGCATGTGCAGGAATGTTGTTGCCTTCACTTCTGTCACATTTGATGTCGGAAACTCTCAGAATGGAGGAGAGAGGCTCTGGGGTGTGTGGGTCAGGAATTTAAATATCACCTTGCCGTGTACTTAACTCACTTTCTGACTTTAGAGTCAGGAAGAGTTATTGCTTTAGCCCCTGCGGTCATCTAGGCGGGAGTTTGTAAATGTCTTGTAAGGCAAAAATCAGGTTTAAACAAGGATCTCTCATTATGTATACAGCTGTACCTTGAAATGCAGAGTGAACTTTTTAAACGGCAGACAATAGACGTCCTTTTTCACCCCTATGAACAAGCTCAGGCAGGTTTTGTGTAATTGTAAGACAAATATGAGACCGTTGCTTTTATATTTAATGTCAGCAGCTCGTATAGTTTTATAAGTTGGAAAGAGTTGTTGGGAATTTGCCCATGAGCTGTTTTACTTTGCAGATGCTGATGAGCAGGTATCCTGTTGCAGCACCAGAACTTGAATAGCAACAAAAGCCAAACAACCCCCCCTCCCCAACATCCTCATGATTTCAATTCAGCTTTGCAGCACAGAAAGCACACTCCAGTAATCTGAAATCTCATGATTACGAGTCCCATGAGTCTCACAATAGACCGAAGCCAAGAAATATGATGATGAATGTACAAGAGCGTGTTTGACATGCCGCGGGAATCTACCAGGTAGACTGAAGGGTGGAACAAGCTAATCGTGTTCCTTTGAATGCAGTCAGCTGAGAAGCTATTAATGAACCTCACAGGCACAACCAGAGCCCTGATCCCAGGATTACACTAATAGTTTATGCTCTTGACCAGCTAGTTGAGAGATCTGTGGTTTTTATTAGCCTGTGTGTCCTGCAGCTTAGTAGCTGTTGATTTTCAGCTCTCCTGAGAAATAAACCTGTTGTCTAACAAGAGTGCGAGCATAATTTTGATATGATTTCAAACTAAATTTTAAATTCTAGCAATCATAAAACTTGAAAAGATAAGAACCTTTATCTTATATATGTTGCATGTCAATAAAATATATGACATAAACTTAAAATGTTGGTTTTCACAGAGAGTGAAAAGTTAAATAAATGCACGATCCAGGGCTCGACAGTGCGACTGTGTCACTCGCATTTGCGACTAAAAAAAAAGTTAGTTTTAGGTTGGATATTCAACAGACGTTCACTGCCGATCTACTGGTCTCTTCTCACTCTCCATAATCAGGAATAGCAACAGCAGCGCGTTTAAATCTACTCGGCATCCTCGCTGTCAACATCGGGTGTTGAATAAGGGACCATCAATAAATAACCAGTTGATTTTCTCGAAAAAGGCTGTTTACCCTCAATAGCTTCCATGTCATGTGACAATTGACCTAAAATTGATTTCAAATAATAGTACTTATGCACTTATACACATTATTTGATCAACTTAGAAGCACATGTGCTCCTTGTGAAAACAGTTAGTGTCAAGCCCTGTGATGTTTCTTAAACTTTGACTGTGCACAAGTAGCATCGTAGCTCCTCCCATCGTAGAACAAAATAATGCTGGCATATTGCTCCCATTGGCTTAATTGAATTACAAACATAACTTTATTTCAGCCTACTGTAGGAGGTGAAGCCAAACAACCTCTATAGGCGCTGATGTATTACAGTGATTTAGCAAAGTCAAGTGCAGGAGGCAGCTAGAGCAGCAGGACTCGCGTCTCTCTCTTTATCCTGACCAAAACACTCCTTTGACTCACCCCACAAAGCCCTGAGGTCCTGAGTGGATTTGAAACAGTCAGTGTGTAAAAAAAATATATATATATATATATAGAAACTTCTCAGGGAAATGAGCACTTGGTAGGGATGGGCAATATGGGTTAAAAAACTTATCACGCTAAGATTTGCTATTCTGGCGATAACGATAAAAGTCCCGATAAAGATATTATAATTTGAGTCTATATTTTTAGTTCATTTTGTCTTGAGAACACCAGTTGGAGTCGTCAAATAAGGTACTTAACCACAAGTTTGAGTGGTAGGTTATGGAGAAAACTAATGACATCAAAAAGTCTCAAATGTGAAAACACTTTCAACATTTGTTGAAACAGAGTGAACAGCAGCAGACCCACTGTCTGACGTCAAGCATACCTGATTCTTTGAAGGAAATCCCTCATGTGGAGCCTCGTTCAGTAACAAGCTGCTCAGAAACATCTTCTTCATCACCTTCGGCCATGTTTGTTTGTTATTCTGCTCTGTGTGGGCTACGTCTGCGCTCACACTTGGGTCATTAACTTGCATTTATCTCACTTATCACGAGATGACAAATGTTTATCGTGGAGGATTTTTCTGATGATATATTATGAACGATAATTTATCGCCCATCCCCAGTACTCAGCATGATAAGAACGGGCTGTAACAGCAGAAACCATGGTTGATGAAAATGTACTCATTGTTTGTTTTAATTGAATACTTTATGTTACATCCCTTAACATAATGGAGGTTGACTAATAATGAAAAACTGCAGTCAGTCACAGGGGGGAGCTCTAAGTCATTTGGTTTCACTCAGTACGTTTGCATTTATACTCATGTTATCTGTCTGTGTTCAAAATTCAGTCATTAACTGTGATCAGCATGAGTTTAAACAAAATAATTAGCAGTTATTAGGCTACTTAAGTGTTAGCTTTAGTGTATACCGTCTCCATCTGAGCCTCGTATTTGAGCAGCCGGACTAACTTTAGAAATATCAACCTGTCTGAAAGCCTGACAGCTGATTATGTTCAGACTCTGGTGAGTGTCTGTCTGCACGTGTCTACGACCTACAGTGAGCACTCTGTGAGCAGAGCAGAGAGGGGACGGGTCAGGTGACAGAAGCCGTTGGCCCATCTGTTGTCAGAACTCAAAAGAGCAGTGACAAGTTTTGTGGCGGTCCAAAAGAAAGAGGGAGAGGAGGCCGGCCACTTCAGTCCTGTTTCTGTACACGGCTTTGCAGGGCCCCCACATACAGAGACACAACATGAGCCTACATTATTGTGTGCATTCAGTCAACACTGTTGATAGAACAAAGTATTTAATTTATAGCTTTTTTCTTTTCTTTTAGGCGATCAGGGAGTTTTCTGAGCTCTCACTTCCTCACACCCGCCTCACACTCCCCTTATTAGTCCTCAGCAGACTTTTTTAGTCATTTCTAGAACAGAGGTTGCAAAGCCTCCCCCAACACTCAGAATGAAAGCCAGTTTAAAAAGCATGTGGTTCAGGCAGCATTGAGCTTTATGAACGCCAGACTCGCTGTGACCATCTCTGTTGAGAGCATGTGTGTACCGTGTATGGACCCTCCATATTTGATGATGGTGGAAGTGGGTCAGTGGGGCTGGAGCCTCTGATTTAACTATTTTTTGCCTCGCGGTGAGCAGCAGCAGCGATGGAGCTGCAGATTATTCTTGCAAAGTAGGTCTGTGTGGTATGAAAGAAATCTGCAATGTGTCATTACGTTGTTTACAATTGCAATGACAGAATAACTTGTAGTAATAAACAAATAAGGAAGTGTGAATTTTGGCTGTAACTTGTAGTGTTGAAGTTCCAAACATGTTTCTACTGATGCACAGAAAGGACAAACTAAATAACCGAAAATTCTGGAGGCATATGAAACAGAGGACAAACACCCAAACAGGCTGTTCCTGTGAGGACAGAGCTCTGCTTGGACAGTTGTTGTTCACGCTGCTGTCACAGTTGTTTTGACATCTGGTCTGTGTGTATTTCAGCACATGCATCACTGGTCAAGTGTCAAGCCAAACACAGCAGCTGGATTGTTGTGTATTTCTGTCCGTATTACCCAGCGTCTGCCCTTTTAGAAATGGTGCATGTCCAGTGTTTGCTCCTGATCTCCTTATCACAACCTTGCTCTGCTAGCCAGGGGGATGTTTAGAATGGTTTCCATGGCAACTGCAGAAACATGAAAAGCACACTATAGTGTAGTAATGTAGACAGAAGGACACCAGAGAGGGGCAGAGAGGAGTGCTGTCAGCTGAAGCGAAAATAAGGGTGGGCTTGAATGATCCTAATCACAGGACCGAACCGTGCCCACCCAGAGACAGCCTGATTGGAAATACGTACGCTCTCTGTTCTGTAGCGGTTTGCGGAAACAGGTTTGCGTTATGCTCCTGCTCTAATTTGGTATTTTCCCAACAGGCCGCAGAGGCTCCTGCAGATGAAGTTTGGGGAGGGAAAAACAGAGAAGTATAATTTTTCTGTAAACACATCCTGATCTCGAGGTATCATGGGGAGGAGAAATGACTAAACGTGAGGAATCTTTAACAAATACTCCACATGTTGAAACTGTGTCGAACCAAGTTACTAAATTTCACTTTAAGTCTCCATTTTAGTGCAAGTTGTTTACATATGCAAGCTCAATCTCAGCAAGGCATTCAGTATTCACTTATGACCAACAAACAATGTTCTTAGCTGACTCTGGGAGGAGGTTTTTGCTCCTCCTGTTTCAACACGCCTCCCTCTTCTTGTAAAACCTTGTCAGGGTATGTTCTTGGCAAGTATTTGATGGAGCTATTGTAACCACACTTGTGGTTTTGAAGCTGAGATGAACAACCCCGATGGTTTCTATAATAGATGTCAGACTTCAGTATGTATGTGTGAGACAATGTGTGGTAGCTCCAGTGTTTTTCTCAAGGGTTTGGTGTAGGCCTGGGCCATTTGGCAAAAAAAAAAAGATCATGATATACTTTGTCATATCGTCTGATCTGGATTATTATCACTTTTTTTTTTTTAACTGCTAGTTTTAAAGCGTCTGTTCTAAAAACTAAAGAAACTAGAGATTAGTTCAACATTTTATTAACATACAAAGTAAAAAACAAAGCAAATTGAACAAGATAGACTTAGAAAGATATAAAAACATTGTACCTCAACAGTACAACAAATGTAGATAAATACTAAATAATACAGTGAATTAGTTTACAGTCCTGAGTGTTTTTGCAGGTATGCAAGAGCCAAAATGAACAAATCGCCCCCTCAGAGATAATGAAGACGCTTTAAAATGTCAACATTAGACTATGTAAATGTAGATGATTTGATTGATTTCTGCTTTGGTCTGGCGGCTGCACCGTTAGTTGTGGTTAAACTGCTAATGCTACTCATGCCGTCAGCAGAAACAGGCTGTACAGACTCTGCCCACATTTTCATGCTTTCTGCGTTATCATTGGGGAGGTACTTCTTCAAATGATTAAACAGACCAGTTGTGTAGCCAGTTTTTGAGGGCACCGATCGCTGACATACCTCGCTCATCGGCTTAATTACTCAACATCACTTCGGAGTTACCCAAACCACCGCCACACAACCGACGTTGTGACGCACATTTCCTCTATGTTTGATTGAGTAAATATGCTCCCAGCTGATCGCCGTGATCGAACTGAAATTTATCACGATCACACGCCCAGTCCTAGTTTGGTGTGTTACTCATGAGCTGACTTGCCTCCCAGACTAAATCCTTTCAAAATTTCTATTTCTATGTTTCTATTAACATAAAATATGAAGCCTTTAATTCGCCAACAACTGCACAATTATTGTAAAAGTTATTTTAGTCACTTCTCATTAACGAATAAAAAGTATTTGCACTCTCGAAACTAATTTCCTCTTCTAACGAAACAGATTTTTTTTCCATTTTCTAGGGCTGGGTATTGATTCAGATTTTCCAATTCGATTCGATTCGATTTTACAAGGTCCAATTCGATTCGATTCACGATTCGATTCGATTCAATATCGATTCAGTCAGGGATATCTAAGTTAAAAATGGCCAAATGCATTGAACCTAACTAGTAACCTTTTGACCTGGTAGATTATTAAAAATTGTTTACATTAAAAATTGCACCCAAACTAGTAGCATTCATCATGCGCATTTATTTAAACATGACCAAGTGACTGACAGAAAATAAATGAATATAAATTAAATTAAAATAAATTACATGACAATATAAATAAAATAGCTAGTAGTACAAATAAACAGGACACTCACTTATCTGCAACTGTCTTACAGCTTTTGTGCAATAACACAGTGGTTGTGACACAACTGTATGAAAACAGAACCATCTGTTGACTCAAATAAAGGGCAAATTAAAATAGTGCAAATAAGTCAGTTTTTTTTTACATGGTCAGTATATTTTGAACATACTATGTAAACTGAAAAATGCCCTCAAAAAAGTGGTGACATTACATCTTGTTTTTCTGGCATTCTGAACTTCATGTCAGTTTTGGTTTGTTTTTCCATGAACACAAAATAAAAAAGTGTCTAAACAGCTCTGAATTACTTCTGAAAATAAGCGTTTTCCTGAAACATTAATGCAAAAGATCTTGTAAACTTCTGAACAATAATCACACTGTGTGACCTTTCATCCCTTTTCTTACTTGTTGGAGAGAGTAAGATTTTTCTGCATGAAAAGGAGCTGATCACACTCGCCACACTCTCCACTGCCTGAAGCAAAGTTTCGATGCTTTGTTTCAAACATGCATACATGTTTGGAATTGTCACTTCACTTAATTGTTTACGAGTCGGCAAAACATAACGTGGCTCCAGCGTTTTCACGAGACTTCGGAAACCATCGTTTTCAACGACACTGTAAGGTCGAATGTCTTTGCATATGAAAACTGCAATTGCCTCGGTTATCTTCCGTGCACGTTGAGAGTTTGCCGGTAACTTGGGGGCCAATACCTGTTCCAGGCTAGTTTGTTTGAGCCGTGCCGAGTCCAATTGTGTTACCGTTTCTGGGTGATGTCTTGTCAGATGGTTTCGGAGATTTGTCGTATTCCCACAGTATTTCACCGCTCCGTTGCATACTTTGCATATCGCTTGTTTTTAGTCATCCGCGTTGTTGTCTCCGTCCCTTTTAAAACAAAAATACGCCCAAACATCAGCCTTAAAACTCGCCGGCGTCGCCGCTGACGCTGTACTCCCTTCTGCCATGTTTCCTTCTCTTGCTAACAGCGGCTAATAACATCTCGCGAGATCGTGTTCCGTGTAAAGCCGCGCTAAACGCTGATCTCGCGATACTGCCAGGGTTGAAACAGGCTGTTCACTGCAAGTTAGAAGATCGAGCTATGGATTTATGAATCGATATCTGACTATAAAAAGGTGAATCGATTCAAATCGATTTAATCGATTTTTATAACCCATCCCTACCATTTTCTATATGATGCATATCCACATTATATACGGTGGAGAATTGGATCATTGTTCCTGCATGCAAACATGATCCTCATAGTGTCATCTCTATGATATGATCTCTCTTTGTTTTTTTTGTTTTTTTGCATACACCATGCAAAACAGGCAGAAGGAGGGTGGGTGGCAAGTCCCTTCAGTGGCAGCAAACCAAACATGGCGCTGGAAGTGTAGACTCACCAGAAGGGATGCTGCTGGAGTTACTTTTTCTTTGTCATGGGGGGGATTTGTCATCTGTGGCTCTTGAGATCTGAAAGAAATGAAAACACGTTGTTTTTTCGTCAGTAGTTTCGCCTGCTCTGGATCCCACACTGTCGTTTAACATCAGGATACGCTATCCTGTCAGGCCTTCAAAGAGCAGACTCTGGAGTTATGTTGCTCTCACCTCTCGGGTAAAATACTTCCTCAATGATTCATCATGTGGAGTTTACAGAAGGATGAGTGGCTCAGATCCAGTCACTTCATCCTGAGGCGGTCGAGAATTTCTTTCAAATCTGCATGTTTACCTTTTAGTTGGTGCAATTTCTCCTGGGAAAGTTTTCCAATCTATCAAACTTCTAACTGCGTTTTATTTTCTGATTAATTGGGTTCAACAAATGTTTGAAAATTCAATTCACAGTTTGATTCTTCGTTTACCGGCTGATGTGTTCCCGAACCTGCATGCTCTTTACATGACGCTGAGGGAAAACGCATAAAAACGTCTCTTAAAATGACTAAAATGTACAATCCTATTCAGTGTTTTTTTTGTTTTTTGTGTGTGTGTGTGTAGTTGCATGCTGGGAGAAATGCTGCTGTGCCCACTGAGTGTGGGAAGAGTATCAAAGCTTCGCCGTTATGTAAGGAGAGATTCCAGGAAGCTGAAAGTCAGGATGGAAGCGTCTTCTTTCTTTCAATACTGTACGTCTGTCTCTTCATCTGTGTCTTCTCCGCTCAGTCCTCACAGCACTGTGCCCGTCTCTATTTTTACCACCGATGTGGGCCGTGGGAGTCGCCTGGGAGAGAGCAGATCAATTTGGATCCCCAGAACGTTTGAATCGAGTTTGCAGACTAATTAAACACTGTTTACAGCCTCTGATGAGACAGGCCGGGATCTAAACAATCGCTTCTTCTAAACAATGATTCAACAGACTTTGTAATGCACATACGGAGGTGTGCGCTCGTAACTTTAATGTTGCTGATCTCTGTCCTGCCAGGTAGAACAGAGGGTTGTATTAGTGATTGTGCCTGGCTGTAGGCTACACAGACAGATGTTTCTGTTGTTTTTCACACACACAAACACGCCCTGCCCTGCCCTGCACAGGGCTTCAATGCCCGAGGCTCTCAGTCGTTGACATTACCCATAAATCTTGGACGAATATTTGGAGGCTCGTACTACGGAGCTGGAATTTTTGTCAGGAAGGTAACGTAAGGGTAAACGTCGGGTTTTCGGGACATCAGAGGTGGTTCTTTCCTGTGGCATGCGAAGCCGTTCTGCACACATGAGCTGCTCCAGAGCAGGTTATGCTTGAGATAAGAGATGAGCAATCAGGTCTCTGGATCCTTATACGAGGCGCAATCTCAGTTCCCTCCTGGCCCCCACCGCTAACCTGAGGGCAAACAGAGATTTGTGGGACACACACATTCCAGCTGTAGTTTTATGAGAATTTTCCCAGAGTGTTTTTAAATCAAGATCACTTAAAAAAGATAATTTGATTGATCCTGAGAGTTTTTACTGACCAGCCATGGATGCTTGATTGGTATTGATATCATCGGACACTGATTGAAGCCCTAAAGTAAAGACATTGTTCTACTCACCAGGAAATAAAAGCAAGCCGACTCACTTTAGCAACAAATTATACAATCATCAGTCACGTACATAAAAAGCATTGAAGCAGGACTTGAAATTAATGCCGCTTAGAAAAAACAGTAGATTTGAAGCCTGTTTTCTCCTATCACGCTACACGTATTTGATTAAGCCTTAATTTAGCACTGAAGATCGCGATTGGTTCCCGCCCTTTTCATATGAATGTGCTCGGGGCTAGATTGAGGAGCCCTGGCTTGTTTTGTTGCAGGTGTTTGTTTGGATTACCGTAGACCACAGAGATGTTTTTTTTAATTTTCCAACATGTGACCCTGAGGCGTGCTTTAATAACTCTGCTTCTTCTACTAATGTTTGTTTGTTGGTTATTTCCTGGAACCACTGCTTTTATAGATGAATTGGTGAATAGATGAATCCTTTCCCTGTTAGGAGAATGAAAGCAAACACTGAAAAAGGTTTGCATTCTACCTCAGCTTTTATCAGATTTAAACGAAAAATCTGAATGACAAAGAAAACAGAGTCGATCGTTTCGCATACACCTTGGTATACGGTCTACGCAGGACTCAACGTAAACTTTTTAAAACTTCAAAAATTAAGCAGCACCCACAGAAAGTTCAAGGACCCCACGGCTAAGATGCTTTAAATGCATGTTGAATTTCTGTGGTGAATGCAGTCCTACCTGCAACCATCCCACAGGCAAAACAGTAGATGGACTGCACTGACTGAACAGTTTTTATAGCGCAGCCATTCAGAGTCTTTTAGCCACACTTTCTACGCTGTGAGAAATCCCTCCACTCTCTTTTCATCGTCTCTCTTCAGCTCTTATTTCACGGCAGTCACCTCTCTGTCCTGATGAAGATCAGCGTATTAAAGGAGTGAGATTGAAGGCTGATATGAAGAAATCTGACATGACGATTGAGAGTCAAGGATGTCAGGCTGTTGATTAGCTATATATGAGCATTGAATGGAATAGTGGTTGATTAGTTATGCCTGCAAAGAGGCTTGTGTCATTTTTGACTGAGGGTATGACGCTGCAACTCTTTGCAGGCATTACTAATCAATTACTGGTCCCTCTGTACACTCAAAAACACGATTAAATCGAACTTTAGCGAGAATAATCCATGGACAAAAATAGTTTACCTCCATCTAGGGCTGGGCGATATGGGAAAAAGTTTATCACCATATATTTTTTTTATATCAGTCAATATATATAGATTTCACGTAATAATGAAGTCTAACAGTGTTTATTGGTAGCATGTCTTTTGCAATACAATAAGCTACTGCATCTGTGAGGTCTTTGTGTCTCGCCTTACGCGCGTGGAAACGCCTTTTCCATTGCGTGTGCTCTGCCGCGTGTCGCTACTTCAGGTGGTGAAAACAATTTGAGGTATTCCCCGACTTTGCGAGAACATGTACTCGACATAATTTACAGCAAATTATGTTTTCGTGATGATGTCGTCATCTGTTGAGCCTTCATCTGTATTTCTCAGTGCTGTCGGCTTCACGTGTTAAAGTGCTGTGGTTGCTCGTAGCTGCAGTCTACTACTACGCAGTTGTTTGCTACTTGGGTCTAATTCAGCACATGATTGGTTCAGTGCGAAGCGGACCTGGAGCAGCTCCCCTGTTCATTGGCTATTCATTGAGTCTACCAAAACATGGCAGAATGCCAACTATCAAGAAGGATATTGACCATGTTTTATATTGATATTGAGGGAAATTAAATTTCGATGTATATTGTTATTGTTTCATCGCCCAGCCCTAGCTAGAACCAATCCACAGACAAAAGTACATCTACCTCCTCTATGCAGAAGGCAGTATGTTTCCTTTTAGCTTTTCAGCTTGTTGGACCTTCTCTCAGTTGACCTATTACAGTGCTCACAAATAGTAGTCTAGTTCTCTCTGACAACGAAATAGACTTACAGTCATTCTTTTTGGCAAATATTGAGCAACAAAGGCCAGCTCTCGTCTATATCAGACTGACAGGGAGAGAAAGAGAGAGAGAGAGAGGTGCGTCCCCGATCAGAGAAACAGGCAGGAGGAAGAGCGAAGACCAAAGCACATAATTGGCTCTGAGCTGGAGTTTGTAATCCTCAGGATTTTAGAGTCAGAGGAAGGTCCACAGAGCAGCATGTACACTGTATACATGAGAGTACTGCTGGTATATACTGCTCAGTTTACTCTGTGTGAGAGACTCTACATTGATTCGCTCACTGCTCACACTTGGACAGAGACTCTGCGCTTGTAGCTAAAATCAAACACTGGAAATTTCCCTCATAGCTGTGAGTTCATTCCCTGTCCTCGTGAGATAAAGGCCTTCGCTCCTCCTCTCCTCCCTCCACCCTTCCCGACGTGCTCGCGGAGTAATTCTGCCTGACCCAGTTGAGCCACATGCTGAGGAGTGTAAACAGACAGTTAAAGAAAGTGCAGTGTAAGCAGGTTGTTTCGGTTCAGGATATACACGGATTAAACAATTTCACCGTTGTTAATTTACAGGAAATGTGAATCCCTCCTGATGATTTGTGTCCAGTTTATCGTTGTTGAGACACTGAGGGTCATTTTTGTAACATTTTCAGTTTGTAGAATTCCTTCTCCTCGTGTTTCCTCTGATTTTTGCAGTCGCTGCTCTGCTCCGTGAATGTTTACCCTGAGTCTGTTTGCCTACTGTGCCAGGTGGGTGTGGCCCCGTGAGTCACAGCTGCACAACGCACGCCAGAGTCAAATTTGAAAACACGCACGGTGTGTTTCCACTTACAGTTGGCAGCAGCTCGCTCTGAGTGGAGTCGACTTTTTTTTCGGCCTACTTGAATACTTTAGGATATTTTTATGTCTCTTTTTTTTTTTTCCAGTTTAACTTTCAGAGACACAATGTTCCCATTGTTTTGTCTCTTTTTCTCGCTCCCTTGTGAGTGAGTCACTTCCTGTCAGGCACTCTGCCAGTTGGAGGGAACAGAAAGACAGCTCTCCAAACGTACTGTTTGTCCCTGTGTTGTGTTTGTTTTTGTTTGAAACACTGAAGCCTTTGTGAGGATTGACTCTCTCAAAGACACGCGTAAGAAAAAAAGGCAGAACATCATCATTCAGAATAAATCTGGGGTCAAATGTCACCCATCATCATCAGCCTGTTGCTCCTCCCTGGAGGCTCCACTGTCGCACTACTCCTCTTTCCATTTCAAAAACTTTTTCCTCTTCTCTCTTCCCCTCCTTCTCCCGCTCTTTCTTCTCCTCTTACTCCCTCGTTCCTCTTTTCTGTCTCTCTCAGCTCCAGCTACTCCTCCAGAGCGTTAGAGTTTGAGAAGGAGCACCAGATTGCTGCCGTGTACGAGTCGCCCAGGATGTCACGGCGGAGCTTGCGTCTGCAGACCAGCGCTGGTCTCTATGACAACGGGAGCCTGGCTGATTACTCTCAGAACCACAGCAGCAGCTACACAAGCACCAGGAGAGAGACACGGTAAGACCAGCAGCGGCGGCTGACACTGTAACCAGTCATCTCACTAGAGAAGAGCAATACATACCTGTTTTTATCAGGTATGAAACGTCTCTGTTCTTGAGTGTTTCTTTGATCTGTGAAGCACATGCACAGGATCTGTTTCGGGTTTCTTGTTGTTTACATTTCGTGAAGATCTCAGAGAGAGAGTTTCATTGAGATCAGATTGAATACAAGTTTAGCACACTTCTCGAAGTTAAAGATCTTATCAAGCAGTTTGAGTATTTTCTGCTTTAAGCTCTAATGTGCAAAGAAAAACAACAACAACATAAAGTGGCACAAAGATTTCCAAATTACCCCCCGGTACGTTGATGAAAACACATGAAAGCAACATTCATCTCTCGAGGGGGTGTCTACTGCAGTGAGTTTGACCCTAACTTTATTTTATGCCAGAATATCCCTTTAACAGCGCGCTGGCTGAGGATTGGCTCGTTCATGTTAGCCCTTCTGTGCTGTGAACCAGAGTGAATATAAAAAGTTGTGTGCACAGGATGTTAAACTGTGTTTTCATCAACGTACCAGGCGGTAATTTGGAAATCTTTGTACCACTTTGTGTTGTTGTTTGTTCTTTGAAATGTACATAAACATATATACATAAACATAAATATACATATTTTCACCATTAAATCTTTCTCTCTTAAAGATTTCTCTCACCAACACTTATTGCAGATGTTTACACTGCAGTAATGAGATTTTAGTCTGCAGCTCTGTGCTCAGTATTAAGCCTCACACCCCTTCATGTTCCCTGTCTCTGCTCTCCCAGGACCACGCGCAGCAAAAAGCAGCAGTCCAGCTCCGGTTCCCTCTCTTTATCCCTGAGTCAGGCCGTCACGCCGCGGAAAACCCTCTCCTTCACAGCGATGAGCACCCCCATTAACAGCAGCAGCAGCGTTCAGGAGAGCATCCAGGAGTCTGAAGCCTCACTGCTCACCCCCATCCTCGACCAGTCCCACCTGAGGCAACGCAGCGTCACCACAACAACAACCACCACCTCTGTGGATGGACACTGGGGTCAGTTCATCCATTACGCACAATAATCTAGAACAGACCTGGGCATTTGATGTCCAGAGGGTACACATCCGGCCCTTTGGATGTCCCTGCCCGGCCCTTCGTGAGGTCCGTCAATCAAATCATCATGAAAACCTAGCCGCTGTTTTATTTCCATTTGGACGCAAGTGCGTACATCCTAGATCTGCATCCGTGTTCAGAGACAAGTTTAAACATCAGCAAAATATTCGTAGACGCCTCATAGTCGCCAAGTCCGCTTATTATAAACGACTTTAGGCTTGTTTCTCTCAGAAGTAGCTTGTAAAACTCATGAGTTGCGGGTGTTCTCATGTGGCCCCATGTAAAAATCAATTGCCCACCCCTGATCTAGAAATTTCCTGAAAGGGTCTTGTATTCAGGATCTAGATTTTTAGCTCTAACATAGGTCCACAACAGCAGACTGAAGTGCGCCCCTGTGCCGAGGGAATGAAAGATGGAGACAGACTGATTGTCCGCGCTAAAGTGACTTAAAAGTAGGTCAAGTTAATCAACAGCCGAGTCTGAGTTATGATGGTGTTTATCAGCGCAGCCGAGTCATGAAACAACTTCAGCGGTGTTAGGAGTGAAACATTTGAAGAGGGTGAGCTCAATTATCCCGCCTTAAAACGCTCAAAGAGAGACCGACAGCGAAGTGTGTTTGTCTTACTCTAAAACAGAACTATGCTCATAACCACGGCACTTATCCTGTCGATGAGACAAAGAATTGATGGTGTATACAACGACGAAAGTAAAAAGTGATTTCTTTCAATGTTAACGTGACAATTTAACCTGAAACATGTGAAATGTTGTTTTATTGGATAACAGCCCGCCTTGATTTTTATTTTTTTATCGTATTTTGTTGTTTAGTCATCAGAAAGTCTTTTTTTTCTAAACGGTGGTCCAGAAAGGAGAGGGTTGCCTTAAAATGCTCATATTTGAGTGTTTTTACCACCTTATCACCTCACCTTCATCGTTGTATCAAACATGATCTGTGTTATATTTCAAAGGAGGAATAAGTCTTTATCGTTTGCATTCTCGTTCCGCCATCAGGGAAGAGTCACAGGGCCGACCACAGTTCGTCAAGTGTCAACGGCGACGCCAGCGCCAGTACGTCAAAGTCCCACGCCTCCCTCCACAATGGTTACATCTGCAAAGACTGCTCTCTGCACTCTCAGAAGAGCGACTCCTCGACTATCACGCAGACTTCCTCGTCACCGTTATCATCTCAAGCCGCCGTAGCTTCCTCAGACGCTTTCTTCGCCGCCTCCTCCTCCTCCTCCTCTTCACCTTTCACGAGTATATACTCCAGAGACAGGAGTCGACGGAACAAGACAGGTGAGACACTTGAATCGGACTGAAATGTTGAGTTAAAGCTCCTGTGAGGATGTTAACACGACAAACACGCGTACCGGACAAGACCACTAGATCGATAATATTCCTGCTTTGTTTACAAACGACACGACACAAAAGTTCCTCACAGGAGCTTTAAAACAAACGCAGCTTCACAGTCAGAGTGTTTTCAAAAATATCTGTGGTAACGATGAGGAGGTAACGGCGGTGAAATCTTTCCCCAGGTCTGCTGGTGTCTATGTCGAACACGTGTATGCGCTACAGCAAACGAGCCGTGGCCCCCATAGTGTCCTTAGTCAGCCTGCTCTTCAACAATGTGCTCTGGCTGGGTTCAAAGGCCAAAAACCCTCCAGGAAAAGGTATAAAACCAGAGACGCTCATTACTCCCCTCTTTCTTCTTCTTCTTCTTCTCTGTTTTTCACCCACTCAGCTTGGAGAGAGACTTTCAGAGATTTTTCTTGTTTTTTGAGGAAAAGACAAATCTTTTTCAGCTAATTGAAATCTCCTCTCTTCTCCTCAGCCTCAGCCGACTTCTCGTCATCACTCTTGATGTTTCCGGCTGAGTCATGGTCTAATTCCATTTCTCATGAAACCTTATTATCTCTCTCTCCTCCTCCCTCCGCAGCCTCTTGATGTTTCTATCCTCTTCTTTCTCATCCTGAAACCTTTTCAAACCCATAATCGTGCCGTGTCTTCACTGCCTCGGCGTTACATTTTGACCAACAGTGATTTTGATTTGGGGCGTGTTTGTCATCAGGTGTCATTACGTCGGTTTCTGACTCCATGAGACGAGCGGGGTCCTCCAGTTTGTCCCAGCTGTGGATGCTAAAGCAGAACACTGTCCACAGGCTGACGGGCGCCGCCGGGTCTAAAGGCCATGAAGGACAAGGTACCAGTGAGCGTCAGAGGTTCTGGATCACACACAGCTCCTGAGCGTTTTCAGCTTCTCTTCTATTCCTAGACTTTACGGTCACCACCTCTCTTTTGCCCCAGCTCCGTCCTCTGGATGCACGTGGTGTTGAATTTACGCTGAAGTAACTCTTCCTCATCTTTTGGTCTCTCATGTCTTCTTCTCTGACAGATAATTTGTTGTAGAGATAAACTAACGATCCAGAGACAACGTTACTAAAACCAGACGTGGCTGTCACATACTGTTTACATCAGGTTTTTCAGTCATGACTCCCTCTTCACAGAAAGTCCCTCCTTTTTAACTCCGATGTGGTTTTCAGTCGGTAAACAAGATTTACATTTCAGTTTGCATGCACAGAGTGTTTGACAGCAGACCCCGTTTGTTTTATTTAGAATATTCCGCTAAAAGAAGCTGCTTTTTTTTCACAGCTGTGGGGAAAACATTCAGCTCTGAATCACCACTTTCACTTCATCTCTCTCTTCTACTGGGTGTCCTCACATATACGATTTATTTATGATATCTACATATATAGACAACTATCCAAAGAGCTGCTCTGCTGCAGAATCGCTGACGTACTTTTACTCAGTTCTGAATTTCTACATGTTTTTTTTTTCGGTCGACGTGGTTCTATAAACCAAATAAATGTGTTGTGTGTTGCAGCTCACTCAAGTTTCTGTGGAAGCATGAATGTGAAGGGTCTGATGACTGAAGATGCATCACATCTTAAGCTCAATGGTTCACTATGTAAGTGCACACACATCCTGTCTTTCTCCTCACACTGGTTTTCTTGTCCTGCCGTTTCTTTCTGATCAGATAAGTTCTCAAAACTTTATTTTAAGGGACCAGTCCGACAACAAAACAAAACACAAGAACAAAGAGCCCAAAAGAAATAAATGTGACACTCTGTTGGTAACATTTGGTTTGTATTTGATTATTGGAGCAGCAGTAAAAAAAAGTTTTTTCTCTTTAACTCGTTCAGTGCCATTAAAGGATTTGGACGGATTTTTCAGTTGAAGTTTGCGAGAAAGTTTGGGGTCGTTCTGAACGCAGAAAAGTCAACAAATACGTCATAACCATGTTACAATAACGAAAACAAGTGCTCGCCAGTGAGAAGTGTGTCTGAGTTGTGGAGTTTTTTTTTTCTCTATGAGGAGAGTAGGAAAATGCCGAAGTCATTAGCCAAGAGCTCACGGTCTCTGTCCCTCGGTTTCTGTTGGCGCGGTGCTACCGTCTCTGGATCCAGTGGAGATCCCAGGATCGGACCCTCACATCGTCAGCAGACAATCAAAGGAACAATTTTCCATGTTTGTGTGCCGCTGGTGCCAGTACTGGTGAGTGAGACTGAGCCGGAATTCAGCGACAGTCCCGGCATGAAGGACGGTGGAGGGAGGACCTTGATGCCGCCTATAAAGTAGTTTGAAGTGAAATGAAATAGACGATCAGAGTTCTGCTTCAAAGTCTCTCCTTCGCATTGAGCAGGCAATAACTAAACACAGGAGTGGGTTAGAGACTAACTTTTTTTTCTGGTGAAAGAAGAGAATCACCTCTTTCTTTTGAGATATTGCACTTAATTGTAGTCCAAGTAAAAGATATTCTGTGGGTCCTGAAGATACAGATACTTCTATTGCGGTCAGTGGTGGCACTGAATGAGTTACTAAACGAAACCATATGACAGTGTCATCCAGTGATTCCCAAACCATGAGGCACATCAAGGATGAGTGAAAACAGTACACCCGGCTCTGCAGCTCTCTCAGGGTGGGGGGGTGAACTGGTTTCAGCGTCGTCACCAGTTTAAACATGCTTTGTTGTTTTTGTACACACGTTTTGGTTTAAGCGCACACACGACTGAGATTTACTCTCCGGCGTGCGGCCACAGAGCCTGGTAAAGATACTAGCATAGCTGAGTGACCAAAGTGGACTGTGGATCTCAGCAAAGGTCTACCTGTCGATGACTCTGATGTTTGAGATCCAGTATGAGTGAAAAAGAAATGATAACCATGACCTCAAAGTAAAAAACACAAAACTGAGCTCTGCACGCCACTCATCATTCAAGTGTCCTTCTTCTGTTTCCTTTTGACATCATTCATGATTTATTTTGACCTTTTTTGTTCTGTTTTCATGTCCTTTACTTTGGTTATTTGTATCATTTTTTTCTGTTTTTCTGTTCTCTGTTTGCCATCCATCGTTTTGCCGTCCCCAGGCGATGACTGTAAAGGGAAGCAGCATTCTGAGACACAAACGGCCGTCCTCCTCACAGAGTCCTCCAGGTCTCAGCGCCTGGCAGGGGCGCTGTGGAGCATCCTAGCTTACGCAGGTTAATCAGCACTTCACTTAAGTTGATGAAAGCCCGTGAATATTCTGTGACGGGAGTAGGACTGCTGAGTAAAGAGCGGGTGTAGACCACTCATGCTGACATTTTCCCTCCTCTCGCCGTGTCCTTCAGGTTACTGCCTCCTCCAGCCGGGTTACTGCGTGGTGAGAGCGGGGAAAGCGTTGGGGTCAGGGGCCGGGACAGTGCTGCAGAGGCTGCTCTCTGTGTTCTGGATGCTTCTGGCTGCTCCAGGTTAGCTGCACTGATTTAAAGAAGATCAACAGCTTCCCCATCTGTGTTTTGTTTCAAGGTCTGACTGTGTTTTGTTTTTTTTTCTCTTCTTTATTCAATCTGCAGTGAAGGCAGGCAGGGGACTTCTGTGGTTCCTCGCGAATGGATGGTACCAGCTCGTGTCTCTCATGTCTCTCCTCAACGTCTTCTTTCTGACACGGTAAGCTTCGAAATAATAACGTCGTGACAGTGATGTTTGAGATAAAAAAATCCATCGAAATCAAGATATGGAGACGTGAACAGAGAGAGAAACCTGAAAGAAAAGTATCACCTGCTTCATGACTGTTTTAAGCAAAAAGGTTCAATAAAAGTGACTTTAATTACCAAACATCAGACGGACACAAAGAGCAGCAAACTGGAGAGCATAAAGAAGCAATAAGCAGTAGGACTGGGACGATATGCTGTTTCCCCGATTCGACTCCTCTGCGATTTTTTGGATGCCGATTCGATTTTAAATTGCGATTCTACGATATCATCGATTTTCTCGATTTTTAGTCTGCATTTTTAACAACAGTGAAACAGTTGAATGATTGTCTACTGACTATTCCAGGAATCATATTTCCCCCCAAAAATACACATCACATGACTAAAACATCAGGCGTGATGCGATTTTGCGACTGTCCGGGGGAAAAAAGATGCGTCCCGGGTGGAAGCGAGAAGACTGACACAACAGCAGACTGAGTGTTTTTCTGATTTCTGATTAGACTCTAGTGTTGAGATGGATTTTTCAACACAAAAATCATTTTTAAAATTGTCAAACAAAAAATCGTGATACTTTTTACACAATATTTTTTCTCCCACCCCTAATAAGCAGCCATGCTTTTTCATCAGAGTTGTATCTACTATTTATTGTCTTTTCTCTTGATGGTGTATTATCAGACTTGAGTATCATCAAGAAAAGCGCCTGCACTTCTAAAACTTCTTCTCGTCTCTTTGGAATAACCGCGTGAACTCTCAGTTGTGTTTTCTCTGACCGGTGTGTGACTGTGTGTTACAGAATCCTCCCTCAGCTCTGGAAACTCCTGCTGCTCCTCATACCCCTTCTGCTCCTCCTCGGTGAGTTTCGTACACACACACTCACACAGGTGTAACCCATTTAGAGAGCTCGAGTGGAGAAATCTGCTCTGTAGTGGAAGAGTAGGTGTCCTAACCGGCACACTTCCCCAGAGTCTGCTGCGTATCCAGCACCAGATTCAGGTCAGCCGTGCTGCGCCTCCACTGAGACACTCCACTCTGCGCTGCAGCATCACTCACTTACACTTACAAAGCAACACAACACAAACACATTGGTGTGTTTATGTTTGTGAGCTGCGTTATCGTAAAGTTAAGTGCAGTGAGGTTGGTTTATTCATGACTGTCTCCTTTCTTCAGCTTGGTGGTTTTGGGGTCCGTCAACTGCTGCCCTGCTCGCCTACCTTCCAGGCAAAAACCTAACCGAGTGGCGTCCTGTCTCTGCTATCGCCCTCCTGTCAAACTTGTGGCCAGCTTCTGCTCCAGCTCCCAACCCCGCCCCCGTCCCTGCAGTGGAGACGCCGTTTGAGCAAACCCCATCCACTCCAGTTTCACAGGCACCAGTAAGACACACCAACAGTGAAAGCAAACAACCCTGTTACTAAATTTGTCTCATGCTCCAGCTTTACCCCATATGACCCCTGAGCTATTGCTTGCAGTCATTGTAAAACAGTTTCTATTTTCAGTTAAACTTCTAATTTCCTCCCTTGTTTTCCTCCTCAGCCCATCCTCCCCCCTGTGGCAGTCTCTGGTGTCGACTTGGAGCGGCTGGAACGTGTGGAGCAGCAACTCGCCCTGCTGTGGGAGCGAGTCAAGCAAGGCGACCAAACGCAGGAGCAGCGTCACGGGGACGTTCTGGGTCTCTACGGCACCCTGAGGGAGCAGCTCCAAACTCAGACAGACAAGGAGAGTCTGGGATTATGGGTGTCCTCCCTGCTGGAGCAGAGACTGGGCGTGTTACGAGCAGAGCTGGAGCAGGAGAACACAAACAGGGCGCAGGTATAAAGATCCACAACTCAGAGTTTGAACTCGGCCAAAGGGATTTAGCAAAAAAAATGATAATAATATATTTTGTCATATTGTTCGATCTCGATTAATATCATGATTTTTTTTTTTAAACTGCTGGTTTTAAAGCATCTGTACTAAAAACTAAAGAAACTAGAGATCAGTTCAACATTTTATTAACATACAAAGTAAATAACAAAACAAATTAAATAAGATAAACATAGAAAAATACAAAAAACATTTTTACCCAACAGTACAACAAATGTAGATAAATACTAAATAATACAGTGAACTAGTTTACAGTCCTGACTGTATTTTGGCAGGTATGCAGGATCCAAAATAAACAAATCGTCCCCTCAGAGATAATGAAGACGCCTTAAAAATGTAAACATTAGATGAGACGATTGATCGCTGCTTTGGTCTGGTGGCTGCACCGCTAGTTGTGGCTAAACTGTTAATGCGACTCGTGCCGTCAGCAGTGACAGGCTGTGTAGACTCCGCCAGCATTTCATGCTTTCCCCATAATCACTCGGGAAGAACTTCTTCAAGTGATTCAACAGATCTGTTGTGTTGCTGGTTTTTGGGGGCACTGACCACCGACATACCTCACACAACGGCGTAATAGCTTGACGTCAAATTGGAGATACCCGAACCACCGCCAACCGCCAGCACAACTGACATTGAGTAGCTTCTCTTCTCAACAATGACATCGTCAGAGGATGAATCAAAGTAACGGCTGATATCTATGTTTAGTTCACGTTCAGTCATTGTGTTTACTTCTCCAACAACTTACTGAAGTGAGCAGGAAAAGTTTGACTCTGATTGGCTGGTGTGACACACATTTCCTCTATGTTTGATCGAGTAAATATGCTCCCAGCTGATCACCGTGGTCAAACTGAAATTTATCAGGATCATTAATCAACTCAACTCAACTCAACTTTATTTGTTAAGCACTTTAAAACAACCACAGCTGAACAAAGTGCTGTACATAAACAATTAAAACAATGGATAATATAAAAGCAGAATTAAAAGTAAAATATAGTTTCAATGTTTTTTTTAAAAACTAATTTAAAAACATAGAAACAATTAACTAAAAACAAACCATAAAACACTAAAACAGGAGCCGAGTCTCATGCACGATCATATAACCGCCCGGTCCTGGTTTGAACAGGAGTGGGTAAAAATTCTGCATGTATCTCACTTGTTTTTCTTCTTTCCCGCTCGATTCAGAGTGAAGAGCAGCAGAAACAGCATCAAGAGAGTCACGCGTTACGGCTGGCTGAGGTAGAACTGCTGCTCAGAGAGCTGGCAGACAAAACGGAGGTATGTGTAACAGATTCACTTCTTCCACTCAGAGGACCTATTTGTATAAATGTGCCGATTGAATGAGCGTAAAGCTGTAATTAACAATGAAGTTAAAATGATAATTTCAGTTACACAAAGCCCAGAGCCAAACTATAGAACGGCACAAGGAGAGATATAATAGCAGAGGATAATGGGACGCGTGCAGCAATTACAGCGGAACTGAGATTAAAAGACAAACAATAATCCAGACAAGCTGGGACAGGTGAGCCAGACAGCTGAGGTCAGACGAGAACAAGAACTGGTTTGTTTGGTACCAACTCTACAGTCTGTGTACAGACGACAAAATGAGCCATCAGAGAATCTAGTTATTATCAAATTAAAGTGATTATTTTACATTTATAACCATCGGTTCAGTTTCTCTGCCATCGAGAGTTCTCAGATTTATATTTTCTGTTTTCATTCATTCTCTCACATTAACTGTGTTTGTAGAAGGTGCAAAAGAAGCAGCAGCAGTACGAGAACGAGAAGAAGCAAGAAAAGGAGAAAGAGGTTCCCCCTCCAGCAGCAGCAGCCCCCGACCCCGTCAGGTACGAAACCACGAAGAAAAAAGACGACTTCAAATATTTTACAGTAGACTTGTTTTAGAGATTCAGGCAGCTCACGAGTCGGTTCCCTGTTTCCTCCAGTGTTGGTGTGAAGCAGGAGGACCATGATGCTTTGCTGGTGGAGGTGCAAAGACTTGAAGTGGAGCTGGGCAAAATCAGACAGGACCTGCAAGGTGTTCTGGGATGTAAGGGCAAATGTGAGCAGCTGGAGACGCTGCAGGACACGGTGAGCAACTCAAATAGTGACTGAAGAACAGCCTGCTGAATGTGCTCCGCCGTGGAGCGTCTTTACTCATCAGATTTCCTCGATCCCTCCCCAGATATCGGCCCAGGTGTCCTCTCAGGTGTCGTCCCAGGTGCGTAAGGAGTTGCAGGCTCTGTTCTTCGGCAGCGGTGGGTCAGAGCAGCAGCAGGGAGAGGTGCCTGAGTCGCTTGTCCTCTGGCTATCCCAGCGCTATGTTAGCACCCCGGACCTGCAGGCCTTACTGGCCTCCCTGGAGATGAACATCCTGAAAAACGTGTCCCTGCAGCTCGAGCAGAACCGGGCTCAAACGCTGGGTGAAGCCGAGTCCAAAGCCAAGAGCATCGTCCAGACGGTAACAGGGAGCGTCAAGCACTCCGTCTCTGCTGAGGGAATGTCAGAAGAGGTAAGAATGCAGACCTTCACACTCACATCTCTCCTCCGTTAGCAGCTCTGTGATCTTCCTCCATCCTTTTCAGGAGAAACTCATCAGCAGGACCTCCGTGTTTTTAATGTTGTAGCGACTGCTTTCCTTCAACAAAAAGGCTGCTGGGGTTTAGGTTCGCTTGCATCTGTGACTCGTTTGAATGATCAGTCCAGTTTGAGTGTTCAAAAAGGGAAAGAAAACATGCTGATCCAGGTCCAAATCCTTTACCTTCAAATGAAAAAGGTGATAAGCTGAAATGAAGTTAAAACAGGATGAGTGAAACGATGAAAAACGGTCAACAGAAAATGATCAGAGTGAGATTTAAATAACCCGCCAAACATCCCAAAACCACACCCCTCAGTGACGATCCCCGGACGTGACGTACCTATTAGTAATCAAACTAAACAAATATACTTTGGCTCTTACAAAGATGTTGTTGTGTCTTCCTCAGCACGTGAAGCTGATCGTCCAGAACGCTTTGAGACTCTACTCCCAGGATCGAACCGGCCTGGTGGACTACGCGCTGGAGTCTGGAGGTAAGAAGAACGTGGCCTCACGTTGACACCAGCTCCTGTCCTTCCTGTGCCGTCGAGGATTAGCGAGCTAGCTGCCGTATCACTCTGTTCAGCTCTCTAATGTATACCTCTTACATATTAAGTGTGGAGCATTAGCCAGGCCTGAGGACAGCAGGGTATTAGCAGGAGCTCAGGCTCCATTGTCATCCGTGTTACTGAGCGGTCTGCTGACCTACATGGACGAGTCACAGCGCTGAGAGCGGGGAGACGAGATTTAAGCAGAACTTCATTTTAAGTTCCATTTTTCCTGCTCAGGTGGAAGCATCCTCAGTACCCGCTGTTCAGAGACATACGAGACCAAGACGGCCCTCATGAGTCTGTTCGGCCTGCCCCTCTGGTACTTCTCTCAGTCTCCACGTGTTGTCATCCAGGTGAGGTTTCAAGGTTCTTTTTCATCCAGGTTTTCTTCGAAGTGGGATTTTGGTTACTAACTGTGACATTTCTCTCTTCCTCAGCCTGACGTGTACCCTGGTAACTGCTGGGCCTTCAAAGGCTCTCAGGGCTACCTGGTGATCCGGTTGTCTCTGAGGATCTTGCCCACGTCTTTCTGCTTGGAGCACATCCCCAAGGCGTTGTCCCCGACTGGAAACATCACCAGCGCCCCGCAAAACTTCACAGTCTATGTGAGAAACGAAGAGACAAACACTTCATCCATAACCAGCTGCTGCAGAGATCCCCGCTTTTATTAATTTGTTTGTTTGTTTGTTTGTGAACAGGGTTTAGACGATGAGTATCAGGAGGAGGGGAAGCTGCTGGGACACTACACATACCAGGAAGACGGGGAGTCACTGCAATCATTTCCCGTCATGGTAACCAAAAAATACTCTCAAAAATGGACCTGGATGCTCCTCTCTTCTCAACCTTTTTTATTCATGTTTCATTTATTTTTATTTCTCCATACAAACAAAAAACTATTTAAAAATACATCCAGAGTTTTTATAAATTAACATGCCTTACATGCACTTTAAAGGTACCCAATCAGCCACTAGGTGATGCTAATGTGCATAATCTAGCACTTTATGTTTACACTTTTTATCAACAACTAACAACATAAAAACTATTTTTAACGCCGTTGAGGTCCAGAACTGGTCAGATGTCTCTTCTGTTTTTGGATTTTTCTGTTCTAACAAATGAAAAATAATCACCAAACTTGAGTGAACTTTTATGTAATTATAAAAGAAGGAATAATATATAGCTCTGTAAAATACCCAGTCATAATTCTGACTTTGCTCTCCATCCTTGATAATAGAAAAGGGAATATATTTATGTACATATATATAGTAATGTGTTTTTACCCTTTCTTTCTCACAGGAGCAGAATGATAAGAGCTTCCAGATCATAGAGGTGCGGGTGTTGTCAAACTGGGGTCACCCAGAATACACCTGCTTGTACCGCTTCAGAGTCCACGGAGAACCTCGGCCTCAGTGAACCCATCGTCACCTCACACACACTCACTCACACATTCACACACACTCTCATATTTGACATATCACGATACCTGTACATAGCTCTCACCGACTTCTTAAAAAGGAGTGGACTCTGAAAAGGATAATGGAGGTTTTTTGTATGAAAGACAAGAAGACAAAGACGTTTTGGACCGTTGAAGGAAAGTGCACAGTCTGAATTATGAACAAATGTTTTGTAAAGTTGAGAGAATCACAGGAAAGTCTTTATGGGAACTGTCAACGAACACATGAATGGAACCACAGACTCTCAGTCCACTCTTTGGAAAAGGTCTCTTGCACTGAATAAGCCCATGAGCAGACGTATCCATCCTCCCTCTTGGCACCGTCTCCTACAGGGAGGTGGACGCTTGAAACGGGAGGATTAAAAGGACTCATCTCCTCTGTTTCCTCACACACTGCATCTCAGTTTGGTTTCTTTTCCTGCTCGTCTTTTATTTCCTGTTAGTCTGTTTTATTTTGTTTGTTTTTTTAGGATCAAAGCCACTACACCTTTGCATGTCACTCCCTCTGTCTGTTGCTTTTCAGTCTCTGCATTGACTTTAAGCTGTTTGGGCAGCCTGCAGGAGTGAAACACACTAAACTGTACATGAATGTTACCCTTCATTCATCCACGCAGCAGGGACTGCATCTTGGGATTCAGTCGGGACTGAACATGCCGCCTACAGAGAGGCTCCAAATGTTTTCTCAAGTGGAAACAATCATCCTTAAACGTCACAGCGACACTATATAACCACTGACCTGAGCTCTACGTGTTCAGAGGAGAAGAAGCTCCTCCTCACTTTGTACAAAATCTGCGTAAAAGTTATGACTGCACTCCAGGATTCAATCTAGCATGTGACTCTTCTCAAACCTGAACCTGCATCATGTATTTACACCAGAGTGAGTCCACTCTGACGGTTTTGAGTCCCGTATCTGGCTCTCAAATTACCAATCAAGTTTTGAAGATAAATGATATAAGTGCTTCTGTAGACAACAATAGTTTTTTTATTTTGTTTTTGTTTTTTTTTGTGTGTGTTTCTATGAAGAGGGAGCTCTCGCTGTCTCCCTCTGGCTCAGATTGAAACGTCCTCCTCACATGAGCTCTCTTTATTCTGAAAACCTGAAGGAATGTAATCTGTATATTTCATTGTTGATAGTCAGCCCTTTATATCTGCTTTTATCAGTGTTGCTTTATAAAAAAAATTATCCTATTATTATTGTATTACTACCATTGTTTTTACTGTTACTCATCGTGTTGTTTTGCTTTTTTTTTTTTCTTTTGATTTGGGGGGTCATTAATGTAAGAGGATGCACTGCAACCGTGTTCGAGGAATGTTTGTGGCACAGGTCTTCACAATTTGTTAAAAAAAATGAGAGGTGTTTAAAATGAGGGCGACTAAAATGTTGTGTATAAAAATGTTTTGCTCACAATCTTATTTATTAACAGGTTAATTAGTTCCAGCAAGGTTTGAGTTACTGCGATGTATATTTTGTCAAAAGCTGTTCAGTGCATTTTGAAACCATCTTGGGACTTTTTTTAAGATAAAGGCTATTTTTGTTCGGTCATGAGATGACTTAACTGCTTTGGATGATACTCCAATAAAGATTTTAATTTTGAAGAACGTTTCTTGAGCAGCTAGATCATGGTTTAAATCCTCTTGGTTTATTCCTCTGTCTTCTTCCTCTGCATTTGACTGATCTGAATTTATACAGGAGAGAGAAATCGGCACATCTGGGCGGCACCTGGAGAGGAAACACAGCCAAGGTCTGAGGAATTGAGAGTCTTCTTAAAAAAATAAGTAAGTACTTAACATTTGCCAAGCACAAACTTTGCACAATCATATGAATGAGGGTTTAAAAATGGCTGTAGGGGGTTTGTAATCCAAATTTTATATGCAGATTAAAAAAAGATTAACCTGTATTCAGGAATACAGAGTAACACTTCACAATGAATGAATGAATGCGTTTAAAGACAAAAAATAAATTTTATTCTAGGCTGAAGCCCCAAGGCGTATTTTTACCTCTCCTGTACCATCATAGGAATAATTCACAATAAAACACAAGTACTAGTATATTATTACAGAAACACATAATAGCTTAAACTGAAAAATCGAATTCAATCAAATGTCATTGTAACCTTTGATGATTTTAGTTTTTAAAGTCTTCTGACAACTACAATAAAGTTACATATTTATTTCATCGTTTAGTCCAGTCCGTAATTTTGCACCTGAAACTGACACACATCTGTACTTGGGATAGTTCTGACTTATAAATTTCAAACATTAGCAGCTCCCTTAAATTTTAATTCCCCTGCCTTAGCTTAATATTTTTTGAATACAAACAGGAATTGTCTTATTTACCACTCCAATAATAATTTCTAATGTTTTTAAATATACAATGTACAGAAATTTTATTGTTTGTGATCTTATTAAAAGCTGATTTGTAGAATCACGGTAAGTAACCAAAGTTTATACTGTATGTTAAAGTAATGCAAGAGTACTAATTAGTGTCTGAGTAAATTATTAGTCAAAATTAAAGGATAGAGCGACTAATTATTGAATAAGTTTGCCTTTTTTTCAAACTAATTACATATGCATTTCTTTTTTTAATCATATTTTTCTTCCTCAAATTAAACAAATATATATTATTATTTTTTATGTACTATTGCAAATGTCTATTATTGCATTGTTCGATTATTAAAGGAGTTCATAAATTTTGGAGAGCTTCATTATCTTTGCCATGTATTAACATAAAACCATCACACCAAACCACTTTGTGTTACACTTTAGTGTGAAAAATAAACTTACCTCACAGCAAGAGAATTGCAGAAAAACAGCAATATTATGCGATTCATAAATGATTGTTTAAAAAGTTTAATTCACTCCCATGTTGCAAACATGCTGTGATTATAGAAAAGTAACCGCCGCCCTCTAGTGGTGTTAAGCAGAACTGCTTATAAAAGAAAATAAACAGACTGCAGCGATTTTTTCCTTTATCGAAAGTCGCTCATATATCTGAGGATAGCTGAAAAATAAGAGTAGGTTCTTAGCAAAGTGGCTACATAGATATAAACGAGGTCAATGAAGAACTCGTGAACTTTTATTCTTTTACTTTTTCACACTTCCGCTGCCTCCTGTTGTCTTACGTCCTTCACAGTGCGGTTACGTCGATGCCATGACAACGCTACTTCCTTGACAACCAACGAGTCCTTAGCAACCACTGCAGCGAAAAGCCAGAATCATGGCTAAAACAATCGGTGCGAAAAAGTCACTTTGGCAACAAGTGTGTGAAGGTGAGTGGATTATTTTGTTGCTCTGCTGAAAGTTAAAGCTTTTGTTAAAAGAAACGGTACAAGTATTTTTTTAAATATGATTTTATTTTTGTAGAGTATGAAGCTGAGCAGCCCCGTCCTCCCGGTGCTGTGTTGACAGATGACAGCTCAGTTAGCACCCAGATCTCCCAGTACAGCGCCAGTACACACTCCCCAGTTTTCTACGGACTCACCACAGCTAAGGTAAACACATCTGTTCACCAAGTCGAGGAAAATAACTACTGTTTTCTGAACAGTTTGGATCCCAGGGGTTTAGTCTAGTGTGTTAAATCCTCGCTTTCATCAGGTGTCTGTGGATGATGATCCTCTCAGAGACTTTGACCCTCTCCGCGGTCACCCCGCTCTCGCTGGCTACTCAATATTGGAAAAACCTCAAAAACCTCCTTCTAGCCGGACGCATCAGTCTGCTGCTGAAACTTCTACACACCTACATACAAGTAAGATGAATCAGTAACAATTTCCACACAAAATATTCACAGTAAATGATACAATTGACCTTTAAAAGATTTTAAACCCTGAAAAATTACGAAACACTGTAATCCAAATATAATGTGTAAAACCTGTCTGTGTCCGTGTCAGGTCCTGCTGTGCTGTTCTTGGAGCAGAGGGTGTTTCCCGTGTTGCTGCCTGGACTGGAGGCTTTGCTGAAAGAAGCTCAGAAGCACGGCTGTTTCGAGGTCTGAATTGTAAATGACCTTTTAGATTTTTGTTTCACATGTAAATCTCACAGAAATACTGAATATTAGAAGTATTTCTGAACTCATAAGTTTATGTTATGAGTTTAAATAACTTTGAATTCTTCTCTGAAATGAACATTATTCTTGAATGTGTTCCAGAGGAAAATAACAGCATTTAACCCGTGTGATTTCCTGACTGAGTGGCTCTACAAGTAAGAGTCTGTGTATACACACATATATACACACACACACACTATCTTCACTTCATCTTATATTGTATACAGCTGAAATGTGTGTTAGTGTGTCATCTTCTTTTTGTCTCAGTCACAACCCCTGCAGGCAGGAGCAGACCCCAGTGAAATTTCATGACATCCCATTTGTCGAGGACTGGCTCAGTGTGCAGTGAGTGTCTCCTCGCCTACATATACACACATTTTCACTACTATATTCTTCAGCTGCAGCTTAAAGGTATATTCTGGGGTGAAATTAATTTAGGATCAAACACACGTGACACCGAGTTAGACACCCCCTCGAGAGATGAATGTTGCCGACCGCTTGCTTCTCTAGTTATACCAACTTTAGTAACGACCGCAGGATAGCAATACAGAGCGCTCTGAGGAGCCATAAACCAGGCTAATGCATGCAAGTATACTATAGATCTCACTACACATTGATGCACACACATGCAGCCATTGAATCAGAAAACAAGGTAAAACAGGTATAAGAACGAGAGCACACAAACAGATGGAAACTATGCATTCGTTTTTGTTCTTTTGCATATGAGGTGAAGCATCTTTCTGCTCTGTCTTGTTTCTCCCCCCCCCAATGATATCCAGTCCCAGGCCTCCCACCCCTCTGTTTCTGCGGCTGAGTGAGGATCAAGCTGCGCTGCTCATCCAGGCCTTCTGGAGGGGATTCAAGGTAAGATGAGCATGAATGACAGAAAACAGGACTGCTGTCAGAGAAGATATTATGACTTTTTGTTGAAGATTGTGTGATTTTAATGGCAGGGGTCGTACATAGTCTAAGAAGTATACAAAATGGGGTAAAGAAGTGTAGAAGAGTCCTGCATTTATTCCACAAACCCTGCTGATCCTTGCTGCCTGCATCTGTGCAAGTCTATGTGTCTTTTAGGATACAATAGACACCCTAATGCAAGTGCACTGGCCCAAAGAGTGATCCTGTTGTATAATACCATCCAGCTGAAAAGCCCTACTTCCACGAGGACTGCAATTTCATTTCAGCTTGATTATGTCATCGCTGATGTTGGGCTTTAATTCCTTCCTGTGTGGGCGTTGAAGTGCTCTGTGCTGGGATATAAATAGACATAAACAGACACTACCAGAGGCAAACAGCGGAGATTTGACTTCACACGCAGATAAACCCCTGTGTCTGGTACAGTGTGGGGATGAAGGCAAGTCTCAGCAGAAGCTTTCGCTTTAACAGTCTTGCTGCAAAAAAAGATCAGCGGGAGAAATTTGATCCACAGTGAAACATGTTTCTGTTTCTCACGGTTGAATTTGTGGGTGTGTGCACCGAAAGATCCCTCCAGCGTGTTTACGTGTGGGACCGCGTCTTAGTTTGGACTCCTTTAGCACCACCAGGGGGCAACGCTTCCTTTCTTTTTCTCGGTTACAAAAAAAGTCAGCCTCCTCTGCTCACATGGGGTGGCAGCAGCGAGCCAGCTGACCTCACCGTGCAGAGAGGGGTTCAGCGGGGCCACTGATAGCACTGCAGCCCTGCACCCCAAGGGGCTCAGTGGAAGACAGACACAGCCAGAAAGAGACAGAAGTGATGAGGTGGGATGATGCATTTGAAAGGACCAGGCAAGGAATATTTTTAGACTCCCCGGATGAAAAAAGATGATGATGATTGGGAATAATGGGGCAAGATGGAGAGAATTGAAGAGAGAGGTAAAAAGGGGGACAGAGGTGGAGGCTGGAGTGTCGGAGAAACAGGGTGAGGCCGTGAACTCTCAGGGTACAAAGTTGAAGGGAGGCCTCCTGGGGATCATCATTTATTCAAGATACACAGGGTGGAGGTCTTTTAGGGAGTCTGCAAGTCCTCATGCAGGCGTAGTTGTGTGTCACGGCTGCTGTTACCTCGACTCCGGAGACAAGAACAGGGAACAGCTCACTGGGCAAGCCGAGCAGAGACAGGGACATCTACACAAACAGAGTCAGCTGTGCGGCACTGATGCGCTGTAGAACTTCATGTAAGATCTGTGTGTGTGTGAGTGTGTGTGAGTGTGTGTGGTAGTTTTTTTGTCTCCATTTAAACATCTAATCTCTCAAAACTCTCATTATGATATCTCGGCTCACGGATCTAGAATCTATGTGAACAATGACGAGCCACATTTCATCTTAATCTGCCGAGTGTGAGGTTTTTACAGACTTGAGGATATTTTTGAGGGTTTATACGAGTGTAATAGGATTATAGGATTTAGTTGTAGAAAAACCCATTCGACTCAATAATGAATGTAACTTTTATGTTTAGTGTTTTGATACTTAACGAACTTTAAAAATAGACCAATCTGAAGCTAATTATCCTGCTATAATTATGATGAAAATGTCCTCATCCATCAGTGTACCCTGCTCTCTTCAACCACACCCCCTCTTTCCCCCGCACTCTTACACCCTCTCTGTTATATAACCCGCCTGACGCAGCGCTGACTGCAGAGACAGTGTGTGTGCGTGAGTGTGCGTGCGTGTGTGTGTATATGTCTATGTGTGTGTGTCTGTGTGTGTTGGTAAGAAAGACAGACAGACCGAGGGCCAGGAAGCAGAGAAGGAGGGTATTTTTGCAGATTGGAGCTTTATCCCTCCATTATTAATGCGATTCATCCAAACATATTGAGGACGGAGGAAGAGCAGCGGTACAGCGCGTACCCACAGAAACACAGACACACACAGACACACACTCACACTCTAACACTAACTCACATCTATGGCCCAGACAATGCAATTTTCTGTTGTTTCACTCACAACCATAAAGGGCTGATGGGTCTAAACATGTTACATAATCTTCTTTAGACTGTGGGCCTCAGCCCAGCTCTAATCCATTCATCCATGCCTGCTACTTTAATGTACACATACGCACACACACACACACACACACACACACTCCACTGATCACTGAGGCTCTCTCAAGTCTCACAAGCTGAGTTGCAGTAATGTGGCTATACTGTGTAATAAATAGGCAGCACAATTAGACAGTCAATACAGAGGATTGGTGGTCAGGCAGTGGAGCGGGATTTTATTATGATCTTCTCCACCGTCTGTATGTAGAGATTTATGAGGAGGACACTCTGCAGCTGCTCTTTTCCTGGCCTCAGCAGGATAGTTTAGTATCTAGTGCCTCAACATGGACTCGAGGATTGAGCGGGTAAACAGACGATCTTAGAAAACAGGATCGGCTCTTATACCAGATTTTAAAAAACACATTGTGCAACAAGCAGTATAAACTATCAAGCAGCCACACATGGAGAGAGGAGAGCAGGGAGAGGAGCTAATCATGCTTAATCATACCCTGACGTCTGACTTTGACAAAACTCTTCCACGATGTGTGCAGACATACTGAATATTTAGAGCCACACTCCAGGCTGCAGAGATCGGCTGGTGGAGCAAAAGTGCGGCTCCACACCTTCCACAAACCGAACTCACATTTAACTTTTGGATTAAAGCGTAAAGATCCCTCCACAGAGCGGGCTCTTATGTTGACTCTTTTGTAGGATTAATTCCTTTTTAACACCTATTCTGAGCAGAGCAGTGGCTGCATTTGTCATTTGTGTCATTTAACTTCATTTTAAATCATCAAGAAACACATTAAAATGTAACCTCACAGAAGGATAAAAGGTTTTTCATTAGAGCTTGAGGTTGGTCTGACAGGCATCCTGGAAGTTCTGACTTCCTTGTTTCCTTCCAGTTCCAGCTTCTGTGCTAAGCTAAGTCAAATATTGCTTTTGTTTTCTCAGCCGACACTCAGAAAAATTATTAATTTCACTTCCAAAACCTCGCCCTCTCCTCCTCAGTCGTACATTGTTATATGTTTCACTGTAATTCCCGGCTCAATCACTTTATACTAACAGCTATTTATGTCTGAAGAGATTCTCCTCGGGTTCAGTTATTGTCTAAAAGTGGGACACACTAAGTAACCCACTGCGTGTGCTCCTCTTGACATGAACTAATAGCTGTTTGAGAGAATCTCACACACTCTCTGTAGTCGGCCGCAGAAGTAGGTCTGAGATTCCAGCTGAATGATCCGAGGGCAGGAGCGGGATAGATGAATGGTTCGATTTGAGGTCCAAGTGCAGGGACACTCATGCAGAAAATATGTCAAAGGCACTCAGGACACACAGTGGCCGAAGGCTGTGCTTCATCCTCACTTCTCCCCCTGCTGAAGGGCTGCGGGGGCCCTCTGTCTGTCCCAGGATTGGACGGCCACAGGGTCAGGTGGTCCCGTCCTGGGATTCCCTCTTTTACCTTAAACACGGGGAGTATTTTAGACATGATTAAGTCTAGTCATGAAGTTAGAGAAGCAGATCTGAGGTTGTTTCCTGGAAGCATCAGTCAACAAAAACAGAAACCATCGTCCTGCTGCTGCAGAGTGTGAGGCTGAGAGAGGAGTTCAGTCACACAGGCAGCTTGAAAAGATGTGTAGTTGGATTGAAGTGTGTGTGAAACAGAGTGTGCACGCTTTTGTGGGTACATGCCGAGTGTGGGGGGGGGGCTCTTCTTTACTGTTGGTGGTGGCGGCTTTGGTGGAAGTGGTTAAAGCTTTGCTATTTGTAACGTGTTTTTGGGCTTTCGAGGGATTTTTGTTTGATCTTAAACCTCGAGTGAAGGTTTCCTCATTTGGCGCTGACACAAAGAAAAAACACAATGTTGGATTAGTGCCGCGTTAAGGCAGAGAAAAAGAGGAAATGTTGTAAAAAGGGGAGTAAATTTACAAAAGAAAATCATAAAAGAGGGAAAAAAAGGTTTTAATTTAGTAGTTTTCTTGTAAAGATACTACAATATAGCCGTGAATTAAAAGTGATAAGATTACAAGAGTAAATTTACAGGATATACATAACTGGAATCGACTTGTAAATGTACGACTTTATTTCTCTTTAAACTTTTATTTTCCTCACATTAATAATGAAAGCCATAGTTTCAAGAACATTAAACTATAATATAACAAAAGTTGTAAATTTTGTTCAAGTTATGTAGATTTAATGAAAAGTCTTAAAATGTGGCTCATAAAGTCATAATATTATGAGAATAAACCTGCAAATTCACCACATCATTATTTTATCTCCATCATCTTTTCTTTAAACCCACAAGAATAAAGTCATAAGGAAAAAAATCCTAAATTTACAAGTTAGTTCTCGTAAATTTTTAAGATTTAAATCATATATTTACCTAAGAGTTTTATCTTTTATCAAGAGTTGCTGTGATGACGCTCGGCTCAAACAGCGTATCCCCCGGGTGAGCTACGCAATCTTTGTACACTCATAGGCTGTTTCAAGTGTCAATCATAGAAAACTTGAACCTCCTAATAACTTTCAAAAACGGAGCTGTACAGAAAAAAGAGGAACTGTAACTACATATCAACATCGCAACCATGGGGGAAAAAATTATGTTCTGTGTAATAAATTTGTAAAGTTGGTCCACAGCTCAATAAGCTTTGCTGGAGGAGGCGGGATTTATGACCTATACTGCAGCCCGTCACCAGAGGGTGCTGTTCTTGGAGTGGCTTCACCCAGCAAGGAGGCAGACTCTGTCCATTCTATATACAGTCTATGCTCCTAACCCTAACCCAAACCCGACAGACAATGACGTTTCACAGCCATAAGGAAAAACCAATCAGAGCCCAGCACTTCTAGCCAATCAGAGACGAAATACCATCCTACGAAATGGCTTGCCGGTGTAGTAGAAGTGGCAGGTAACATTGGAGCCTTTTGACTCTTGGACACTAATGAAGAAAGCTACTATTATAATTAGTTTTCTTACAAACATTTCAATCCGCTAACGCAGACACTTCTTCTGCGATCGTCTTCTCCATTTCTCTGAGTCTGGCCTGCATAGCGGGGCTCTGGGGGCGGAGCTTGGATTGGTTACGTAGGAAATCTCACTGTATCTGATCCGCTGTTTGGGTCTGCCAGAGATTCACAGAGATTTGAATGCAGAAATATTCAGAGATGCAATTTCGCACTTCTTTTTTCTCATGATACGTCCTGTAGCATCAGAAAAATGTCATATGAACATGTAGATTTTCATCAGAGTGGGTCTTTAAGCGTTCACACAGCATAAAGACTGTCTCACAAACCTACTCAAACCCGCTCAATGACTTTTATATTTATAGCATCCAGGTTCTGTATTATTAATGGTTCAGTAATGATTCATACGAGACGAGAAAAGAGGACTTATCTTGTGTCTGATTCGAACATATGAAAGCATGTACACAGAGCGGTCAAAATAAAACCTCGCCCCTGCTAATCAGCTGCGTTGATGCACACAGACAAGCCCTCAAAGCTCTTATGTGTTCGCATTCAACTCCGCTCTTTGTCTCCTGCTGTCACACACACTCTGTCAGCATCCCGCACAAAGCATGTATACGCTCAAAAAAGCCAGCTTTCCGAGCACAGAGACTCTTCTTTCTCTCTCTGCGTGTCAGATGTCACAGTAAAAATAAACCACCTCCAGGATCTAACGGCCATCAAGCTTTTCTGTCATGAAGAAGAACTGGAGGTACGAGGTTTCTGCGGGACACACAAATAAAATGCACACAGGAGATGGTGAGCAAACACAACAGACTCCGACTCCCCCCTCACCCCTCCTGACCCTCACCCCTCATTTCCATTTCTATGGTTTGTCTCCCATCAGCAGAGGAGCTGTTGCAGCGCTGTGACACCCGCTAAATTAACTATTGAAGCACGCCGGTCTAACCCATTCCTCCACCCAACGCCAGGCTTATATAACGGCCCCAATTTCATACCCACTGCTAACAGCAACACTATTGTGGCCGCTCAAGTAGGCACCCGGGAGAGGAAAACAAGACGAGGGAGAGGAGAAAAGAAGAAGAACTGGAAGGAAAAGAAAGATAAAACAGGAGGAGAGGATGTTGAAGACAAGGATGAAACAAAGAGGAAGAAGCAGTGGGGGAGTAGCAGCAGTAGGAGGAGATAAAAACAGAAAAAGAGATTGAGCTCAAAGGGGAAATTTTCTATTCATTTCAATCAGAGATTGGGTTTAGTAATCCCTGAGTAAAGCCTGCAGCGTACACACCGACACACACAGAGCAACGACATACAGGGGTTTCCTCCTGCAACAAAAGCAGGTCTCAGAGAGAGAAACCAGAGTCCTGAATCTACAGCAGAGTCTGACCCATTTACCCACCTATGTGGACACACAGGGCTCCTTCCTCACACGCTTCATTTACACCGACAGAGGCGGTTTTCATATTCAGACATGTTCATGTGTTTGAGGAGTTTTTCTCTCTCCCTTCGCTTCGCTCTCTTTCTTTCTTTTTCTTTCTCCATCATCCCAACACTGACTGATCATTAAGCTTCGAGACAAGACAAGTTTATTTATATCCCACATTTCTCAGTTTGTGAAACAGACTGGCTCTAATGGAGAGCATCAGCGTGGAGACTCATGACTTCTATCGTGTTGTTTTTAAAGCCTGTAAACGCCGTCACTCGAGACAAAAGTGTGCAGGATTCACAGAGATATTCATGTGTGTGTTTGTCGTAGATCAGAGCACGTCCAGATGTGCAGGAGCTGCGTCTGTGGCAGAGAGATCTGAGGGAGAAGAAGGACATTGCAAAAACTGTTGCGCAGTTCTGGGCGGCACGAGAGAGCCGAGGTAAAGACACACACGAGGATTTACTAACCCGACGATCTCAGGTCTGACAACTTTACTCAACAGTGTTTTCTTCATAGGCAGGGAAGACGCTCAAACAAGCTACAGTGCATGGCTACACAACAATGCACACGTTGATCAGCTGCAGAGTACAGTCAGACACACACAAACTGCAGAGATACAGTCGTCACCTGAAGTGAAAGAAGGAGATGAGGCTTGGAGAGAAGTGACACAGAGAAAGAACGAGGGCAGACGAAGGAAAGAGAAAGAGAAAGAGACAGGGAAGTGAAGGAGGAGAGAAAGTAAATGTCTGCAGGGCTCAGGGTGTGTGTGTGTGTGTGTGTGTGTGTGTGTGTGTGTGTCTGTGTGTGTGTGTGTGTGTGTGTGTGTGTGTCTGTGTGTGTGATGGGGAGATGAAGCAAAGGAGGGAGGATACATGTGGAGACCAAGACGAGGTATAGAGAGATTAGGGAGGGGGTGAAGATAGAGAGAGAGACGAGAGAGAGAGAGAGAGAAACATGAAATGTTAAAGTGTGTCCAGGCCTTTCATTGGATGTGTGTGTGTTTGTGTGTGTGTGTGTGTGTGTGTGTGTGTGTGTGTGTGTGTGTGTGTGTGTGTGTGTGTGTGTGTACTGTATGCCAACATGAAAGACAGAGCGGAGCAGCTGGGAATGCAGTCCCGTGTCCAGGATGTTTTACCGGCTTTAGAGCTCAGTGACAGTGACAAAACTTTGTCCTTGAACACACTCACAAACACACACACACACACACACACACACACACACACACACACACACACACACACACACACACACACACACACACACACACACACACACACATACTCACAAACACACTATTAACTGTAAACACTGATGACGCACCTACATCTCCTCCCATCTTACAAATACCTCCACAGTGTGCACTGACATATTGGTCAGGGGGCTTATTTTGGTGCCGAGACGTGTGCAGGAGAGACCCTCCTGGTGTGATTGACGCCACACCGTCTCCACCAACCAAAACCTGCATTTAACCCTTAAACAGCAGAGGTCGCCGAGGGTGATAAAGCTCACAGCAGAGACAGAGTTTTTAGACTTTTTAGACTTTTTAGAATGGGTGTGTATGCAGCTCCCAGTGCTTTTGGGGCCACCCTCAAGTGGACACTTGGGGTACTGCAGGTTTTAGCACTTCTCATTTCTGAAAACCTGTGGATGCCGCTCGTCTCAGAGGTAAAATACGTTGCAAACCAGACAAAACAGGAGAGTAAATATCCCACCTGAGTGTGAAAACCGTCTGATGAAACACTCACAAAACTATTTTACTATTTTAATTTTGGGCTTTTTAATTATTACTATTATTTTTGGCCCTTATTAGCATTTTAAAAAGTACCAGGCTGTACAGCACTGAAACTTTCTTCTGTTCATACCGTTAAAAAGAAAAAAGATCAGTTTAATGTGACAAAAATGTAAACATCGGGCACTTTTTTAGTGGGTGTAGCGCAGCTGGTTTGTTGTGTCGCCTTTATGTTTGTGGCTCAAAAACAATGAGACCATCATAAACACACACAGACGCATTCCACGCAACAAAGGCGCCCGCTGCAGCGGTGTGGCGCTGACGAACATTCCCCCACAGACACACTGAGCTGCTGCTGCACCACTACTGCTGACCTGACACTATAGCAGGGTGTGTGTGTGTGTGTGTGTACAAGAGAGTGTGTCCAATCTGAAAGCCGTTTTCTGACTCCTTCAACAGAACCAGAAATCCGTGAGGCAGAGGCGGGCAGAGAGCGAGGCGAAGGGATTGACGCTGAAGTCGCAGTTTGTTTTTCTGGTTTAGCCTGTTGTTGTTTTGGATGTAATGAAGCAAACGCCGCCCTCCAGCACTGACAGATAAATGACCCGTGTTTGGGACTGTGGGAGAAAGAGGCGGAAATGAAGGAAGAGAGAAGAGAGAGATTATTTAGGGAAGCCGCCTCTCTGCTGCTAACAGGCCCTTTAAGTCGATCCGGCAACAGCTGCACTCATCTCATCCGACCCGAGGAGACCGGCATGCGATACCTCTCCTGCCTTTTACATTACACAGCCTAAAATCAGAATTAGTCAGAGACACAGAGAAAGAAAAAAAAAAACAAAAGCAGAGGGAGCAAAGTGACTGAGAGAGCTGACGCACGATGATACCTCAGGGTCAGGAGTTCACCGTTTATTTGGCAGGTGGAGCTTTCAGCAGCTCATGAATCACCGCAGGACCGTCCTTGACCGTAGACAGACATGTTGGGTGTTTACCTTCAGCCCACGAGCTCCATAAACAGAGAAGTGAGAACTCCTCATAAGTCAGGGTTCTGCAGTTCCAAATGGTAATATATTAGAGAGTTATACTCTTTTGTTACAAAGCTGTTTACGATACTTGACTCTGATTGGCCAACGCTCCTTAGCAACGGTCTGTTATTCCTTGGTAGCAGACCGTTACTATGAGGAACAGACCTGTGCTTATTCTTACCACAAAATCAACGTTTCTGTTTAATAGTAGATGGTTATCATCACAGGGGATATACACCAGAGAAGTGTGGGCGAATAAAGACTATAGAGGAAATAAAAAAGCATAAAATGTCACCACTTTTTAGGACTTTTTAGTCCGATCCAGCAGATGTAGGGTTTCAGGATCTGTAGACCCAGAATAATTGATCATTTTATCTCATGTTTAGGGACGACACACAACCTCCCGACAGAAAGTCCATTATGTTAAGTTATTTATCTGTCACTTTTACTATTTAAAGTTAATTTCTGCTATTTATAACGTGTCAATTGTAATGAATGACTCCCAAATCGAGCACAAATTCTGATTTATTTATCACAATAAGGCTTCAGCACCTTGTTTTGACTCAGAGAAATCACTTTTAGTCTAATGAAAAGGATCTCAGAAACTGCGTCTGTGCATTTACGGATCCCACAGATGGTACTGAGTCATAAAACTGTAATTAAGACCTTTACAAACCACATTACAGTCATTTGAGTGTTAACAGAACATAACTTTCACTGCTACCATCTTTTACAACCTGTCTGAACCTCCTGTTGTGGTATAAACGGCTAAATATAGAAGTCTATTCATCATTGCTTCACTTCCATAATGTCAAAGTCATTGCCTTTTACTGGTGCATAACAATAGGCCTTTACAAAAGCTCTGCAGCTGTCACAGTGAGAGCTTAACAGGCTGAATCATGGTTTGTCGTGCAGGTTTACTGTGTTTACAACCCGGGCCTGAAAAGTATTTTCCCAGTTAATTATCATCAGGAGTAACAGCCTGATGGAAATAACTGTTTTGATTTAATAACTGAGCGATCGTTTTAGACCTTTGAACCCGTTCACATGTTGGTTTTGTTTACTTCCAGCTGATTCCTCCATGACTGATCTTCCAGAGAGCCCTCAGCTCGGCAACTCGGATGTCTCCATCCAGGTGGTGTCCCCCTCTCCTCAGAGCACCGTGGTCCACACCCCCACCACCCAGATGACCCCTGAGGTCGCTGAGTGGCTGCTGACCCCCGGCTTGGACAGAATGGCTGCGTCTGAGTCCGGGAGATCCCTGACTGCAGCATCTCGGTCTGCAACTCCAAACCTCCGAGCTTCTATTAACTGAAATCATTGCTGTGTGTACAAGGTTTGTCTTCTGTTCGAAGGTTATTAAACTCTGGTAGGTTGATGTCAAACTGACCAAAGCGATCAGTCAAACAAGCCATTAAAAACGCCTGTAACCGATTGGATACACCCATGCAGGAATTTATGGCCCGAGATCCGTGTCTAATTAGTTGATTGCTTTCATTGCCCGTTTTGATGGATCACTTCCCTTTACGAGTCTCACCCAACAAACGACCACCATATAGCACGGATCACATATTATACTGCTGGAGGGAAGCCTCCTCCTGTAGCAGACTTAATATTTCCTCTCAGCCTTCTCCGGCTGATATCTCACTGGACGATAACCAACTCGTATTTCCTCGCCGTGCCATTTCTGCTTTCCTTGGCAATACATATCACGCCAAAGAGGATGAAGCATTCCTATTCAAGACAGGAACTGAGGTCGGACTGAAAGGTGACTCCGTGCGCACAGCAGCGGTCTCTGTCCTGCTTATCAGAAAAGGAAATTACCCCGTCAAGGAAACAGAGAATCTAAAAAAAAGAGGGTTAAAAACATCTCTGTGAACACTCGTGTGATTGGCAGCAACTCTGGAGGAGCAGCAGAGAAACACCAGTATCTCGAAGTGTAATAAAACTTCACAATAATGATTAAAAAAAGGATTTAAAACACAAAAATGTTAAACTTCAGAAAAATATGTGACTTTTTACTCGTCATGAATTACTGCATCAGCTCATGTTGGCGAGAAGCCTGTGTCACCGCTGAGGTGTTACTGAAGCCAATGTCGCTCTAATAACCGTCTCTAGCTCGTTGGTATTTTTAGGTCAGGTGGTTCCCGTTTCCCTCTTGACAAATATCCCAAAGATGTTCTGCAGGGTTCGAGTCAGGTGAGGTGGCTGAGACACGAGACATTTGGTGGGAGTTTTGGCGCTGTGGGCAGGTAAAAAGAAAATCTGCATCTGCGTAAAGCTTGTTAGGAGATGTGTGCATGAAGTGCTCTGAAATCTCCTGGTAGATGTCCTAGATAATTTCAGAAATTAATGCTGTTTGTCAGAGTTCACCAATAGATTTTTGGAAAATGTTTTTTATTTGGTAAAATTAATTTTACGCCGGAGTATCCCTTTAATAGAGAAGGAGCTGTGATTGATTGTGTCTATATGCATCACTGTGATAAATAAAAACAGGCCCTTTTCTTTATCCTCCCAGGGTGTTTTTGTTCATTCTGTCTTCTATTGCTGGACTTTCTCTAATATTAATATTATTTTAAGTAATTAATTTTGGTTGTTTTTCGCATCATTCATAGAGAATAGGACGATTGATGGATCAGGAAACAGGATGAGAGTGACATGCAAAAACGAGGCTCCAGGCTGGATTTGAACCTGGCACGTGAGGATCATAATGTGTACACAGGATGCCGATTAAGACCGCTAAAGTCTTTATATTTTCATGTGTGGTCTCAGTCTTTTTCAAGATAACTTTAAATGTCAGTTTTCATCCCTCCTTCCAAATTTTTTTCCTGTTTTTGCACCTCTAGGCCATCAAACATCCTCTTAAATGTCACATATCTGCCATGGAAAGTTAATCTAATTGGATTAGTGAAAATATTAAGGATAAAAAGACTTCATGCTGGTCCACTAACTCTTCTTTTTTCATATTTTGTTCTTGCCAACATGATTGTGCAGGCTGTCACTCTCTGCTCCTGTTTGTGTGTCATTAATCTGCAAAGATAAAGTGCACTTCTGGCTTTTTTCCATCACTCCTTGAGCCCTTGGTACCTGAGAGGATACTTCTAGTTTCCCCTTCAGTGTCTCTGCAGCGAGGCGGGGCGGCGGTCTCATGATGGACGGTTTCCCTGACCATCCCGGGCACTGATGCACACCGCCTCACAGCGAGCCAGAGGGAGGGTCATGTATCTCCATCTGCAGGTATGTGGATGCCTGGGGGACAGCTGCTGCTTGGTGAAGTGATAAAACAGCCCCATTTCATTCTGGGGACATCTGATAGTGCAGCCAGCTCCACAGAGTCTGGCAGCAGAGGGCCCGACTGAAACTAAATCACTCAGCAGCAGCCGGAGGAGGGAGGGAGGGCGGGGGGCACCAGGGCGTCAGAGCAGAGCCTGAAAACAGCGCCTGTTCTGGACTGTGATTCACAGCTGAGCGTGTCGTAGAATATAAACACGTTTACTCACTAAGAGCTCGAGTTTAGGGAGTGTGTTTGCAGAAGGACTACAAAAACATACTTTAATGACTTATGTTAGCACCATCCTCTTAGACGGTAACAAAGGATGGAAGATAGTGTTGTGTCGTTCGCGAACGATTCATTCAAAAGAACCGAATCTTTTAAGTAAACGTACTGAACTGAATTACTTCCTTGAGTGATTCGTTCGTTTCTCTCTTCAGTTGAGCTAAAGTAAGAAACATCATTGCCAGGCCAGCAGCCAGCGAACGAGGGACCACATGCACCAACACCTGAATCACTTGGTGAACGAATCACGCATTGAAGTACACTCTCAGGAATCATTTTTGACACAACAACTTTCATACAATAGGACACAGCATGTAACAAATAGTGCATTTAACCCACAGCATCCTTTCACTGCAGCAGTTTGCGAGGGAACGGTTCGTTTAGTGTGAATTCTTCTAAACATTCAGTGAACGAATCACTCACAGAGCCCAATTTACAGAGCAGACCTGATAAATAGCATACCATAGGACAGTACACTTAAAACATCATGACTTTTGCCAAAGCAACACAGTCAAACACTCTCGTCTCACGGTCCCAGAAACAATGAATTGAACTGAACCCTGAATCGTTCAGCTGTGTTTCAGTTCAGGAGGTCGGGGTCGCAGGCCTCTCCAGCCAAGCGTTAAGTGATTCTGTGATTTGGTGAACAAATCTTTTGAACGAATCTTTTTAGTGAACTGATTCTAGTGATTCAGTACATCTAATCACTAATGGAAGAGGCCTCAAATGTGGCTGCCACCATAGTGGAAATGCTGATTCAATCTAACTTTGAACGACGTTGAAACAGGTAACAAGGTGGAGCAGAACGAGGCCTGATGCTTTAGAAGTAGCATGAATACCAAAACCACAATATCCAACAGTTTCCGCCTCTCGCCTCATGCAAATAAAAACACCACACCCGGTTAAAAGTTAACTACAAACATGACACTTTTATTGAACTTTTTTTTCCTGATTCAGTTACAGAAATGAGAGTTAACAGCTTTTTTTCTTTTTCTTATCAGGGGAATAAAGTTCTATACATATGCATGCTGCGTCACTGCACAGTCACAGCTGTGAAAACCAATATCACCCCTGTCAGCTGCCCCGCTGGAACAGTCTGAAGGCAAGACAAATCAGGAGAGGACAGGCAAGGACATGCCAAACCCGGGGACGACGGGTGTTCGGTGGGCTGCCCGGGGATGACAAACTTTAACATATAGAAGTTTTGTGCAAATTTCACCACAGTCTATTTGATTTTACACACAGAGACAATAACCATCAGAAGTTTCTCTTTTTTTCCCTCCAGTCTTCAAACTAACAGAGGAAGTTATTTTTAGGTCCGCTGTCGATGGCGTTTTGTTCCTTTTCGGGGACTCAAACTATTTTGGACCACTTTCCCCTGACTTGAATCTCTTTACTTCTCAAGAGCCCGCTCTCTTTTGTGTTTGAGAAAGCACAGACAATAAGTGTGTCATCTGATATACACTGAAATTATGATTGCAGTCACATGACCCTTACATAAATAGAGTTAGTATTCAAAAGTACGTCTGAGAAAGGTCTTACATGTAGAAATGGTGATAAGCATGCACAGATAGGTAGTCGACAAGTGCAAAATCTACAAAGTCACATGTTATTCTTTTATTTTTTGTATTCCACGTTGAGTGAAGTCATCACAAGAACTGAAACCTCCCCACTTTGTCTCATTACTGACCATCCCAGACCCTGAGGACAGTTCTTCTTCATGGGCTACAGCGCACAGATCTGTGGTCTGTCTCCGACCAGGGAGGGCCCAAACAGAGCCTGACATGGCACGGCACGCTCTGTTTGGGCATGGAGCACGCTCGCTGGTACCAGTCCTATTTTAGAATAGCCAGTGGGTAAGACATAAACATACAGCAGCAGTTAAGAGGTGACACTTGGTCTTTTCTTAGTCGAGGGGTGGCTGTAAGACGAGGCGTCACCAAGATGACAGCAGAGGGGCTCGGCTTTTCTCAGCCCACCCTCATATGTGTTTTTTTTTTTTGTTAAATATCAGAGAGAAACTTTTACAACCACGATTTTTAAGAGTTAGGACGCTGTGTGAAAGAGGCGGATTAAAAAGATATTTATTTAGCTGATTGTAGTCACTGCAGTAATTTTACTGTTTTAAGAAAAATGGTTAACACTTTACAATAACCATAATCAATAAATAGTAAATAGATAGTTTATTAATGTTTAATCATCATTTAAAAACAGTATAAAGACCAATTATAAATGGCAAATAGGTCATTTATCTATGTAACTTAATATTAACTTTACCATTAACAAGCAATGAAATTATAATTAATAATTTTCATTAATTATTAATGGACTATTTATTAAAGGTTTATATAGGGTTTAAATATTGGTTGTAAAACATCTAGATTAAAATACGTGTCAGTAGCACTTTGTAAATGATTAATATTTGGTTTATTACTTAGATGGTTATTGTAAAGTTAGGGTTAATAAACTATCTGCTCACCATTTATAAATGGTCTCTTTACCATTTATAAGTTACGGTTAATGTAAAGTGTAACTGAAAAATGCTCATTTTAAGTTTGATGCGCTTCAAACCTGCAAAACAGAGAAAATTCCAAACTAATAATGTTCATTTCCAAAATGACTCTCTACTGTGAGGGACTGAGTGAAGTAAGAATAAAGCATGATGTTCATGAGAGTTTGAGGGTTTTATCAACTACAGTAAATAATATCATCTAAGACCATGATCTTTGGGTCCTCAGGTGACACTGCATTAAAAACAGACGTGGCTCTGAAGTGGAAATCACTGCATGGACTTAAAAGCACATCCAAAACACTGTTTGTTGCTAAACATAGAAGAGGAAACACGTGTAAACACTATTCAGAAACGCCAACAACTTCCTAGGTCCGAGGTCCTTCCTCCGATGAATCAAAACATGACATTGTTATCAGAGAGTCTATAGAGGAGCGGGACCTCCTCACCCTCTTACACTTAACTCTGGAGCAACATCTGCTGCCATCCAGACTGTGACGTTTTCAGGGAAGACCTGCAAGACGATGCAAAACCACACTCTGCAGGGATTACAACAGTATGGCTCTGTAGTAGAAGAGTCCGTGTGCTTACCTGGGTTTCCTATTAAAAACATAGAAGACCCTGAACTGTTGATTAGCTAAACACGCCCTTATCCCAACTTTTCTGAACTGCATCAGATTTAAAATGAGCATATATTTGTAATGAAACGATGTTATTAGTCAGTTTCAACATCTGACCAAACCATCAAACCATCAACATCAAGATTTCACACAGCGTCCTAACTCTCATTAAAATTAGGTTGTAGTTTATCGAATGAAGTGCTATAAGTAACTCACAGCCGTCGTTGTTTTTCCCAATCAAATAAAAATCCTGTCGTTTTGGTGTTATCTTTGTAACTGTTAAATCAAAGCGTGGACCTCTGTCTCCACTCTGAACTCTTAGCAGGAGGTACAAACGATGTAAAAGCCTATAAATGACAACTCATATCATTTCTTTGAACATTAATCAAACGAAAAAGAAAAAGAAAAGCATATCTAGAGTTGGCAAAAATATTTCCAAAAATGCTATTTAAAAAAAAAAAAAAAAAAAAAAAGACACCAGCAAGAGAGAAAAAAAAGAACAAGCAAATGTATGAACACAACGCCAAGCAGTTAAAAAAAGTCCCCAGATAAAAAGAGTTTGTAATCGTCAGTTCTCCAGTCGGTCATATGATACTGGTGTCTAAAATAAGCCTACAGTTAAAAAAAGAGTAAACAAGCAAGCAAAGCTTTACAGCACTACTATGTACACAGCTTCTCCAGTGTGTAGAGAGAGAGAGAGAGAGAGTTGGTGTCAAGGTGAAAGGTGGAGGGCGGGGGAAACAGAGACTCCGGTGAAACAGGAGTCCTTCTTGGCACGGGGACCCGAGCTCGAGTCGACCTCAGAGAGACAAGAGGAGGATGAAGAGGAGGGAGGAGAAGACAAGCACATAGAGCAGAGCAGCATGGCTGCCCCCACAGAACCACACACACACACACACACACACACACTTACAAACACACACACACACACACACATGGTTACCCACACAGGCAGGCCGGGGAGCCATTTTCTCCCACAGATCAAACCCACGAGAGGAAGTCACTGGGATGTTTCTCTCCTCGCCATCATCTCCCTCATCTTTTCCACCTCCTCCTAGACTTGATCTCCTTCCTCCTCGCCAGCGCTGTAAATCCGATCTTTCTAAGGCTCTCGGGTGTCTCAACACACCAGCCCCTCGGCTCTATTTATAGCCCGTCACTCACATACGACGACAACAACGACGACGATGAGGACTGGATCTGCATCAGTGTTGCTCCTGCAGCTTTGAGCCTCACAGGGGGGTGGAAGCAATGTGGAGAAAAATTTAGCACCAGAACGCAACCTTGACTTCGAACCCCGCCCCCCTCCTCCTCCTCCCTCTGACACTCATAAGATCACAACACTCATGTACGCACACGTAAAACACAGATAGAGGAACTGAGCGCAGGATGTCGGTTCATTTCCTCGCTCCGTTTCCTGCTGATATAAAGTGACAGTTTCTCCTGGCTGGTTCAAACCGCCAGTGGCCACCGGAGATGTGGGAGAGCAGCGCGCAGTAAAGTCTGACCTAGATTCACGCGGCGCTGCCTCCTTCCCTCCTTTCCTTTTTCGCCGATGACAGACGCCTTCCTCGTCCAATCAGAGTCCGCCTTCGCTCTGTTGCAGGTTGTATTTAACAGTAGTTCAGTAGCAGCTTGTGAACCCTCTGCCCAGGTGCTCCAGGCTGCTCCGGAGAGTCTTTTTTCGTCTTCACAGTTTGTTTTCACATTTTTGCAAGAGTGTCCATGCAGGTGGGAGGATGAGGCGAGGTGAGAAGGGTGACATGTTATATTCACAGACGGTGCGGAGAAATGCAAACAGAGAGAAAGACGGAGGAAGGAGGAGTGGTCGTAGGTCAACACACGCACTGTCTCCTCTCGTATAGTCTACACACACACACACACACTCTCTGCGCGGTGGCTTGATTCTTTCGTAGAGGGGCGGTGCTGGAGCTGTACACTTGCCCGTGTGCTCTGTCTTCACCTACACTGCGGATGGATGGATGGAGGACAGAGCCAAATGTTTCCATCTGAGTGCCAGCTTTTTTTTTTGTTTTTGTGGAGCAGCAGAAAAGATATCCTGACTGACAGGAAGAGCAGACAGAGAGAGAGAGAGCGAGAGAGAGAGAGAGAGAGAAGGTTTCACAGTTTTCAAGGATGCTTACAGTGCTGTAGTCTCAGGGGAGCGAATCAAACGAAAAGAGAAAAGAAACACCGCATGTGATATTTTCAGATCGAAGTCAGCGCCGGGTTTTTGTTTTGCTACTCGCTGGTCACATTTTGAGTTTTTTCAACCCTTCGTTTGGAAATTTGTGTGCTTGAAGAGCTTCAGCTTTGTCCTCCATGCCCTACTTTCTCTCAGTCTCACACACACTCATACTTGACTCGATTTGCACGCAGTCAGTGTTTTTAGTCTGTACACAGAAGGAAAGGGCCCCGTCGGCGTCCGTGTTTTAAAAGTTCAGTCCAACCAGTCGAGCCTTTCGTTCAGGGGACCCCTCCCTCCTCAACCTCCCTCGCCACGCTCCGTCTTCTTCTTCCTCTCTTCGTTTTTCTTCCACGCTTCTTCTTAACGATCCTTTCGCTCACCACAGCTGCCTCCCCGTGTAGGTTGGAGGAGCAGAGGGCACCTGCAGGGGTGGAAATGAGGTTTGTAAGTAATGAAATCTGGACACTGTCAAACAATCACATATGCATCTTTGCACACATGCATACAGCGGCCCCATGCGCACATGCTTTTCTGCAGATTCCAGGCTGACCTTCTCCTTTTAACCATCCCACATTTTAGCACAGACCACACAGCAGAAGCATGAAGCAGAATTTGAGAACCTCATTTTACCGAGACATGATTCATACGGTCCTGTTGATGAATTTTGGATTCCACTGTATCCAGAACGGCTCCGATCTGGAACGATTTACGATTTACGCCAATTCCTACCGGATCCATTCATGAGGCGAATTTCATGGCGGCAGGAATCGCAAGAACTCACAAGAACCTAGCCACATAGACTAACCATATAAGCAGTAGATTGTGTCCTTCCAGAGGAGGAAATCTACTTCTAGACTTCTAGAATCGGCATCTTCTCATCCATGGTGTCATCAGGAGGAAATACTGTCTATAAACCTTTCAAATGTTTGTCTCCGCCTGTTTGCATGGTGTGAAATACGATCCGCCTGAAACACAGAGTGTTTTATTTTGAAAAGAAGCCGGATGTTTTATTCTGTGTCTTTGCTCGACTTCCTTTCCGGCACGGGTTAATCTGTGCTGAATTTATCCAGCATGCTTCGGCTCTAGAACTCTTGCGATCAGCTGCAGAGTCCAGCGATCCGCAGCAGAGCGGAAAGAAGCCGATTGAAATTGACATGTTAACTTGATTGGTTACGATCAGCTACGATCAGCGGATATGGCCTGTTCGTAGCCATTCCAGATGCGGTGAAAATCGGAGGTTAGGGGACTAAAGGCTCATTTATGCTCAACGTTGCATACAGATCTGGATACAGACGGAGCTCTCCATCCGTGCTTTGTGTTCTTTTCTGCATGTATCCTTGAAGTTTACAGATACTGACAATTACAATTGCAACAATTAATTTAACATCACCATGGGAACAAACTCAGCTGATCCATGTATCATGAAAAGAGCGAACTCAAAAGATGTTGAAAAGTGTTTGCATGGATGTCCCACTTTGCAGCACGCAGCAAGAACTGCATCACTGCTTCTCTATAGTGCACAGAGGCGATGTGCTTGCATAACAAAGTGCACCATATTTCCTTTTCGAAGGACTTTTTAAAGAGCACAGCTTTATTTATTGCTGCTTGTTGCTGTGAAACGTGACCCTCTTCTTTTTTTAATGAATGTCCTGAGGGATGGATGCTGTAGAGTGTGGTGCTGCCCCCAGAATCAAGGTGGATGTCGTGCAAACTCTCAGAACTCCGTTTCCCGTGCAAACCGATATGTGGTGTAACTTCCTGCACAAATAGTTGATAGACGCCCCTTTGGCCACGCCCCTTTTCTATGTATAATGATATCAAAAGATGGAGACTCAACCTGCACTTGAGATTTGGTGACTCGACAACGGCACAGCTAGTGCGATGCTATTTTAGTCTGAAGAGAGTGTAAGCATTTCAGCGTCTTGAGGACTAATGTGTCGCGCTGCTGTGTGGCGGGACTAATTCATAACACAGAGGCTGGGAATAAGTTCACCTGTGCCAGCCAGGGTGCCTATTACTCCTGCGTAATGAAAGGTGTGACAAGCCTGCAGACAGTCGCATCATTCAGTGGACGGATAGCGTCCCTGCTTCTATTTTACACACACAAGGAGCTCTTTCTCGCTCGCTCCTACACAAATCAACGCCAGATGAGGGACCATTTGTGTCAAACCCATCCATGCATGTGCCCACAAGCTCATGAACATGCACCTTCAGTCGGATGATGCACACACACTCACACCTCTCCCTCATTCTTGTGCAATGACGTACAATCTGGAACGCACAAATGTGCATGCAGTCTTGTCGGCGTGGTCGAATGAGAGAGCGGCGTGTAAGCGGCGTGTACCTGTGACTGGGAGGATGTACTCACCGCTCCCCCGTTCAGGATCATGGTCATCTCGGTGGGCTGGTACACGTTGCTGCGGAAAGGAGCGCTGGGCCTCGCACCGGTGTTACTGTTATGTTGCCCTGCAGCGCCGCCACTCCTCAGGCCTGGACCAAGAGATGCCCCACATTAATATCCCTGTTTCTGAAAACTCGCCGTGGTCCTGCACCACAGAAACATCCTCCTGCGCTTATTTCTTGCCATGCATGCAAATACCTCCCGCTGATCTATTACTCACTCTGGCCTACATTCCACCTACAATCTGCCTGCACACATTAGTCCCGTCTGCTCTGAAATATTGGATCGTACCTGCAGTGTTTTCGTCGTTGTACCCGTAGCCCTGATTCTCCACAAACTGCCGGTGAGACAGCGGGATGTCCTCGTCAAAACTGGTCTCTCTCATCCGCGTTGAGTTCTGGGAGGTGTCAAAGTAATCCGGGGCGGTGGGCTGTGGAGGGGGTCTCAGGCAGATGTGGGATTCAGGAATTGCGTGGAATATCAGTAGGAGCCATCCCTGAGCCACCAAAGCGATGGCCAGAGCCGGGTCGTTCCAGTCCGGGGACCTTCCCAGCCAGGCGTTGCCGTACAGATAGAAGCCCACCCAGGCCACCCACAGCAGCAGCGACAGCAGGCAGGTCACCAGCAGCCAGATGGCGTTGCAGCGCCACTGACGTGTTTTGGCGCACAAGGCCAGTGAGGCGGCGGTCAGTGCTGCCAGTAGGAGAGCTAGCACATAGCTGCAGGCTAGCGAGAAGTCCAGCGGTAGATACTGACAGGCAGCTCTTCCCTCCCTCAGCACGGTTAGGAGCAGCCACTCAGCGGCGATGATGCCCTGCACGGCGCTCAGACCCAAAGCAAGGCCTGTGAGGGCGCAGCCACCAGGGCTCCTGCGCTCCCGGCCCAGCCTGCGCAGACGGACACCTTGAACCAGCAAACAGGAGAAGCAGACGGCGAACAGGAGGCCCCACAGGGCCCTGCGGAGCAGACATAACGACTCATCCTGCTCGATTAGGTAAGCGAAGCTCAGGCCGAACAAGCCCAGGACGCCCAGGAGGAGCAGGAGGATGGGTCCCACGCCGCTACGCTTCTCTGCCTCACTGATGTGGTGCAAACGGCAAAGCAGGACCAGGGCGAGCAAGATGGCAGTCAGCACTCCACCAGCGGCGACTGACTCCACAGCCACGCCCCATATGGAGTCCAGGTCACAGAGGAGGGTGTAGGGACGAACCAGGCCCCAGCCACAGCCCCTCGGGAGAGCTTCGGACTCCTCAGACTCTTGACTGGTGGCACGATGGGTAACGGACAGCAGCAGCAGGAGGAGGACCGGCAGGAATGCCATGTCTGAGAGATCGACAGAGAAAGAAGAAGAAAGTCGGAGAGAGATGATGGAGCAAAGACAGAGAAAGACAAAGGAATGGAGAGAAAGCAAAAAAAAAGAGAAACTGAGTGAGCTGTTCTGGTAAAATCAACCATATTTATCCAAAACAAACAGCTAACACTCGGGGGGCAAAGTGAATTAGAGCATGTCCAATCAAGTGCTGTTATTAAAACAGCACGAAATCTGGGTGCTGAGCGAGGTGCACAGTGTTTCGAGTGTACGAATCAAACCAATCAGTGCTTCTCTTCAAGAGTTGGTGCAGCTACAGGCGGGGGTGTTACTATTTACACAGCAGGGTTCAGAATGTCATGTTTTTGTCATATTTTTGTCTTTGTTGCAGAGAGACAAGAAACATGTGGAGCAGAGTGAGGGGGGAAGACGTCCAGCATACTGTCCTATTTGGGTGTCCATGGCAACAAGGACTTTAACTTAGGTCAGCATATTTAACTTCCCTCTTTCCATTGTGCCTTTAAAAACACACACAGGTCACTTTATGAGTTATGTCGATGAAGTTTAACCCACTGAAATTGTTCCTCTGAAGAGCAGAAATCAAAGTGACTGACTGATTAATTGGTCTAGATCTATGCAATAAATCATATCATATCATAAATGTTCTTCCTTGAGCTGCGTCACCCCCGCTGTAGTCCGTAGAGTAGGTGAGTTGTGTTTAGTCTCTTTGCTAAAGAAATTAGTCAAAGTTAAAAAGATGTTTGGTGGCTGTGACCCTATATGTCCTGTTGATGAAGTTAGGTGCTGTTCTGAGCATCATTTGTGTCTATAGAGCGGTGTTTTGGTTGAGATTTGTTTATGGCTCCTTAGACTGCTGTGTATTGCTATCGTGGGGTCGTTACTAAAGTTGAGAAGCTAGCGGTCGGCAACATTCATCTCTCAAGTGGGCGTCTGACTCGGTGTTACTGTGTATTTGACCCTAAATTAATTTTACGCCGGAATATCCCTTTAAGACCAACATAGTTTTTGGTGTAACTCTGAGCACAAGTTTATTTTTTACTCACACAACACAGGCCTTAAAAATGTCACATGATTTGGGTGTAAAATAGCAAAAACATCGCTTTGCACCAGGAGTAGGATAGGGCCCGAATGTTTTTCAGCAGCAGAGTTGAGCAGTCAGTCATTCCCGCTGTTATTATCTGCCTGTGAATGACAATGCAGACGGCCACTGCTGTGTTTTGGAGAGGAGACAAAGGACGGCAGTTCATGCAGGGTGAATGACAGAAGCCTCTAAACACACAACAACCCATGCTGCCTACAGCCCGGCCTTGTTTTTCAACCTTTCAAATGCCCCTTTCTGCAAAGAAAACACCTGAAAACCTAGAAAAGTCCAGGTAGGAGAGTTACCATTCAAGTCAGGTCACTGACAGTGCTCCCCCTAAAAGTTTCAGGCGTTATTTGTCCGGTCTGGTTCAGTGAACTGGCTGCCCGAGCCCCTGACAGGAAAGCTGCTGCATCATGCATATTTTCATGAAAAAAGAAACAGAGATACAGGGAGGAAAACTAGTGTGGACAAGCTACCGGCTACTCACGATCAGACGTCTCAGAGCGTCGAGCAAGGCGAGAGGTGATGCATAATACACACTGCAGCGCCTAGAGCTCCACGTACAGACACTCAGATACTTTTGGTGTCCTGGTGAAGAAGAAGCAACACTCAGAGAGCAAAATCAATGCTGCCTCTGAGTCTGCATTCTCCTTTATTCATCACGACTGTCTCACACACACACACAAACACACACACACACACACACACACACACGGATACACTCCTTTCATTGGAATCCATGCCGGGATGATCAGCGCTGTCATTTCACCTGACAGGCTGTGTGTTTTATGAGAGGCTGATCTGTATTTAAGCCACCACAATACGTCCCTCTCTCTCTCTCACACACAAACACACACATACGCAAAATGTGTCATTGTGCCAGGCTGCTGTCAACTGTCTGTTCGCTACGTCGCTAAGCTCACAGAAATTCTTTCCAAGCTGCCTCATATATTTGTGCACTTTTACACTTTGGATTGTTTATTTCAGGGTCGTTTTACGCTCATTTTTCCCCCCTGGTCCACAAATAGACCGTATCACAATATTTACATACCACTTAAAGGACACTGGATATCCCTGCTTCATGCTCTCTTTCCATGCCAGTAAGTCTAGGGAGAGTTTCACGGTCAGAAGGGAGTGGAAGATTTAAATACACACCAGCCAGAGCTGCAGGTCACACACACACACACACACACACACACACTCCAGCTCGTATCTCGTAGCTTAATAACTGGGCCAGACGGACGGAGAGAGAGAGAGAGACAGAGCTCCAGACACTCTGATTTATTTGATCATGAAAATAGAAACAGGAGGAAGTTTTGAGAATCTGCAGTAAATAGACCAGACCTACTTTATTTGTAATTTGTCACTTTTATGCATCTTTTAACATTTTCCCCACAAGTAGAAGACAAACGCAGTTCAGTGTTTTCTTGTTTTTAGCTCTAGTGCTCTTATAGTTCAGGTTTTCTTACATGCAATTTGAAAACAGTAACTACACAAACAAATAAGGCTGTTTTTCTGTGAATAATAATGTGTTTTCCAGCAATGAATGATCGATTTAGAGCTTAAATCATTCACTGATTTTTGGATTGGTGAATCATCTCGATGTTTTTATTGCTCTCTAAGCTAATAAATCATTTTAGGTTTCTTTCAAACTGTCATAAAATTTAGAGTTGACTGTGTTTCATTATCTAAAAACCAATGAATCAGATGTTCAGCTGCGTCACAAAAACCCACAGAGGACTATTTTGACCTGTGGATGACTCTCAGTCTCGGATGTTTGATGCAGGGCTTTCTTGGTGGGCCAGTTCGCTCCTTTGAAGGCTAAATTTAGCATGCTGAGTCTGATCATGTTGATGAGAATTACAGTTTCAGGAAACAGGGATAAGCACCCAAACTGGAACTAGCAGCACTAGCTGTTGATCTGTGTCTGCAAAACATAATTATGCATATACAACTACATATTCTTTTTACAGCATTATCCTTTAAAAGAATAAATAATTGAAGCTCTGCTGGTTTTCAACATGAGGAGATCACACCTTGGTTCAATTTCAGGCTCCTCTCCTGCATGTAACACCATCCACTGTCTTAACCTTTCAAAATAAAAGCACAAAGCATGAAAATTAAACTTAAGAGGAACTGAATAAATAGGTTTGTTTTGTGCATAATGGTGTAACAGAGAAGTATTTATTCAAACGATATGTCTAAAAGTCAAGATCACCAATTCAACACCTCAATAATGTCGACTTAAAACTGTTAATGAAATGCAGAATAAGTGATTGTATAGGGGAGAGCGGGGTAAGATGAGCCATTTTTCATATTTCGGATCACTACATCAAGTCAATCATAGTTTTGTCTCTAACTAGTGTATCTGCATATATTTCAGGATGTTGTTCATCCCTGCAAACCAACAGAATGAGAATAAACATAACTGTCTTGATAATTCAGCATGCCAAAAAAAGTGGTCTCCTATGGTCAACTTACCCCATGTATGTTTAAACTGATGGTAACACTTTATTTGACATCTATCTCTATAACGCATTATAAATATATGTATAATGTGTTATAATCACGTTATAACACTATATAACTATAGTTATAAACACTCATAAATGATCATAATGCTTTATAGCAATAATCATAACACATTAAAAAGCATTTTATCATGACTTACAAGGTCAGGTATTATAATGTGTTATAACTGTTAACAACAGTTGTATAATACATTATCTATGTGGGCATTATCAGTGAGTTGTTAACAGTTATAACACATTATAATTCCTGACCTTGTAAGTCATGATAAAATGTTTTATAATGTGTTGTGATTATTGCTATAAAGCATTATGATCATTTATGAGTGTTTGTAACTATAGTTATACAGTGCTATAACGTGATTATAACACATTATACATATATTTATAATGCGTTATAGAGAGAGCTGTCAAGTAAAGTGTTACCAAACTGATATGTGCATCTGAACCAAGACAAATAAGACTGTTCTGTGTGTACTAAATAACATTTTTAACACCATGTCCGAGTAAAAAGCGTAAAATCAGATATTTAACACGGCAGTTTCAGCGATTTAAATCTTTCTTAAATTTCTACATTCCCACAAATCACAACCTCACAAGTACACACAGAAACTGTTTCATCTATTTATACAAACAAGCTTTGAAGTATCTATCCTAATATCCATAAAAACATATATTTTAAAGTCAGCGGTTGTTTACACCTTCTGAAATATCATCATTTATTTCAGTGCAGCTCCAGAGGGAACAGCTGTGAAAGATGCATTTATATATGTGTGTGTTTGTGTGTGTGTGTTTGTGCATATTCATTTGTTCAGAGCTCTTTCATGTACCCTTCAGAGATTTACACCCTAAAAATTCCTCCTCACGTCCCCTCATTACTAAAATCCCCCCCTCCTCCTTCTTTTATTTCCTGCCGTTACTTCAGCCCGTTGTTTCCTCTACTCTCCTCCTTTCTTCCTGGTTGCAGCAGCTCACAGCCTCTGGTTATTATGATTGTGCTACATTAACATCCATCAGAGCTTATGGAGGGATGAGTCACCAAAACACAGATTTGGAGAGCTGCACATACGCAAAAACACCTCACAGCGACATGCGTGCCTTCAGACGCCGCACAAAAACGTTTAATCCTACATCAATCAGGTTGTTTTTTGAAGACGGCTCTAAATAACCGTGGATGCGAATCAAAAAAGCTCACTCATCCGACTGCTCCTCACTTTTCTCTTTGTCTTCGCTGTCGTCTCCTCTCAGACAAGTGCACACGCTCACAGATGCTGAGGCTGCACGCTCGCCAGTGACCGCTTCTTCATTCAGTCACCCTCTCACCCAGTCACAGCCTTTTGCACAGATGGTGGCTGTGGCTGCTTTTTGCAAGGAGCTGCACAAACACACACACATGCAAAATCGCCAACCTGCTCTACATGCAGCACATAGCACACACCTACAGCACACATGCCACGCACTCAAATCCTCCACACTGCTTCTCGCTGATATGAGTCATGTGGAGAAAAGAGAGCGAGAGAGAGAGGGCGAGCGTGGCCTTCCACTATGTGCAGCACAGAGGATGCTGCTGCCCCCGTCTCATCCTCCCCTCCCTCCCCTCTTTCTAGACATGTTCCTCTCTCTGTCACTCCTGCTGCATGCAGCCATTTCTGTCCTCCCCCCTGTTTTAGAAATCCTCTATTCTGTCAGATTTCGATGCCACCTCTCCTCTCCTCTTCTCCGTCTCATCTCTCTGCTACATTTGGAGATTTGCTGTGAAAGATGCGCCCCGCACACCTCCTCTCCTCGCATCTCCTCCCTCTTTTCTCCCACCTCTCTCCTTCTAATCCCAAACACAATCTTCTCCCTTCCATTTTGGCTTCTTCATCTTCTCTCCTCGTGCCCCTTTCCTCCTCCCGCCCCCCCGTGTTCGCCTTTCTTCTTGTGTATCTTACATAACGGGGGGGAAGGATCCAGCCTTTGCCAGTTTTGCTGCATGGCTACTGTTTCTCGGGCATCGTGTTCCTCTGTGCCAAAGCAGCCTGCTGGCACCCAAGAGGTCCATCTTAGTTTTGTATTCTGCACGAAGCCGGGGTTTACATGCATTCAGGCTGCACGTGTCTCCCATGCACGTACACAACAGGCTGGCTGGCTGGCTGGCTGGCTAGCTGGCATAGCGCCTGTGAGTGCTGGCTGTATTTGCATGTAAATATCACATTCTGTATTATGCATCCGTGTGTGGGGGGGCACCACATTCTCGCACAGAGCTGAACATGGCAAATATGCAGCGAGCATTTCCATATAGCTGCTACTTGACATACAACAGGATCACAGACAGCCAGAGTGCAAATGTGCAGCACTGCAGGGTTTGAAATCTGCTCCGGGCTGGATTGGAAGAGATGAGGAAACCTAGCTACAATTACCTCCTCCTGTAATTATCAGACATAGTGCACAACCAGATGCTGCCTAATTAAGAGGGTGATAATTGGGGGGTTTATTGCATTTTGACAACTCACTCTATTCACATTTTTGCTCCGACTTTTACATCCAGACTTACAATCGAGGAGAAAATGTGCATGAGCATCCGGCTGGAAACGCGCTCATCCAGCTGTTGGGGGTGAGCAGGTCGTTTGCAGGACGGGTCCCAGCATCTGCTCTCTTATGTTTCTTACGCAGTTTTTCTCCGACACTAACAGACCTCTACTTTTCCCGACAGTGCATAAATTTACATCTTGCATGAGACGTGGGGATTACATAAGGCCTCAGAAATCAGTCATGTTAAATTACCAGAGGCTGACTGGATGTCTGTTTCCACTGCATCAGATTTAATATGGATTTAAAACACAAATAAGCTCTTACGCTCCTATAAATAGTCCGTCACTGGAGAAACCTCTGAGAAGTTTTTGTCAGGTGTAGCTTTAGTCTTTAAGGAGACCTGTTATATTCATTTTCATCTTTCATCATGTCAGTCTGGGACACATAAAAAATAAAAAACTGGGTTCTGGGTGTTACTTTTTACACAGCAATGCCGTCATGAACAGATCTGAAAGTTATTCCTTCGTTGAAAACATCTGAGGTGACATATTGAGACACAAATCCAGCTTGGACTGGCCTTTGTTTACCAAAAGGTCATCAGTGAAGTTGCGGGCAGAAACAACTATGTTGCGGCTGCTGTTGTCATGGAAACTTAGACGCTTTCAACTGACTCTTCTGCACTACCAAAAGGACACTTAAAGGCACTATGAGGCGTTTTTAAAAGGCTGAGAAACACAACAAAACCGACACTGATGCTCAGCAACAAGACAAAGTTAAAGGAATATTCAGGCGTAAAATTAAGTTAGGGTCAAACACATTGTAACATCGAGTTAGACACTGCCTCCGGAGATGAATGTTGCCGACCGTTTGCTTCTCTAGTTACACCAACTTTAGTAACGACTGCAGGATAGCAATACAGAGCGGTCTGAGGAGCCATAAACAAACCTCAACCAAAACACAACTCACCTACTCTCTTCCAGCAGCCGCTTGTTTGTAGCGAGACCTTGGGCCACTCCATTACAAACTGCTGCGGGGTGACGCAGCTAAAGGAAGAACATTTATGATCATTTCTTCATTGTAATACAATCAGACCGAGACGCTACGGCAGCAGAACTACCATGTCTGCAGTGCAAAATGATTAATATGATGATAATTACTTCAAGGAAATGATGTAATGATCATAAATGTTCTTCCTTCAGCTGCGTCACCCCACTGTAGTCCTTAATAGACTGGCCTGAGGTCTCGCTTCAAACAAGTGGCTGCTGGAAGAGAGTAGGTCAGTTGTGTTTAGTCTCTTTGCTAAAGAAATTAGGCAAAGTTAAAAAGATGTTTGGTGGCTAGTTCTATGGCTGTGACCCTATATGTCCTGTTGATGAAGTTAGGTGCTGTTCTGAGCATTATTTGTGGCTGTAGAGTAGTGTTCTTGTTGAGGTTTGTTTATGGCTCCTCAGACCGCTGTGTATTGCTATCATGCGGTCGTTACTAAAGTTGAGAAGCAAGCGGTCGGCAACATTCATCTCTCGAGGAGGCGTTTGACTCGATGTTACAGCGTGTTTGACCTTAAATTAATTTTACACTGGAATATTTAAAGACTAGAACCAAGAGGTATTACTCTTTCCACAGGGGGGCGCCAGAACAAACACAGGCTAAAAGTTCCTCACTGCAGCTTTAAAAGCATCTTACCAAGACATAAAACGACAAAGTGAAGGATGGAAGAGAAAGGGGGGCAGTGAAACGATTCTCCAGGTGAAGTGGGCGTGTCCTGATTGGACGGCAGGACCTGACATCAGGTTGAGGTAAAGTTCTCACGATAAGCTGTCAGGGCATGATGCTAACATCTGTGTATCTCATGTTTAGAGACTTTGCAGAGGTTTAATCCTAAAACTGAAACATTTAAGTACGTATTTAAATGTGGATGAGCATCATAAGTCTGCTTTCTGTTCTCTTGAGTTTCTTGTTTATGCTTTAAGGCTTACAGCCCAGCTTGAAATCGACTTTCATGCTATTTTAAATGTGCGTTTCTGATGTCACCAGGCTGGTATTCTATCATCTACCCTCGCCGAAAGCTCGAATAACCACTTTAATTATAAACAAGAGGCTGAAACGCCGGGGGAAAGATGTGTTTCCTCTTCGCTCGCCCGACACAGAGAGGATCTTTCTCTTTTTTAATCAAGGACACTTTAACAGGACACATGGCTGTTGTAATCCCTGAACTTGTGACTTTCCAGAGACGGCCTTCCGTTCCAATCGTGCGTTCAGCCGGAGTCTGGGACCTCCCACACAGAGCGCTGAAAAAGCATGGCCAATTTACACGAGATCTCCATGGAAGCATTCGGAGAAATAACTCTCTGGTGAGTGTTTTTTTTTTTTTCTGCAATAAAAAGACATCCCATGAAAGCGAACAGAGACACTTTGATACATGGTTTACACTTGGACAGTCATCAGCAGCACCACCAGATTACAGAGCGCCTTTGTTTTTTTTACACGCTGGCAGAAAAGAACTGTTTATCGCCCCGCCGCTATGTTTTGAACTTTTCTTTTTCCACTCCTCGAACTTCCTGCGTCTAATAAAACGCACAATAAACTTGAATTACAATGTGCGATCTGATCAACCCGACTGTGCGTGAAATCTCTGCACGTCCGTAAGCCTCCGGAGTGACGTCAGCAATCCCTCACAGCTGGTAGTGTCAGATAACAGTAAGAGGAATGAAAAGGGGGGATGAGGACGGAGAGGGAAGGGGGCAGAGATGGAGTGGAAGTCGGAGCATGACGTATGGGTGTGCTGTAATTCAGAAAAGGGCCCCCATGAGGACGAGGGAGAAAGACCCTGAAGAAGTGAGGCTTTAGTGGACATGAAAAGGGACTGAATGGCGAGACTGAAGAAGTGTTGGTCCATTCAGCGGGCGGGCCTCCTGGTTGGCTGGCAGCATGGTGAAACTGACAGTGGAAGTATTTTCCCCAGCCTCTTCAGACACCCCGAGCCATCCTAATTAGACCTCATTACCATGTGACTGGGCTCACAGCGAGACCATATGCTAATTGACTTAACAATTAACAGCCCCGGTGCTTTTACCCCCCCCCCCCCCCCCCCATACACACACACCACCTTCCTTCTTCTCCTCCCTCTTCAAACAACAACAACCGATGGCTGTGTGATTAGTCAGATGCGAGGACAAGCCCAAAATACGTACCCTGAAACAAGGCACGGCCCTCGGGTCTCGCACTTCGCTTACATGTGATTTCAATGAGCATCTTCTATTATTGATGAAGTGAGGGGATCTGCAGTGAGGTGAGGAGGAGGAGGAGGAAGAGGAGGAAGAGGAGGAGGGATGATCACAGGAGCCCAAAAAGATCAAATCTGGTTAGATTGTGATCAGAGGAGCAGGAGGAACAGCCGGATGTGGGATGGAAGAACTGGAGCGAGCTGAGTGCCTGGAGCGTGTGTGTGTGTGTGTGTGTGTGCGTGTGTGTGTGTGTGAGCAGAGGAGGGTTTGGCTGCATATGGACGTATTGTTGTTACAGAGGCACCATCGTTTTTATATCAGCACAAATATTTGGATTTTTTCGCTCCAATGTTGGTGCTCTTACTCTTAATGCTGGCCGCGTCACGAACATGATTCCTCTCCTGCTTGGCTGTGCGCTACAAGTGTTATTGGAGGATTCCTCTAAAGGGCACATCATGCTGCATGAAAATACACGTGCAGGAAGTAAACAAACACGGCGAAATTAAATGAAAAATTAATCTCAGTGGATGAAATTCTGTTGCCAGCTCAGGCAGCTGATGATCAATGTGGACAGTAAACTGTTGGCACTGTCACCACTCCGTTTCTCCAACATTTCCCCCCGTGTATAACTGCTGCAGACTAGTTTCCACTTTGTTTAGCATGCCAGCCGCTAATGCAGGACGAGTCTGTCTCCAGCCTCTGTGTCGGGCATGTATGTCGCTGTGCAGTAGCTACGGCATATCTTAAAACTGTTGTTCATGACTCCGGACTTATTTGCTCAGCTTGTTCTTTAAACTTTTGACCATCGTTGTCCCTGCAGCGTTGTCGGTCTGTCACATCCCCTCTGTTTCTGCACAACCACTACAGTCCATGTGCATAATGCATTTTGGAACCACTTAATTTTTGGGGGTGTGCACAGACGCCACTCCAAACAGGCGGAGGTCATGCATGGCATCCATGACGCACATATTAACTCTCTCTGTCCTTACTCTTTTTTTGTTGCACAACTCACGTGTCGATGGTTGAATTTCATCTGCAAGTGTTCAGCCTGGTTCGTACTCCTGGTTCATGTACTCATCGCTTTGCAATACTCTGTCTTAACACTAGTTGGCAGTGGGTGGGGGTACCCTTTGTTTTGGACACAGGAAACCATGGCGACGGAATCTGAGCAGGTCACTAGCTGATCATACCGTGTTTACTGCAAAGCAAGTTGTCGAAGGAGATGCTGCTGTGTTGTTTCTAGACCTCATTGTGTTTACATTTCTTTCTATAGGTTGCAGTATCACTTCAAGATCTGGTGTTTCAGAGCTGATATAATATTTTGGATTTTTCAGCTTAAAGCATCATCAGGCGATTGAAGGCTGGGGGTGCTAGCTCTGCAAGCTATAGCTTCACTGAACTCCTCCGGACAAAAGATCATAAATAGGTGAATGAGCAGCAAGGGGATAGAAGACAATCTTAGAATAAATAATGAATAGAAAAGACAAGTGTTCGATATATTGTGATGAATTTCGACTGTTTTCTGGGTCTTAAAACTAGAATTAAAATTTCAGTTTGATCAAGCAAGAAATAGGTCGCCTCGGAGCATCAGAACATTTAGTTCTATTACTTTGCTTTGGCGCCGTTATTGTGATTTGGCTAAAATTTGTTCTCCTGTAAAAATGTCTCTCCTCGTAGCTCGTACACTAGCCTGTGTCATGTGTACACACACTCATCCAAACAAGGTACATATGGCATCAGCCCCGAGGAGATACTGTGGCATCCTCTTCTCCCTGGAGGAAGATAACTAACTCATGAAAGCGCAGCCCTGAGAATAAGCGGCATCTCTCTGCTGAATATTGATTAATGATGGAAAACAGAACCTCTGAAAACGGGCCCAGGAGCTTTCTGAGAACACAAATACTGCTCTGACGAGAGGCTGGAGGCTAATGCATCATCTGTCTGTTCACCAACACAGAGCCGATCTATACATCGACTTCCATTCACATACAAACTTCCTTTGTCTAATTGGGCTCAAGTGGGCATTTAAGTGCAATTTTCTCTCCAAAGTGGACTGCCAGGTCAGGGACGTGTTTCTTGTTTACTGCGTGGGAAGGGAAGGTAAGGTAAGGGGGGGTTTGCCTCTAAAAAAGGGGGGTGGCACCCTCGGTTTTAGCTGACCTAAGGAGCGCCTCAGTGCAAACACACATTTGGAGAGAATGCTCTTTTTTCTTTTCTTTCTCGGCTCGACTCCCCCCCCCCACTCTCTTAACAATACCATCCACATGGGAGGGTCCCTGGGGGGTTCCAGAAGAGTGTGTTTGTTCGAGGGAAAAGCATTGTCACAGCAGTGTGTGTGTGTGTGTGTGTGTGTGTGTGTGTGTGTGTGTGTGTGTGATCCAAATATAAAGAATGACATCTAACCTCTGGGCCATAGAGAGAAGCCGTGACTGACACTCCGAAAATACACACACACGCATTGTGGAGTGAAAATGGAGGCACAGCCAAAAGAGACCAACCTTTATATCCTCGTGAGAAAAAAAATGTGCCACAGCCAATCGATGCTTCAAATCCACGCAGGTCACAGCTCTCAGTGGACATGTCTTTATTCAAGATGAGCATGATTTATTTAAATGCCCCTCGAGGTCAAGGCCATAATGTACCCGGCTCTGTGCGTAAATGTACATCTTGTAACATGTCTACACAGTGCGTGCCCTCTCTGCAACACACACACACACACACACACACACACACACACACACACACACACACCTGCAGTTGGTGCATCGACATCGTCTTTCTCCAGAGGTTACAATCATGCAACTTCCACATCAGCAACGATGCATCCAAAAACCAACCAACACCCCCCTGAGTGTTCCTCCGCCACCCTCTGAAAATGTATCACGCGCACACGTCTCCACAAGGGTGTCACTCTCCCCTCTGCCTCCCCCCCTTCCTCTTCATTAATCAATACCCTCTAGGTTACATGGTGATCAGCACGTACCTTAATCGATGTAAACAGATCCGATAGAGAAGGAAAGCAGTGGCACTGGAGTCAGCTACGATGTGAGGCGGAGTGAAAATGTCACATTTCGGACTGAGCTGCGCTCGCGGTGTTTGCGTATTCTCTCTCCATCCACATGGACTCGTGCGCGATCAGCCCAGATGATTCCTCCTGCTCCAGGTTTGAGGTGTATTCAGCCCGTCCCCGTTGTTCTCAGAGGAAGAATGGGCATGAATGGCGACCCTTGATAAGTCAAAACAGGGGGAGACGGTGCACGCCGGGGAGTCGGGATTAAAATGTGGTCGAGATTTGTGATCGTTTCCCCCTAAATCCTTTGTTCAGCGGTGCGCATCTTCGACTTTCACTCTGCAGCAATAAAGCAGCCTTCATGAAAATAAATAAAACATGTTCTGAGGAGAAATCCTGTAATGCGCAGAGCCGGCGCGTCCCACCAAACCAGCCGCTTTGCGCCGTTTACGCCACAGAGGCTCCGGGTTGACGGTCACTGCTGCTCCGCGCTGCACAACTCCCGTCTGAATGCATCACCAAAAAACTGCGCTCCGCATAACGTGCGTACTGATAATCCCTCTCTCCGCACACACACACACTCACACGAGCAAACACACAAAGTGACAGCCCTCCGGAGCCGCCACAGTCTCTCCTGACTCCTTCTGTCCTCCTCCCTTAAACTGCTCACCCCCCGATAAATTAATCGGTGTCGGACGGAGGGACCGCGTTATTAAATCCTCTCTCTCTCTGTCTCTCTCTCTCTCTCTCTCTCTCTCTCTCTCTCTCTCTGTCTCTCTCTCTCTCTCTTTTACAAACACACCTCCTAAATCTATTGTGTAAATGTCACTGTCACGAACTGCACGCACTACTAGGACTCTCCAAATGCTACACCTGCTTTGCTCCAGCCTGCAGCACAGTTTTACCTCGTTCACTGCACGAAGTCATAGAAAATACTCCGATTGTGTCAAATCAGACTGAGTTAAGTCTGTCACCGGTTGCACCTTTCAGCGTAAAACAAAAATACGCACACTTTTTTTAACAACTTGGTTTTATAGCTATGATTGAAGCACCTCGAGATAATTACACTGAAACTGATTAGTTAAGTTGTTCATGTCTGGGTTCGTTTTGTCCAAATGCAAAGTCGTGATCGTCTTTTATGGAAGTAAATCTGTGCCATCTGAATTTGAATTTCTAAAGCTGACTTTTTTGCAACAAAATCAGACTTTGAATGTCAAAACCATCGAATTTCAAGCACGCATTTTTATTTCTTGCACTCTTTTTTATAACGAAAAATGGTCTCTCAAAATATCCGTGTTGTAAAAATTCAACTTAAAGAAATACTGTGTAAAAAAATTCAACATAAAAAAAATGTCAGTGTTGAATAATTCAGGAATCGATTGCTCTCCCTGGTTACCCACATGCTGAGTTGGTCTGTTTTACACTGAATTTTTTTTTTATATTGAATTTTTTTACACAGTTTTTTAGTTGAATTTTTACTTTAAAAATCTTTGAAGAGACTGATTTTTTTAAACTGAATTTATTTCATCATTTTGAAAAAAAACACTGAATTTTTCTACATTGAATTTTTTTATGATTAATTTTTTTTACACTGAATTTATTTCATCATTGTGAAAAAATAAGTGTCAGAAATAAAAATGTGTGCTTAAAATTCAATAGTTTCAAAATTCAAAGTCTGACATGCAAAATAATTCAGCTTTAGAAATTAAAATTCATAATCATATGGCACAGATTTACTTCCATACTCTTTGTTGTTATTTTTGTGTTGTTTCGCCCCTTATTCACGCTCTTATTTTGAAAATCACCCACTCTCGTTTCCGGGTTCACCCTCCTAATATTACGATGCTTGACACAGCTTCAAACTGCTGTGCTGCTTATTATTTCTCCCTCTCGTCACATGCTTGTCGTCTCAGCTGCTCCAGTCCATCCACCAAGAGGGGGGTGGGAGTTTCACTGCTGGAGCCCCTGCTACCCCCACCCGGACATACATCCACCCTGTCTTTATCCTAGTGCATCATGGGAGCCAGTGGAAGTGTTTTGTGGCCATGCTGTCATCATTTTTTTCCTCTAAAAAAATGTCACCACTGCAGTCTGAGACATGCAGAAGCAGAGCAGGGCAGCCATGACACCTCTGACCGGGTTACCTTCATGCTGCTTCTGCAAAGTGTAAATCATAGTAAGCCTTCACACTGCTTTTCATTACTGTTATCTTTAATTTGTGTAAATTAATGGTACCAGCGGGAAAAGGACACTGGTGACTATGGAAGCCCCAAGCAGACATGCATCCTCACACTATTTTTACTCTGTTTTCAGTAATAATCACTATATTAATCATTTTAAACACTGCAGACACAGTAGTTCTTCTGCCTTTGCGTCTCGGTCTGATTGCATTTCCATGAAGAAATGATCATAAATGTTCTCCCTTGAGCTGCGTCAACCCGCTGCAGTCCGTAATGGACTGGCCTGTGGTCTCTCTAAAAATCAAGCGGCTGCTAGAAGAGAGTAGGTGAGTTGGGTTTAGTCTCTTTGCTAAAGAAATTAGTGGCTAGTGCTGTGGCTGGGACCCTATATGTCCTGTTGATGAAGTTAGGTGCTGTTCTGAGTATTATTTGTGTCTATAGAGAAGCGTTTTGGTCGAGGTTTGTTCATGGCGCCTCAGACCGCTATGTATTGCTATCGTGCGGTCGTTACTAAAGTTGGTATAACTACAGAAGCAAGCTGTTGGCAACATTAATCTCTTAAGGGGGTGTCTAACTCTGTGTTACAGTGTTTTTGACCCTAAATTTATTTTACGCCAGAATATCCCTTTAAAGTTTTGGGCTCCTCTTGCTTCTATTCAAAGAGGATAGGACTCTGGATAGAGCAGGAGAAGGGAGTGGCTTCAAAGGAGCCACTAGCTGGATTTGAGGTATAACCTCTGCTTCCACTTTCAGGCCAGCAGCACTCCAATTATTTTTCTCCTCCTTTAGTTTCTTGCTTTGTGACGTTTTTTCTGACGATATTCGGGAACCTGAGGAGTTCCTCGCTGATTTAACAGCCGTGACAATAATTGGAGATTTTTACTTTGCACTGAACACAAACCGTCATTGAGTATTTTCTCCGTAATTCCCTGCGTGAGAGGACTCTTTATTCACTGGCTGCTGAGGGGACTTAATGTTCCCAACAAGACTATCAAGAACATTTTGTGATTTTTCTCTCAGCAAGAGACGTGCAGATGCCGTTTTATTGATCCTCTCATCATGAGAAAGTGAAATTAATGTCTACTTAGGACCACCGTGAGAAACAACATTCTGCATGGGATCTCTCCCCCGACTTCCCCTTTCACACTCTTAAACGCATAAATACATGCAAAGTGAGCTGACATGCAGGTTCTGCGCAGTAAGGAGGCGTATCATATGGAGTGGCAGCTGAGGATGTGAGACTAATCTGACAGGTGCAGTCTGGGAGAGTGACAGCATGGGAAGAGGGGGAGGGGTCACTGCTCGTAACAGGATGATTGAGGAGATTAATGGGTCCCTCACTTTATCAGCTGACAGGCCCGGGCACTACATCTTCAATATCCTTACTCCTGGCGTCCTTTGTTATCAGCAGCCGAAGACCGTGTGCAAAAAAAAAAAAGAAGAGGCTATTGTTCCATTACCACACAGAACTAATCACAGTAAGTGGATTTGGAGGAACATCTCATTTGAATACCTCACAAGTGGAGGTCAGTGGATCTCTTAAAATAAACTAAGTTAGTGACGTCTCATAATAACACAGTTTTGGAGAGATAACTCCGGGTATGAGACAGAGGTATTTTAGCTCTTTATCAGTCAGAGTTAAGTGGAGATATCATTACTACTCTTGTCTTGTCTTTGTCACTAGTTCACCCAAAAATCACAAAATCTTCCAACCACCTCCAAATGTTCAAACTTCTTCCTTTATTCCCTCTAAAAATAGTGAAAAAAAACCCTCAGTGTTACACAACCCTGATCGCTTCACATGTTCTAGTGAACATGTTTTCATACTCTGCATATTTATAAGCTCTGTGTAGGAGTAGGAATGTCCATCCTCTGCTTGCATGAACGTTAACATTTATAGCCACGCTGTTGTTGTTCATTGAGAACCCCTGCGTATGAATAGACAGCGAGAAGGTAGCTCTGTATCCGTATGATCGTGTTTGGAGCAGACCAATATAGCCTACAGACAGGCAGTGGACTAATTTTGGCTCTGCTCACTGAGTTATTGTCCTTAAACGAGGAGAGCACATGATCTGAAGGCGTCATGCGTCTGCAGGAATAACAGCGTCACTAGCTCTGTCTGTTACAATCCCCTTTGGGATTATGCGTGTTTTAGAGTATGTATGAGCTGTTGTTTCTCTTGTAAGTTTTCCAACAGGATGTAAAACTCTTGTAGAGGGAAAAATCTTCAAAATTTGCACAGGCGTTTGCTCCAACTCAAGATTAAACTGGTCAGAATGAAATAATAAAGAGTCAGAGATCATTGTGTTTGTAATCCTGTGAAGTTTGTCTTTATAAGGCAACAATCCCAAAGGTCGCATGCACAACATAAACACCACCACAGTTTTTCCCCCTCCTGCTTTTATGTTCAGTCTTTCCTCTGTCTCGTCCTTCCCGTCATTTTCATGCTCCCTCGCCGTCCGAAGGTTTCCTCACCTCATAAAGACCTCTGCCCGGCTCCACACAATGAGGCACAGTAGTGACAGCAGGGCGGACAACACACGGCCGGCCCGCAAGCTGCATCTGTTTCCAGTGACGAGCATCAGGATGACCTCACAGGATGTATCCACTATGACAGGATGCAGGTGTCCGAAAATGAGCAGGAAGAGAGCCTTATTTTAAAGACGGCTGTGTTTGCAGACACACACCCCAGTTTCAACAGACTGTAACACATCTGACAGGAGTGGAGAGGATGTGGTCTCTGATTTTTATACTGTCTCATATAAATTTTCTGATCATCTTATATTTTATTTAACTCCATTAAAATGTTTAAGAATGTTTTTATATTCCCTTTTATTTTTATTAATTTCCTTTTCCTTTTTAATATTTTTTCCCTTTTTAAATATTTTTAATTGAGTTTTTATTATTTGAAAAGTGTTGTAAAGAGGTCTGATTGATGGATAAAGATCTCTTATGAATCCTTTTATTTGATTAAAGTAACACCAAACTGCTCTGGTCTCCAGTTATATATGTATATGTTATATATGTATTTTTATGTTCTCACGGTTTCAATTGTTCTGTGTGAATATTATGTGACACCGCTGTTTTAACCAGCTCATGGAAAGAGCTGTGCTGACTGGGTCGCTCATCTCACGAAGGTAATATGCTTAGATTATCCCCACCTCACCTGTTCAACAAAGTGATTTAAACCCTCCGGCTGTTACAGGTCACTCAGGACGTTGAAAACCCGAGGATGTCGTCGTGACCTTTTGAAGCAGCACGGCCGCACAGAAGAAGAAACTGTATAAAAGGTTGTGCGTCGGTGACCATAAATTAGCTAAATGTAGATTAACATGCTCTGTATCTGAAGGGCAGGAAACATGAACACAGTTATTTCTTCCCTAAAAACAAAACCCTCATCTGACCACTTCAGGGACCAGCACATGGACCGTGACACTTGTTTTCATTGAGTGAGCATCGGAGACCTCGCAGTCGGCCCCTCGGGTTTCTCCACGGCTCTAAACAGGATTTAACCCCTGAGGGGGGTCAGGATGAGGTCAGTGGAATAAAGGCAGCTCCAGGATTTACCTTCCTCCTCTATCATCAGGTCACTGTGTTTGTACGCTGGACGTGACACAGTGTTTTCCAAGCCAGGCTCAAGGATACAAGACAATAACATGATAACGCAAGAACTTTATTTACCCCAAAGGGAAATTCATTTGTCTGGAATCTCATGTTATCTCATGTTTTCTCCGGTAGGACAGTTAACAAACTGTAAAAGTCCTGTCAGGTGAGAGGAGGGAGTGACATGGTTGAAGTCTCCTGATATTATTACAAGTGCTTCTGGATGTTGAGTCCGTATCCTAGCAACAGTATCATGGAGAACATCACACAGAACTTCAGCCGTTGCCTTGGGTTGGACGTGTTCAGGTAATGTTATGGTATGACTGAACTCCTTTAGAACATAAGGGCAAATGCCAACAGTTCAACTGTTATTCCTGCAGATGGATGACGCTCTTGGATCAGTTACGTCATCTCTGGTTGACCTTTCTTCTTGCCACCAGCTTTAGCATCTCTGAGTTGTTTTGATTCAACCGGGTTTCATTGAAACACAGGAGAATGCTTTCTTAGTCTTCGCAAATATATCTCCAGCTTGTCGCTTTTGTTGGGCAGAGAGTTGACGTTTCCCATGATGACTGATCTTGAAGGCCTTATATCTCCATTTCCTTGCCTTCAACTTTGCCTTCACCTTTGCACCATCATGGCAACCACGAAAACACCTCCAGATGTCTGCTGGACTTGGATGTTGTCGTCCAGATTTGCTCAATCTTGATGAAAGAAGTTCTTCTCCTGGACAAACTTTTCCCCCAGGAAAAATATGAAAAATAGAAGAAAATTCAGCGAGACCAGACTCTGCTGCTAACTGAGCGTGGATGTGGATAAACAATTACATCTTTCTCTTCTCTTTTAGCTTTCTGCCTGAGCTTTCTATACATGCCTTGTGGTTTGTAAACAAAACTTAACAGAAGAAGAGAAGATGTTGAAAAAGACATAGCTGTTCTGTCGCACAGCTCTGTAAAGTTGTCAGTTTTTTGCCAGTCAACGTACGACCCGTTAACATCTTGCTAACGTATTTTTCTGATGGTTTTGGTTTACATACTTTCGGTAAAAATCTGAGTCTTGCTGATTGCTTTTATACTGGGACAGAAAAAGTTAGCTAGCTATAAATGTGCTCATCTTAATAACAAAAAACACAGATTTCCAAAAGCACGGTGGTTAATTTTAATATCACACTCAAAACGTTAGGTTGGATGCAGCAGAGTGAAGTAGAATAGAGGTAGGGAAACAGCACAGTAACATGCTAGGAGGTGAGTGAAAGGGACATCGACAAATTGAAGAAAACAGACGTTTTTTTGATTTCCTTTTCAAACAGATTGAATCCTCTCCAGATCAAGAGGAAGGAAAAGAAACAGAGGTTAAGGTGGTCGACAGCGAAGAGAAGAAGACAAGAAATAACAGGATGAAAGCAGGACAATCTGAAAAGGGTAAAACAATAGAAAAATAAGAGACATCACTCAAAATGTTATATAAAAATCCACTTCCTGTTTCTGTTTCCGCCACTTCATCACAGTCCAGGCTCTAACCTCTGGAGGGCCTGTGCGTTACCTCCACCCTCCTGCACAATTACCCAACCGAGTGGAAGCTCCTCTGTCTGGCATGGGGCAGAGTTTGAGTCTGGGTGGGGTAGCTGAAGGGAGACCCCCTTTCTCCGTTTGTGCAGACCTAGAAATCGGGGACATGGTTTTTGAGAAGGAGGATTAACAGACGGGATCACGGACGTGCCGTCACAGATCATGACTTGACTCTACCTTCGACGCTCAGACGCCCTGCAAACCCCCCTGTGTGGAATCGGTCCCCACACAGACAGATAATCCCCCAGAAAAGTCTGTCATTCGACGTCGACCACACGGCTGAACCATGCATATGTGCAAACATACACATACATGTACAACACACACAGGCCCGGGAGGATTTGCACTCAGCATGCAACTATTTTGGGGGGCTCAGGGAGAGTAAAGGATTATTGATTTAGTAGGACACTGGCCAGATGTAGCCGAACGCCAAACACAATGTGCTTAAATTCAACCGTTTCAACACTTTGCGGCAGTTTTGGTCGGCAGTATTAACATTAATAGAAGTGGAAACCTTCGGCGTTGAGTGCTTTTACTTTCCTCCATCAGTAATGGCTTTGCTAATGTTTCTCTCGGAGGCCTTTTCATTCATGTCTAATATACTTAAGGCCCATCAGTCCGTCCACACAAAGACTGATGGCTTCTCGGTGTCAACTTCACAGATCTCAGATCTCCCGGTCAGCCTCTGCTCTTCATCTATAAGTGATTTTCCTTCTCTTTATCTCATAGCTTTGGTTTCTCGGCCCGTCAGACATCTCTCACGCTGCCCCGTTCACCCCCCTCTGCATTCACATCACGTCCTCGCTCTGATTCGAGGAGTTAAGTCGCACGGATTGCAGAAGCTCTTTGAGTCCTTGAACGGGACTTTAAGACAACTGAATTTAGCATTTTAGTGTAGGTAAAGTTGAGCATCTACCTGGATCACTGTGTGTTTTTTTTATGTGTGTCTGTGTTTATGTAAGCTTGAGCATTTAAATGGAGCTGGCAGGACCAGAGAGCAGGACCAGGCCCAGGAAGGAAGGAGCTCCACTCAAATTAATCTCCACTGGATGGCCCAGAAAAGGAGCAGAGCCATTTTTGGGAGCAAGGAGCCATCTCCTAGGTGAGCACCATGGCAACAGCCAACATGGGCCCCAGCTTTCTGAGCTGTCCTTTTCAAGCGCCCGATCAAAAGTGGCAGGCCAGGTTTTTTGTTATGTGGCGTCTCTTACCCACACTACCTCTTCTTTTCTCTCCCTGCGTGACATGGTCCTGGCCTTGTTCACCGGGGGAGGCTGTGAGAAGACTGCAGAGGGAGAGTGTCTGTGGGAAAATGTTGCCAGACAACACAGGGGTATGTGACAGCGAGGCAAGCTAATATGGTCTGGGACAAAAAGGGAATACATGACCAGGAGCTATTCAGAGATACGCGCCGACCGTCTGATTCATCTGTTGCATCAGACTTGTGAAAACAGCAGATTTAATGCGTCTTTTTTTAAAGCTACATCTTTTTACTGGAAGTCTGCAAACTCACGAACAAAATTAGCAGGAAAACTTATCTTCTGTTTGCTTTATTCGACTGCATTTATGTTAAACTTTCAGGGCTAGTTTTTCTCTAGACCAAAGACCAAACTCCCACAGCAGCCATCTTCTTCAGACATCATACTCAGGAGGGTGAACTCTGATTGGAGCACGTGGGGAAGTTCGGGCACCTGCTGTTAGACAAAGCCGGTCGATGCAAGGTTAGATTAGACCTCAGCTTGGACTGAAGCTGTTTAGCTGATGGTAAAATATCAAACTCTTAAAGTCTATCAGTGTTTTAAAGATCACTTTATCTCCCAGTAACACCAGAGATCTAAGTTGAGGTCCAACTTCCAGCTGCGCCTGCGTCTTCAGAGGTCAAAGTTAGCGTGCGCTTAAGGAGTCAGGTACTCTTGTTTTAACCGCTGGATGACACAAACTTCTTAGATTGAGCGAATGACTCAGTTTAGGATGAGCTTTGTACACCTGCTTTACTTTATAATCAGCAAAATGTGATCAAATTAAAGGGTTAGAGGATCATATTTTTCCATGTGTGGCCGTTTATCTAAATGATGTTTTTATGTTAAAGCTGGACTTTTGTCTGGAAAATTTACATAAAGTTTTGAACTTTATCTTCTCAAAGATGTCATGAATTGATCTTGGTTTAAATGATCAGTTTGTAAGGTTGTTATGTTCAATTTTAAGCTCAACTTCTGCCTCATAAGAAGGGAAGTTAGCCTTAGAAACAACTTTTTTGGAGAGTTTTAAACACTTTTTATTTTGATTTTAGTCTAAGTGAATGTTCAGAGGGATCAACACACCCTGAAGTATGTTTGACAGCTGCAGTTGGAGAAATAAATATCAAACACAAACAAATCAAGTGAAATCTCGCTTAAATCTCCACGCTCTCCTTTGTTACCTGAGTTAGATTTGGTTATATACTTCTTAGACATACTGAACTTCATTATGACACTCTTTCTCTCTCTCTCTCTCTCTCTCTCTCTCTCTCTCTCTCTCTCTCTCTCTCTCTGTTTCTTGCTTTGTTTACCTCATCTTTAAAAGCCTCTTTGTTGAATTTCCCCTCACCATTGATGTTTTGCTTTGCTTGGCACTTACTCCCTCAAAGTGATTCTGGCTGGAGTGCAGGGTTTAAAAAAATAAAAAAAAAGCAGTAACCCTTTCTTTTACGTTACACTTATTACCAGGTAATTAACAGGTAATTAACAGGTTATTACCTAGTAACAACATGAAATTATCTGGTAATTACATGATAACTATTAAGTCAATACTGTCTAGTTTTTCTTTTTTTTCTTTTTTCTGTGCAGCTCCATTTTCAAAAGCTATTTGGGGTTCTTATTTTCTATGACTGACACTTGATACAGCCTATGGGCGTGCGAAGATTGCGTAGCGATACGCTGTTTGAGCCGAGCGTTACCACAGCGACTCACCCGCCGAATGAGTACAATGCTACTGCGCAAGTGATGGTTCGAGGAAGCGGTGAAAATCCTGGAATTACCAGAGCAATTCGGCTTCAAATTTGTACGATGATGGAAGGTTACCTACCTGGTCGCTAGACAGTATTGACTTAGTAGTTATCATGTAATTACCACATAATTTCATGTTGCTACTATGTAATTACCTGTTAATTACCTGGTAATAAGTATACCGTAAAAGAAAACGTTACCAAAAAAGCACTCGGAAATAAAGGATAACATTACTTTCTTTCAGTGATGATTTCAAATGTTATGTCTGATGAAAATACATCCACAGGTCAATAATTCAACCCTTTATGTTTCCTGTTTTCCAAAAATAAAAGCTTTTATGAACCATTTCTTTAAATTTCCAGACTGTGAATAAACACTCCTGAAAAGCTACCGTCCACTTCATCCTGGGAGAATAACAGCATCAGCATCATGTGTATGTTATTAAGTTTATTACATGTATAGAACAGTAGTTATACCTGGAGCGTTACAAGGTGCAGGTCAAACAGTACAGTAGTCACTAAAAATAGCATCACTTAAAGGTCATTAAATGGCATGAACAAGTCACAAAACACATGCTGAATAATTCACTGCATCTCTAACTGAGCTGTACGTACAGGAGGAGCCTCTCTGCTTATTATATTAGAGCGCCACCTTGTGGATAAACAAAGAAGCCCACATACAAAGTTGAGTGTGTAGGATAGTGTTTCATTAAGAGACGGATATTATTAACAAACAGAAAATAACAACAATGAAAATGAACTAAATTTCTCATTCCCTGTTTTCATGTTTTATTTAACGTGTGGTATCCTGTAATTTCTACATGTATCCTCTCATGTTTCTCCAGACTCCACACATCCCTAACGTGAGCCCATGTACTGCCGCAGCCAGCCGAGGTGACGTGACACTTTCTGGAAGACGTAGCCCTTGGTGCAGTCGCCCCCTGGTGGCTGGTTGACTATCCCAGTGAGGAAGAACACATCTCTGTGCATGGTGAGCAGAGGACTGCTGGACCCCAAGGTGCAGTCAGCGTTGGTCCGGGGAACGGTGCAGCCCATTTTGTTGGTTATCAGGTCGGGGAAAGTCTCCAAACATTGAGGGAGGGGCTTGTACTGCAGGTGGTTAAGCTTGAGAGAGTCCTCGAAAGCAGACGACGCCGTGGACTCCATCCAGCCCGTGATCACTGCTGGGTAATCTCCCACCATCAGGATGCTCTCAGCAAAGTCTTTCTCCGGCAGACACGCGGCAGACACATCTCTCTTAAACTGGATGCGGTCACGGAGCTCAAGCACAGCCAGGTCGTTCTCAGGGCGACCCGCCACGTAGCGCGGGTGGATGTGACTTTTATGTACATACAGCGTCTGCTCTCCAGGTTCACTGAAGGTGGCGCGTTTTCCTGAAAACGGGAACATTAAAAACGGTGACTACTGCAAAGCTTGTGGACAAATAATGACATTCAAATAAAAATGGAAACTCCTACATTCCTCTTTAATGACTATTCAAGGGCCGTACTCTGTCTTTCTGCTGACGTGCTAACATCCTGTTTTGAGTGCTTACCCACAGACACCTGGAAGGACTCGTATTTGCTTGCACACTGGGCTGAAGTCAGGACCAGGTTCTCCTTCAGAATGACCCCGCTACAAAAACCTGCAGACTGTGTGTTCCTCAGGAGGGCCTGCAAAGACAACAAACACCCTTAATTGAGAGTAATGTGGACTTGCGTACAGAACAGTTCATTTCAGTAACACATGTAATGAGATGACAGCATAAGGGAGTGTTTGAGCGTACCTGCCAGGGACAATCTCCAAGACCGCAGGAGAGTCCTTTGAACTCAGAGCGAGTGTTGCTGGCCAGGTGTTCCCTCCAGCGACTAGGATTAAGTGCCTTACCACAGGGGTAAGCCACTGAGGGAAGAATGTGAGATGTTATAACTTTTTCTCATTAAATAACTTCTCTCTCTTGTTGAAGAGTCACCGACGGCACAATTAATCCTCTCTTTTGTTCTCCAAAGGTGAAGAAAAGCTGTCTTCAAGGCCCTGCGAGGAGTTTTCGGCTAGTTGTGACAAGATTGAAACTGAAACCTCTTTGTGAGCAAGAGGACTGACTCTTTCTGTAATGATTTTTTTAATGCTTGGAGGGGACAGGTGTCAGACTGGAGTATGGATAGCATGCTGATGAAACTGTTTTTTTTTTCTGCTCCTTCTCAGTTTAGTTATCTGAAACAAAATAACTACAGCAATGAGCAAAAATGAGGGGAAATACTCGGAAAAGCTGCACAGACACTGTGAATGTGAATGTTTTTAAGGTGACTCAGCCTAAATGCTCAAACTTTGTGTTTTTGTGCTGTGTAGCAGGTTTCTGTCTGGCTGCTCTGCCTCCTGTGTTGTGCTGACGTTCTTCCTTTCAGGCACTCGTGCATTAAAGGACAAAATTAACATTTACACAAAACATTCGCTTCCACTGGCAAAGACAATCAGTTGAAAATTTCGTCTCATCAGAGAATCCTTCAGAGAAACATTGTTGTTATGTGATATAAACTGATATATTTGCTGTTGCTGGACAAAAAGAAGTGTAAAATCAAAAAAATCCCAAACAGACATACCTGCAGACTCACACTTGTTCCTGTCTGTGCGGCTAATTTTCCATCCGCGTGCACAAGAGCACTCGTAGGACGTGTAGCCCGGTTTACAGAACTGGGTGCAGCCCTCATCCTTCTTTAGCGAGCACAGAGTCTGATCTGCAGCGACAAAACAAAACCCGTCAAATTAGGAGTGAGTTTATGATGACTGCACACGAATTAGGAGCGTCGCCTCCTCACCTTTCTCACAGTGGACTCCAGAAAAGCCCGATTTGCAGATGCAGTCGTAGCCTCCAACACTGTCTGAGCACATAGCTCCATTCTTGCAGGGCTTCTCTGCACACTGGTCTCCGTCTGAACACAGAGAGCAAGTCTCAGAGGATATCTAATGTACCGTTAATGACCGTGCAGAGATGGGAAATCGTTTCAACACAGCACTTACCGACATAGACAGACCAAAAGATATCCTGCAAGAGAAAATGTACATGGAGGCGTTAAATTCAAAGTGCATTCATGAAGAAGATAAAGCTTGAAGATAAAACAGAGGAAGTTTGAGGTAACACAAAGGTAAGGAGGAGAGAAACTGCAGCTCACTGTGCGGTATGAGTCCTTGAACACACTCCTGGCCTGCTCGTAGGTGCACACTTTCTCCATGCAGAGCTGCTCCAGGCTGGCAGGCTGGTCCGCGTTCCTCTTCTGACGGGAGATCAGCGAGCTCGCCTGCTGCTTATCCAGGAACACTGTGGGAACAGAGACGTGTCAACACAGATTCGAGCTCGGACTGATGTAGATTAGGCTGCCAATTAAAACCCTGCAGATTACTCTGATTGGCAGCGAAAGTTTGAAAGTTTGTTAACCCGCTGATTGAACTTTCCTGGAAAGTTCGCAGAACTTTGCAGACTCTCCAAAACTCTCCTAACCCCTTCAAATGATACAACCTCTGTTATTTTTATTCATTTTCTGACAGTATTTAAATATAATGTGTCTTCTTCTCTGTGTGATTATGTGTTGTCCACAAACACCCCATCCTTTAAAAAATGTACTAAACTGGCAAGAAACTTTAACCCCATGAAAGAACTGAACAAACTTAAAGAAGCAGTAACACCCCGAGGATCTCATGTGGCCACCTTGACCTTCTCCAGAGTTTAACACCCCACTCCCCCGGCTCCTCTCACCTGTCTGTGGGGTCTGAATAGCAGCCACGACCCCAGCCAGCAGACACAGCAGAGCGGCAGAGGAGCTCATGGCGACGCTGACGTCTGATCCCGGTCAAGCTGTCGGTGCAAAAGGGTGCGACCTAAACTCCTGCAAACAAGACAAACCGATTACAGACATGATGCACAGGAAGACGCCGAGATGTAAACGCATGTGAGGCTGCTGAGAGCTAAATCAATACTGCTCAATGTTTCATAAGGTCATCTATCTCATCACGCCTGGATTACTGCAACACTCCTTTCTCTTACCTGGACCAAAATCTATTGATTGACTGCAGACTGTACACAACCCTTCAGCCAAGAACAAGATCTCAGTGTTTGTTTGAGCTTCCTCACCCTCATACATGGTATATGTCAGAATAAAGATCAATGTTAAATCATGGCTGCAGTTTTTAAAATAAATGGATATTATTAATGTCTCATTGTGAGCTACAAAAGCCATCAACAACAAGACAGAAACTAGTGCACCACAAGGCATCAACGGGCCCGAGCAGTCTCACACCGTTACCTCTGTAAACCACCGCCCATGAAAATGCCACCATCTCGCACCGCCTTCCATGCAATGCTCTCCATAGCAACACTAACCTTTATGATGGTTGGTACTTGTATGTTCAGAAAATCATATTTAAGTATGTTAAAAATATCATGGTATTGTGAGATAAAAAACATATTATAGTATGATTAAAGAAATCATAGTATAGCATGATAAAAATGTCACAGTCTGTCACAGATTGATAAAAATATCATATTATAGTATGAAAAAATGTCATACTATAGCATATTAAAAATCATAGTAGAGTATGAGAAAAACATCATAGTATAGTATGATAAAAATGTCATAGTATAGTGTGATAAAAAAGTCATAGTATAGTGTGATAAAAAAGTCATAGTATAATATGATAAAAATGTCATAGTATAGTATGATAAAAATGTCATAGTATAATGTAATAAAAAAGCAAATAGCAAATTTTTAGTAACATATAGAATAGTATAATAAAAATGTCATAGTATAGTGTAATAAAAAGGTCATAGTATAGCATTTTAAAAAATCATTGATATTATGATAAAAACATCATAGTATAGTATGATAAAAATATCATAGTATAGTATGATAAAAATGTCATAGTATAATGTAATAAAAAAGTCATGGTATAGCATTTTAAAAAATCATAGTTGATTATGATAAAAACATCATAGTATAGTATGATAAAAATGGTAAATTATGATTAAAATAACCCAGTACAGTACAATGAAAATGTCATAGTATAGTATGATAAAAATGTCATAGTATGGTATATGACAAAATCATAGTTAAGTATTATTAATTATCATAGAAGAGTATGTTAAAAATATCATAGTGACCCTCAGGCCTACTCAGGATTTGCTTCCTGTTTATTTTCTTATTTTTCTCTTTGCAGTTTGCCGGTAGGCGGGGTTTAGCCACACCTGGGAATTACTGGCCAGTCTTCAAGGGAATAAAAGACCAAACTGTCGACCTGCTCTCTTTCTCTTTCATCCTCATCAGATGCTCCATGAGGCAGCAGGGTTTTGTTTTGTTAACTTTGGCCTCCTTTGGACTTAAGTGTTACACCTGACAACATGCTGCACACACACAAATCTTTCACTCATCCAACAACAGACACACTGACTAACTTACGCACATACCTCATCTGTTTTGTTGCTACAACATTAAATTTGTAATAAATTATTAAAGTTGGAGTTGACCGTGTCATGCCCCGTTCTTTTGTCTGACTTGTCATAGTCACTGTATAGGATGTTAAAAAATGTCATTGTATACTATGATAAAATATTCAAATTTTAGTATGACAAAAAATCCTAGTACTGAATGTTAGAAAAAGTCATAGTATAATAAAAATTGAAATTTTATTAAAACGTCATAGTATAGTATGATAAAAATTTGAATTTTAGTATGAAAAACATTTTATAGTGTAGTATGTTAAATAATGACATGCCAATAATAATGACAAGGTATGATAAAAGTTTAAGTTGACATAGCTAAATTTTAAACTTAAAAGTTTAAAATTTTAGTTTAAAAAATGTCATAGTAAAGTATGTGGGAAAAAAAGTCCTAGTTAGGTTCAATAAAAATTTCAATTTTTGGTACAAAAAAATGTCATAGTATAGTATGATAAAAATTTAAATTTTTGGTATGAAAAAAGTCATAGTAAAGCATAATAAAAATTTTAATTTTTGTATGAAAAACATCATACTATAGCATGATCAAAATTTAAAATTTTTGCATGATAAAAATAACATAGTATAGTATGTTAAAAAACATCATAGTATAGTTTGTTAAAATTTTCAAATTTTACTATGAAAAAAAGTCGTTGTATAGAATGTTAAAATAATGCCATAATATAGTATAATATAAACTGGCATGAAAAAAATGTCATAGTATAGTATGATAAAAAATGTCATAGTATAGTATGGAAAAAATGTCATAGTATAGTATGGAAAAAATGTCATAGTATAGTATGATAAAAATGTCATAGTATAGTATGATAAAAATGTCATAGTATAGTATGATAAAAATGTCATAGTATAGTATGATAAAAAAATGTCATAGTATAGTATGGAAAAAATGTCATAGTATAGTATGATAAAAATGTCATAGTATAGTATGATAAAAAAATGTCATAGTATAGTATGGAAAAAATGTAATAGTATAGTATGATAAAAAAAATGTCATAGTATAGTATGATAAAAATGTCATAGTATAGTATGATAAAAATGTCATAGTATAGTATGATAAAAAAATGTCATAGTATAGTATGGAAAAAATGTAATAGTATAGTATGATAAAAAATGTCATAGTATAGTATGGTAAAAATGTTATAGTATAGTATGATTAAAATGTCATAGTATAGTATGATAAAAAAAATGTCACAGTATAGTATGATAAAAAAAATGTCATAGTATAGTATGGTAAAAATGTCATAGTATAGTATGATAAAAAAAATGTCATAGTATAGTATGATAAAAATGTCATAGTATAGTATGATTAAAATGTCACAGTATAGTATGATAAAAAAAATGTCAAAGTATAGTATGATAAAAAAACGTCATAGTATAGTATGGTAAAAATGTCATAGTATAGTATGATAAAAAAATGTCATAGTATAGTATGATAAAAATGTCATACTTTGGTATGATAAAAAAATGTCAGAGTAAAGGAGGATAACATAATTTTAATTTTAAAATGAAAAAAAAAAACTTCATAGTATAGTATGTCAAAAAAAATGTCATAGTATAGTATGATTAAAAAAATGTCATAGTATAGTATGATTAAAATTATAAATTTGAGTATGAAAAAAATGTCAAAGTATGGTACGTAAAAAAAAGGTCATGGTATAGTATAATAAAAATTTCAAATTTTGGTATGAAAAAAGTCTTAGTAGAGCATAATTAAATTTTTTAATTTTAGCATGATAAAAGTAAGACTATATTATGTTTAAAAAATGCCTTAGTATAGTATGTTAAAATATTCAAATTTTATTAGAAAGAAAAAATTCAAAGTAAGTTATGTTTGAAAAATGTAATAGCATAGTATGATGAAAAATGTAGTCTAAAAAAAAATTCAAGTTTTGGAAATGAAAAGAAGTCATAGTATAGTATGACAACATATTCGAATTTTGATATGAAAAAAGTCATAGTATAGTATGATCAAAATTTTGATTTTAATATGATAAAAATAACATAGTATATCATGTTAATAAATTTCATAGTGTAGTATGTTGAAAATATTCAAATTTTAATATAAAAGAAATGTTTTTGTATAGTATATAAGAAAAAAGCTACAGTAGAGTATGATATAAATTTCAAATTTTCATGTAAAAATTTCCAATTTCCCAAGTTTCAATTTTAGAAAGAAAAAAAGTATTATAGTATAGTATGTTCAGAAAATGTCACAGAATAGTATGTTATGAAAATGTCATAGTATAGTATGACAATGTTTCCAATTTTTGTAAGAAAAAAATGTCATAGTATAGTATGTTAAAGAATGTCATAGTATAGTATGATAAAAATGTCAAATTTTGGTTTAAAAAAATAAAGTCTAGTATGATAAAAAAATTCTAATTTTGGTATGAAATAGTCATAGTATAGCATAACCAACAATTACAATTTTAGTATGAAAAAAATATCATAGTATAGTCTGTTAAAATAATGTCATAGTATAGAATGATAAAAATGTCAAATTTTGATATGAAAAAATGTCTGCTCAGGCACTATTAAAAACAAATAACAGCATGGCGACCCTCTGGATCCACCCCTATTAAGTTGCTTTTCTACAATAAGCTTCAAAGATGTGGAGATATGCATAACAAGTGAGAAATATTAATGAAATGTGATTTCTTTTACACAAATGTACAATTTTCACCAACATTTTCAATTACACATGTGATCTGACCTTATAATCCAATGATAAAGATCAGATTTTACACGTTTGGGTTAATACAAGCTGGTCAAGGTGTGTGTCAGTGTTCTCTTATTCTATATTTGTTTTCGTTAAATCATTGTTTATTTCCATTACTAAGAAAATCTATCAATACTTTAAAATTCAGTGGAAATCATTAAACAAGTATGATGTCCAGTAAATGACCTCATGCTGTTTCCCATCAGTGATTTTGCAGTTTTCCTGCTGCTGGTTGTTGCATTTGTTCTGCAACTGTTTTAACACTGTAAATATTCGCAAAATCCACATTTTGTCTGAAGGTTTGGGTTAGCTTTTAGGTACTCTACCTTCAGCTCAGAGGAGTACAGAGTGTTTTAGCTGGAGACACGCATTCGGGCTATGTAGCATTAGCTTAAGATGTAACACAGCACGAAAGGAGCCTAAATAAATTCTGACACATTTTTTTAGCTTACGTACAAATTAGTACACTGAGTATAAGGACCTGCTGCTATTGTCACCGTCTGATTATATTAAAATATTCTCAAATCCGTCATCGTAACAAGGGTGGGTAAGGCTGAGTATGAGCATCATGGCTTCGAGTAACGGTCTAGAAACAACAACATAACAATAACATACGTACCGATCCAGGAAAATACACGGTACCGAGCCCGGTCTGGTCCCGAAACACACTTCTGCCTCCCGAACGGATCTGGCCTATCGGTCCAAACTCACAGATAATGACCGCATCCAAGCCTTCCTACGCACACACCCTATTATGAAGTATTGAGTTGTTGATGTAATGGCAGGGAATAACCAGCAGAGGGCGCCGTAACATCACCGTGCGTTTGTGCGTACAGACCTTACTGTGACCCTGCAGGACCAAGGGACTACTATTATGTTATTAAGAGCCTGCAGGACGGATGAAAGTCGTGTTTAAAGAGCCAAGTCGTAAAATTTATACGTTGAAAATTCAAGGTTATAGACTGTGGAAATGAGGAGAGACCTCGTGACTGAGGATAGACTAGGATGAGACAGCACTTTTTAGACAGCAGAAGAAGAAACGTCTGCAACCAAGATAGGCTCACTCTGCAGCAGAGTTTAATGATAATGTACAACTTATAGCTCTCCTTGATAGTATATCTTTGGAAAGGTGAATTAAGGGAACTATTTCGGTGCGTCTATTACAAGTAAGGTACAGCAAGTGATAATAAGTAGTCTAATATCTGCTTGGTGGCTTGACTTACAGGTTATTTATTTCTGATTTAACTCTGAAGTTTTTTCCCCAACAGCCCAGTCACATTTGACTTCACTGATGAAGTTACCAAAGAGGTTAACTTGTTTTCTTTATTTTATACTAAAAAATCCAAATGACAAAGCATTATTTTAAAAGGGTTTTGATAAATTTCAGCCATATTTACTCAAGGGAAGGATGGACAACAGTTCTTTGGCTTCGGACCTTCTGTGAGTGTGCCCCAAGTGTATTTAAAAGATAATGTTTGTACTTCACAAGATTTAAGTACTGTTAGAGGTTGATATCACAATAAATTAATTGTTTGGACAGCACCCAAGCATTGGCTCCAAGGTTTTCAAATTTAAAAATGGAGGTTAAGTGAATTTAAAGCCTCATGAACTGTACTTTTAAATTGTATAGAGTTAACATCAAAGCTCAGTTTCTGCAGAGTCGGAGGGCGATCTAGGAGGTCTCAAACATGATAGTTTGTGTTTCTAATGTTTTTTGTCTTGTATAGCATGTTGAAAATAGGCAGCTAAAAGTACAACTAGCTAACAATGAAAGTGGGTCACATGTAAGCTTGTTACGACTAAAATCTGTATAAAAGTTAAAGCTTTCGATAGGGAATATCAGGGTTAACATGTCAGGAAGAACTCAGCCATAGTTAGACATGAGCTGCAGAAAAAAGCTCATGTAAAACTCTTCAATTTTTTTCAGGCAGTGGGATCAGACTCAGGACATCTCCTGATATGCACACTCAATCAAACAAACAAAAAAAAAGATGCTATCCCGATGATCAATAGTAGAGGCTTCGCTGCAAACAAACACATCAGTCTAGACGACAGCAAACACACATCAGCTAAAGGAGACGAGTGAAATCAAAGAAGACAGCATGAAATAAATGGAAAAAGTTAAGATAAGACAAAAATGCACAAAACAGAAGGGATTTATTCCCTGTATGCAACCTCAACAAAACCTGGATCATTAAAAAATAAGAGGACAACTCCAGATCTTTTTGCATTTCTAATGTAAAAGTTTGTGATTCTTGGTACAAATGATCGAAGACACACTCATACGAATATAAAAGCTGCTAAAACTGGGCCATCAAAGACCTTCAGAAGTCGCTCCTCAGTGGCCTTATTTCAATTTGATTGTTTGTGAGAGCAATGTAATTTGCAGACTGGGCCGTGGGGCTTTCGTCTCAGCTGCAGCCGTGTTAAATGTCTCAATTCCCAAGTCTAATAACAGAGGAATTACAAGAGCCTGTCTGAACCAGCTGGTCTCTGGTGTTACACCGGGACAGTAGCAGGACTGCCCAGTCCAGGGAGATTCACCTGAAGGCGGGGAGAGCCTGCCCCAACCTGCTGAGCTGCAGCTCGATGTGTAAATGAAAAAGATTGTGATAATTTCCCTGGTGATTGTGGTCTGAGGTGAAATAAAAAGTTGTCAAAGATGTGCATTTGTTCATACATGTGGAGTTGGTCTGGACACGTGTTGGAGCATTTAGTATATGTGCTGCGAGCAAAGAGCAGTGCTTCTCTCTACGCTGATCATCCTTCTCTTTCTTTTGGTTATGTTTTATTTAACCTCTCTCTTTTTTACTGTCTCTCTCTCTCGCTCCTGTTTCTTCCATCTCCTCTCATTATTCTTTGAGTGCTGGCTCAAAATTGAAGGGGAGACTGACTGAAAGGGAGGTGCAGCACTCACGTGTCACCTCACTGACCCAGTCCTCTTCAAACCCAGGCTTCAATTTTACAGGTTGGCTATAAACAAACAGCTCAGCCTTTACACAAGGCATCCATAATTAATGCCACCTGATTCTTGACAACTCTTTGATGGATACCGTATAAAGGGCTGCATGCGAAATCCCCGGGTCTCCCTCCTCGTTGCAGTCTTGATCGCTCTTCAAATGAACCTCATCAGATTTTCATCATTTATGTGTGTTTGAGGTCAGGGCTCTGAGGTTGTTGAACCACCCACTGGGGGAAATCAGGTCAGCTGGTCAGGGACAGTTAAACCCTTTTTGATTGGTCATCTCTCTACTTTTAAAACCTAGAAGCTGCACACAATCAATACTTTTACATGCACAGTTAAGTCGAGCTATGGTTAAAGCTCGATTAGGTGACTTAACTGGACTTCTGTCCTTGTCCCAGTTTATAAGCACCAGGCAAGAATCCAATCATTGACAGGAGCATGTCCATCTTTGCTATGGTAGTCAGCAACATGCTCCCTTTCAGCTTGTTTTGTTTGACGTCCTCTCTTCGTCTAATGAGGTTTTTTTTTACTCTATGGCTTCCTGGCAACACACATCGAGTGTGAACTCTAGGGCATGCCCGGAATGATTGGGCCTGTTTCACTTCGACTGAGTCACATCTGAGAGAAAATCAGCCTCCAACCACATTATCCAGGTATGTTAGACCAACTATGAGGAGTTTGATTTCCGTGCCGGATTAACTGACATGTCTACATACATTTTAAAAGTCCAGATTTAGTTGAACAAAGGTGAAACATTATAAGGATATACTGGATCTTTGGTGGTGAAACATCTAACCCATAACAACCTGCTCCTGATGGCTGCAACCACTAAAATGTGTCATTTATGCACAACTGAGGGTAAGAAAGACTGAGATTTAAAGGGATATTCCAGCGTAAATTTAATTTAAGGTCAAACACACTGTAACACCAAGTTAGACACCCCCTCGAGAGATGAATGTTGCCGACCGCTTGCCTCTCCACTTATACCAACTTTAGTAACGACCTCAACCAAACACCACTCTATAGCCACAAATAATGCTCAGAACAGCACCTAACTTCATCAACAGTACATATAGGGTCCCAGCCATAGTACTAGCCACCAAACATCTTTTTAACTTTGCCTGATTTCTCTTGCAGAGAGACTAAACACAACTCACCTACTCTACTTTGTAGCAAGACCTCAGGCCAGTCTATTACAGACTACAGCGGGGTGCCACAGCTCAAGGAAGAACATTCATAATCATTTCTTTATCATTTCCTTGAAGTAATAATCATCATATTTCATTTTGCACTGCAGACACTGTAGTTCTTCTGCCTTAGCGTCTTGGTCTGGTTGCATTTCCATTAAGTAATTATCATAAATGTTCTTCCTTGAGCTGCGTCACCCCGCAGCAGTCTGTAATGGACTGGTCTGAGGTCTCGCTACAGACAAACAGCTGCTGGAAGAGAGTAGGTGAGTTGTGTTTAGTCTCTTTGCTAAAGAAATTAGGCAAAGTTAAAAAGATGTTTGGTGTCTAGTACTATGTCTGTGACCCTATATGTCCTGTTGATGAAGTTAGGTGCTGTTCTGAGCATTATTTGTAGCTATAGAGTGGCGTTTTGGCTGAGCATGGCTCCTCAGACCGCTGTGTATTGCTATCCTGTGGTCGTTACTAAAGTTGGTATAACTAGAGAAGTAAGCGGTCGGCAACATTTATCTCTTAAGGCGGCTCTAACTCACTGTTATGGTGTGTTTGACGTTAAATTAACGCCGGAATATCCCTTTAAGGAGAAACAGTCTCCTCCATGTGTATGGAGCTGGGAAGCTGCTATCTTGGTGGTTTATGCTGAAACAGCTTAAATAAAAGATCATGATTTATCTGGTAAATCTGACACTCAGAGAGAGAATGGAAGAAGTTTCACCCACATGTCTGCAAAAACGAATCTAAGCTGGCAAATGCTAACCGAGCTCGGCCGCCGGTGCGGCAGCAGACAGTCGGTCTTCTCCCTTTGAGTGACATCCAGGTGTTCAGTGATTGTTATGTGCAAACAGCTCTTACAAAGCCACATAGATCAGCTTTGTCCTGCTCCACAAATACCAACATGAAAAGCTGTAAACATTAAAGCGGGGTGTGGAGATGTGTTGAACACGTGTTTGATTTTGCACGTTTGAGCACGTCTACATGTGACGGCTCAGCTCAGAGAGTGTATGACAGCGCGAGGTCTCCAGACAATGCTCCTAATGATGATGTAATGGGTTAATAACACACATTCACACACTCGTATGCCACCACAGGATGTAATGAGGTCAGACGGAAGTGCAGCCCGACACTTAAGTAACGCACAAACATACAAGTGCATAACTCACATCACCTGGCCTGGTTTGCTGTGCATCATAAAGAGCCCCTCTCACATGGGCGGTGTCTTTGTCCTCTTCCAAAATTGACTGCAAACAACAAGATATTCATGCCTTTATCAAGGTGCTGGAAGATTGTGTGTAATTAAGTTTACGTGACAAGGACCAATGATGATGTTGCATTAAGTACTGGAGAGCAGGCAGCCGCTGCCCCTGTGGGGGTCTTTCTCGGCTACGCCTGCTACTCTTGAAGAATCGCTTTCCTCTGTCCCACATTTCTCTGTGATCAATTCACGTCAGCTGGCCATATTTTATTTAACACTTAATCGCGGCGCTCCCCCTCCCTGTGTCCCCTGCAGCTCATTTGTTCACATGCAGGAGAAAAGAAGAGAAATTAAGAGCACGTGATTCCCGCTCCTCTTCCCTCGTTTCTTTCCTACATCTGAACCAAGTGGCATTCAGCAGAAACAGGTCAGCCATTATTTGACGGTTTGTTCGAATAACTCCCCTTTTCATACAGTGTCCTCTTTCTGATCGGAGAAGAAGGCCTAGATTGAAGCTTGGAGCAGATTTAGAGATGCTCCTGAACCTCTTTTGTGATCTTTCCACAAGCAGAGCAGAGACTCATAATTTCTTTTCTCCTACAAACCCTCTTTCTTTCTTTCTTTTCTTCTCTTTCTTTTTTCTCTGTGTAAAACCCTTTAATCATGTCGGCCCATGTCGGGTCTTTGTGAGAGCCTGCGCTGTCTTTTAATGATATGCTGCATCTCGTTGAGACAGCAGAGGGTTGTTGTGTTTCGTCAGACCTGAGGAGAGGTGGTGTTGGCTCCGGTTGTGCTGAAGAAGCACACAGTGACAGCAGAGACACAGCTGACAGCTGTCTGAACGGACGAGATGTTTCTCTGTACTCATGCAAAAGCTGCTCTGACGTCTGCTCTCTGCGCGCAAACAACTCCTGAAAGCCTGGAGGAGTTTGTGAATCAATGAGAGGAGGAATAATGCAAAGTGTGCATCAGTGATTCTAACAGCACCTAAAAACTGACAAACCTCCTCATGTTATAGAGGTTGTTCCTGATTTTTATGACTTTACAGCAGCAACACGACAGAGAAAGAAGGTCAGGAGCACGAGGCACTTCAGAGTTTTAAAATGATGCATTTCTGTATACAGTCCCTTAAAGGTGGGGTAGGCAGGATATGAGGAAGTGTCAGTTTTGGGGAGAAATCTTTGAATGTAAACTCTACCCCTCCTAACCAGTTTTCCCCTCAGCTCCTCCTCTCCCCTCCCTCTCTGCTCCAGAAAGCCCCGCCCACAAACAGACACTCCTGCTCGCTCGTATCGTTCCAATTAAATTCAGATATAATGCAGATAAATACTTCAGATAATTACAAATGGGGCCCAGTCAACGTGAAAGTGAAAAGCATTGGTGCTACTGTAGATGCCAACAGACTACCGGCAAACACAATGTTTGCAGGACTTCTACAACCAGAATAAAGTGACATAGTCCAGGACCCGAGGGAGGACAGTTTAGCGATGGCGCTACAACACGCTACAGCAGGTCCTGTTTGACAAGAAACACTTCTGTTACAGACACTTGTCTTACTTTGTTAAAGTGGTTTACCTGTCCAGCAGAAAGGTTACAGGGTCTCTAAGATCCTGAAGTGTCCCCATCGTTTATGCTAGCTTCATTAGCTCTTGTCCGGTCTACCTCCGTTTTAAGCGCCTGTTATTCCGCCAGAGTCTCCGGTATTTACTTTGTTTTCTTGCTTGTGTCAGAAGGATTCAAAAAATTTTCTGTACTTTCTGGTTGGTTTCTACCGTCCGCTAGCTTTCTTTGGGCTCGTGAATGTTATGTGAGGACATGGAGCGTGCCTCACAACACATGGGAGCGGCGACTGCCTCACAGCCAATCAGGTCAGGGAGTTGGAGAACGGCTTTGTTTACAGTCAGAAAGTGCGGGCCGCTCAAAAATGTAAAAATGTTGACTACACAGACATAACAGAACACAGTGATATCATTAGATTACCAAATGTCATCAATAACTAATAGCTATTGACTGATATTAAAAGCTTTTTTGTTTATACACCACAAAATAAGATGCGTCTTAAACAGATCCCTGTCTACCCCACCTGTAAGTAAAGGGTCATGTTTGGTGAATATGGAGTTCTGCAGAGCAGAAACCTGGCAGGGTGCACATGACTCGCCTACCTATAGAGGTGGTTGGTATGGTTTCCATGGCAACAATATTCTAATTAAGGATAGAGGGTGTTAATTTTTATTTATACTGATGTTATTTATCGGCATCTGCTGCCACTGGAGCTGCAGTTTTTCCAGCTCCTGTTGAGTCTGGTTCAGGCAGGTCTTCCTCCCACACCTACATTTTTATGTTTTCAAGGTCAGTTCTGGTCTGCTTCTGTTCATGCTTCACTGGTGCTGTACCTGCAGACGGGACCTGGTCTCCTCCCACTCTCATTGTTGCTTCATCAGGTCCACGTAGGGTTTGCTTCAGGGCATGTCTGCACCCTCAGAGTCTCCTTCTGATGTCCTGCTGGGAGACGTGACCTGTCCACCTCCAGCAGGAGTTTGAGGTTCTCTGACTGAACCTGTCCCTCAGCCTCTATCGTGTTTTGCTCGGTGTTTTGGTCGGGGTTGCAGATGCGGCGACCTCCAGTCTTCAGGAATGAAGATGACGCTGAAGTGCAACAAACTGCAGTTCCTTGAGTGTCCACTTGAGGCTGTCTGCAAAAACATCACAAACCACATACACATACATTCAAAAAAAGATTCTTACAGCTTATATTGCAGCTGGTTCCCTAAAGTAGTGGTTCTCAACTTTTCTCACTCTGGGACCCACATTTTATTAATAATAATAATAATAATAATAATAATAATAATAATAATCATTTATTTTATTTGTATAGCGCTTTTCATGACACTCAAAGACACTTTACATAAAGCACAAAATTTGAATATAGCAATAAAAAATAAATAAACAAGTAAAATAGTTTCCCATGGTCCTTAAGTCACGACCTACTTTTTATTAAAAATAATAATAATTTAAAGACTCAAATCTTTAACATAAATATACCCATTTTATTAAGTGCATTTTAGAGTACATGAACTGAGGACAACAACTACTAAAGTTGCATATAGAGAAAATATCAAATATCAAATTGCACACAAAAAAAAGACCATGTATTTTTACTGCGTTCAGGCCACATTAATAAGAAACCGAGGAGGACCACGAAGTGACGCGTGCCTTTTAAAAGAAGCTATTTTTCAAAATAAAAGACATGTCAAACATCAGATCAGCTTTAAATATTTACTTTTTTGACCAGCTGTTCGCGACCCATCCAGAATGTGTCCCCGACCCACTTTTAGGTCAGGACCCACCGGTTGAGAAGTTCGTCTATGGTCCTGCGGCTTTATACAGTCAGAGTGCTCAGCCAAATGCACTCATCCACACTCCACCGCTGGATCATTAAAAACTTAACGCTGAGATTTCTCTACCATTCAGCCGACTACACAAACGATTTCCGGACTTTACTTCAGGCTCTGCTGTTATTTGTTTTCTTCCTGCTGATAAGAAGAGTAAATTAATAAGCAGGTCCCACCGCTCCTCTCTGTTATTGTGAGTGTATTCCCTCAAGGTTTCGGTCACGTTTGCTTTTCTTAGGCTGATAAAGACAAAGCACTGTGGCTTAAATGTTTGGGGAATATAGATATCATAAAAGAGGAGAGTCTATTAATTAGATTTATGCTAATTTGCATCAGTAATGCCTACGTTTACACATTTGAATTTATTCTTAAACTAAATAATCACCATATTTCAGACATGTTTGAGTTAAAACTGGCAGATCCTGGTGTTTAAAAATGGCAGTCGTCTGCAGCCTCACACAGCAGTATGGTCTTCTTCTTCTTCTTAAGGAGGAACGTGTTTGTCAGTGTCAGCCTTGTGCTCATTAACACATTTTAGCTGCGGATTCAGACAGTTCACACTGCATGGCAAATTAGATCGAGTCCCAACCCCCCACTCCCACACACACACACACACACACATACACACACACCTACAGCAACACGTGTCCAATCACATGTGATCGACACTGTTTGGTTTTGATCGTGGGGATTAACATGTGGATTAAGACGTCGGATGACCGCTTATAAATTTAAGACGCACATTTCGAGGAGCAGAAGGGCAAACGGGGTTAAACCCTCTCGCCGCTTGTCGTCTTCACACTTCTTTGTGTCACATGATAACTTCTCATTAGCTTTGTTGCTTTATTTTGTTCACAGGGACACGTTACCCCTATTTCCCCCTGCTGAGCATCCCTCTGCCTCTCCTCTTCCTCCACTCTCAGTCTTTTTATCGCTCCCTCACTTTCGAGCGCTTGCCCTTGCTCTCCCTCCTTTCTTCTCTCCCTCCCTCCCTCTCTCCTCCTCCTCCTCCCCCTCCTCTTGCTGCGCTCTCGACTGGCTCTTATTCCCCTTCGCTCACACACTCAGGCAGCATCCTCCCATCCTCTCCACTTCTACCTTCACACTCACCTCTTCGCGCCTCCTTCTCTCCACTCCTTTCTTTTTTTTTCTCCACCTCCTACTAACACATATCATCTCTGGCATCTCCTCCCCTACCTGTTCCTCCCTCTTCTCTCCCCTCCATCTCTCTCATTCCTCTCTCTCTCTCTCTTTCCTCAAACACTCAACCTTGCTGTCTCACGCGCTCCACACACACTCATGCTGATTGGCACCCAAGGACAGAGCACCCTCTCTCCCAAACCGGCGACCGGGCGCTTTGCTTTCGGGTTTCTTGACTCTGAGCTCAGCTGAGGAAGAGGACGAGGAAGAGGCCATGGAGCACAGCCACATCTTCCCTGTTTTTCCCCCCAATGGGAGCACCTGGAGCCCCGGGCAGCATCCCTCTGAGGTTACCCAGGGATGCCCTCTTGGACCACTGCCGGTCATCTACTACAGCGTCCTGCTCTGTCTCGGCCTGCCTGGTAAGAAACCTGCACGCTTGTGTGTGTTTATGTGTGTGTGTTTACTCTTTCTGTGGTCATCTGCACAAATTTAAGATTAGGATCTGCACGAGTGTTGCCGGAGTCTTGCCCTGCATGTTGATCAGTCGTGCGCTCGTGTGTCGGTTTGAGTGAGTGAGTGAGTGTCACGCACAGCTGCTCCTGAATGTCACACACACCGGCGATTTGTCATTCTGACCTTGTGACAGTCACTTGTGCATGTGTGCGTACTTTGTGTGTGTTTGTATGTTCGGACTTTGATGTAGCATGTGTCTCCTGAGTTAGAAAAGCACCGACTTCGTGTGCAGAGCGTCTCAGAAACTCACGATCAACTCCGATTTCCTGATCAATCCGAAGTTGCAGATGTTTGTGTGCGAGCCGGATAAAGTAGGTGATGAGTCAAGACCGACCTGTTGGATGATGAGTGTGTGAGTGTGTGTGTGCGTGCATGTGCGTGTGTTACATCAATGACCTGACTGATTTAATGGCGCTTCCTTGTAGTGTCTTTACCATCGACTGATGAGTCCATTCACAGTCGCTGTCAGCCTCCATCCCACTGCGTGATCTATGAGCGCTGACCTCGGCTCACACAGGGAGGCAGAGTGATGCCTGAGTGTGTGTGTGTGTGTGTGTGTGTGTGTGTGTGTTACATGATTGTATAAATGTGTGAGTGAGGTAGAGAGAGAGACAGGGCGAGCAAATGTGGAGGTCAGATGGAAAAGAAAACCTGTTAATGCTCCATAAGAGATTTGGATCCAGACTTCAGATGAGTCCACGCTTTAAGTCATTCAAAGTAAACGAAAAAGAAGTAATAGTGAGTAATCCACTGAGATTACACAATAACGTTAATGTACACAAGGAGCAAAAAAGTCAAAACTTTCTGAGGTTGATCATCGGGATATTTTTGAGTGAGTCGCAGGGTTGCCAGATGTACAATAATTATCGTATTTGTACGATGATTTTACCCTCCTTACGATCAATAACCCAGAAAAAAAGACTAAATGTACGATAATCTGACAGTTTCATGAACGTGTGGTGCAATGGGATTTTTCAGTTTTTTATCTGCGAACCCTAAAGGCATCTTTTATCACGTGACATTTCCATCCAATCGTAGTTTGAGTGACATTTGTTTTCGCAAAACAATCATGCTCAGTTGGGAAGTCTGATCAAACGCTGCTGATGTGGGGCGGACGAGTGAATGACCATAAAACTGCAGCGACAAAATCGTGAGTGCCTGTAGGACCTTAAACAGAGTGACTATATCTGACTATATGTGCAACAGTAAGATTGTTATTTTGATTACGACGGGTATACGATAATTTTGAGTCTCTGGTACGATAATTCTTTATGTCCCATCTGGCAACACTGGTGAGTGGGTTTTATTTAATCTTTGCATGGCTGAAGGGTTAATGGTGGAGCGCTGCCACAAATGAGAGGACAAGAAGCCCCTATGATTTGCTACAAGCATTTATACTCATATCAGTGCAATTTCTATTGTGCGCAACGACAGCCACTCTTTGAACCGCTGCAGTGCACCTGCAGCCACTCGGTAAATACAAATGCAAAGTCACAAGTTTATCCGTTTTGTGATACTGTACAAACATGACGGTGCAAAACTCCTCTGTAGGTGTAAACGGCTCGATCTGAGTCAAACAAAACAAAACTCAGCCGACGTGAATAATTTTTGGTATGTTTTTGGTGCCCCCCAGTGGCCAAAGCAGTTTTTACATATCTTGTCTTTCACATACTAAAGTGAAAAACTCATGGAGCTGAATTTTGATAACCAAATGTTTCACTTGTTGTGTTTATCTTTTTGGTGGAAATTTTAAAAACTTTGACAATGACTCTAAATACTTTGGTTTGTCTGAAAACCAAACCAGTTCAGAAACGACTGATGAGACTGTCCACTCACGCTACAGCGGCCATGTTTGTTTGTCTCTGCAGTGAGTGAACGACAGGGAAAGGGTAGGGGGCGCAAATGACAAGGAGGAGTGGAAGGAGGTACAGGAGAGGAAATTCAGATTTCCATTCTTATGAATAATTTATCAACCACAAATGCAAATTAATTGATTTACCGCACAGCCCTACATAATGAGCATGTAGTGTTCCTTGTTGAAGCTGTAATTTGGAGAGAGGGGGAAGCCAGTTAGAAGTCCCACCACCCCAGGAGGTCAGTTTTAAGACCGGCTGTGCTGCATACTGGAGCATTCAGATCTGATCTACAGTCCAGAGTCTGTCTTTGCTGTTTTGTTTGAAATGGACCTGATGCTCAATCCTGTTTCAGTGTCCAATTTCCTGTCCAGATCCAGTAGAAAACATTCCCACTGTCATGAGTGAAGCTGCTGTGAATTTCAGTGAATAAACCACATTTTTAAGACCCTTTTTTGTCGTCTAAAAATGTGACTTTGTCCGACACACCAATGCAACTAAAGCAAAGAGGTTCTCTGTTGAGGCAAACCGGACAATCATGACTTAAAGAGCTACACATCTGCATTAAAACTGCACATTTCTGACAACAATGGTTTGTCCTTTTCTACCCTCAAAACAAACACGTCCTTCCTACCTTTGCATCTTAAATTCAGGATTTTACAGTAGTTGAAATATACGTTTAAAGTCCGGGAATGAAACCTTTGTTTTTTTCGACTGTTTCAAAGTTGGGCTCCTTTTTTTCTGCAGCCTGGAGGAAAGTCCAGGATGGTTTATGTTTTTAATTTTATCTGTGATCTATGTGTCTACTCAGGCTCCCGGCTGTTTCTAAAATAATAGTGTCTCAAAACCCTCTTTTAGGCTGAGAATACAATCCACAGAATCAGATCTGACAATCAATTATTTAGCGGTCAAGTAAAATTAAGGACGATTCAGGGGTTTTATTACTCAGCCTTTATTTTTGGCAAGATTTGCTCCGAGATTAGAGGGAAAAGGCGATGGTTACTCTTCTTAATGGATCTAATTAGTGACTCATGTTTTATTTGACCCTCTACAGCAGATTAATTTATCTCTCTGACCTCTGTTTCCTTTTCCTCTGATAAAAAATTGGGAGCACAACCTCAGCTGTTCTGGTTTAAAACAAATCTGCAATGCAAAAAAAAAAAAAAAAACTGCTTGTATGCCAAGGCTGCGGTTGCTTCTTCACAGATTTGCAGTATCAGTAAAAGCAGAAATCAGTCTGTCTCTGTGTCGCCCGGTTCATCCTCTCTGAGAGCGAATCGAGTCTTGCACGTGCAAATCCCTGCGCTGCCATTTAAACTTTTTTTTTTCTTGCCTCCTCTGCTGCTGAGCTGTCTTTACAAACCTGATTGAATCTGTTTGTTTAATCAGTGAGCAACAATAACCTGCCAGTGTAACGCAATCCTGCACTAGCTGTCTGTATTAATGGCAGAGTGGAGTGCAGCCGGCTGGTTCTTTGCAGCAGCTGGAGTTGGACTTCTTCAATCATTATGACACAGCTCGTTGAGTTCACGCTGAATCATGAATGTTTCATGAGCATGTGCGAGTAGTAGCGGCGTGCTCCCGCAGACACACACATACACAACGCTCCCAGATGGATGGGAAGGTGTTACCTTGATTACCAGCCAGTGTTTCATTAGTTAACAGCAACAGGGCTGCACAGGGACGTCGTCACGTCTGCATATGGTTCTTCTCACCCACTTTGACCTTTAAGCTGCAGGCGGAGAGAAAGAGAGAGGAGTGGAGGGGGGGGTCACATCAAGAGAAGAGGGTCGAGGGTGGAGAGGAGATAAAAGAAGGTGATGAAAAAAGGGATTATGCACGTCGAGAGGCGGGAGATGATTGCACGATGACCAGGGGAAATGATGAACTGGAAGCTCATGATGAACAGGTAGCAAAGGGGGGAGTATAAGGGAGTAGAGGGGAGTAGAGGTAGTCATTTTTGACCAATAATAGAGAGAGATTAATAAGAGCAGAGCCGGGGAAGTAGCAGAGCAGGGGAGCCGAAGACGACAGAGCTGAAACCAATTGCCACATTTTTAATTAATCGCTTACCTCCTTCCTCCTTTACCGTCTCCTCTCCTCTCCTCTCTCCACACCTTTGTGACAAAAACAGACATGTGCTTTAACACCAAACACACTGAGACAAGACCTCCTCACAGTTTGTTTCAAAGCTCAGTTCGTCGAGGTTAAATCAAGCCTCTGAAAACAGCTGCTTTTCTGCATATCCGCTTGAGCCGAACGTTTTCTCTCCACCCTCGCTGCTCCTGATCTTCTCACCTGCGTGTGGCCGTTTCAAACCCACCTGTTCAGCCTGCAGGTTGCTCTTCATGCCTGAAAATGACTTGCAAATCTTTAAACGGTAATAAAACGTCTGCAATCCCAGATAGCGCAGCGGGGCCCAAAGCCGCTTAGAGGATTGAATTAATTCTTTGCTATTCTATCAAACAATTATTCACTTGTAAAATATTATCAAATTAGCCCTCGGGCTCTCATTAAAGATTCAAGAAAACTTGCAGAGATGATGCTTTTCGCTTTTGCCTGCAGCATGTTTACCCTGACCTCACACAGCCTTTGCAGAGTATATTTTAAATTAATATCACTCTCTCTATTCAAGCGTGATCAGATGCAAAGTAAAACCTTAAATCATTTGTTTTTCGATGCTTTTGTGTGCTCTGCAAAGCGATTGGTCGCCTCGCTTTGGTGTCACATTTGGACATTTTTTAAAAGAAGCAGGAATATTAGAAAGATGTACAAAAAAGATAGGGTTAAAAACTGATGCTAGGTGACTGTGATCTCACTGTGAGATGACTTTGGGACCGGAGAACCTGTGTGTTTTATTCTAATCTGTAATCTGAGCTGTGGCAGTAGCTCCGGTTAGAAAAGCAGGGTCAAAATCACAATAACCGCCTCTGAAAATTGAAAGAAGTACACTGAAGCATGAAGAATTCAAACTCAAGTACAAGGTCCTCAGAGCAGCCGCCGTGCCGTAGTTACCTTCAGCCACTTAAATGAAAAGCATGTTTGCACAGTAAAACAAGAAGGTTCATTTTGTGCCATGGAGACAGAGTGGCTTTTCATAAGAAAGAAAATTCAAAAGCATCGACATTTCAGCGAATACACACAGAAAGCCGACAAAGATTTAAGGCAGCCTGCAGAAATGTGAATCCTATTTAGCAGAAGTAAAGGAGGTAAATATACAAAAAAAAAAAAAAGAATCCTGTGAAAACACTGATGGTGACAGCGCCATGTGACATACTGTATATAATCATCTTTTTTGTTTATTTGCACCGCCCACTTTGTTGAAGACAACCTTTACATGCAAACGCCTGGTGCTTGTAAGAGGTTTGCAGGCCTGGCATGCATACTCAAGCATTTACAGTCACTGTTGCAGATCTGTGTGCATGCAGATCATTTTTACAACTCTGCCATGTGACAGTGAGTTGTGTTTGAGAACGCCAAGGGCAGAGTTTTACGAGGCTGTTCCCGTGTAAACATGGCCTCAGAGTCAACAGGCTGTAAACAATACTATTCTAATGGCCACTTTGCAGGTACAATTTATATCGGACCAAACATTATCATTATTGGCCGACTCTATGCTCTTAATCACATCAAACCCAACATCTTCATTTAAGTCAGGTCACATCTGCTCAGCCAGACAGTGCAAGGACACTGAATCAAAGAGGGGTAAAAGGGATATTCCGGCGTAAAATTAATTTAGTCATGTGCTCAACCAAAATGCCACAAATAATGCTCAGAACAGCACCTAACTTCATCAACAGGACATATAGGGTCCCAGCCACCAAACATCTTTTTAACTTTGACTAATTTCTTTAGCAAAGAGACTAAACACAACTCACCGTCTCTCTTCCAGCACCCGTTTGTTTGTCCAGTCCATTACAGACTGCTGCGGGGTGACGCAGCTCAAGGAAGAACATTATGGATCATTTTCTTCATGGAAATTCAATCAGACCGAGACACTAAGGCAGAAGAACTACCGCATCTGCAGTGAAAAATGATTAATATGATGATTATTACTTCAAGGAATTGATAAAGTAATGATCATAAATGTTCTTCCTTGAGCTGCGGCACTCCACTGTAGTCCGTAATGGACTGGCCTGAGGTCTTGCTACTAATAAGCGGCTGCTGGAAGAGAGTAGGTGAGTTGTGCTTAGTCTCTTTGCTAAAGAAATTAGGCAAAGTTAAAAAGATGTTTGGTGTCTAGTACTATGGCTGGAACCCTATATGTCCTGTTGATGAAGTTAGGTGCTATTCTGAGCATTATTTGTGGCGTTTTGGTTGAGGTTTGTTTATGGCTCCTCAGACCGCTGTGTATTGCTATTCTGCGGTCGTTACTAAAGTTGATATAACTAGAGAAGCCAGTGGTCTGCAACAATTATCTCTTGAGGGGGTGTCTAATTCGGTGTTTGACCCTAAATTAATTTTACACCAGAATATCCCTTTAAGGTGAGCAAATTCATCCTCCATCCATTCATCCACTTTTGCTTATGAGAAAGACCAGGCTTGGTGGCTGCAAGCTGGACAGGTTGCCATAAACCTCCCTCTCCCTCCTGGTAATCCAGAGGTGATCCCAAGCCAAAAATGGGACATAATCCCTACAGCACAGACCGGGTCTTATCACAGTTGGCCATGCCTCGAAAACACTCGAGGAGGCACCCGGGGGCCACTCTTATCAGATGTCTGAACCACCTAGACTGGCTCCTTTCGTTGTTGAGATGTGTGCGCTCTAGACTCTATATTTAAGGTTGAGCCCAGCCGCATATTCAAAGGCGACTCATTCTGGTACTTGCATCCACAGTTTTAGTCTTCCTGTCTCTACCCACAGCTCACGACCACAGGTAGGAGTCTGAATGAAGATGTGCCATATGGAGAGCTCCTTTCTCACCTTCAGAGCGACATGATGTTGCAGCAACCAGACTGTCCATCACTGTCAGTGCATTCCTGGCCTCTTACCAGAAGCGTCTCCCCAATGACAATCGAAGTGTGACTGTCTGAAAACATGTCCTCTCATTCCTGCTTAACCACCCACCGGAGGGGGAAAAGGTCAGGGATGTTGGGTGCTAATAACCCCCTTTGTTTCACGCCGCAGTGTAGGCCAGGTGTCAGCCGCTACTTAATGAAGAGATGGGCCCCATTGATTTTCAGTTTGGACTATTGATCTGTCAATCTGCACCAACAGCAGGGCATGTGTGGAGGGATGGGGGGGTTTGTTAATAGATGCTATCACTCTGAAAAAGAAGATTTAAATCAGAGGTGTGAGCTGGAAGAGTATTGGGGATGATGCGGAAAAGGTTGACATTTCAGTGAACTAACTGGAAGATAGTTGAGAGTGTCTTCGGTGTGCAGGTGGAGAGAGGACAAGATGGGTGGAGAAGAGACAGGCATGTCAGGGATGAGCCTGAGAGGACGAAGAGGGAGGCAAAGAGAGAGGGGGTGTTGCTTTAAGGCAATAAATCAGAGATGCAGTGACAAGGCTGACAAAACAGTGTCAGTGCTGCTAAAAAAGACACTCCTTGAATGTTTCCTGTATATATTTTTTTAGTTTTGTTATAATGCTGTAAACTGAGCACTCCTCCTTCACACCCTCCATCTATCAACTCTTCCTCTCTCCTCTCCAATTAATCCCTCTAACATTTGTCTCCTCTATTTCAAACCAAACAACTTTCACCTTCTTGTTTCTTTGGGATTTGAAGCCTCATAAAAACGTCTGGAAAGGATTCAAGAGCCGGTTTTAATTTTATGCTTTGTTTACGAAGCCTTTAAATAGATGAGCTGAGTGTGTCAGTCTGCAGAGCCACATCACAGGCAGCAGCAGCAGCCTGGATGTAAGGAGAGTCATCTGCACCGAAATTTAACTCATTCATTTAAGCAGAAGCAGCCCGAGCTCCTTTATCTGAGTGTAACCATTAAAGCCGCAGTGTGGAGTTTTCAGCTGGTTATAAAAGAGGCTGAAATTAACACAATACATAACCAAAAGGCGGCACAAAGACATATTATTTATATACTGTTATTTTTTAAAGCATGAAACCGCTGTCAGGAGGTGGGAGATAGACAAAGCAGTTCACAGCACGCTGAGGAAACAACCCACTCGGTACATTTTTCACAGCAAAGACACAAAAGAGTGATACATTTGACAGTTAAAGGGATAGTGCGTAGTTTTAGCAGCATTTAGCAGGGCAGACTTGGCAGAAATTAAATGTAACATGTGTTTGAATCAGTGTATAATCACCTGAATGTAAAAACTACTTTGTTTTTGTTGATTCAGACTGAGCCTTATGTATCCACCACTGTAAACTCTGATTCTCAGTACATATCATGTCATTGTCATAATAACTCATATTCTACTTTGGTTGTATTTTGGTTTCTTTGAAGAAAAGGTTTAAAGGTTATATCCAAGAGTTATGTGAAATAGATGGGCTTTCAGAAATCTAACTGAAGCACCAAACAGAGCGTAAACTTACACCGAGAGCAGTGCTTTGGGTAGAGTTTGTAGAAAGTAACAAGGTAAAGTTAACCCTGTCTGCAGCAGCTGATAGCCTGGCTTCAAGATAGGACACCAACCATGAATTGTATCATGATGTACGATATGACAGGATATGATACAATCCGATACGATACAATCCGATATGATATGATATAATACAATACAATACAATACGATACAATATGATACGATACAATACGATACGATACAATATGATACAATACGATACGATACGATACAATATGATATATTATGATACGATCCGATACAAAATGGTACGATACGGTACAATGCAATACGATACAATTCAATAGGATGATACAATGCTATACAATACTATCCGATCAGATCGTGCAATATGATACAATACGACGATATGATCAGTACGATACGATACGATATGATACGATCCAATACAATACGGTACAGTATGGTATGATATGATCAGTGCAATACGATATGATATGATACAATCCGATATGACACGATACGATACGTTTCGATCCGATACAATACGGTATAATATGATACGATATGAAACAAAAGGATGATACAATATGATACGATACGATACAATATGATACAATACAGTATGATATGTACCACGATATAACACAAACCACATTATATTTCAAACATGTACCCCAGTATTGGTGTGTCCTAAAACAAACTAACCACAGCGCTAACAGCCCAGCTTTCAGTTTTGTCCTTCACCTGGTGTCTCATCAAACAGGCCAAGTTAACCAGGATCCCCTGTTAGGAAAACCACTTCCAACAAACTGTACAACAAACTTTAAACCGTGCTCCATTATGTGTTATTTATTATACATCGCTCCTTCATTATGAAAAGACCGGCCATTTCCCTGTGATTGATTGTGTTTGCATGGTGCTGGCATACTTTCAGTGTAAATTACTATAATGTTAGTTTTTCAGTAGAGGTCCTCTGTTTTTGTTTTTTTATCCCTGGTGAATATTTTTATTTTTCTGGCTTCATAGCAGAGATGAGCTCCTGGTTTCTGTCGGGGGATTTACAAAACCGTCCTGCTTCATGTCCGGTCGGACACTTCAAGAAGACAAAAGGGAAATGGTTGTCATCAGGAACAAAGTGCTTGTGACCTTTGAAGCAAGCTTTGATATTCACCCCCTCCCTGCGTCCCTCGGCTCTCTTCCTTTCCTCCCACTTCCTCGCTGCTCTCACCTACTCCTCTCCCTCTGTTTTTTTTTACTGCTTAATCCTCCTCTCCATTCCCTCTCAATAACCTGCTCTCTTTTTTCGCTCCCTGTGACCTTCCTCAGACCACACTTTACCCCAACACTTCATCAGTTTCTTCATTCTTCTCTTCTCGCCTTATTAACCTTCGGAGGACCTGTCAAAGCCAAAGCTTAATTTCCTCCTATTGACCAAAAAAAAAAAAAAAACTTAATTGCATTGCACACGCTCTTATTTTTGCAGGCAGCACTTTCAGTTAAATTACTCAGAGTGCGATATAAGATGCCCATGAAAAAGCATGATGATAACCGTGCAAGGAGGCTGCCGCATGTTGTGTTCAGCCACAGGTTTCCAGGGGTTAAACTGCACAGTGCCATTTGCCGACAGCCCGTCTGAACACATCCCTCCATTGGTGGGATGAGTCAGCCTCGTTACACACCTCAGGGAGCACGCTGTGACTCCTCTTTTCCCGCTAAACAACGTCAATGGCCCCTCGTTATATTAGAGAAGCAGCAGGGGGAGCGGAGACACAAAAGCACTCCCACACAAATAGACAGACGGGGTCAGTCAAGCAAACACAGTCACACAAACACAAGCAAATGTAGACAAACAGACAAAAACACAGCGGCTGATTATTTGTCCTGCAGGTCACTGCGATCCCCCTCTCAGCTTGAGGAGGAGGAAAGAGAAGAAAAGGGAAGATTTGCATGTGTCTACACCTGAATGGAGTGTGACAAAAATGCCAATCTACAAGCATGTGCTCCTGTGTATGTTTGTGTGCATCCCATAAATTGCCTGTCCCCTGCATGTGCCACCTTATTCCTGCAGAATAGTGAGCAGGTTCATCCGGTTCTACCCTCCACTCACTCACACACACACACACATACACACCTCCCCTCGGCTCCAGAGACAAAGTAAAGAGCAAGAGTCAATTGAAATGAATGGGCAACCCATTGCAGGCTGGCTAGAATTAAATGGAAATGTCAAGCTCACCAAGGATCCCCTTTGTTTGTCTGTAGAAGGCCTCCGTCTCACCGGGGGAGCCTGCGCAGAATAACAGCCCAGCAGCGACAGTGAACACCTCACAGTTTCCATTTCATGTGTCTCTTCTCTGTTTAGAGGTTTGTGGACAGAGACAGAGTAAGATACCTGAGGGTGAGGTGATGAATTAAAGGTGGGGTACACTCTGCAGGGTTTCCAATTCGTCTCCTTCAGGAAATTTTGAGCTCAAAACAAAAGATGCAAACAAGAGGGAAAAGATCAATCCTGAGCCGGGCGAAAGGCTCCCGGTGCCTCTTTCTTCATCACTAATGTTTTCTTCGTATGGCAGCACTGTTGCATTAAAATATACCACTTTTGACATTCGTATAAAGATATTTGAAAGTCAGTTTAAGGTGCAGCTGACTTGACTGACAGCTGGTTCTTTGCCTCTTCTCAAGTCAACCAAATGTTAGGAAGATTCGCCATTTCCAGTATGTCCACCCCCATTGTAGGGCAGAAAACAACAGGTGCAATACTAATGGTTTACTGATACACACACAACAGTTGACCTGAAATTGATTATATCCAACATTGAGGACTGAAGTGATGTCCAGATAAGCTGAGCTTAAAGCGATATTAATTTAGGGTCAAACGCACCGTAACACTGAGTTAGACACCCCCTCGAAAGATGAATGTTGCTGACCGCTTGCTTCTCTAGTTAGACCAACTTTAGTCACAACCACAGGATAGCAATACACAGCAGTCTGAGGAGCCGTATACAAACCTCAACCAAAACGCCACTCTATAGCCACAAATAATGCTCAGAACAGCACCTAACTTCATCAACAGGACATATAGGGTCACAGACATAGTACTAGCCACCAAACATCTTTTTAACTTTGACTAATTTCTTTAGCAATGAGACTAAACACAACTCACCTACTCTCTTCCAGCAGACGCTTGTTTGTAGCGAGACCTCAGGCCAGTCCATTACCAACTTCTGCGGGGTGATGCAGCTCAAGGAAGAACATTTATGATCAATACTTTATCATTTCCTTGAAGAAATAATCACCATGGTAATCTTTTTGCACTTCTGTCTCTCGGACTGATTACATTTCCATAAAGAAATGATCATAAATGTTCTTCCTTGAGCTGTGACACCCCGCTGCAGTCCGTAATGGACTGGCCGGAGGTCTTGCTACAAACAAGTGGCTGCTGGAAGAGAGTAGGTGAGTTGTGTTTAGTCTCTTTGCTAAAGAAATCAGGCAAAGTTAAAAAGATGTTTGGTGGCTAGTGCTGTGGCTGCGACCCTATATGTCCTGTTGATGAAGTTAGGTGCTGTTCTGAGCATTATCTGTGGTTATAGAGCGGTGTTTTGGTTGAGTGCGTGGCCCCCTGTATTGCTATAAGTTGGTATAACTAGAGAAGCAAGCGGTCGGCAACATTCATCTCTCGAGGGGGTGTCTAACTCGGTGTTACGGTGTGTTTGACCCTCAGTTAATTTTACACCAGAATATCCCTTTAAAGACTGAATTTACCCCACAGTCAACAGGAGCTCTGTGTGGCGTACGGGGAGGTTTCTGCAAAAGAGGGTGTAATTCAGCAGCCCTCCGTTTACACATGTATCGGCTTGTCGAGCCTCTTAAACTGCTCTGACATCTCATTTATGGTTATTGATAGATCGTATGCTAATGACTCGGTGCATCCCTGATGATCTCCGTGTGTTTGTGTGTGTTCTGCTGCACATCCTGCAGTCTGGCAAGGACATCGTCAGTCATGATGTGGAGCCCGCTTTGTAATTTGTAATCAGCTGATAGAGGCTGAGGCTGTGAAGTGTGATGTACCAGACTTCAAGCTGCCATATTTAATCCAATCCCAGATCTATTACCGGAGAGGGGACCCCTGAATTCACATGCACACACTTAGACATGCACGCGCTGCACGGATACTAAGTGCATTGACGTCTCGGGGCTGGTAGGGTGCAAGTCTCTGTCAGAGGCGTCTTGGTCGGCGGGGAAACAGATTAGACATGGCTTCTTGCCGCAGCAGTGTATTTCACTAAATAGGCTTTGTTGGCAGCAGAATAGGATGGATACATTATTGTTTGTTTAGGTAATTGAACCTCCACAGCATGAAATAGGAAAGTTATTGATTTTCTTAAATAATGCCCCCGAATGCTACTCTTCATGTCACAACAGTATTGAGCAGTGTTTATGTGCAAACTAGTCTCCACTAAGAAAAAAGACCTCTCCAAGTAAAGAATAATGATGCTTTATATAAAAATCTTTACAAAAAAATCCCCGTTAAATCCATCTCATAGATCATCATCATCATGGAAGGAGAAGCATCTACATCCAACAAGTCCAAGATAGGAGCTTGGAGTTTTTGCAAATATATAAATTACTTAAAATCTATTTAAGTATCCTGTTCAGCTGCTGCAGTTCAGTTCTTGTGAGTTCTCATGATTCCTGCTGTCTATAACCCGCCATGAAATTCGCCTCACAAACGGATCCGGTAGGAATTGGCGTAGGGCGAAAATCGCTGCCGTTCCAATCAATTCTCACCAGATGCTTGCAGACTGGGACATGGACAGTAGTAATACAACTTTTAACTGTCACTCTACTTTTTAATAATTTGACAAACACAGTCAGTTCTCGATGAAAAGCTATCTAAATAAACTCTGAAAAGTTCATCATCCTTTCCAGCTCAGCACAAATCATTTCACTCTTTTCTCCAGGTCCAAGTTTTCACATGACAACAAAAAGTTATTGTGTGAGCAAGGTCCACGTCGTTTCTCTGTGTTTAGAAAGCTGCGACCACGCTCTCAGCTTGGAGGCACATGCTGCAGCTGAGGAGGAAACAGGGAACACAACTGGAGGACAGAGAAATAAGACATGTAATGAGCCTGTTCAATTCAATTTCTGGACTGCAGCTCCACGTGAGAGGCAGAGAGCTGCTCCTCCCGCCTGATGCAGGTGCACGGAGGTCAGACGCACAGCTTCTGCTGCTCCTGGTAAAAGCAGCTGTAGCTGTGGGATAAATTACATCCAGACCTTTGTGTCCAGATTCTCTCCAGCACAAAACAACAGAGTTACAGTCCCTCCTCTTGGCTTTACCTCAGAAGAAAAAGGGTTTGCATAAACAAACCAAAAGACACGAGGGAAAGACTTGATTTTGCTCCACGAAGAGCAGCTCTGAGGGTTTATTTTGGGGAAACGGAGTAACGATTGTTACTCCAGAGAGGCGGGCAGGCAGGGAGAGATGGGGTGCCCTTGTGTTTTGTTTTAGGAGCTAAATTGCCAAAGGCAGGCAGGAGCGAGCTCAGCAGCTCGCCAAGGCTGTGATGCTGCACACTGCCCTCCTGTTCTTGTTGTGGTTTTTCTCTTTATTAGAGATAACAGTTTGGCCAAAGGGAGAAGGGGTGCTGCTGGAGTTAAGAGGGAGGAGAGAGAGGGAGCAACTTGCTACAGGAATATGATTTATACTCAGATTTGTTTCCTGTAAAACTAAAGGAAAAGAAGATGAATATCAGTTGTAAATAATGTACAAACAACAACTACGTCATGCACTAGTATGTCAAACGCCGTTATAACCTAAAGTTTGGCATACTGTACAGAAAAATCAGCCAGCCTCTACTGGCCGCCTAAGGAACTGCAGTTTTTGACATATTCTGGTCTGATGTCATTTTCCGGCCTTTAAATTAGCTGCTCTTGGCTTCACCTCCAGGATAATGTGGTGAACCCTTTTCCAAGGTCCTGACGCCTCCCTCCTCCTGATCTTTGTGTATGTGTTGGATTTGGTGTCACTGAAAACTTGGCGCTGCTGCTGTAATTGTCGTCGTCTGCTGCTGCCGCCGACTAACACTCAGTTTCTCTGTTTCTCCCCCTGCCCTAACCTGAACCCATTTCTTTTCCAATCTCACACTTTTTTCATTTCCATCACTTCTTCATTTTTTCCACCTATCTTCTTTCAATCTCCTTGCTGCATCCTCCCTCCCCTCTTCCCCCTCCCCAGCTAACATCCTGACGGTGGTCATCCTGTCCCAGCTGGTGCTGCGCCGTCAGAAGTCCTCCTACAACTATCTCCTCGCTCTGGCGGCGGCGGACATCCTCGTCCTGCTTCTTATTGTCTTTGTCGACTTCATATTGGAGGATTTTATACTGGCTGCGCCGCTGCCCCCCTCACTAAACAATGCGGTGCAGGTTCTGGAGTTCTCCTCCATCCACACCTCCATCTGGATCACCGTCCCCCTCACTATCGACCGCTACATAGCTGTTTGTCACCCGCTCCGCTACCACACAGTCTCCTACCCGGCCCGCACAAGAAGGGTGATATTCGCTGTCTACATCGGGTGCTTGCTCTCTGCAGCTCCTTACTACTGGTGGCCTGAGCTGTGGCACAGCCTCCCAGGGGTGGGCAGCGGAGGAGGAGGAGGAGGAGGAGGAGGAGGAGGAGGAGGAGGAGAGGGCAACAGGAGAACCGTGGCCCAGCATGTCCTCGTATGGGCCCACTGCACCACCGTCTACCTCCTCCCCTGCACCGTCTTCTTCTCCCTCAACGCAGTCATTGTGCGGAAGCTGCGCAGACGCCGCAGCTGTTTCCGCCTGCGCGGCTACTCCACCGGCAAGACCACCGCAATCCTCCTCGCCATTACCTCCATTTTTGCCGTCCTGTGGGCCCCGCGTACCCTCATGATCCTCTACCACTTCTACTCCTCGCCACCCGCCTCCCAAGGTGCTGGACGACTGCTCCACATGCTAACCGATGTGGCGAACATGCTAGCGTTGCTCAACACAGGCGTCAACTTCTTCCTCTACTGCTTCATCAGCAAGCGTTTCCGGGGCATGGCGGCCAACGTGCTGCGAGCTCTAGTCCACTGCAGGAAGCAGCCCCCGCCGTTCTACGCCAGCCACAACTTCTCCATCACGAGCAGCCCGTGGATCTCACCAGCCAACTCCCACTGCATCAAGATGTTGGTGTACCAGTACGACAAAAACGGGAAACCAATCTGTATTTCCTCTTGAGCTTTCAGACACCAGCAGCCGACCCCAGCCCTGAGTGGTTTGGAAATATATTCAGGCTTTGTCTCCTTGGTGACCAGCTTACCCACGTGGGATTATTTGAGGCTTGAAAATGTCAACACGCCCGGAGAGCACAGAGGCAGTTTAGCGGTTGCAAAGATGCGATCTAGCACGGTGGGAAACAGCAGGTATTCACGAAGCTGAGGCCAGCTCCAGAGAAAGGTTGATTGTTTCCTCCAGCAAAAAAAAAAAAAAAACAGAAAAAACAAAAACACAGCTACTGTAAGACACTGATAAAGAGATCTCACCACCATCTATCACTGACTTTATGAGCCAAATGTTTGTATCAGTGATAAACCGACGACTAGATGAGTCCTTGGTGAAGCATCAAATGCCTGCTGACAGTGATTTCTTTATGACCGTTCGCTGTTGCACAACAGTGACGAGCCTTGAACAGCTGGGTCGTCTCTCCGTCGGGAGTCATTTCCAGAAATCAAGCAGAGATTCAGTCAGAGTCCGGGGCACTAAACGTCTCACCTCGGAGGGGTGATTCACTCAGGCAGAGCCATCGATGGCGTGTCCATTGTCCACGGTTATGAGTGTCTCTCAAGCACTTCAAAACAGCACTGTCATCTCCTGTTTAATATGCAGAGGAGTCTCAAAGGCATGCTAATTTGGGCTTTTATGAAATGAACAGCCCTCCCTGACTTTCCTCATCCCGACCAGTCACCTTCAAGTTGGCGCTCGCCATGGAAATCATCTACAAGATTGTCCTAGGATGAGTGATACTCTGCTTATTGTTGGTTGAATATTTATTATAAGTAGACTTGACTGTTATTGTAGCTGCACAAAAACAGAAGACAAAAAAAATTAATTGGGGTTGCGCCGACTCCAAGGTGTCATTAACCTCGTAATCGCATTTCCAGTCTTAGGAGGAGGAAATTTCTGCTCTAAGTAGATAGTCCTCTATTAACTTTGAATGGACCTTGATGACTTACTGTTAGCCATTATCCTGATGAATATAATGAATGTATCTCTTTAACCCTTTAGCTTTCTGAGAGCGTGAGAGAAAGAGAGAGATTGAGAGGTGAGAGAGAAATCCGCCGTCCTTCCCTTGAGGTTTTGTTTCCCTTCATGATGCAGCAGCGAATCTGATCTCAGGGCCACAGAGAGGCATTTCAGCGCTGCTCAATCCGCCATTCAGTCACATTTTACACCGAAACACGGCCTTCATCTTCATCTCGATCCCGCCTGGTGATGAAACACGCACACACTCTCTGTACTGTATTAAGAACACATTGAAATCAGTGCTCATCCGTTCTGCAGACACCTTCAGGCATCGTCGGCGTTCATCTATCCAGAGAGAATGGAGCTTTGCCAAAGGGCAGATTTCTGCTAATACCTGCCAGGAGGGATCAGACACATCTGGCCTTTTGTTGTAATGGATACGGCTTTAAATCTGATGAATGTTAGGTGTGTCTGTCATCGCTGATAATGTCACGCCCTCCAAACTCTTGTTCGACGCTCAAATGTCTGACACGCTTTAAGAGGGTGGCTGTAGCTGCGTGTTGCTCTTAATCGTACCTCAAAAATCATTACAGCAAAAAAACCTCAGAGCGAGGGTCTGATGTCTTTAGCCCTTTTTTTTAAAAAGCTGGAGACTTCTGGTTCATTTGTGAGTTACTAGAAACGCCAGTTCGACTTTACTCTGGGTAGGTGCAGATTCAAAATAGTTTAACACAATAATGCAATGATAAGTTTTACTCAAGACATGCAGTTATGGTGCTTTCCTGGACCTCTGAAGTCGGAAGTTGGAGCTGGGAATGACATCGCATCAGAGTTATCAGCATTTCAGTTACAAAGTTGGAAAAAAGTAGCTAACGGCAAAAAACGGAAGCGAAAACAAGACGGCTACGAAAGTTATTCTCGTGATTGCCTTCTCCGAATATAAACAACCTCTGGACAAATATGCGGTCCTTCTGCAACCTGCAAACACGGTGGATAAATAGGCAACACATAAGCGCAGAAGGTAGCTTATTTTTTTTTTACAGGAGCTTCTACTTACTGTTTACAACCGTCGCCGCCATCTTTAAATGTCAACTCGGGGTTTGTGTGGATCGTCCGACTTCCCGAGTCAGAAATTCGACCTCTGGGGTTGTTCCTTCTGAAAGCTCGGACTCGCAGCTCAGAAATCCTGACTTCTGAGTACAACTGAAACGCACCATTAGTCCATTTTGTGCAACTATAGAAACATGATGGTGCAGTACGGTGGCCTCCATGTAAAGGGACCCACTGTCAGAACGATTAAGAGCTCAGACTGCGTTAAAACTGCACACCATGAGTGTCATTTATGAAACATAAACATCACTAAGAAACTTCTCCGGATCATAAATGCAGTGGAAGGGCGGCACAGAGGTGTAGTGGTTAGCACCATCGCCTCACAGCAAGAAGGTCCTGGGTTCGAATCTGGGTCAGGGTGTTTCTGTGTGGAGTTTGCATGTTCTCCCTGTGTGTGCGTGGATTTACTCCGGGTACTCCGGTTTCCTCCCACATCACAAAAACATGCAGGAGTGGGTTTAGGTTCATTGGCCACTTTCAAATTGCCCGTAGGTGTGAATGTGAGCGTGGATGGATGTTCGTCTCTTTATGTCAGCCCTGCGATGAACTGGCGACTTGTCCTGGGTGTCCCCTACCTTCGCCCTAAGATGCTGGGATAGGCTCCAGCCCCCCCGCAAAACCCCAATGGGAATAAGTGGTAGAAAATGAATGAAAGAATGCAGTGGAAAACCCAGGTTTAATCGTGTGTAAACTCATGAAAGTTCACGAAAGCTGAGTTCTTATTGGGTGACATTGCACCCAGGGACTTGAACCACCGACCCTCTCATTCCGGTCACAGTACTGCGCTTAAGTATTCCACTTGTGGTGGTCTAGACAGTTTATTTATGAGACGGATTCATTCAGAAATGAAAGTGGAAAAAGGCCAGCAGTGTCGTGGTTGTCATGGTGAGTTATCCTGATTAAAAATCCTTCAATGCCAAAACTACAAAGTCTGAGGTTATAACTGTGAAGTGGGAAAAAGTTTTCTTGAGATTGCAGTCAGTCTGTTCTGAAATTGCTCGGTCTCTTTCATCCAAAGGTAACCCCCTTTTTTCAGGTGTGCACTCAGACCAAAATCGCCCTCTTACAGCCCTCTTCGTTTGTTTGTTTGTTTGCCACACATTGATTTTTCGTACTCCTCCCGCTTTACTTCAAAAGCTCTTGTTTAAGATTAATCTCCTCCCCTTTGCTCGTTAACTGATTACCTTTAAATATTCTGCGTGCATCATTTCCCATCAAACAAAGTGGGTGGATGTCAAGTGTTATATGATGAAGATTAACAGCCGACGGGTCGATAACTTGTAATCACAACACGAGCGTCTCTGCGCTGAAGGAGGTTACATTTCATTTAGTGTAAAGGCACAGACGTATGTGTTTTAATCCTGATCAATACAGCCTAATGAGCGGACTGATCAATGAGAAAGTGAGATCACAAGAAATGAGGAGCTCGTGCCGGATCAATGTTGCCATGACAATTATTTCACATCTTAACGACGTCCGCGGTTTTTTCGGCCATGTTAATGTGACATTTCTGTGAGAATCTGCAGCTCATTTTAGGGGCTCCCGGGGAATGATGCATGCTGGGAAACTAAGGCGAAGGGATGATTGAGGGGCTTAGAAGAGTGTCACATGCAGGTGTGCCTTTGTCTCCCACGTGAGGCCCTCAGGAGCAGGTGGGAGGGTGTGTGTGTGCGTGTGTGTGGGGGGTTGCAGAGAAATCTTACACGGTTATGAGAAAAAAATCCCAGATATTAAAAAGATAAGTGAACATAAATCAATCTGAGGGTAAAATTGTATTTTCTCCCGCACACATCCTGCTCCACTGTTCCCTCTCCATCTCTCTCTTACCGCTACAGTGTGTGTGTGTGTGAAGGTGTGTGTGAAGGTGTGTGTGTATTTAACGTCCGTGTAAGGCAGAAAGAAGCTGTAATGCAGTGTTTGTGCCATAGGAGCTGTTAATGTACGAGTTCAGATATGTATTTATACTCCGACATGATGAATATAACTCCATAGAGCACAGTATTATAGAGATATATCCCTGAATGTACAACTGAAGCTTAAAGCATCTTTGTTGGTATTTTTCTGATTGTGATTTTCTACACGGTTACCTTTTTTGAGCAGTCTTTTACCTTTCTCCATGGCAGTGTTTCAAACTGTACTTTCGGATTGTACTGGAGTGATTATAGGCTTGCATTGTTCAGTTTTTTCCTCCTAATGAATGTATTGATCGTATAAAGAGTATTTATTACCGTGCTGTGAGAAAGTATGCAGAAAAGTATTGGCTGATATCAATATTTTTGTTTAAAGAAATAAAGAGCAGAGTCTCCAAAGATTCAGACCGAGATGAGTCTTTTTTTTTTCTGCACAAACATCAGATTCTCAGTCTTCATTTAGAGATAGATATCGACATATTTGTACCTTTCATGTACAGCTATATATAATGGACATAATATAGATTTCAATTTTGGATATTCACTCACATTTAGGGGCCTGTTTGGCTCATTAAAAAAGGACCTAATTGGAGCAGTTCCCAGCTTTTATCTGTTGCTGCATGTCTCCCTCCTCTCCTCTGCTGTCCTGTCAAATGAAGCCAAAAATTTTTTTTAAAAAACCTTAAAGCTCCTGTGAAATTTTTTTGTCATGTTGTTTGCAGTTGAAATGAAAAAATCTGCCAGTTTGTGTTTATTTCTATAAGCAGACATATGAAACCCCCTCCTGGACTGTCTAAGAGTCGCATTACTCTAATTTCAGAGATGGATTTATCCATTTTCAAGCAATTTCTCAATGACCAAGATGGCTCTTATTTTCTACTCTATTTTTCCACATAGCCATCGCCACAGTGTGATTATTCCCCACCAGAAAACTTGCTCTAAAATTATGAGAAATCGCAGAAAAATAAAGATTATTTTTCCACTCTTGAATGAATCATCTCTCGCAGCACAAAAGTCACAGCCCAGACGCAGCCAAAGTAAATATTCATAAGACCAATAGACAGAAACTCAATAACGATCCAAAAACAAATCCGGCTGTTTGTACAGCATTAAGATGGCGCTCGCTACACAACAGGGTATTTGCCTCAGACACACACACTCCATCTGTTTGTTTATTACAGAAGATAATGTCAATGTGATCCCGGAGAATCAATACCTGCAAGGTGACCAGACTTTTAACACATCCGAAACCTGCTGCAGAGCTCAGACAGACTGCTTCAGCTAAGTCCAACGACTGATGAGCCGCTGTAACGTCACAGACTTTCTGTCTGGGAGTGTGATAATAGTTCACAAACGGTAAATACAAGGATTTCTTGTTCACAGCTTCAGATAAACTGGAAGAAATCAGGCGGTTATCCCAGAACCAGAGGAGATAAGGGGACAGATCTGGTCTGGTGGAGCTAAGAGATGATGAGAGCTCAAGCCTGCAGAAACTCTGGGAGTTTACAGGACAGTCTAAACAGCCTCTGTAAAGGTTGACAGAAAGATTCATTTTACACTTTTGTTGTAAATTAAGCCTCATTATACTGGTTTTACTGGTTTTCGAGATCCTACAGGTCTGCCTCCTTTTCTCTGCACTGAAAGGGTAACCAGAAAGGAGCTGAAACCTGATCGACCACCTGGTAACCCTGATCTCCTGAGACCTAGTTGTATAGGCCAGAGGTCTCCAATCACCTGGTCTGTGGATCAATTAGTACTGGGCTGCAAAAAAAATAAACATGATTAAATTTTTTTTTTCTTTTCTCCGTCTTCCAAGTATCTTATTTTGTAAGACCCCCACTTCCACCATCGCCTCACTTTCGCACCTTACTCTTCGGCGCGTCATTTTCCTGCATCAGCGACACAAGCTAGCCCTCGCAAAAATGATCCAGAAACAGAGTTCACTGGAGAGAGAAAGGGTTGATTCTGCATTATGGTGAGTTGATGTTAAAGTGTAATAAAAAGTGCCTAATATAAAATTTAATTGTTGAATCCAAATTACATACTATTAACTGATTAAGGTTTTTGTTATTGGAACTTCTACACCCCGACACGGTCCTTGGAAAAAGTTTCCTGCATGAAACTGGTCCCTGGTACAAAAAAGGTTGGGGGCCACTCGTATTGTCTTTTAAGAAGCGCAACTTATACTGAAACCAACTATGTGGGCTGTGTTTTGACAGGCTGCTGGTTGACCATTTCCTTTTGTTGGGACTTAAATCAATGACTGAATCTTGCTCAGAAAGTCATGAAGTGAAGAACGGATCATAGCGCTGCTGATACCAGGGGTGGATTCAGGATATAGCTCAGGGTGCCCCAGCCCCAAGGGTGTCCTGCCCCCCCTCACTGAAATTTGTTTAAACTTCCACAAAATCCTAAACTGTGATCAGATATTTCCTTTTTTTTTTGTGAAAATCAACTATTTTGGCCACTAGCCATGATTTAGGTGTTATTCCATTTTGATTTGATTTAAAGTGTGGGATCTGGTCACCCCTGGCAACACTTATTCATCAAAAAATCACTCTATGTCATTCATTTTATTTATTTAAGGCACTTTAAGATGTGCCCTCAAATGACAGGATGCAATGCAAGGGGCTTCACCGCTATCTGACCACTGTCATGACTCTCTGCAGGGATCTAAACTCTCTTCAGAAAGCTCATTTCACACTCTATCCATCATGAGACATCCGTGTTTGTACTTGTGACCACTCAAAGTCCCGACAGCAGCGCTGATTCAGCCGACACTTTGTCCCTGTCATCGTCAGGACGCGCCACAAACGGAGTGATTATGAGAACAAACACACGTGTGGAGATGCTGTTTAACTTCCCTCTGATCACCTCTAATTGGAGTTAAAGCAACACGAGCGTGTCATCCTTTCAAACGTCCCATGGTGACATCAACAGGCGCAGCCAGCCAATCAGCACCCTGCTAATGTTCACAGTCTACCAATCCTCGGCGCACGGAGCCCACGACAAGCCAATTAACACCTCTCTCTCTCTGTTTCGCGCACACAGAAACAAAGTCCTGCCAAATCCGTCCGACTGTTAAGTGGCATTTCTCCGCAGAAGTCGAGCAAAAAAACACGACGGCGTCCGCTTTAGCCACGACCTGCCGCTGTCCTCTCTCAATAAATCAACAAAACCGCAGATGCGGAGGTCACTGTGCTTCGCATCTTCACTGTGAGATAAAGTAGGTCCATCTGATAAATGTGCTGTCAGCCTGTAAACGTCTCTCATGTGATGAGGCAGAGGAGCCAAAAACGAGAGGATGAAGACAGAAAGATTGAAGGACAGAGAGAAAAATCAGCAGGCCTCCGTGTGCGCGTGTGTGTGTGTGCGTGTGTGTTCACATGTGTGCGCACTGCCAAGTCTTACCAGTGTGTTGCTGCAGTGATAAAGATGGATGAGCCTGCCTGCCTGCTGCTGTGATTGTGCGGCTGCTGATTGGGAGTGTGTGTGCACAGGAATGTGTGTGTCTATACATGCAAAGGTTTATTTATTTATTACCTCGGGCTGTTGTGTGCATTTTGGAGCCAAAGAAAAAGAAAAAAAAAGGTGAGAAAAGTGAGAAAATATTACATCCCCTGAGCGTCACTGCAGGAACATTTCTAAATCTATGTCAAGGCCATACATTAAATATGTCTGCCAATATCCAAACAGAACCATAAATCAGGCAGAGGGAGGAAAAGAGTCTTTGGAGTTTTATTTTAACCAGATAACAAAGAAAGAAAATATGTTGATGTGTGAATAAGGGCGAACAGATGATTTGGTTTAATCTGAGTTAATCACATTATTTTTAACTGCAGTTAAAGTTTCTCTATTTTGTATTGGTTTTAGATCCACAATGTCTTGATTTTGGCGCCACCTGTGGCCTTAAACATCAATCAATCAATCCATCAAACTTTATCAAACCCACCCAACCCCCATTCAACACATGCAGCACTCACATACTCACACACTCACACACAGAGGACCAGGTAAGGACTCTTCAACTTGCCACAGATGACAGAGGAAACGCTACCTTGAGTTAAAAAAAAGATGAGGAAACACTGGAACTAGGACTAAAACGATAAAACCATGATAAAATATAATAAAGGTGATAAAGCGTTAAAATTTGATCAAATAAAACGATCTTAAAACCAAATAATAAAAGAAAGATAATTAAAATAGAGGTAATAAAACACAAAATAATTACTTTAGGACTAAAATAGCGTAAAATCCCATAATGCAGATTAAAGATTAAAGTAAAATTCAATTTAAAGCCAGACTAAAAAGGTCGGTCTTTAGTTTACCTTTAAAAATATGAACAGTGGCTGTTCCACAGATGGGGACCATAATATTGGAACGATGATTCACCGTATGTTTTAGTTTTTACTTTGGGAACAATTAAAAGACCACTAACTGAAGCAAATCAGACAAATAAGAAGGACCAAGACCATTAAGAGCTTTAAAAACTAATAAAAGAACCTTAAAATCTATCTGGATAATATCATAGAAATATATCTATAGAAGCTCTGTTGATCTTGGTGTTTTATTTCTGCCAAAATGACTTATTCTGCTTTCTTTTGGTAACTTTTGTTGTTGAAAATGTAAAAAAATGTGCTGACAGTCACTTAGTTTGGCACCTCCACACCTCCACAGAAGTTTCAGGACGTATATTTTGCTACAATATTGAACATGGTTTCATGGCCCTCCTAAAATATTTGTGCCATTTACGTTCAGGGTCACCATAGCTACAAGGGGAAGAACAGAAAAATCCACATCAATAAGGGACGTGTTTGTTTAAAGGGGGTGCAAAAATCACCTAATTCAAATATGTAACACTTAATTAGCATTTATTTCTCTATTAGCATTTTAGAGTCATCAGACGTATTGCACATGGATGCTTTTGACTGTGGAAGTACAGTGAGAAAACAAAATCTCCTCAATACATCATGCAGCACTGAACGCACAACAGCTCAGGTTAAAATTACCATCATAAAACTTGCTTAAAGGTGCCGTGGGGAGCTTTTGTGTTAGCGAGCAATGTTTATTTCACACTGGTCTGCAGGTAGAGGCGGCTGCATGCAAGGAAACAGTTTTTTATTAACCAAAGTGAGAAAGAAGACACCTGCGAGCTATGAGAGAAGATGAGATTAGACAGGATTTTAGAAAAATTAAAAGTAATATGCACCACGTGTCAAACAGCACTGAAATGACGCAAAAGTATGAGCAACTGCCTATGAGAGAAGCATACAGGTGCAAAAGAAGCCACATTACAAAAACAGAGCCCCAAACATTCAGCAGGTAAGTCCTCACCACTCAAATCCAGTCATAACGCATCATATTTACACTAATAATCAGTGGCACATCACCCACGTTATGTCATTT